TAAAAGTATGTAATTAAAAAAAAGGAAGTTGAAGTGTATCTTATATGATACTGGCTACCAGAAGATGACCATGTAGTGAGTGTTGAAGTATATGGTACTTTGTGGTGCAACTGAAAGTACAAGCTTCTAGAATCACATATTACGATCCTTTTGACCTTTCAGGCCTGCAGGTTATGCATGTCATCTATTGTGACACTGCAGGGAGCATGCAAAGTTGGACGCGGTTTTGTCAGCCTAAGACATGGCAAGCACATTATGGCAAAAGCAAAAATTTGCGACCGTCAAGTTTGCAAGTAAAAGCATGGTGATTGTAATGGCTACTAAGCCCGAGATAACACTTATCGGAATACTGCGTACTTATGACGTTTCGTTAAGTACGGTAAAACTTTACAAGAGAATATAAGTACGCTCGTACTAAGACCGCACTAGGGTGTGGTACACCAACGTGATCCACCCTTGAGTATGTGTGGTGTATGCACATTGCAGGAGATGACGCTCAAAGTGACTGGCGTCATCGCGAGCTTAACTATAGTTGGACTCCTCACGTAGGGATGCGTATCTAAAGAGTCGCGCATCCAATCATGCATAGTTAGCCAACAGCTTTGATTAATATTTTAATATAAATCAATGCTGTCGGCTTTGATTTAAATATAAACCAGTCTTACATTCTCTATCCAGCCCACCAGTGTGCTAAGAAGTCGGTATTATCGCTTCCCGTCACACTTAAGGAACTGTGTTGTTGACGAGGCAGCCTTTGAGCTTGTATGTCTGTTATCTTTTCTGCTGATGCGCGCGAAAAAACGGTTATCAGCTTTTTTGACTCGTAGAGGGTTGCTTAGGTATATCGTGTTTGCTAGAAGCGCCCGCCCACACCCTATTACACCAACTATAGATTCGTACAGATGTATGTTGACTGACTTAACCCCATACATTGCGCATCTACCCTGTTGTATACCAATACAAAGCCGGAACGACATAAGGACACACGATAAAATGCAAACGAGAAAGTTTATTGCTTTCAGATCTTCTGGCTAGATTGCAATCCTTGAGGCAAACAAAACTTATATACGAAACACCAAAAGTTGCTCGACCCCAATATGACATTTAAAAATGATTCATGTGTCGCATTGTTGGGATCGGCTTAAAGCTTGCCTTTTAACAATCATTTTAATATAGGATATGTAAAAGTCAAGATTTAGTAGGCTGGTATAATGGCCGATATAAGCCAATAGGCGGAGTGTTCTGAGTGTCAAGATAGTATAACCTCCTAAGTTCATAATCTCACAATTTTATTACTTGTGATAATATTGCTAAATTTAGTGGTTGTATTTCTGTTGACACCGATTGCAGCGCGGCTGCAAGCAGCAAGCGTCAAAGAAAGACTTAGACTCAGTAAGTCATATAGTTTTGAGAATTAGCGATTTTATACAAGAATCAAATGGTCAGATACTCAAAACATATATATATCAAGAAAGTTTAACTTAATTTAAAATTGAATAACTAAACTTTACTCTTGCCAGCGGTATTCGTTGATTGGCCAATAGGCAATGTTCATTTTAGCTCAATGTAGTGATGTAATATATTAACGGATAATTAAAACGCCGCACCTCCTATATTTGTGTATTTCTTTATTATGCGAAAGCAGTAGAGGCGACGGAGTCTCAGAGATTTGCAAGGCTTTGTGATGAAGACGTAGGAGATGTGGATACTGCTGGTACGCCAGGATCGGTGTGGCTGGGTGGTCGGAATGGCTGCACTACAGACGCGTCATCATCTGGATAGGCACCTTCTGTGTCAAAAAAAGGAAGCAAGACACCGAACGTGAAGGTCGTTGCGGCGTTTTTTTCTCAGCAACTATGCAGAGAGTGTGTTTCGGTGAGGCGGAGCTGCCGATTTGGGATGCCACTTTGGCCTCGGTTTGGAATGAGATCTTCTGGTGAAGGAGGGCTAGCGAAGCGAGGTCGCGCCAGTTGACTTCCCTCTCGATCCTGTACCACAAACGCCAGATGTGCCACTAACAATGGGAAAACACCTTCCAGTTGAGCAAATCACCAGGAAGTCGAGCGTTTCCCAATGATCCCATGCAGGCAAGACGAGTGACAACAGCTCGACTCTTGGCGTGGATTAGTTACGTCGGGTCAAGGCCGACGCTGGCGCCACTCAAAGTTAAAGGAGCGGGATGAAATTTGAACCCTTGAGAAAGGTCTTAATGCTAATGATAGCCAAAAGTATCCTTTGAAATCAGCTAAAGATGCTCGGCGTTGCGCACATTGCGACGCGCGAGCACAAATTGGTTGGCGTGGACTGCCATTGCGCGACAACCCGCCACGAAAGGATCATGTGCACGGTGGAATGCCACAGCCGAGATAGCACTATCGTTAGTGCAATCAAAACTGTTTCCTCAGGGTGCAAGTGCGACTAAAGAGTACTGTATAAATACTTCATAAAAACACCTATTAAAGATATCTTAATGATTATGTCAACTAGATCCTGACCAAGAAGGATATTGATGAACTTTACCGTCTGCTTCCGCTGAAGCCTTCGGACGCCAGGAAGACGGGAAGGAGAGAAACGTCGAATCAGGAGCATTAGCAAGTATTTGCCAAGATTGAGCATGGTTCTACAGCAGTCGCAGTAAAGCTGAACCATTTAAGCTGATCGTGGTGGCGAGATAACGAGTGTGAAGAAGTAAAGATTATGGAGATGTTCCTTGTGCGGGGTGATCGAGCGATCCAATGATTGTGGTAAGTCCGAGTCACACGTGATTGGTCAATAAAGCGATCGCACGGTGTGGACAATACGAATCGCGATCACGCCCAGCCAATCAAGTCGTCATGGATCGGGTTGCGTGGTGTGGACCACACACACCGGACGCTGAGGCGACGCGTCGCGTTGTATGATCCTGCCATACAAGAAGGCAAGATGGTAGTTTTTAGGTTTAGTAGACATATCGAATTTGCTAGGTAACCCATAGGTAGTGTTTGTTCCTTTAGCTAGTCATTGATAAAGGTTTTGGTTAGTGACTAATTTATAGGTGATATCCAAGCGTACATGGTCTTATCTCTTCCGGTTGGATTTTGTGGCCACCCATTGAAAAAGGGAGTTCACATACGTATAGCAGAGCACCCCTGTAAGATTTGTCCGTGGGTTCAAGCATACTCAAATATAGTCAACTGCGACCGAACGCAGAGTTCAAGCAAGAAACCTCTATGAGATGGCTCAAGTGTTCAGAAAATCTTCTAGACGGCTCAAGAGGACAAACAAGAAAGGGAAGATCCAAAGTGGATCGAGGCAGCTTTAAGCGTCAGTGTTTACTGCGATCGCGTGAAGAATTTTCACGCAATCCACCTCCTTCGATCCAGATTCCATCACGATCCAGATCGGAGCAAGTCCACCGAGGAGAGTAAAACCCGCCCAGTCGACGAGTACACAAGGTGAGGAAGGACTAGCATACGCTATCGGAGTATTCTCACTCCGTCAGTCGACTGTTCGGGTGCCAGTGGCAGCTCGGAATCACAGAGATTATTTTGTGATCATTTCTCCACCGCACAAGTTGGACAGCAGTTTCGAATCAACAGCAAAGAAAGCGCTAGTGGCAGTGTAGTTTTTGGTGTGAAAAACGCCATAATCCTCATGGACTTCCCAGGAGTTCGATGAATAAAAATAGCGGCGCCGAGAGTGAGGCGCCTTGCTTGACTCTTCAGGAGGGGAAGATGGGCGACTGAATGTGACCGTTGAGCAGGATATATGTAGTGTAGCAAAGCTTGACCTGGACGAAGAAGACACCCCACAGCCCGTAAGATCGAGCACCTGGAACATGTAGTCCCATGGAGCAGGTTATACGCTTTCTCAAATTGAGGAACATTGCTTAAACGTCCTCCTCGCGAGCGATAACGACGTCCTGTTGGCCACTCATAAACCGCGCGTGATGGTGGATAGGCCGACCTTTGACGAACGCCTTTTGGTTGCCATGAAGAAGCGCAGGAAGCAAAAGCTGGAGGCGGTAGGTCTCCATCACCTGGACAACGCTTTCACATTAACTCCGATAAGATAGATGAATCTAAAACTGCCGGAAATAGCACGTAATCTATTTTTGTGTATGAAGCACACACACTACTTGCGATGGGAAGGAAGCAGCTCATTGCACGCAAACTGGTAGTTAGAGAAGAGGCTTAAACATTGCCCGAAGACTTCGAGAGCAACCTGATTGAGATCAGCCGTGAGAACGTTTATGCCCGGCGCGAGGTGGATTTTATGTGCTTGAGCGCGTTGGCAAGACCAACACCTGATTATCGAGCAGATCTTGGTCATCAGGTGCTGGATTCTTGTCGATCGTGTCCAGCAGTATAGGTTGATTAGCAGTGACCGTAGGTGATGATGGTACAACAGAACTGGCAACATTGCCCATTTCGAACCTAGCACTCCCGAAGAACGGTGCGTCGTCTGCGCACCGGAGTCACTGACGAAAAGCTTGTGCGTGAAGCGACCGTGGAGGTTGAGCTTAAAGGAATCGAGAAAAGGTCAATCACGGAATTTGGTCTCTTGGAGGCACGAAAAACTGCACATTGCGAGCATTGTTAGATGAGCAAGTGGTCGCCCTACATTATGTAATGAATATTGACCGTCAGTAAACAGACAATGCGCCAAGAGACCTCAGAAGCATCCATACTGTAGCCACGAAATGTGAATTGGTGCAATCATAGTCTTACTGAATCTGGAGCACCTCAGCAGTCTTAGGAAAAAAAATCCTCATTCTGAAGGTACTCAAGAACATCGAGCAATTTTCCTTGCCATTGGACTTTCTTTCAGATCGTGAAGCTGTGGAGCCGATCGCAGAGCGAAGCAGAACCAGCAACATGTTGGGATGAAGCAGATGTCAAAATTGAGCTTCGTCAAACTCTGGAGATATTCGTCCTTAATTAAGAGCTGGGCTATGTGCACATCAGCTCAAAAAGAGACAGTACAGTGGTCGTGCAAACTGTCGACACCTATCCGGGTTGTTATACCACCGATCGACGCATCTGAACACCATCGCTCGTATTAGTTTTTTTGGTGCCAAGATGCTTGGCCCATTTCCGAGGAAAGGTGGTGGTGATCATGGGATCGGTCGCATTAAGATGCGATTTAATCATGTGGCGCCGAGCCATATCGTTGATTTTGTAACTGATCTCGCGAATCGGACGCATGAGTGCCGTGTTGAGCTCCAGATGGGTCCGAATAGAGCCCATGACGTCAGCAAGTCGGGGTTGTACGACGTACAGAGCGATTTTGGGAGCCCGCCACCATGACGTCTGCGGCGGTCGTGCGATCCAAAAAGAAGTGAAGAGCAGCCTTCTCCTTGGCAGTCGGCATCTCGCTGATGAGTTCTTAGATCAGCTCCTTGGTCTTCATTACCTTAGTAACGTGCTTAGTCAGGAAGTGACTGGCTCCGTTACAGCCGGCCAGGTCGTGTGGTGGCTGCAATTTGAAACCGCAGGATAACGGCTTCATCAAGCTTCGCAGGACAGCAGTCATAATGGAACTCAACGCTGCCAGCCACATCAGAGTAGTTGCATGTTGTGACTCCGGTAAAAGGCTTTGGAAAGTCTCATCAGTAGCACGAGAACGTTTGCCTTTGCGTGTTCCACCACACTCGAACACCAACGAGGATTGAGGATCCGGTGGTTGGTGTGTCATGGCGGTGATAGCAGAAAAATCTGAACCGAGCGTGGACTGCCGGGTGGCGGCAATATCTGGGGGTCAACGGTTGCGAGGATGAGCTGGAGCTAATTTCGCTTCAGGAAATGCTGAAGCAGGGACAACAGAAGTGACCGTGGTAGATCAAGCTCGGACAAACCGCTGAAGTAAGTCTCGTGCGGGTTCCGGCGTTCACGGAAGAATAAGATGGCAGCAGATACTCTAATCCGACAAATTGGTGGTGACAGAAGACGGAGGGACAGCAGTAACGCTAGATCGAGAGCATGGATAGAGCTCTGACCGAGCGACTGACGCTGAGTCGAAAACAGAGTTTCTTAGTGTGCACTGGGTCGATACGTCCAGAAAACAGAGGCTGGTCGCCGACAACGCCACCCACCACGGCCGGGGCCATTGAATAGAGTAGAAATACACACATTACGTAGCAGTAATTATCAAAGCATCCAGATGGACACCGCGTAACATGCCATAGACTGGCTGCGTACTGATCTCACAGAAGCGTTTTAGCATGAGTTTAGCATCGAAGTCACTATCGACGCTGGACACATCAATGAAGAAGCGCACGGAAAAGACGTTAACCTCACCGGATCGGTGCTTGCCGCCAAGGGTCTTTACTTCCTGGACAGCAGTCGTTGACAGGATTCCTTTGTCTTCATCTTGACACGAATGTTGCCGCCAGTTGCTGGCCAGAGCACCTGGTCAGCTGACCGATTTGCTGTTGGACGACGGTGTTTCCATGTACCTTGAGCAGTGAGACAAGGATCTAGCTTGGCGCAGGGTGCGCTGAAAAGCTTGGACAGTCATTAGGACCATCACACAGCGCGTAAAACACAGCGTATAGGGACGAGCGCGGTCAATCGGGACGGCAAGATGATTCCAGTCTCCGCCGGATTCAAACAGAAAGTCGATGGCGTCGATGTCCATCGCTTTAGGAAAATGCATATCGAAGCGTGGTGGAACAAATATAATATAGAAACTAGCTGGAATAGCTAAGTAAAGAAGCGACAGTTTGGCCGAGTGGTCAAGGCAATGGACTTGAAATCCACTTACAGCTGTTGGAATTCTTTAAATTGTGCTTGCTTCATAGAATCATCATACCAGTCCACCCAAAAACTTGATAAACATAAGTAAAAGAATTAGCAAATAATGCAATAATAGAACAAATAAACCACAAATGCGACGGTTATCATTTCTATGATTTATCCCCAAGTACAAAGCTATCTTGGCTATCTCATGCGTAACACCTTTTCTCTTTTACCTACACATTTCTACACTGTTTTTGCTGGTTGCTCGCTCCAGTTTTGCCGCTCATACGAAATAAATTAAACAACCGACCGACTGAACGACTATCGCCACGCTATTTGCCATCGCCGCTCAATGGAGAAACAAAATTCAGACTTGTACTCCTTCACTCAGCTGGTTCCAGTAGTGTTGATCATATCCTCTATTTCTCTATCTAGAGGATAGCGTGAAGACTCACGCGCTGATCGTCGTCGAGTGATACGCGGTGAGCCAGTACGACATCTTCGGATCGCTCGGTCTCAGGCGCATACGCAGGTGTAGACGATGAACGGCTATAGAAAGCGTTTGGGTCGCTGATACGAGACACCTTACCGGCGTATTGGGGTTGGTGGTTACGGTACATGAGGCTAGTATCGCTACGACGTGAGCTCGCGACGTAGCTGTGACGAAGTTCGTTACGCGGGTCACTTCGGCGTGCAGACGCAGAGCTCCGGCGAAGATACGTCGTCATGTCGCTCGGACGCAATTGATTCAGATCACTAGAACGCACTGTTGAGGACCCACTCCCGTACGAGCCGTTTTCCCCATAGGAACTACGGGGCCCGCGAGCAGCAGCCGCGCCATAAGCCTGAAAGAACTTTTGCATCTCAAAACTCAATCGTCCGTCGGTACCGCCACTGGAACGCGGGGTAGATGACGTTGGTAGCGCGTTGCCCACGCCACTTTGGTAAAATTTGTCCATGTCTCCCAAGTCAATGACAGAGCGCACACTTGAGGCCGTGGTGGTCTGTGATGCATACGAGAAGTTGGACGCAACCGAGCGCGGCGATGAAAGACCACCCGAGGACGCATAGCTGTTGGAACGAAAACGGATAGGTCCAGAGGAGCGCCTCGATGTAACTGATGTCATTCCCTCAGGCGGCAATTCAGGTGCAATGTCCGCCGCTTCACCGTTGACTTTTGAAGAAGACGCGGCAAAAGAGTTACTACCGCGAGTCGACTCGACAACCTCGATGTGACGGGACGAAGATACGGATGACCTTGGAACGTAATCCACGTACGCGGCAAGACGGTCTTCCTCGTCTTCATCGGTAAAAGAGCCCTGTACTTCACGGCGTCTCACAAGACTGCTCGCATCCGCCTCAATAAAGTCAAAGTACTGCGTCTTTTGAATCCATCCTTCGGGGATGACGTCCAGGCCGTCCTGGGCAGCAAAGCAAGCACCAATGAACATGGCACGCCGACAAGTGCGCCCACCTCCAATAATGTTTTCGCGGACAGCAGTAGGGTAGTCATTTAGCACAAAAAGCGGCTGCAACACCGCGTGAAAGCCACCAGGGAGGGAGCCTCTGTTGCCAAATTTCTGAATAGCTTCGTAACTCGGCAGCTGTGACTTTGTAAAAGCCTTGAAGATAACCTTTCGTTGCTTAACGCTAAGTCGTTCTGTGCGAATGCTCATACGCATAGCCTGGAGAACAGAAGCTCCAAGAATCACCTGCTCCAGAACAAATGCGGCCACCAGTGCCGCATCACGGACACGGGTGCCAACATAAAACACCTTCACGAGCTCATCCACTTTGGTGAACAACTGGTTGGTACCAGCATAAAGTGCAACCACAATAGGAATTAGCGAGAGCACGTCAATCGAACGACACTTGACGGCGCAATGCGGCCATCCCTTGCCATTATGTACCCGTTTGATGAACGCTCTGGACGACGCGCTGAGCAGTCGATGGTCGTTCTTGAATCCCCAATACGCGTCCTTAGCCAGCTGCGAGCCATGAATATGCCCTCGCCGTGCTATGCACTGCAGTAATATGCGAGCTTCAAAGCCCGTAGACGACTCCATTCTCGCCCGTCCCCCTTTCTTGTCACTGCCGTCACTCGTACCATAGAGACCGCAGAAAGCTGGATCAAAGTCCAGTCGCAGCAGATTAGGAATCGTCTTTTCCGGATGTGAAACGCCATTAAGTGAAGTCGAAGCCGCGTCAGCTACAAAGCCGCCGATCAGCGCCGCGAGGGTACGTCGTCGTGCCGCAGCACTCAGTGGTAAGTCGAGCGTGGCACAGGGCAACGGGCGCTCTACAGCCTGTACGAATTCTGGTGTCGTGGCTGTAAAACGGTAGAATTTCTTCTTATTGTACTCAAACTTTGTCTCCTTTTCCACCTTTTCAATGTAGTGATGAGACAACAGACCTTGACCTTTGCGTACGGCCTCCGCGACACTCTTGGCTTCCATTTGCTCCAACATCCAGTCGACAGCCTCCATTCCCGTAAAGCAATCACGGTATTTCTTAAAGATGTGACGACGTCGATCGCCTGTAGCCACGTTCTGTTTCATGCGTGCAGCTAGTCGCAATAATGCCTCCTCTAGCTCCTGTTCCTGGTCTCCATTAGCGGTCGAATTCTCAGGTACGCGCTCTACGGCCGTTGGCATAGAAAACTGCATCGTGAAATATTCAGACCAATTTTGAACTTGGTCTGAATTGGAAATGGAGCGAAAAAAAAACAAGCAAGTTTGGGCACACGCAACGGACGACGACGACGTTAAGTACTGCTGGGTCTCTACGCTGCAAAGAGAGGAGTGGGAAAACGGAAGAGCAAGCAAGCAGACGTCCAGTTGCATTACCATTGTGTGTCTAATTGTTATTCTCTATTGATTTTACTGTACCTGTACGTGGTGAAGAAGACGGGTGGTTTTAAACAGCAGCGATCCAACAGCCATGTGTACAATCCTATTGACTGGCTTTTTAAGGTCGCCCGTCTCCATCCGATTAGACAACGTGGGGACACAAAGCGTTCACTTTATATCGTCAACGACCCTAATAGTGCAAAAAAGACGAAAAGATCCTGCTTCGAGTTGAACAATTCCTTCGTAAAACGCATTGCTTATCTATAGAGAAGACTGTCGTAGTGCTAAGCTTTATACTTGTACAAGACATTTAGGGTTAAAAATGGCATGTCTATTGGCCGCAATACTACGGCTTCAATGTATTTTCGCGTGTGTTTTTCATTGATCCAGACATACACCTTTACGTATGGCTCTAGCACCTTCAACGTCGTGAAAACTCTGCATTTCAACCCTTGCTGCATGCATTCTTAAAGATTTTGACTCAAGTAAATGGCACTTGCTGGCTATATCCGACTCGAAATGCATATTCAGAGATTAAATAACATTTATATAGGAGCTGTAGGATAAGATTCACAAAGTGTATCTTACCTAAGACACTTTATGTCGAACAACTTGAATAGTAGAAAAGAATTGGCTGCAGATCTGTTACCAGCTGGATGTGTCATAAAAGAGATAATTATGGAGAAGAAAAGATACGCAATCTACCATGAATTATTTCGGCAATCGAAATATGCTCGTTACACTGCACTCCTATACAAAAATACTGTTAATACGTAGGTACGTAGTACCTTTGTAAGCTCTCTTTCTCCCCCAACAAACTGAGCATAATAAGATGGTGGTATACAATTGTTACTCGTTGTTTGTGAGTCTTAGGACGTATGGCTGCTTCTACAAGTATGCGTCCCTCGGTGAGCGCTAAAGACGTCTACATCGTCGTCAGTGAACATCTCGGTCAATCGGCCATGTTTGTTTTGTGTTCAAACGACATCTACCGCAACAAATGATCGCGTGTGAGGCATTAGCTATGATATGAAGTTGTCATGCACAGTGCTTCTACCTTTTCGCCTGTCTGATAATCCCACCCAATGAGTCGCATTAGGATCACTATCAAATGTATGCAACAAAATTAACTTTAACATATTTACGACCTCCGGATTTAAACCCAATGGTAACTAAAAATGCTCTTGCTAAGTGCAGTACATGTGAATAAATTAGGTAGAAATACCCAGGTGCCTGTAGACTTGAAGGTGGTAGATATATTGCTTGACGTCGCATCAACTTAGCGGTTCAGTCTACTTCTTCATCATGTCCTCAAGCGTATTGTACTTGAGCATCCATGTTTCTCGTCCTTGATCCTGACCTGCTTATGCTTTGACATCCAGTCCAAAGCTTGCATGCTTAAAAAACAGCTGAAAAATTGCATGAGAATTCCACCGATGGAAAGGGGTGTTCATAGAAGCACAGCATAGCTCCATCGGCTCATATGCCTGTTCTAAAGCATCATTTAGTTCGTAGCAAGCTGTGCATTGATACACTGCCATCTATTCGATTCTTTCGCTGTTTTTGTTGTTCAGAAAAAAAAACAGCGTAATGGATTGTCAACCCCAAACACAATTATTGAAGACCACAAGGTACGTGTTGCAAAGATAGCCATGGCTACAAAATCTGCAACATCCATTCAATCTAAATCCATTCCGTTAACTGGCACTGTAGCGCAAAAATTGGCTTTTTTTAGGAGAGTCAAACTGACATACTAAAACGCTAAGTATCCAACTTCCAAGTGCCATATCTGACTATGTTTGAAACGTGATATTTGTAACGTATATCGGATTTGAAAGGGTTCCGGAATAATGTTTTACACATAACATACTTAAGATTATTCATTCATTAATTAAAGGCTGATGATGATAGAGACGATAGCGAGTGACAATGTGCATGTGTAGCCTTCATTGCTCGTATATAGATCGACCATAGAAGTATCACAGTAGTATGGAATTTTTCAGTACCGATGTGTTTTAGTATATAGAGGATAAGTGGACAAAAGTATAGGACTTCCTTTGCTATAAAACGATGGGTGGAAGAGACGCATTTGAGGTCAAGTAGATCTAAAAAGGTATTGAGCAATAGTATTCATATGGAAAGGAGTGGCATTTGTACATGATTGAGGTTTTTGTATGCATTGCGTCTGACCTGAGGTGGTCTGATGGGCTGCCTGTAACCCTAAACAAGAAGAAGGAAGAGGGTCAAACGGCTATTTCTTCCTTAGGAGGTTTCGACTTTGATTTTCGAAAGGGGGTGAACCTCGTCCAAGTGTGTTGTATGTTTATTTACTGACCTCTTTCTTCTCCTCACATTTGGATGACAACGAGGACTTGAAGTTATGAAAAAGGAGAAAGAAATGATGGGGTTTTAGTGATGTATATCGTCAAATCTTCATGTTTGTGTTCATAGTGTGCTCTACTCCATAGAATGATGTTGTGCATATACTTTTGAAGATTCTTGTACTAGTGCCTCTTGTTACCTCGTTTTGATGCTTAGGATGTATGTATCAATCGTTGATACATGATGTCCTAGACTTACGATCTGCTTATCTTTGTTTTGCTAGTACGCTATGGTTCGGGTGAGTTTTGTGCTACCGTGACGTCTTTTGAGGTCGGATCGACGAGTGTTTGAAGGTCTTTTGCCACGCATTTTCTTAAGCAGCGGGGAGCACAAAGGAATAATCAATGATCGATACAAGTTTAGTGCAAAGTGTGCTGGAGGAGCAGAGAAGTTGCTGGAAGTAGCTCAACGTGGTGACGGCCGTACGTTTTCTCTCAAAGGGTTGTCATTCGGCTGTATTTGAGCTCTATCTAGTTTGAGCATAGGATGCAGTCACGATGTTTACAACAAAGGTTCGCCCTTGTCCATTGGGAGACGTTAACGCTGTTGTCATGTTGGTTTGCTGCGGCTCTTTCTTCGACTGTGCTGCTTGATCGCATTGTGATGTTCATGGAGTGTCCGGTGTTTGCGTTGTCCTCGAGTTACCCCGAATATTTGTCTGACTGGCCGCCAAAATTATTTTATTGACTTGACCAAGAGATTGTTTAATGTCGGCGTTGTATTATGCATTTACATTGTATAGCAATTGGTACTGTGCATTTGTTGAGAAATGTATGCAGCATGTACCATTGTTGCATGCTGTAACTATCGAGTCAAAAGAATAGAAGATTGTTGTGAATATTGACGTACCGAAGCTCTCGGCATTTTGAAACGCTTCCGGGCACTTTGATCTCTTCATTTTTTGTGACTTCTACATGATTGGTCAAGGATGCTCGAAGGCGAGCATACAGCCACGCCTGAATAACACGCACACCCTGCTAGCTAACGATCGACAGTCGGCTCGGTTGATTTCGATTTCGGTGTTTATCAACTTGAAGCAAATCTTCTTGCAAGTATGACACCTTCTGTGAGGGGTAAGACATACCATCAATCTCAGCAGAAAATGTGGTGGTCAGTGCGACAGCGCGTGTCCAGCTACAATGCTTTCTTACGATAGTGCGTCGTTTGCTTGACAAGGGTGCGTTGTGCTCACATTTCTCAACCACCTGAAGTCCATCTGATGATGTCTCACGCGAAAGAAAGAGGCTATCCAACAGCTTTGAAATTTGCTTATTTCTTCATATGGTTGACCATCGGGAACGAAGAGAGTGTGTATCCAACTTTGACTAGGTGTAGTACAGTTTCCACGTAAACATCCATTCCGTCTATCTTGTTTGTGCGATATGCTGAGGATGCAGTGGAGATGGCAAATGTATCCAACATATTCCATCATGATCGTGCCCATCCGCTTTTTGTTTCCACTAAGCAAATACGAACAGCTTTGATAGTGGTAGCGCTGACAAAATGAAGACGCTTGTGGTTAGACACTGTACTGTGTCTTGCCTAAAAGGTCGACGCGATATCTGCTTCTTGTTAATGATGCAACGGACCTGTACGATGCTGTTCATTAGCTGCGACTTAGTTGTTATTGTGGCATTTTGCGCAGGAAAGTAGCACCCACAGTCAAACGCTCCACGTGGTGAAGAATGTGCCGGCACGATCTGTGTGGCACATGTAATTTTGTGCGCACGAACCAGTTCTTGAGAGCCAAATCGATGTACATCTCCCGTTGCCAAAGAGTCCGCAATCGTGTCTTGTACATCGATGCCGCAGTTGTTGCGATGCGACACAGTACACATCACGATTACTGCAGCATCGAGGTTGTCTTTATTTAGAGCGTCATGCGCTGCAAACGCGCGACCAACCTCATCTAGTCGATGGTTATACGAGAGCTATTGTGTGCTGAAGAACGCCCCGATTCACGAACAAGCACGAGACGTTGGTAAGGTTGCATCCTGGCATCGCAAACAACAGAGAACGACCTGCACCTGTCAGTCCTTACTCGAGTACATCAAAGCCTCTCTCATAGTCGAGCAATAATGGTTTGATTCAGAACTGTTGGGCACGGCCTTTTGCGGCAAAACTCCGATAAATTCAGGTATACATGCATGCGAACCAACAAACATGTCTGCTGCGCAGAAAGGCGCTTTAGTGAGCTACTTGGTGTAAAAGCCATTGTAGTCGAGCCGCGTACACAGATTTGAAAGATGCGAGTTTTGCTGTCAAGAAGGAAGAACACATGTGACAAACAGGTTAGCAACACAACAATGTTAACAAAGGCAATAAAACGTGTCCTTATACCTGCAAGAGCGACCTCCGTAGCAGCTGCTGCATAAACTCACCGAGCAACGAGTCAAAACGGTTCTCCAAGTCCTTGGTCGTTCGCACGAATAGATTTTCTTCGTCGCCTTCGCGCTCGGTCAATGCACGCTTTACGTCATCCGACAGCTTCTTAATGCGTGTGCGTCGCAAGTTTGCCTGCGAGGACTGGCAACGCCTCAGCACGTGCCCTTTCTTCTTTCCACCAAAAGTCCCCTTTTGACGTTGGTAGCTTGCCAAAGCAATTTCGGCTTCTTCGCGTGCCTTCTTCTCAGCTCGACGATCTCGCTCCGCATCGCGTTCGACCTTAATCGTCTCTTCATCTAGAAAATATGGCCGTGTAAAGCTTTCGATACTGTTGGCAAAGGTCATACACACCATCATGAGCCTTGTTAAAACACGCAGCAAATCTGGGTCCGTCAGCAAGCATTCCTTCAGACAAATATCAAGAAACTCGCCCTGGAACTCTAAAATGTCGTCCACAGTACCAACAGTCGCTAGCTGCTGCTGGAAGTCGTGCCATCGAGGGGAGATAACCTCAAACATCATGTAGTACACAAAGTTCTGCTGAAAGTGCAGCATTCGCTGACGTAAACAAAAGGACGGTCCAAGCGCAGAGCGCAAAGATAGCTCCTTCGTTGCTTGATGATTTAACCAGGCATCACAAAGCTGGCGCTCTACGTGTTTGCAAAAGAAGATATGCCGAAAAATCATTTGGTACTTGGTCAGCGCGCCGCACGAGATCACGAGGGAGAGAGGCCACTTCACATTGTAGTCAAGCGTTAACGCATCAATCACCTTGTAACCTGGGTGGCCTATAGATGAAGACTCGAACGTCGTCAGCGAATCTCCAGGTCCTTTTTGCGCACGCTGGTGAATGGCTTCCATGTGAGAAATGAGATTATGCGGCGATAGAAAACACTGGAGGTCATCCTTGTATGGATCCGAAGAGCAAGTAGACGTTTGAAGAGACAAGTGGAGCAGGGACTCTAGGCGAGACAGTGACAGTTTGTCCGCACGTAGCTTCAGCTCTTCTTCAGCAATGTCCATAAAGTCAACAAAAAAGTCTCCTTGATCCATTAGAAAATAGTGTTTGAGCGAGATCAGCCGGTTCTGGAGATCACTTTCGCATACAAACAGTTCCAAGAGCATCTTACTAGCAAACCTATGCGCCTTGTCAATCAACTCTTCGTATACCGATTCGCTAGCGGAAAAGTTTATTTCACCAGCAAACGGGCAATCTACCTGGCGATTGCATGTTCGGAAGACATTCAAGTACTTACCCGCAGTCAAAATCTTTGGCGCTACTCGTGAAAGGAATAGAGGTACTTGTGATGCACGAATTGTGTAGCGACTTTGCCAGTATGTCGAGTATGGATTATCTTGAACATCCTCCTTGCTAACTTGATCATCTCGTCGAATCATGAACTCATCGTAAGGATCAACTAGGTCTCCGTGGTATATCCAACGTTCAACCATTTTCAAATACGGCACACTAGCGCGCTCCATTAGAAAGGAAAATACCTTCCGTGCATTTGAGTCTCCTGCCAAAGATGACATTATGCGCTGAATTTCAGTAAGTAACGAGCCGCCGCCAATTGCTTTATGACAAGCGTCCACCAATACACTTAGCATTTCTAATGTCCGTAAGCTCGGCTGCACGTTGTACCACAATTTCTGAATACTAAAAGACAGTGAATCAGAACTTCTTGTCTGATGCTCCAGCTGCCCCACCATTATCTTGTACTCTTTTATCAGCGTTTTCAATGCTGCGCAAAGTGCGTGATTTACCTGCCCGTACTCATATCGAGAAAACTGCTCGACGTAGAGTGTCAATTTCAAATAAAACTCGCCTAAACATAAGCACCGAGATGCCAAGGTCAGGAGAGAGGGATCCATACCGGGTTGATCCAGCTCGAACTTAAATGTCCTTGTACATTTGGAAACATCAGCATCACGAGTCTCGGTGGTCGCTAGTTTAATATAGCGTCCTTCTACACCAAGAAAGACATACAACAAGTCCTCAACTACGGTGAACTCTTGCACTGATGGAGGATACGTGGACAGTGGGGGAAGACTAAAATCACCATCATCGGCAGCGTGGCAACGCTTCGCTTGCGGTAGTACGAGTGCCTCACCGGTAAGATAAGGACGTTCGCGATTCCATTCCGGATCGTACGGCAGGTTTGACTTAGTAATTTTCCAAACTTGCATTGTGTCGTTAATCCCGTCATTCTCTTTGCTTAGTACGACTGTCGTGGAGCTCGCGTCTGAGATATCGTCATGGCCGTACTGATGAGGGTGCACAGAGATATACAAATCAGCATTGTTCATTTTGAGCATAATGTTGTCACTCGTTGCAATTGTTTTTGATTGCCGCCACAGCTTACTTGCAGTGTCAGTAGACGCGTAAGCATTCTTATCACTTCCAGCATAGCGCTCGTGGCCCTCCGCCATAGGATTTGCAATTATCCATTTCTCACTGTTAAATATTACCGGTCCCTTCTTGGTAGTCAAAGTACGGGTAGCTGCATTTGCAGACAAGAATTGACCTCTGCAACTCCCTCCTACGCAGTATAACGATACAATGTCCGAGTAACGAACCTCACCACAGTCAGATCGTAGTGTCGTGTTCTGCAGCACAAAAATTTGGTCGTCGTCGCCATCTAATCCATCGCCACTGACATCAATTTGCACGGTACTTGATTGTCTTGTAGTGCAAGCAATTCCGTCGGATCCACTTCCTCCCGTACTTGTTCCCGTCGGCCTTGGTGGTAAATTTACTGTATTACTTGTTGTTGCTGATATCTTCAAGCACTGTCGACTGCTGAGTCTCAATCTAATGGGTGAGTTGTAAAGAATTGCTGCCCCACAACTCGATGGTTCTCTTTGTTTTTCTTCTCGTTCTCGATGAGAAATCCGGACAGAAGACGGTGGTCTCTTTGATATTGAATCAATGGAATTAATGGAGTGAGTAGCGGCAACGTTTGAAGCATATGGAGGACCCGGAGCGGATGAGACATTATGACGAGACTTTGAGCCTAAAAGGCCGTCCACTCGACTGAGCATTGCCCTCTGTGGTGACATGTAAATCGAATCTACATGCTGCGTCTGTCGATCTTTATGCGTCTTTCCACTATGTGCAATCTCATGGCCATCGGTGCTGTTGCTTACACTGTAGAAAGATGAGATGCCACTGTGATTCGTAGGTGTCGTATTACTCGTCTGACCATCACTGATATTAAGACCTTGTATCAAATGCTGACGCTGTTTCTCCATCTCTAAACGTGTACGAGGTGATAATGGATCATCGTCCTTTGTGGTTGCAAGTGTAGCCACTTTACGAGCCATAGAAGATGAATAGGACGATGATACACTCGTTGGATGCATGTCACTATACAATAAAGAAGAATAATGACGATCATTATCAGTATCATCTCTAGTATTTATAGGCATATGAACAACAGATTGATGCGAGACGGAGCGACGGCGTGAGTTAGAAGAAACATCAGGAGGAGGCGGCGGAGGTGGCGCTTCATCTTGCCGCATTTTCTACGAAAGGTTCAATGTATCCTGTTAAGTACGAATACATTCCAGTAAATACGATAATGCTTCATTAAGTACGAATTGTTAACACCATAAGTATTGTATTGTGCAGTTCATTCAATTGATACTAATTAACACGTGAGAGAGTCATGCGGGTGAGTGAATTTGTATGCAAGTTTGTAGCTAATAGATGGTGACACAGACGTGAATGTTAATGTGTTTATGATGGAGTAGCTTCCCGGATCTGTTGGTTTAGTGCTTGGTATGCTGTTTTTATGGTGTATTAGTGCAGTATTGACACCTCCAGAGGAAAAGGGACGAGTGTTTGCATTATCCGTTGCAAAGTGAGTAAATGAATCATCTCTGGCTTCTGTGCTTGTTATTGTTGTATGTTGATTGCTGTTATGTATCAATTACTTTGCACTGTTACTCTTTGTAGTGTCATTCTTCGTCATATTCGTCCATGGGTTTATATAACTGCTGGATTCTACCATCCCTACATTCTACAGGTTATTTATTACCCTCTTCCTACCTCTCTATGAAGCTTAATGTTTTCCATTCAATCCTACTACTAACCTCTTCTTTGTCTTGTGTTATGATTATTAAAGCTCGTGTTTATTCTTCCACTGTCTTTTAGCTTGGCAAAACGAGTGGAACCTGAACTTGGTGCTCTTAATCTCGTGCGATTGCTGCTGTTTGCCAACACTGCAGCAGCATTGGTGCTTTTCATCAACCTTGTTGTGCTCTACATTATCTTCCGCAACCCCATGTACCTGTATGCAAGCAAGATTGTTACAAGTTTGCAACGAATGACGCTTGACGTATTTCTGACCGTTCGTTTTTTTTGACCCAGGGAGGAAAGTTTTTCTGGCTTTACGGGTGGAGTTACAGCTTTACTAGTGGCCTACATGAAGTCGGCGCCATTTGCAACGGCGCCCATGTTCCCTGGAGTTCCGCTTCGAGTATGCTTTTGCTGCGTTTCGGCTGATCTACTGTTGCTGTGTCGCTCTTACAATTGTGTACCTTTATCTTACAGTTCTATCCGCTTGTAGCGTGTTTCACTTTCTCGCTTTGTACGATTGGTGGAATGGCTTTTAGCGTTTTTCCAGCTGTTACTTTGAGTGCTGGGCCATTTTCCGTGCTTGGAGGTTACTTTGGTTGGTGTTACCTTCGATTTTACAATAAGAACCGTGACCATACCTTCGGGGATGTGTCGGATGAATTTGCGCTGGTGGTTTTACTTCCGGACTTTTGCACGTACGTGCTAATTTTACGCCTGTTTCTGGTTACCTTTGCGATGTTGTTAACACTGGCTGTGCTATACTAGACCATTTCTTGGCCCGCTTGCAAATTTTTGCTTTAGCGTGGTCAAGCTCTGTGGTTTTTTCAAAAAACGCGCAGCACAGAAACCCAAAATGCTTCCGATTCTTACAGTACGAAGATGTGTAGCACACGAATGAGCCATGTCATTTCTTACTTGTTTTTATGTGGATTATACAGGAGATCAAGAATGACCCGATCGCTGAGCGTCGAAAGTAAGTAGATAGCGATGGGTAGTGCTGACACTTATGATATAACACACCTTCCATGTTGATATTACAATTCCAGAGCGAGAGCAATGAGAGCGCTGGACGAGAAGCTGGCAAAGCTTGCCCACGCACGGGATGACACTGGATTGTCGTCGCTGTTGTCCGTGGAAGTCGAAGAGTAGATTATACTCAACAGGTAAGTGATTCATGTTTGTAGCAGGATAAAGACGCACTTGTCCACTTGATACTAATTGCTTGTTTTGATTTGTCATGAAACTTTTTGCTATACCCAATGATGTGTAAATATCTAGGATGCAGTTGTTTTTTGATGTGATTTTCATGCTGACTACATACAATAGCTGCATTAAATGATGATGGTATAACTTGTTTTTGAAAAGACTACACAGTAAACAATCTGGTCTAAGAAAACTGAAGCATTAGTTAACATTAGTGAGCCCTTGGCAGATGGTCTACATGGATACATTATGTTTACCACATCATGCTCAATATTTCGTTTGTCAGCTTGTTAATATGTACAGCCGGTGACGTGTGAAAACTACTGTCACATACCATATACAGAAGAACCAGCAGACGCCCCTAGTTTGTGCCATTGATATTGTCATGACTGTCTATAGTTGGGGTCGTGGTGAGGACGGTCAATTAGGACTTGGTGATACAAGTGATCAACATCGTCCTGTACCTATTGATGCACTAGCTGAGCGTCGCATCGTTCAAATTGGATGTGGTAGTGGCCATACTGTCGTACTTACAGGTTGAATACTTGATATATGTTACTATGACTATATGGTCCATACAGTAATTAAGTCAATAATAATAATACTAATAAAGCATATACTGTGCTTTATATGATGTTTCTTTCTACCTATAGATGAAGGAGAAGTTTATACATGGGGAAGAGGTGATGATGGACGTCTTGGACATGGAGATAATGGTTGGAAATTTGTACCACGATTGGTGGAAGAATTAAGAGGCAAGAATATACGTCAAGTCACATGTGGTAGTTATCATACAGCAGCCGTTACAGTCTCTGGTGATTTATATACATGGGGTGGTGGTATGTATGGAAAATTAGGTCATGGTAATGAAACAGGACATTCGACTCCATTTTTAGTTGAAACGCTAAAGGGAATGCAGGTGCGACAAGTGGCCTGTGGTAGTCGCCATACTGTAGTGTTATTAGAGAACAAGGACGTTTATACATGGGGTGATAAGGAAAATGGTGTATCGGGACATGGAGATACTGAAGGTCACCAGTATCTACCGTGTCCTGTTGAAGAACTTCGTGGCAAGTCAATTGTTCAGATCTCGGCTTGTGGTTTCCATACAGCAGCACTAAGTGAACCTGGAGAAGTTTTTACATTTGGAGAGGGAAAGTTTGGACGTTTAGGACATAATACAGAACGGAATCAGCCGGTTGCACGTTTTGTGGAGGCACTGACAGGAAAACGTGTGAAACAAGTGGCATGTGGTGGGTTTCACACGGCAGCTGTTACGGAAACAGGAGAGGTTTATACATGGGGTGGAGGTGAACATGGCCAACTTGGACACGGTGATAAGGTGAACAAAACGGTTCCTACACGTGTGGAAAGCCTTGTGGACAAATTGGTTGTGCAGATTACGTGTGGATGGAGTCATACAGTTGCACTGACAGATACAGGCGAGGTTTATACGTGGGGAAATGGAGACCACGGTAAGCTTGGCCACAATGACACTACTAAGGTCACACTGCCAAAAGTGGTGGACGTACTTGACGGAAAACGTGTGATTAGTGTGGCATCTTACAATGAGCATACCGTGGCCCTCGTGGACCCCATCGCGATGCTACGTGCCTCCATGCTGACGTCTTCTTACGTTGGTGATATGCGTCAGCTCATTGACAGCGCTGAATTCTCAGACGTAACTTTTCTCATCGAAGGCCGTGCCATCCATTCACATCGTGCAATTTTAGCCGCACGCAGTGACCACTTCCGCGCAATGTTTTCCTCCGGCATGCGTGAGTCTCGTGAACAAGAAATACCTTTGCTGCATACTCGAGTGCCAGTTTTTCTAGCGCTGCTGGAGTATATTTATGTTGACTCGGTCAATGTGGGGGCAGAGATGGCACTGGAATTATATGCCGCTGCTGACCTGTACACATTGGACCGTTTAAAGGGCCTTTGTGAGATTATTGTGCAAAAGAACATTAATGTTGAGAATGCCGCTGCACTGTTCCAGTCTGCTGACGATCTGCACTCCTACCGATTGCGTGAGATCTGCTTGTCGTACATGGTGCAGAACTTTGATATGGTCACAAAATCTGACGGTTTTGCCAGTCTTTCACGTGACCTTATTCTGGAGGTGTTGCAGAATCGGTAAAGTATCATCAAGCAGGCGCCAAAGGCAAAGCATTGGTGAATTTGCTTTCGTATATGTTCTCGTGCTTAGCCACTCTAGAGATGAGTTTCTTCCTAATGTAAACGAAAAACAGCTATTATTATTACAAAAGTGCTGCCATTTCAGGCCACATTAGATTCATCCTGGTTTGTGATTTTCTGGAAGTTCCAGTCATGCACCTCAATACGCTTGCCTACGTCTTCGAGATTCTTCGTCATGATATCCAGCCAAAACTCGGCAAGACGAAGCTCAGCTTCAATCGACACGTACTTCATCTCGGCACGGTTGTAATCACTATTACTTTTGAGATACGCGCGGTGGCTTTCACGCTGCGCCTGACGCTTTTTCTCCACAACAGGGTTTACCACAGGAGAAAAGGTGTGGTGATTTCCGCTGACATCAGTTGACCTCGTGGGCGTCGAAGCACTACTATGGTCACCACGTGGGAAAGAAGTTTTCGCGCGGTCTGAGACAGTAGCTGTCTTTACTGGCGCTGACGGCCCTTGCACTGCAGTTGAAGACGAAGTAGCGCAGGCGCCTTGCTGGACGGGACAGCGATTATGCACTTTTTGGTGGTTGGTACCACAAGAATCACCATGCATGTTGCCGCCTCTCTGGTCATCGTTACCAGCGGTAGATGAGCGATGCTCATCTATTTTACTGTCCCTTTTGATTGACTCCTTCCGGCACTCCTTGCCATTAGAAAAATCTGCGGACTTCTCCTTTACTGGCGTACGTGCCGCTGAAGAAGACAGTGCAATCGTCGACTGCCTGTCTGTCGGATTATCCGTGAATTGACTGTCCATCTTGCGACTATTACTGCGACGACGTGGTGAATTAGATCGTGAAGCAGCATCCTGAATTTGGTATCTACGGGAATTAGACCGTGATCGACTTCGTTGATCGCGACATGGACTGTGTCTTCGCCGACAGCCACTAGTACTACGGTGACTAGAATTGCGTTTGTGTTGTTGACTGTGTCGACGTGGGCTGGGACTACGGTGACGTATGGTTTGCCGATGATGACTATGGTGGTGTGGGCTGCCACTGTAACCTTGTGAGCTGGCACTGCGATGATGAATACTGGAACTTCGACGTTGCCGACTAGGGCTGCGGTGATGGGGAATAAAATTGCGTCGTTTTTCACTAGAAGTACAGCGTCGTTTTGGAGTAGGACTACGTCGCCTTGGAGTTGGACTGCGTCGCCTTGGAGTTGGACTACGGCTTTGCATCAAGTGGCGTTGATTAGGGGGACTACGACGACGTGGACTGGGACTGCGTCGATGACTCGAGTCCCGATGATTAAAGTCTCGACTACGATTCGTCATGCGCTTCTCCATGCTACGACTTGTGCTTCTTCTGCTTTTATGATGATGATCATGTTCTCTATTGATCCACTTTGCCCTCTTCGTTGTCTCTCGCTGTTGATGACGGTCGTAACTGACGCTTCGTTTGCGTTCATTGCGGTCTCTTGTCCATCCTTTGCTACCTTCAGAAGCTTGTAACGGATGGCCCGCAACACTGTGACTTGGGCTTGGACTATAACTACGACTGCGACGTCGACGTCCACGCCCGGGGCTTCGGTGACGTGGTGGAGATCGACTTCCACTGCGCGAGTTTCGACGATACCGACGATCCATTACGACGATAAAAGGAGGATTTATGACTGGAGTTTGGTACCATTTTGCTGGTACAAACGATGATGTAATGCAATTTGTATTACGAAAGAACCTGTATAAAATGATGAGTCTAGTTCAAGAACCTGTATAAAATAAAGAGTCTAGTTCGATTTATGATTGGACAAAATCTAGTTTGATGCTAGTGATTATGGTAATTATGTGCTGCACTTAAATTGTGAAAATAACACAAGAACATTGGTCAGCCTGCTCATGAAAGACCCTTGAGCTGCATCAATACACATGAGTATCTCAATATTCTTAGAGAGGTGTATGTGGTCATGAAAATCCTATCAAAAATTATATACTATGTGCATGGTATGACATGGTAACGGAATCCGTCATGAACTACTCGAGTTGTTTGTCTCATCTGTCTGCTCTGCGCATCCTGCACATCTGTTTGCCTGTCAGTATATGACTAATTAATCTGCGTCTAGTGGAAGAGCTGCGATACTGACTTCTTGCCGTGGATATTCTGGATAGCTTGTGCCAAGAGTGGAGCAATATCCAGTTGCACAATCTTTTCGTTGCCCTCACAGCTCTTAGGCAACGGCGTAGTGTTGACGACCACGACTTCCTTCAGTGCTGACTGCTTAATGCGCTCGCTGGCAGCGCCGTTAAACAGACCGTGCGATGCAAATGCGTAAACGTTGCGGGCCCCGTGGTCAGCCAAGTGCTGGGCAGCCTTACACAGCGTACCAGCTGTATCAATCATGTCATCCACGATAATGCAGTCCGAGCCTTTAACTTGGCCCACTAGATCCATGCGGTCAATCTCGCCAGCCTTGATACGCTGCTTAATAATCATAGCCAGTCCCGTGTTAGGAAGGCCGTATTTTCCTACGAGCCACTCACGAAACTTTTTTGCACGCGCAACACCACCAGCATCAGGCGATACAACAACAGGATTCACGAGCTCATGGCTGCCAAAATAAGAGACACCAACGAGTCCACCATCCAGATTGTCCACAGGTACATGTGGTCCAAAAAAAGCCCTGAATTTGACCACAATGAAGATCTACAGCAATGACACGATCAACACCCATAGCCTCAAGTAACCGTGCGACATCAGCGGCTGAAATCGGTACACGAGCCGCCATCTTTCGGTCCTGACGTGCATAGCCATAATACGGGATAACGGCGGTAATACGACGCGCCGATGAGCGCCGCATAGTACTAACCATAAGTAACAGCTCCATTAAATTTTCATTCACAGGTACACACGTTGGTTGTACAATGTAAACATCTTTACCACGTACGTTTTCATGTACCATGAGATTCACTTCTCCATCTGCAAACCGTTCAACAGTTATCTTACCCAATTGAACACCCACAAGTTTTGCCACATTAGCTGCAAGTTCATAATTGGCATTTCCACTAAAGATTTTTAATCCATTAATCTTTGGTTGTTTAGCAACAGGTGCAGCTAATGGAAAAGAGTCTTCTGCTAATGCCATTGACGAATGCATTTGATGCTGTTGCTGTACACCTAAAGCACATCCTGCAGCTGCAACACTCATAGCTAATGCAGATGAGAATGTACCATGCCGAGTTATTAATTGACGAAACATTCCTAACGTGAGAAGCAGAAGAAGAAGGAATGATCAACTAACTGCACGTGTGCACACGCCGCTTCAAATCAAAACTTGGACGTTTTTGGATGGCTGGGCCTCAGTAATTTGAGAAAGGTTATGTATTGTACACTATTGGTAACAGATCAGTCGAATAATGTTATGTACAATAGTGGTGACGTTTATGTATGACACATTACACTAGACGAACGCAGCCACTTGGCCACTTGGCAGTCACTCATCAATCAAGTCAGTCTGTCTTTTGTTATCTAATACAAACGTCATGACAACTCGTGTATTACTTATTGATAATTATGATTCCTTCACGTACAATATCTTTCAGGTAATTGATTTACCCTTTCCATTCTATATTATCATTTATTACCGAATCTGTAATATATATATACACATTAATGTACTATATATATACTAAATCTTTTTCTTCTTCTTGTGTCTGTATTGAAATGATAGTACATGGCTCAACTTGGTGCTCATGTGGATGTGAAGCGTAATGATGAAATTACACTGGCTGAAATTCATGATTTAAAACCTGATCGGATTATGATTTCACCTGGTCCAGGATATCCAAAAGATGCGGGGATTTCGTGTGATGTGATTCGTACATTTGCTGGGAAACTACCAATTGCTGGAATATGTTTAGGCCATCAATGTATGTTTGAAGTATTTGGTGGTAAAGTTGATCATGCTGGTGAAATTATACATGGGAAAGCATCGATTATGGTCCATGATGGAAAAGGTTTATTTCAAGGAATTACACCTGAATTTCAAGCTATTCGATATCATTCACTTGTGGGCTTACCCGAGACATTACCGGATACACTTGAGGTTACAGCTACTGTGAAAGGAAGTAATATGATTATGGGTGTCCGGCACAAGGAATACAAGGTTGAAGGCTGGCAATTTCATCCAGAGAGTATTCTTACGGAAGATGGTTTGAAACTCATTCAAAACTTTCTAGACATGTGAACAGAAGACAAAAGGTCGGGGGGGGGGCCTTGATTTGAAAAAATAGAGCACACAGTACAAGCAGATGATTACTTGCTTGTTGGCTCCTTTTTGTGTTTGTAGTTTGTTACATATTTGCATCACAATGTGTTTGATACAATGGACAGGATAACGCTAAAGGTGAACAACTAAAACACAATGGAAAATAGTGTTAGGAAAAGTGCCTCACTATAGCAATGCCATGAGCGTATTTGCGTAGCGCTCTGCTTCACAGGTGGCTCCAGATTGTACTTGACAATGCTGTTCACACGGACTGCCACAACATTACTAGTCCTCGGAAAAGATAAATGTCAGGTCTTGCTCACACACAGACGGCGTTGATACGAACTGAATACAATACAACTCAAGTCAGTGATCTCGTATTCCTTTCAATCCTGTTGCAAGCTCCACGCACCTGTAACTGGTCGATTGATGGGCGGTTCTCCACGGACCAAGACAAGAGTTTTTGAAATTGGTGTGGAGTCATCGTGTTCCGTGTTTGATGCAAGATAGTCTACGCAAGAATCATCGTAAGTGACTGCTACATATAACTAGATGCAACTTCATGCAGTGACAAACCTCAATGCCCGGGACGTAAAGCCAATCGTGCGCTCGCAGTGCAGAAAAACACTTCCGAATAACATCCAGCTTGCGCGCTTCTTCACTCGCAGATGCATTGAAGTTGGCAATTCGCTGACATTGCTCATTTGTGAGACCAAGTTGCGCCCTTAGAGATAAGAATAACTTTGAGTTATCCGACGCTACTGCAATCAATGCTTGATTTTCAGCATTCGCACGGCGGATCTGTGGACAAGATACAGTCTTCAGTATCTTCATCCTAACACGTACATACCTATCCCATTCACAGGACCATACCGCTTCTGTATTTCGCGAGTGCTGGCCAAGAATACGCGCCATTAACTCCATCTTGGCATCCTTCGACATGAGTGCATGGCGTAAGTATTCCCCTGAGCTGTTTTCTGCTTGCAGACAATTGAAAAACATCAATCGCAATCGCTCTCCAATTCAAACCACCACTTCTACTAAATTGATTCGCCACGTACGCAATGCAGTTGCTAGTTCTTGTGCATTTCCCGTCCCAAACTCATGATTCTTGAGCATATTGAGCGAGCTTTCAAGCTTTGCGACTTCGCCTTCATAGGTCTCGACCATACCCTTTTTCTTCTCACGTCGTACTCTTGCTGACGCTCGATTGCGTTCCAATCGTCTCTGTCTTCGATCATCTTCTTCTTGTAATTTTTGATAGATCGACAGTAAATCAGGTGTCCGCATAATCTGTTGAATCTCTTCCGATCCCATTAGTGATGGATCAGTGCCACTTACACGTGCTAATAGTGCTGTATCCATAGCTAAACCACCTGTACTAGCTGCAAATTGTGCTGCAGAGATATGAGAACCTGAAGTATGAGTTCTTCTTTCCTGAAATGTCATTCCACGCATTCCATCCGATGGAATTGACTGTGCTTCATTATGTCTCGAGTCTTTTGTTGTAGTAGTAGTACTAGTACTAGTACTATTATTATTTGTAGTATTCATAGTACGATTATTATTATTATTTGTAGTAGTAATATTCATATATCGAAAGTCAGCATCATTCGGTCCAGACTGTTTCCATTGATGTTGTGTGATGTCAATATTCGATTTCACAATTGATTGAGAAAATAGATTGTAACCATATGAAGAACCTACAGATGTAGTTATAGAAGATGGAGGCATATATGAAGGAAGTGACGAAGGAAGGTCACTATCTCCATTATTATTAGTAGTAATAGTACTATTTGTAATATCTTCTTGAGTTTGCATGGACATTTGCTGAATAAAAAACCAATTAAATAGTAGAAATATCGAATAGTACCGGTTTAGTAAGTTTTATTTATTCATACATCAGAACACAGTGATATTCTTATCTAGAGGTGGTACGGTACACTTCCCGCCAAAAAATAACTTACCGTGTCAAGAATGGGTATCGACGGATTCTTGCGGCAGCTCAGTGACGTTGTAGATAAGACGCATTTAGAGCAGTTTACAGGCCAAATACTGGTAGTAGATGCACTGTCATGGCTCTATAAGGCGTATGTCGTTCTCTCGTTCTTTCTCTCTCTCTTGCTGGAGCGTAACAAGTGTTGCAATTGTCTTGCAGTTGCTATGGCTGTGCTTTTGAGCTCTCGACTGGTAAAGATACGGACAAGTACGTTCATTATATGCTGCGTAAAGTGGACATGATGTATAGCTGTGGAGTAGCCAAGATCATTCTCGTGTTTGATGGCCAGCGACTGCCACTCAAGGTAGAAAAGAGATGGGCATTGACGATAGCAGTAAGATTTTCGGATCACAAAGACTCTTTATCTCCATGTTGTTTGTAGTCTTCTACACAGGAAAAAAGGCAGAAATACAAGGAAGAACATCGGAATCGAGCGTTGGAGGCCATGACAGTTTCCAAGCAATTGCATGGAAGTGATCGTCAGGATGAAGTTAACAAAGCCTTTCAGCTCTTTCAACGGGTGAATTGTTTTTCTGTGCACTCTTTGATGTATTTGATCTACACGGACACTGACACTGAACCTTTGTTTGATTGCTATGGTGATTGAAGTAGTCGGTATCGATCACCCCACAAATCATTTCTACAGTCATGAATGCGTTGCGAGCAAAAGGAATCCCGTTCGTTGTAGCGCCATTCGAAGCCGATGCGCAGGTTGGTCTGCTTTTCTCAAACGATGTGTCTTCTGTCAAGAGATTTATGTAAGCGATGTACGATCTGTCTTCACGTGCAGATGGTGTGGATGTGCAAGGAGGGCTTGGCGGCAGGAATCGTGACGGAAGACTCCGATGTGGTAGTTTATTGCCTTACTGCCAACGTCTCCTGCCCTGTTCTCGTCAAGCTAGAGGACAATGGATCTGCTCAGGTTGCATATACGATTGAATTTACACGTAGATATGAATGGCTTAGGCATCCATTAACTAACCAAAATATTTTGCAGGCTGTGTCGCGCTCCATTCTGTACAAGAATTCGGCGAAGTATCCTTGTACGTTGTTTGCTAACTAGGATTGCACTTCTTCATCTTACGTTCCGTTCGTTCCCACTTCTTTTTCTAGCAAACGCCTTGCTACGGAAGATTCATTTTCTCACATCCGGGGAAAAAGAAGCCACTCGAACGTTTGTCCAAGCGTGTGTTCTAGCCGGATGCGATTTCATTGACTCGCTTCCGAATGTGGGATTTGCTGTAAGCGCGCAGCTGTGATGTATACTACGTTGAGTTTTCTGCAAACTAACATTGTTGGTCTTGTGATGCCAATGCCAGACTGCCGTCAAACGCATTTTCAATTTTCGTGGTGCACCCTCTCACTTGCGAGTCCAACGGTTGGTGAGCAAGCTTTCAAGCTCCGGCACAAAGGTTCCAAGTGGCTTTATGCAAGAATTTTACAAGGCAGAAACCATATTCTTCCACCACATTATCTTCAATCCTAAGAAACGTAGCTGCGAGCTCCTTATCGATGAAAAACACATTAATTGTTTTCCTGACATTCTGCAGCGCGCAAAAGAATCATTAGGCATCACATCACAAGACCTAATCTCAGACGCCCAAGAGGACGGTTTGCACGCACTTGCGACTGCCACGAAGAGCTTTCTTGGAGGAGTTTTGTCGCGTGAGATTGTCGAGAAAATATACAAGGGTGAAGTGTGTGCACGAACGCTTTGTATCAATTTCGATAGCCCCAAAACGAGCTTACAACAGCAGGAATGCTTTGATGGGTCTCAGTCGAGTGCAAAAGCACTGTCCGCTTCTCGTGAACTACTTGGTAAATGCAACGGCTACTCACAAAAGACTGATCAAGGATTTTCTACAGTGATTACGCGAAGAGAAGTCCGACAGCTTTCACCTATTGCGACAGCCCAGCAGAACGAGAGCAGGAAGCGCTCGCAGGCAAACGAACGTGCTGTATCGATTCGAGGTCTGATGAGCATTTACAAGACCGCAACTGTAGTGACGACACCCGCAAGATATGAAACATCAAAGGGGGTAAGATCGACAACTCAAACTTTACAAACGGGTCCAAAGCACTTCAACAATGGCAGCAACCACTCAAGTACTGACGCATCAGTACCTTCGACAAGCATACTATCGACAACAGTTTCAGAGGTCAAGTCGTCTACGGTAACTTCAATGTCCGTGAAGGATCTTATCGCAAAGCATTCTCAATCTATCCAAGAAGCAAAATCACCTGACGATCAAGAAATATTTACGAAAGTTGCGTCGCAGAGTGCACCCGAGTCTAGAAAGAGGTCACAAACAGCAACGAAACCTGTAGCCAGTATTGGTAAGAAAGGTCGAACATTCACGGATAAACCGATTCCAAACGGTAGCTGCAAAACTCTGTTTGACTTTTTTCAGCAACGATGAATACAAAGATGATCAAGAGAATGCACGAAACAAAACACACCCATCAACGCTTGTCGTGTTGTTTTTCAGCTGATGGATAAGTTGTTAGCGAGCATTAATGTGAGAATCACATGGTAGTGATGATCGTCACTTGTGTTTGTGCGTTCATCCTATTTTCCTACATGCGCACGCCAGTATCGAATCCGTTCTCTACCTTGAGATGTTCCTTGATGAGTTTTGAGATGCTCTTGAATTCAGGGTTGCTTGCGTCATTTGCCAGCTGGAAGATGGCTGACTCCACGGACGTGATAAAGGCACCGGACTGGCGCATACGCTCTAATGCAATCGAACGGTTGTAGCTCGTAGAGCTAGACACGGCATCTGAAACCACATGCACATCGTAGCCTTTGTCTAGTAAGTCAAGACACGTTTGCAATACACACACGTGCGTTTCAATACCACAAAGTAGCACTGCCTTGCATTGTGGTATCGTACTTGTCAAATGATTTTCTACTTTGGGTATCAGCATGGAAAACTTCATCTTATCAAACATCTTGATGTTCTGTACATTTTCCAAGTTGTTGGAGATTTCAGAGACGGTAGTACCAAGACGAGAACTGTATTGAGTTGTTAGAACCATTGGAATGTTCAATACTTTAGCTGCAGAGATCTAGAAAGAGAGAGATTGATGTTAGTCTTGTCTTGACAAATGAAGATAGATATTGTATAGCCTTGTCTACTAGTAATACAAACCAATGTATTAGTGCCATGAATGACACTTGGTGCTTCAAACGTTCGAGTACGAAAGACCTCTTGAATATCACAGATAAAAAGAGTACTAGATTCTGGTACTAATCGTCCCACATGTTTCGTGGTTGAGCTCAAAGCAGTCATCATTATGTACGGAGAAAGTTAAAAGAATCGAAATGATTCTGAAAAGTGAAGAAATGCATCGAATTATGAGGTTTTGTGTCTAACACAACGACTATGTTTGGATTCAAAGTATATAATAACAGACAGGCAAAGTAAGACAAGTAGACATAAAGACAAGTTAAAGAGAGCGAGGTAATAGAGACAAGTGATTCTCATGTTTCTAGGTTGTAATTGAAGAAAATGTCATCTACAAGTTGTTCCAACAAGTTGCAATGCTTACACGCAATACTTGGAATCAGTAGCAACAGCTGGGGTCACCTCCTTTTTGGGAGTCTCAGCACCAGTCACCTCCTTTTCGAGAGTCTCAGCACCAGTCACCTCCTTTTCGAGAGTCTCAGCACCAGTCACTTCCTTTTTGGGAGTCTCAGCACCGGTCACTTCCTTTTTGGGAGTCTCAGCACCAGTCACCTCCTTTTTGGGAGTCTCAGCACCAGTCACCTCCTTTTCGGAAGTCTTAGCACCGAATGGCTGTGCTGCTGTGGTCTCACTTTTGACTTCGTCCTTGATCTTATCACTACTATCCGAGGCAACCTCCGTTTGTTGAACAGGAGAATTCAGGGCGTCGACTGACATCACCTTGGCCTCGGGGGGTGGTGGTCGACAACGAACCCGCCGTCTGCTCTTGCTGCTGTGTCGCACCACCCGACGGGCAAAACGTCACATCAAAGTCTGTGCCAAACAGGCACGAGTGCGTCTTGGTGTCATCCTGCGGAAAGTTGTAGGCGTCTTCGCAGCCATCGGCCAAACACAATAGCTCACGGCAATTTTTGCCGTTTGTGTTCAATTTAGGCGTAATCTTGACGGGAGTGTTGAAGCCCTTGCCACTTTCAGAGTTTTGCTTACACTCTTCATGACTTTTACAAAATTTAAAATCAGGTTTCAATTGGGATGGAATAATGCCAATGTCGTACCAAATAATGTCCATTTCACCCACGGTAGAAACCTCAACGAGTGTAGCAGCGTCGTCCGTGCCGTTACGAAAGTGACCTTCATAGCCTTTTCCAATCATCTTGGTAATTGAGGCCCCTGAGGCAATGACCTCACTATTGTCCGTATAGACACTAGCAAGACGAGTGTACAGTGTAATGTCCGTCGGACATCTATTCGTGAAAGTCATTGTGGTAGCAGTAGCAGTAGCAGCCGAAGCGAGCATAGCGGCAGAAGCACCAGCTAGAGTGACAAGATGAACCATAACTGTTAAAGATGTTGTAGAGATGCTGTCGATAGCGGAGAAATTGGTAAATGAAGGTGAATAGCGGGCTTTCCTTATACCGTACAAATGCCATGTGGTCAAAACATTGTCGTGCCAGATGACATCATACGCAACTGGAGCGTAAAAGAGTCTAAACGTCCATTTTTTCGGAGTGGAGATCAAAGCTCTATTATACTAAAAACAAGGTAAGAAAAGGAATGTCTTCAAGTTTCTATATTATCAGCTGGAAAAGTCATTGTCGACTGGGTACACCCTCCTTTCTCTACAAATGACGACATGATGGTATTAGACAGATGATAGTGATTTTGACCGATACAGAGTCGATAAGAGTTGAATCGTATTGTTATAATATATTATCTATTTATATATATTTACGACAAGACGAAGTGTCACGGTTGACTTTCAGTATAGTTGGGAACTATAACGTCGTCACATTGGATTTAAGTATATATAGTGTACTTTACTGTTGAACGAGTGCTGAATACCAAAAAAGGTATTAGTGGACTCTAGCCACAAATACCTGGCAGATATTGTTATCCATCTGTCGTAAACGATTTGCTACTTGGATAGATCTTGCATGTATTTTTGTAATTGTTTATCTGTAAAAAAGTAAGCAGTGCAACCAGTTGATATGATTGATTAGTTACGGACTAATGTGTTGTCTCTTTTTTTTATGGTTTGAAAAATTTCATATGAAGGTTTTTTGTTTTGCATTACAAGTGTGCATTACACTGATAAATACCGATATAAGTGACAAGTAAAATTAGGATCGTCATATATGACGGGCTAAAAGTAAATGAACTTTTAGATGATCACATAGAAGAGTGCCAGTACAACACGTCAATGGGGTGATAAATAGTAAACTATATATGGGTTTTACTATCCCACAAACAAACGCCATGGACTCATATGAGTGCAAGACGCGTTTTATTTCTACATACTTAGCTGCTTTCTAACTCGATATTGCAGTTCTAATGGCTGATGTTTGTAGCAATGTCGAGTGGAAAGTACTGAGTACAATTTGGTTACTTTCTACTGCTTTCGTATGTAGCGTATCATAAAACCTTGAAGTTTGTACTTAATGATGCACTGTGGCATTTCTTTATCTGCATTGTATCCCAAAAGACGTTGGCAAGGACTTGTTGTATGGTCTTGGAAAGTTATCAGAAAGTTTGAACATAGGACCGTCTGGAACAGCGAATGTCAATAACAACACTATCTGAAATATCTGGCACTTTAAAATAGTTTTCAACCAAACGTTTTAACATACAACAAAATTTACTATCAAAAAGCAATAAAGTCATACTATTTAGTAATGTCTAGCTTGATGATGACCATACACGCGCTTAACTTGATTAACCTAATGCATTCGTCATCCAAAAAAAGAGAGGTAAAATATATAAGACACGAATCAAAAGCTAAATATCTAGAAAATATCAGTGCTCAAAAAATATAAAGTACTATAATTAGGAAAAAAAAACAACAAGTGTACTTACAAAAACGTACAGTCTCCCACATTGTCACTCTTTTCCTTACCACCTTTCTCCTCTCTTGAGTGCCTCTTTTTTCCAATACTTTTAGTTGATAAGTTTCTGTCTCTTTATGCAAAGAATTTGGTGTTTTTTACAATAACAATCACAATAACAATAACAATAACAATAACAATAAGACTTCGTCTATTTCGATTTCTATATTCATCTTCTCATGGTCCTTACAGATAAACAACGACAGGATCTGTACGTCTGTATCTCTATCTTTATTCTTCTTCTTCTTGTTGTTGTTTTAATCCATGTGTCTTCTTCTTCTCTCTCTTCTCTTCTCTTCTCTCTCTTTATTCTAGTCATCAGGCAATGTTGGATTATCTTGTCGGTATGGGTGAAAGATTTAATGATACAGCAATAATATTTGAAAAAGAAGCAGAGATTACCAAGTCTAGTGATGGAAAACATGCAGGTCTACTGGAAAAAAAATGGACATCAGTTATTCGACTTCAGCGGAAAGTAATGGAACTTGAGACAAAAGTTGTTCAACTTGAAGAAAATGCGAAATTAGGTGGTGTATTAAGCCGACGAGACGTACTTGGTGGTCGCCAACGGACTGAGTTTCTACCGCGTGGACCTGCTAAATTCTCGCTTACAGGTCATCGTTCACCAATTACGTGCGTCGCCTTTCACCCAGTGTTTAGTGTGTTGGTCTCGGCCAGCGAAGACGCGTCGGTGAAAGTCTGGGACTTTGAAACAGGTGAATATGAACGTACACTCAAGGGTCATACAAATCCCGTGCAGTCGGTAGCATTTAATGGTTCTGGCTCACTATTGGCATCGACATCAACGGATTTGTCCATTAAGATCTGGGACTTTTCCAGTGATGGAGAATATGAATGTCTAAGGACATTACGTGGACATGACCATAACGTTTGCGGAATCGTATTTGGACCAGACCTTGCAAGCGATCGTCTGTACTCGTGCTCGCGTGATAATACAATCAAAGTGTGGGAATTATCAACAGGCTACTGTGTCAATACACTTAATACTGGACACAGTGATTGGGTACGCGACATTGCGGTGAGCGATGATGGACAGTATTTGGCGTCGTGTGGCAATGACCGCTCGATTCTTTTCTGGGATCTGCAGCACATGCGCGTGTTGCAGTCTATCCGAGAACACGAGCATGTTGTGGAGAGTGTTGTCTTTGCCAAGACAGGGATTCAACAACAGGTCATTGAACGGACACACGCGAAGAAGCTTGCCGCTTCCGGTGCATTTGCTTCTGCTCACGAAAGCATCTCGACGGAGTTCAATAATCACGATATGACTAGTAGTATGGCAGGAGAGCCAACCGGAGCGGTTGCTGTTGCGAGTGTTCGTACCGTCCGCCGTATGAAGTTTCTTCTGTCGGGATCGCGTGACCGTACGGTGCGTTTGTGGGAAGCCTTTAGCGGCATGCAACTTATGCTTTTTGCGAGTCATGAAAACTGGGTGCGCGAGGTCCGCTTCCACCCTAGTGGAAAGTACGCACTTAGCGCAGGCGAGGACAAGACGATTCGCGTCTTTGATATTGAGGTAAGAGGGGCATTGTACTGTGCATGCTTTTTATTGTGGTCTGCTGACGACTTTCTGTTAATTTGCGTGCAGACTGGTCGCTGTGTGCGGACGCTGGACGAGGCTCACAGCCATTTTGTAACGTGTCTCGACGTTCACCCAAGCCTTCCACTGATCATTTCCGGTGGTATCGATAAAGTCATTAACGTGTGGGAATGTGTATAAAGTTAGGAGTAGTACCAGCCGCTTTCAGCGTTGTATGTATGCGCTGTGGATCTGAAGTGATGCGGCTGACTGACATTGGTATCAAAGTAAACTAGGCTGTTTTCGTAGAGCATTGGCATGTATGGCGGTTGCCAGCAGCGATAAGACTCGGTGAGATAATTTGTTTTGCATGGTGTGATACTTGAGTAAGATACCTGCTTGAGCAATAGCAGTGTATGCTTTTCTGGGATAGATACCTTTTACTCAAGGCAGTCGTTTGAAAGTAATCTCAAGTTTGGGGTATACGACATCCAGCAATTGGAACGAAGACCCACGCCAAATCCTATATGTATCACATAAACAAGAATACTTACACGCGCAGCGTACAAGACACTACCAACGCATTTGTTCTCATCGAAATATTACTGCATATTATCATCGGTCTACTCAAAAGACCGGCATCCTCATCCTCTTATTTCCACCTCTTCCAATTCGTGACCAAATGTCACAAACTCCGAATGCTGCAGCCCATTAAAGCGAAGTCGACGAATACCTCACGACAACAACAACCAGACGAACCAAAACTTTTGTATCACTGATGCCTGTCAACTCAACCCACCAATCATCTACATTGTTTCGCTCTCTTGCTGCTCTATCGATCGTTTTCACCGTATTTCGCTTGCCACCTGCAGCTGAAATAGAGCTGCATATGTAAAGTCCGCTTATCTTAGGCGGCGAGCTTCACGCTCCCACTCGAGCAGACAAAGGATATCACCCTCACGTACAGGACCCTTGACATTACGGATAATCTTACGCTTATCATCCTGCAAGAACTCCACACGTACTTGAGTGACATTACCCGTGTTACCCGTGCGTCCGAGGACGTTTACGACCTTAGCCAGCATATAATCACGAGGAGCATCCTATAACAATAAGCACAGCAGTAGTAGTAATAGTAGTAGCAATACCTTTAGTTAGTATACAACAATCTCATTCATTTTACTACTATACTATCTATAGCATTAGACAAACACTCCCAAGAGCTACAGCTATTGACAGATATACCACCAAGAGGTTTCTTTGCTAGCCTTTCGTCTATCCTTACTTGTCTATTGTATGCAATAGTAGTAGTAGTAGTAGGGAAAAGACAAATAGACGCATCTACTGATGATAAATGCACATGATCATCATGTGTGTAGAATACATAGAGCTGTAGAGAAAGCTTACCATTTTCGCGTGAAGAGAGTATCAATGAGGTAGTGCAGTAGAAATGCGAGGAATGGTGCACCAACGCCGTTCGGTGGCTGCGCTTAAATTTGTACGATTGCGTATACCCTGTATGTTTTGATTATATGCGGTTTGAGATGTAATATTGTGGTGATTGGTTGAAAGTGTTGATCGACGTGCTCTAAGTGGTTTAATTTGAGATAATTGCGTCTGATTGAACTTGTACGTTTGTACCAATTCTCAGAGACCCTGCGAAATCTAGTGTAAGTAGCTATTGCTAAGCTTGTAAAGAGAATAACGTTTATGCATCATCGTAATTGCTACCGATTTTAGCCAATTATATAGCCGATTGCTTTGCAAGACTACATTTAAAGCGCGCGCTTAAGCGGAACCAGTGTGGACCAACCAATCAATCCGGCGATTTGTCAATAGTCTTCCTCAATTGAGTGACACAATGGCTACAGTAATGTGCAAGTATACATAACTTGCTGTGATTGGGTGCAACTAGGTCCTTACTTTGCACCTCAAAGCATACTGGGGAGCTACGTGGCGTACGTCACAGCTGGTCATGATGACGTCAACTTGACAACATCATCATTTAGCTTTCGCAAGTTAGGCAGGTTGGTTTTCTTTGATCCTCTAACGAATGTTAAAACTTTGTTGGAATCTGCTTGGATAGTGATCTTCTTAACTGAACAAGCTCAGCACTTGCAGAAAGAAGTGACTCACAAAAGCACTGACATTGAGACTCTAGACGACAATGGTATTTCTAGAACGATGTTCTCGGGACGACACAATAGACCCGATTCAGATGTCTGCAATGCAACATGTGGACACACTTGCCATATTTGGAGTCGTTTGTCTAAATTTCACTCGAATAATACCCTCGCACGTCCATAAAAGTACGAGAGTCTTGTGTCTGCCTGTTGTGAAATCAATGAGGTCTAGCCTTGTATAACTCTGCCTCCACCACCGACTCCCGCTACAAAGTCATGGATTCCTCGACGACCCACACTAACAAGTTGGATAGACTCACGTTCATGCATTGCAGATGATGCTCAGGAGCTCGACCTGTGGAAAGTCATCTCCAACAGTTTCATCGTAATTATGTGCAAGTTGATAAAAGCAGGTCGACTCAAAGCGCCAGAAGCGATAGCGACGTAGTAAGTGTCTTGCTTCTAAGCACTTGAAAAACTGTTCACACTGACGCTGCGACTACCAAGTAAGTACCTTGGCAAGCTGCGTCCTTTACCGTCATAGAGACATAGTGTTGCTTTGCATGTTAGTTAATGCTAAATTGCATCCTTCATCCATATAATTTTGTATAGTTCATAACCTTAGCAAAGCACCCGCCCTTTACGAAAGATATGATATAGTTTATCTACCGTTACACATTTGAGTGAACGTCTGCTTTGTTAATCGCAAGTTACGTGTTTTTTTAGCTTGCGCAGATGTAATTTAAGCAACAGTATGTGATGTTTCTCAAGGTAATTCAGTATATCCGCAACGTGGTCAAAACACTTCTGCTTCAGTATCTTATCGTCTTTTCTTACGTCCTGGTGGATCCGCGAAAGTCCGTCACAGGCAATCGCCCATAATTCTTTGTCACTCATCACCTGGGACAAATATGCATCAAAAGTACCTTTTTCGTCTTCCATCTCTTTGAGATGCTTCAATTCGCCATCGACGCGCACTAACGGGTCCCATAGAGGCCTCATGAGACTTGACAACTTTGCAGCCACTTGTGCATTAAGAAAATTGTATGCATCAGAGCGCAGCGATCGATAGCAGAACGTAAATCGGAGGTCATCACCTGCTTTTGCTTTGCCGTCGTCTCTGCTTTTGTTTTCAACTTGAACCCTAATCGCGTAAACAAATCGACAATGCTTGTTGTCTTCTTTTGCACATTCATACAGATACAAATCACGTCACGGACACTTTCTTCGCTCAACGGATTTTCAGCAAGTCTTTTAATCGGTGCTCGGAAATATCGCTAGAAGGCACCATAACCTCATTAGGCTTTTATCCAAACAACAGAGTTTTGCCATCGCCGTTTGGGGGAATTTAGTGTCATGAGGAGACCGGTTCTTCACTTGAATCAAGATCATTAAAGCCTTCGCGTCCACCACATTGTCAAACGCTGCATCGCTGACTTTCTTCTTCCAATAAATTGGTATTAACAAACCCGCTCCTTTCTGGTTAGGCGGAAGTATGCCCGCAGCCCGACGCCCAAGTAAATATCCATAGCGTTTCCTCCGTCGATTCTCGCTTCAACTGCCATAGTACCCATTTGCCACCCGTCCCACTTTGATAGCCAAGTGCGACAAGCGTCCTTTGTATTGCCAGTTGATGCATGCATGCGCCGTGTCAGTACTGGCATCTCTTCTGCACCGAGCACATTCAAAAACTTATGCACCGCTATAAAATGGTTCCATAAAAAAAAAAAAAAAACACGGACTCACCCCTGGCGAGAAACAAAACAAAATGTGCCACCACATTACCAATTTCACTCACGTCAACTACTTCATTCAGAATCATTTGCTGAAGCTGAAGCAATAGAAATTGGGCTACGGTATGTGTACGATCCCATAATTTTAGCGCACCCAAAGCGAGCACCGGATCCGAAGCGTAGCTGCACACTAAAATAGCTATCTTGTTCGTAATTCACATGCGCAAGAACCGCCATAAAGGCGGCAACAGCCTGAGACGCAAATGTTTTTGAATTTGGACGCAAACCCACTCGACAAATCAAGGATGCAACGCCACGCAGGTTATTCTTCGTGTAATCTGATCGACGTTCTTTATCGGGCAGAAGCGTTCTTTGTGCATGGCGAACCAAGTCAGATGGGCTTAAACCCTTGGACCAATCATTATACCACGCTGGCCGACCCATCTTTATCAACGCTACCCAAGCATCCCACTCACTTGCGGTCACAGCATTTTTGTGAGCGATTGCATCCGCACTCATCTCCTTCTTACCGTCACTTGCTTTGCTCTGATTCTCCGCGACATTCTCCCTCTCTATGTCACAAAACCTCCTTGGCTTTGTCCTCCATATCCACTACCATTTCGCCATCGTCACGCAACTTTTCTCTCTGAATAGCTTGCTCATTGCAATGCTTTCGCCAATGCACATCCATCGCGTGCGTCAGTACAAAAGGCGGAGATTGAGCCGTATTAGGATCATCACGCCGAGAATCTAGGGCGCTTCCAAGGGCAACGTAAGAGATTGGTACATACATATTTTTCCTATCCACCGCAACTCTAAAAACACCAACGTCGCTTCTGAAGGCAATTTTGAGAGCCTTTCGGAAAATGTACAAGCGGCTAAATACGTCATGTCCCTCGCCAGGGACCACAGGAGCTACAAACCGACTTAATTCCTTTTCACATTGCATCCTAAGCAGGAGTCTTGCATCGTCAATCACCACAATCACCACTTTCTCATGCAATTTGCACGTATTCTCTTCTCCTTCATAGCAATCCAAATTTTTCGTCACGTTACGATCAGCCTCCGCACTTGTAAAAAGCTTCAATCATTCGTTTTGGACGATCTCCCAATTCTTCAATGCATACTGATAAATCATCCATAGTCGAGTAGCAACGCTTTCCGAAGTGCATGAAGCAGGCAACAGCCACTTTAAAAGCATCTTCGTCGTTTTTGGATAGCCAAGCGACTTTTTAGGACGTGCGCACACGTAGAGAACTTTCAGTTTTAAGCTTGGCGCCAGTGCCATGTGCGCCAACTCAAATATCATCCGACTCTTACCGATCCGGAGCCCTGGACGACTGCCACATTTGGCGCCTCATATGGACCGGGTGTTTTACAATACGTTGTCCACAACTTTTCCATGAATTCTTTGAATTTAAAGTTGGCATTGCCAACGTATTGTCCGCGTGAACGCCGTCTCTAGCGAATTCAAGAATTGAACTAGCTCGTAGCTTTTTATCTGCAGTAAGGGCAGGAAACTTTTGTAAGCTATACGTTTTAATGGCGTCATTTGTTGTCTCCTCTGCAACAGCGCATGCGACTTCATATGCAATGTCGTATTCATATTTGATCACATATCCTAAAGCTGCGCGCAGGATCGATCCAACTACCTGATGCGTTTTGGCGTCATCACAACCCTTTACTAAATCTACAGACACTACATCTTTGTATTCCATCATTTTGATGCCATCTTTTATCTTTTTTCGTTACGAGTTCATAGACACGAGTGTTCGCAAACTTCTGTTGTCTGCATTCTCATCGTAACGTCTTCCATTATGTTCAGATGGAAAAAAAGATCTGAGTACTGCAGATAACATTGTTGACAGATTTGAATCAAAGGTGTGTCTTGAAATAAAAACTGGCAATCAATCCCTCAATCACTACAACAACAGTTGACCATTGCAATGAACGTTATATATACAAAGCCGTTCTGCAAAAGAACGTACAACGTTTCCATGGGACAGGGTTTGCGCGCAATTCCAAGAACATGTATGACACATGACTCGTTGAACTAAGCTTGGTAAGGACTAGCCGATAACTCTAAATATGGACCCATAATTTTGAATGGTAATTACTCTTTAATTCAATCTAGAGGTAGACAAGTAAGCTAATTTCCAACACAAGCACGTGGTCCTCTCAAGCCCAGATGCTTCTTTTCATCAGCTTTTTGCAGCTGCCTTGCTAGTTGTGTGAAGTTGGGTGCAGCGGGTGCGTCATTGTAACTACTGGATGGAGGTTTATGGCTACGTGATACAAACAAAAATGCGCACGCCGTTATAAAATTCGTTTCACGTGAGCTGCATCTTTTTCTGAAATTCCTGCGTAAGCTCGTCTAGCGTCAACTCCGGGTTGGCCTGGAAAAAGTCAAGAAAAGCCTGTGCACCAGCAGCTCTATCGGCATTGGTAGCTCCTTTCGCTTCGGCCTCATATACGAGGGTCTCGGCCTCATATTGGAGTTCTTTCTTGTCGTAGTATTCAGGATCGGCCACGCGCTTCATGAGATTAAGAAACTGCTCGTACTCACAGCAGGCCAACAAGATTTGTACAAAGAAGCTGAGCCTCGTGTGTCGCTGCCGTTCCTCGGACAATGAAATTTCTTCATCACATCGGGTGGTGTATTGTTCCATCGTAAAACCTCTTTCCGCCAGAAATGCCTCAATGTGAGCATTGGCTGTATCAATAAATGCCTCATGTAGCTCTTTCCACATCCTATTAACAATAGCAATAGAGCCACTTTAGTTGAATGGAAACAATTGCAAAACTCTTACAATTACACTCACAATTCAACTTTATCAAGATCAGCAGCAGAAGGTCCTCCCTTCGTAAGGAGGATCGAAAAATGGCTTGCATGGGCACCACAGAAATTGTTGATGGTGTCTTGAAATTCCTCACTCCCTACATATGCAGCCACCCACTCAAGTACGTCGTCATCTGGCTCCATATCCTTAACAAGTGGTGTCTCATAACGTAGCAACAGGTCAATGGCATCAAAATGGGCCATAATAATACCAAAAAACAAGCAGTAGGAAGAGGGGATTATACTGCAAATTGAATACTAAATGAGGTCGTGTCTTCTCGACAGCAAATATACTTGAGATTTGTATGGAAACATACTAAGGTTACATGATTTTCAATCCGATTGCGAAATGACGATAAGAGCTGTTATATTGCATTGCTCATGCTATTTCGTAGGTCTTGAAACACATAAACAAGCCATATGGCTACAATAGGCAGCATAGCACACACTAGGTAAGTGCAATCATTCTCCTTGCCGTTCAAGAAAGACCCAAAATGATTGCTTTGTCACAATGTCGAGACCAGGCGGCAAATTATGTAAAGAAAGACCTTCTAGGCACAGAAAGAAGGAAGGGAGTGCTGCAATGAGCTCAGAAATGCTTGGTACTTTACCGATATGTACCGGTAATACTGCAGTTATTGGGAGCACTTCAACAAGAGCTCGTATACAGTACGTGTAGTTTTGATGACAGTCAATTCTAACGTCTTTACTATAAGCGTAGCGATCGATATGTGCACTTCAATATCGTATTAATATTCCTAATGAACTACAAACAGGGCGTAATAGTGCAGACGCTTGCTGTTTCGACATTTACACGTACAAGTCATATCAATACGTCAGAATGCTGCTACACAAAAAGAAACATATTTATCGATCAAATGTGCCGTTCCAGTGTGTATTCATTTGTTGCGTGCCATGCGGCACGTAGTACTAGTAGCAACACTATATTGCATATCCGATCACGATCGCATGTGCATCAAAGAACTTTCAACATTACAAAATCAAGTCAAATCCGATTGTTAATTGCGCTTCAATAAACTGGTTCCCGCAGGTATTTTATCGAGCACACTACCGATATTGTACACACCAAATCGAATCAAACAAACCGGTATATCGTTACTTCACAACTAACGTCCCGCTTATTCAGTCATTCAGTCATCAAGTTAATGTCCAGTTTAAGGCCATTAAGTATCGCTATTGATGATATCAGTGAGCAGAGACGACATGCACTCACGTCTCCTATTGCAGCTATTGTTGATCTGCCACTTTCTTCTCCTACACATGAGAACGAGAATGACGAGAAGAATGATGTAGCGTCCGCCTTAAAGCTCATTCCATTGTCCATGATAGATTCGGCAAGTGGTGAGCGTCCTCTACCGTCGTTGCATTCTCCACTGATGTATCGTGATGTTCCATTTGCTGGAATGTTTGTGGTGCATTTGATTCTCATGATGTTAGTTACCAACAGCATCCGCACAGATGGCGAGCGACAGGAGCAGGAAAACGAACGGAGGGACATTGTGGGCGGTCTGCTGGACTTGCACGATGATTCCAACTTGAAGGAGAAAGATGCAGACGTCGGTGTGGCACTACGATCTCTATGTGTTGTCAACGTATTGTTTGCACTGGGCTGGATGCTGTTATTTATTTTCTACTCCAAGTTACGCTTCGTACAGGGCTCGTGCATCTTTTCCATGGTGGGACTCTCGGTGCTGGCATTTATGCTATTCTTATTGAATTCCAGTGACGGTTGGTTCTGGGGATTTATATGCGCTGGTGTCATGGTGCTGGATTTGGTGTGGTATGTACGGTCCAACCACGGCTTGGACTTTGTGGCGGTGTTTTTTGAGCTGGTCGTGGATTTCCTCGTGACGCATCCAGCGCTTGGATATGCCACATGTACTACGCTAATAGCTTATACTATTTGGGCGAGTTGGATTTGCACGACAATTGGCTATGTTGGCCGCGATATGTCACCTTGGAGCTTTCGCATAATGTATTTGGTTTTTCATTTTTACTGGATGTCGAATGTGTTCAAGAATCTTATCACAATTGTGGTCTCGGGAACGACTTTGATTTGGTACTACCGCGATGAATCAACCGCGATGTCGCCTGATATTCGCGAGAACATCACAGATTACGACTCTCCTAGCGACAGCATAACTGGTCAAGCACAGCAAGATGAGACTGTAGACTATCTCGACCGGAAGGTGGTACTGCACTACGCACGCTGCGCAGTATCGAGCTCGTTTGGGTCGATTTGTATCGGCTCGCTACTGTGTCCACTGGCACACCTTATCTGGAATGCGTTGCGCTGGGCTCGACGAAACGAGTCGGTGCTGCCACGGCGATTCACCTCGCTGCGCTCGGAGCGAGTGGAGCACTTTATTTGCACGTATCACAAATACTCTTTCGTGCACATTGCGGGCTATAACAAGCCGTATTACGTGGCAGCGCATGATGCATGGAAGTTGATCGAGCACCACGGCTTGGAGGCAATTGTGGATGAAGACTTGACCAGCCGTATCCTGCTACTAGGTGGTAATGGCTGGGCTGGCGTGATGAGCGCGCTGACTGCGTCAGCACTGGCCGGTGGATCGTCTCACGCGACTTTCTTCATACTAGCATCATTTACTCTATGCTATACGACCATCTCCCTGGCCACTCAAGTGACCGCAGCTGTTATCAAGACGCTATTTGTGTGCTTTGCAGAAAACCCAGGACGACTCAGTCAGCTACATCCCCTCATTTACCACCGCTTCGTGAGACTAGCCGAGCTCAAGAGCTTTCGTGATGAAAAGACACCAGCCAGCACCCACGCATAGTACTGTACAAGACGAAGCAAGATTGAATTAATTTGTATCCAATATCATAAAACCTGCACGTCCTGCATTGTAAAGCTTGATCATATCGAAAGGTCATTTTCACGTTCACAGGAAAAGACACATGGAAACCAACAATCTGATCAGTTTGATGATATTTTCGGCAGCAGGAATGGTTCTCGTGCCAGTTTTTGGTCTGCTACTGCATTTCCAGCCACAATTTATGCATGGAATACACGTGCAAGCCAGGAATGCCAAGGTCAATTGTTATCTCGTAGGCAGTCTGTACGCCGGTGTGTTTTTACTTTGTGGTCTACTGCTCCTGCTCAAGACTTGCAATTGCTTACCTACGAGACGAGATGAATCATTGGACGACATCACTAAGCGGAATGAACGTTATAAACTCTCCTTTGCAGATCTGGAAAGTAAGGAGTTTGTCCGAGCTATGGAAGCTATGGACAGAAGGACGATCATAGCCTCGATGTCGAAGAAATCACTTGACTTACCGACCACGTTTCCAGTGAAAGCATTTCCAGTATAACTTACCTGGATCAGTTCTAGCCAAGATGGACACATATTCATTGATCAATGTTTGACCTAAGTAGTGTCAAAGTGAGAGGTTGAGATGTAGAAGCCCTTGTAGACGTGTCAAAGTGCATGTGTACAATAACATTACGATTAGTAGAATAACAACAGAATCTCATGCAAGCTCTGCATTGAAAGATTACTACGAGAAGGTCTTTCTCTCTCAATGTGCCTGTGTATTAGACAGACTAGTCTTCTCCTCTGCGTCTCGGTACAGCATTTTGTCGCCGCTCGTAGCTGATGTCAAAGCGTACCTTCCAACAACAAAGCTGCCTAGAAACATTGTTTACTTGCGGCCTCATCGTTTTTTACGTATTGGTGTTGTCGCGGTCGCCACATTTCCATGGTCGTGGTTGTTGCTGGTGATGCAATGATCAAGTCTCTTACTCTGCCTACCTAGTCCAAGGTACAATAGATATCCATGAGCTTCCAGGAAAATGCTCGATGGCTAGGCACCTAGTAAGCTTTTTGTTTCACGCCTCAAAGAACGCGTATCAATACGTTTCGAATAACGCGTTGATCTACGCTGAAGGATTAAAACTTGTGGTGTATCCGAGCCACTTTGACGCCGTTGTGGTCTTTATGCAATCATTAGCCTTGTAAAGTCGCACGACATGAATGTCCTTTATCGTCCAAAGCTTCCTCGGCGTTTACGACGACTTTTGCACGGTTAAAGACCACGGCGGCGACGTACGTGAATACAGAAGCTCAGTACATTTGATATGCGTTAGTCAAGTTGACACCGTCAACAAATGAGCCACGTGATCTTCAGCTGGAACTCTTTCGCCAGTCGACCAATTGTGCTGGTTCAAGACGAATGTTGAAGGCGATTCCTTCAGCTGATACATTCTATGGATGGTTGTTCATAGATGGATCGATAACTTTACTGCAAACAACAAATCGAGGTGATGTGCTGACAATGAGCAGCCAGCGGCAAAGCGGCGCAACAGTGAGATGAAAGTCTTTTACATCTTGGATAGTGGTGCACGCTGCTGTCTTTCTAATGCCACATGCAGATCACGTGATGATGATCAATGGGGGACGATCAGTTGCTTTGTTAGCTAAAGATGATATCAATGTCATTGCAGAACAAGAGGATGTTACAAATGTATATTGCACATGAACATGCAAAGTGAGCAGGTGGCAGCTCATTAGGCTGCTTTAGCGTACACTTTCTTGCCAGTCGCATTAATATAGTACTTGCCTCCACGAGGGCCAACGTGATATACGCGATCATTCTTCTTGACCTCACCAACATGTTCTTTACTGTAGCCGCTGTCTTCCGATGACGAGCTGTCAAATGAAGCAGAATCACCGACATCTTCTTCTACGTAGTCGCTGTCTTCCGAAGATGAGTTGTCAAATGAAGCAGACTCTTCACTTGAATGTCGACCCGACGTTTTTACAGTCTTCCTTGCAGCCATGCGAGAACTTTTTTTCTTTGTTGAATCCAGCTTGGACTTATTTGCGTTTCCTGGCTGGTGTGCTGTTGCTTTCGTCGTTGCCAAGGGCTTTTTTCTTTCTCCCTTTTACCTGTACCTTAGGCACCAAATGACGTGGAGGCTTCTGAACCATTTGTCCTGCTGTTGACGTGGATCGAGTGGTATGCACGAGTCTTTTCTTGCTGCGCGAACGGAACATTTTAGCTGCCAAGCGAGAAAATGGGTTTCGATGTTTCTTCTCAGGAGACAAGGGTTCAATCAGCGAAGAGTCGTTCACCATTCTGGGCTCTGGGTCTTGTTTCTTTGCTGGCGACGCAGGGGTCCTGGGTTGACGTGGTGTTGGCGATGGTGAGCGGAACCTAGTATGACAAAGTTGTTGAAGCTCATGCTTGTCCTTCTTAGCATCCCACAACTTCGGTCGATCGCCAACATCCAATACATTGAACTGATGGCGCAAGCTTGCATACAAATAGTGACCTTTAGCGGCAATCATGGCATCTTGAAAATTTTCATCTTGAGCGCGCTTTGCAATCTGGACTAGTCGTTCGTATTCTCGCGTTGATATTTTACGCTGTTGTTTACTGTTGGCAATGGTAGATTTCAGCAATACGGGTACATCACTGGCATTAATCAGCATTGCATCGACCTTCTTGTGCAGAATTTGATTGCTTGTTGCCAGCACAAGCCGAAGATTGCTTGAATGGTTGAGGATTTCACGCAGTTCCTCTCCCATGCGATGCTCTACCGGCAGCCTTTCGTTAAGACGAAGCATCACCTCAAGTCCGATGTAGTGTGCTGCCTCCAACTTGTCCTTATTTGCAGCATCTGAGCTATTACGACACGCCTGTTGCTTTCCAGGCATGCGTAGGTTGTGAGTATGCAGTGGCACATTAGGTAATGCATCCAACTCGCCTCTATCGTACATTTTGGCCAATGCAGACTCACTGTACTCGGTCAAAGCCGCCGAGACCATGGCAATCTCTAGAATCTCATCCTTTGTATACTTTTCGCCTCCCTCGACTGAACCCACAGCGTCTTCAACCCAGCGCAGTAACTCTCCTTTACTTTTACTAGTATTACGACCTACTTCTCGAGCTAATGACATATGATGATTCTTAAAGTAATTCCGATACTTGCAATAGCGATCATTGTCACGGGCTTGAAGTATTTGCGCACGTCGCGTGTTTTCAAGACAATAAATGTCTCCGACTGTAAATTCAGCAAGCGCTTCTGCTGAAATGTCGTCAATGAATGAGCTTTCATGACCTCCAGATGCATTTGGATGAGAAGATCGATCCTTCAATAATTGAGGTTGTAGAGGGCGTGAGTGCTTTGATCCCATTTAATGAGCTCTAGCGTTTGCTGGCGAAAAGACGCAAAGTAGTCGTTACCTGATTTTCTGCTGGATGCTCGCCATGGTTTGTCACTAATTAGAGGGGATAGTCAGACGTAGCACTGGAATATAATGTAGAAAGTTACATAAATTATCATATGTTGGAGCAAATACCGAACAATAATCTGAATGCCAAAGTACATGATGGAGACAAAAACCGGTTTCTAGTTGTCGTCGTACAATTTGTACCAATACCGTGCGATTATTTTTACAAAATGCAACCTTACTTTATGATTTTGCCTTAGTATATTTATTATACGAGTAAATGGGCCATGCTTTTTTTATAGCGCTCGTCAAGTTGACGCCGTCAACAAATGGACCGAGTAATCATCAGCTAAAGTTCCTTTTGCCAGTCGATCAATTAGGCTCCAATCAAGACTTAGACGAAGAAAAGCCACTGGGTTTTAGTTCAATCTATAAATGGTCATATTTAATACAAACACTTGCCTACACGATGTGTAGGTCTGATATTACAATATGCAACTGGTCCAATAGCTCCGGTTTCAATAAACTCAGTCGCTCGTCTCATAGCCTGCGGCAAACTCGTTGAATGCACGAAGGAAGCGGCTGTCCGTCCAATCGACCTTAACGCCATTGGCCAAATGCGTCGGAGCATCTTTATTTGTGCGTAGCGCGCGGTTCTGGCATCCGTAGCTGCTGTCGGTAGCAACATCGGGTGCCATGCTAGCAGGGACCACGGTGCCCAATGCTAGCACGCTCGGCTTGCTGTTCACAATGGGCACACATTGCTTGTAGACCTGCCACTTGGGCTCATGGAGTGCCAGCCAGTAGAAGCGTAAGGTACAAGTACCAGAGCACTGAGAAAAGTCGGCTTTCACGTTGGCGGGGTATCCGGTGCCGTAGGTCGCAACGCAATCATCTTGGTGGTCTACCATAATGTCGTCAATCCAGACTTCACACGGGCCATGGTGCGAGTCAATGAATCCTTTATGCTCCTCATCGTTTTGCCAGTTCATGACAGTGAGGCCGGACACATCGACTGGAGAAACGTCCGTGCGAGTGTTGGCGCAATCCGAAACTTGCTGGTCGAGCATATCTCTCAATGAAGCATAGCCCGCATTGGCAAACGACGAGGTAAAAGTGGCAGCGTTTGCTACTGGACTATCGTCCCACTTGAGACCATTAAAGGCACTGTTGACGTCGGCTGTAATGGTCTTGGCATATTTCGTTTGGATGGCCGGGTTAACAAACTGGGCAGCTGGCTTGGAAATGTATCCGTGTGCATTGGCGTCGTTGAAGACACATGCAGCCACTACCACAGTAGCACAAGCGGTGGAGAGAGTGCGTTGCATGTTTTGTGCTTATACTAATTGTAGCCTTGATTGATCGATGGCAAATGAAGGAATGCCTACGATCAAAGCTCGCAACTTCGTGGCTAGCGGTGAGAAGAAACAGCATGCTGTTGTCATTCTCAAGTCTTGGTGCCATGTCGAAAATTATCCGTTAGTACTGAATGACGGCCGAACGTTAAAAGTCAAGCCGACTCAGAATGCTTTGAGGCATCTGGCAAGTTTCACGACCTTATCGCACGATGAGGTTGACAGAGTACCAGTATGGTGATCAGAACACAAGGCTCTAAAAAAAGAAGTATCGCGGTCGAGGAAACGCATTTTGCATCCTCGACAGTGAGTCAAAACAGATAGGATGATCAGACATTTTGATGGCTAAAGATAAATCAGAATTGGTATAGCCAGAAGGCGTCAGCGAGTGCACGAAAAAAGCAGAACACGTGATACCATTAACTATAGACAGACGGTAGTAATGACCGCAGGACATGTCTGACCACTTGCGCGACTGGTTTAAGTATGTCTCACAGTATTCAGCAAATGGTAGGACAGTTTTGTATTGTGAATCTGACTCATTCGGCACCGAGCTATTTGATCAAAAAAGAAGCACGTATTGGGCACGTCAAACACTGGCGACTGTGCAATGGATATAACAGTGTGTACATTAATTGGTTCAGTTACGATGAATCACGACGAATGGTGGGATCCTTATGCTCGTCATAGTTGCGCTCTAGATAGTCCACGTGCACAAACGCACGCTCTACATTGTCTAGCTCCTCTACTTTGTCCTGTAAGCTGAGACTGATATCATGGGCGTCCTTAACGCACATATCTTCAGGCAAAATGACTTCCATCTCGACCAGATAGTTGTTACCAAAATGGTACGCTCGCACAATGTCTGTCCTCATTAACGGGTGGTGAACATCACCTAGCAGGCGAATTTGGTCGATAAACGCTTGGTCGGCCTCTGCAGTAAATAAACAGCCAAGTGGCGTCAGAAGAAAGGTGCACTCATGTGCTTTACGACCCCCAAAAGAGTCACGTACGCAGGCCAACGAGTCGCTCCACTTGCTCCTTTCCTGTTGCTAACCAGCTGACAGCGATATACACAGAGATCACGATAGCACCAATCGAGTCGAGGTACCAGAGACTAGAGTGCCAGTGAGCGGCAAAAGCAGCTGCAACCGCGACGGTGTTGCTGAAGACGTCGTTACGGTGGTCCTGTAAGAAGCATAAGACGAAAAACAAACGTAGCATTGCATTACAGAAATAGTTGTATCAAGTACACATCGAGATTGATTGAGTGGGGTGAGGTATCTTACCTGTGCCAGAGCATCAGCTGAAGGTGAGTGCGACGCAATCTTTGCGCAGATATACCACAGCATAAGTTTGATTACAATCGCAAGAAGCAGTACGGCCATCATAAAGGTCGAAATGTCCAGCTCCCGCTGCTTGCCGTTGAATCCCTTGACGAGAGCCTTCACCGACTGCTGGATCACTTCAATCGCTACGACGTCCCAACACACGTCAGCATAATTGCTACCATTATCTCAATTCCGAAAGCTTCTCTCACCTGCCATGCCCATGAGAGTAGCAGATACAATCACTGCAATAGGCTCCAGACGGCGTCTACCAGCCGGATACTTGACGCTCGGTGTATGCATCCGCTTGTCCGAGTACCAAAAGAGACCTTGAGACGCAAGGTCTAGAATAGAGTCTACCAGAGACGACAACACAGCAAGCGAGCCACTGGTGAAAGCCGCGTAGATTTTTACAATAGCAAGCACCTAATTAAAACAAGAACCAAACGTGACGACTGATTAGAAAACACGGACAAAACGCATGACCCACATACAGACAGCAAAACGTACGACATTGGCTGCAAGTGATACGTAAATGGCAGCCTGTACGCGCAATGTTGATCCTGAGGGAGAATTCAGAAAGCTGCGCTTCCATATCTGCCTCCTTCTTGAGCAAAAATGCATGCGACACTTGCGACCGACGATAGCGTTCGTCTTGTTTGGAGCCCTTTGGTGTCAATATGACATTCACTGATCCATAATGATGCGATGGCTGTGGACTGCGCTGTGTTGACGGAGAAATGAGCGACGAGGACTCGACCATCGGTAGAAAAGCGAAGGTGCTTGGGCAGATGTACACCAAGCAAATGATGTTGGCATGAATGTTACTGTGGTATAATACTATAGAAATGACTATTTTATCTACAAATGTAGTACTATTTTATTGTAGTACTTTGCTGACGATAGTTTCGTTAGAGAGAGCAGTCAGTAGTTTAGTAGTACTATTTTTGTGCCTTACATAGCACATATTCAGAATATCATACATATGTTGTTCAAAATAGTACACATTGTTTTTTAGCAATAATACTTTTCGTACTACTTACTACTCACTCGCCAGTCATATTACAGCCATTTACAAGCAGCTACTATGTTTGTATTGACACGCATCTCGGACGTAATTCCAGTGGCACCAGAGCTATTTGATGCCGACTATACACAGGTTTTGATTGAGGAAATCGATCGTAAGTATGCAAACAAAGTCATTGCAGATGTAGGACTTTGTATCACGCTCTATGACTTTGTAAGCATTGGCGACGCGTTCATACACCCGTCCGACGGCACGTCACATTCTCAGGTGGAATTCCGTATGGTCGTGTTTCGACCATTCGTAGGAGAAGTGCTCAAGGGCCGTATTGTTAGCTGTACGGAGGAGCATATTCGTGTATCTATGGACTTTGTACAGGATATTATCATTCCGTCCTATGCACTGCAGACGCCGTCGTACTTGTACGTAGACCCACTCGCTTGAATTCGGCGATCGATCGATAGATCCACATATAGGACTTGTGTACTGAATTTGCTTTACTATCTAATAGATCTATGTATATACAGTGACACAGCAGAAAGACTATGGGTATGGAAGTATTCGGAAGGACAAGGTGTGGACGGAACTTAGCTGGCTCGTAGGTGGTTGATTGCTAGCTAACCTTTTGATGCTGGGCAGAGAAATTCTATATGGACTTGCACGAGGAGATTCGCTTTCGCGTGACGAATATTAACTTCACGCGTGTGACCAAGACCGCAAAAGGTAGCATTAGTGCGTGAGTAACGTATGTCTGTATGAACGGGGGTAACACCTGTGCTCTTCTTCATTAACAAAGGTATTCAAGCCACGACGACAGAAGCGACGGAGAAGGACGGTAGTACTGAGGACATGCGGCAATCCTTGGCTCGTCGACGGTCGTCGAGCGTGGATTTGTCGGATAACGATCCAACGCCGTCAGCTATTCACATTCTGGTGAGCTTTCACTTGCGCTATAGTATTTCTTGAACACGTTCTGATTACGAGCATTTTTACTGCACACCCAAATAGGGAACAATCGATGAGGACGGTCTGGGCTTGTCGTCGTGGTGGACAAGCTAAGTTCTGGTCAGTTAGACGGGTTATTTGTGATTAAGCAATTGCAATACACATTCGCCCGTATCAGTTCGATGGTGTTTCCTGTCTCGGTGCCATTACAAAGAGAACCACTTGCTCGCTGTAGTAGCTGCCATGGTTTGGTGTCATGGGTCAAGTACATCTCCTGAACATTCTCCGCTAGATGTTGAAGCATGAGTAGTTTTGTCAATCAAGCAAATTTAAAGACTTATAGATGCATAGCTTTCTGCTATCATGGAACGTCCGACTGGGTATCGACAATCCGACATTGATTTGAAAGTCCTAAACACAACCGCCATGTCGATCTTGAGATGAAGCGATCGTAACAGACCTACAAGTGTTCTACTTGATACCTGTCACTAAAGCCGAGCCGTCACAGAGAGTGGACGGTCGAAACAGCTGTGTAGCTAACTGCCCGTCAACATGGTACGACGTAAATCCTTGAGCTCTAGTATGCAAAACCTTAGCTTGGAACATTTCCTAGCGCACTGACCAAAGCATGCACATTGACGTTGGAGTAGATTGCAGCTAGTTCTTCCATTCCAGTCCCTCTAGCTAATACTTAACAAAGCCACTGCCAATGTTGCGCTTAGTAATGTTGCACAAGACAAATGCGACGTTATGACACTACAAAGAAGAAACAATGTGATTGGCTATCAAAGTTAGAGACATTTCCCTCTCCAATCGAATATAATGTATCCATCTATCATTCACTGGCTTTTTTTAATCTAGAAAATCGTCCCAAGATGCCGTCGGAATTGCTCGACCGTGTTGAGAAATGGGCAATTGAGACACCTAATAAGGTACGTTGCTGCTGTATAATTGCAGTAATCAGTAGTTCATATACCTATGTATCTATATGCAAAAGATTGAGTCCTAGCAATCCATTTGAACCATAGTAATCTGTCATTCTCTCGTAGTCTCCTCATCTCTCTAAAGTACTGATCCTATAGTTTGTATTGTATCTGCATTAGACAATGCTGTCATTTGTAGACGATCGAGGCTATGTGACATCATCTCTCACTTGCTTGGTATGGTCTACTTGATTGTAGTTTCATAACGTCTTGTTCAAGTAATTGATCATCATTAAAAGTGTTTTGACTGCTCTTTGATATGTTTTTTGACGTGTAGGAGCTTCAGATACGTGTACAACATCTAGCCTCGTGTCTTGTGGCTTCACTAAGTCATCAAAGTAAAGGGTTTGTGTACTCCTGATGCTCTTGTTTTTGAACTGAGGAGTGTGGAAAATATTGACTTGTGTGTCGTGTCATGGTGTATTTTTTGTGCTGTTGTGTAGATTAGGATTAGAGTTGGGCGATCGAGTAGTGCTCGTCTATCCTCCAGGATTAGACTTTATTGTAGCGTTCTTAGCATGTTTGAAAGCTGGAGTTGTTGCGGTGCCCGTGTATCCACCAGATCTTCGCAAGATGAAAAAAGACATTAACATGTTTGTGGCAGTGACGCAGAATTGCCAGGCTAAGGTGGCACTCACGTGTTCAATGTACTACAATGCAAAGAAAATGATGGCTATTAAGGAGAAGTTCTTGTTCTTGGGTGCTGTGCAGTGGCCAGAGCATTTGTCGTGGGTCGTGACCGATGATTCGGTATATACGACTAAGGGAGTCGACGCAGCCACACACTGGCTTACTCAGTCGCCTTCTAAAGACAACACGGCATTCTTACAGTACACTTCGGGATCTACGTCTGCTCCAAAAGGCGTGGTGCTATCACATGGGAATTTGAATCACAACCTGCGTACTATCAGCTCAGCACTTCATGCTGGACGCGATACAGTAGTGGTATCGTGGTTGCCGCAGTATCACGACATGGGACTCATTGGTGCCTATCTAGGCACCATTTTCAATGGCGGAACGGGTGTGTACATGTCTCCTTTCAGCTTCATTCGCGACCCGTGTCTGTGGCTTCGACTAGTTTCGAAGCATCGCGCTACACACTTGCAGGCTCCCAACTTTGCCTACTCGCTTCTCGCAAGAAAGTGCGATCGATTGACTGCTGGGATGGATAATTGGGAGCGTGTCGATCTCTCAAGCGTGCGACATATGATAAATGGGGCTGAACCTGTCCAAGGCGACGCCATTGACAGCTTCTACCGTGCGTTTTTGCCTTTTGGTCTAGCAAATGACGTTGTGAAACCTACGTATGGGCTTGCAGAGCACACGGTGTACGTTTGTGGAGGCGGAAAGCAACGACTGTGGGTTGACAAGCATGCATTGGAGAGTAATCGCGTCTTTAGAGTAGTGGAGAATAAAAATGCAGATGAAATAGCAAAGGAAATGGTTGGGTGTGGTGTGCCATCGAGGAAGGACTATGGTATTGATGTTCGAATTGTTGACGCCGAAACAGGGGAGGAGAAACCGGATGGTGAGATTGGCGAGATTTGGATCTCAAGCTCTTCAAAAGCACAAGGCTATTACGGTGACGAAATGAGCGAAATCTCGGCCGAAGCGTTCCAGGCGAAGCTAGCGGGTAACACTGTAGACAGTTTGTTTCTTAAGACGGGCGATATGGGTGTGATTTACGACCAAGAACTGTTTATTTGTGGTCGTATGAAGGACCTGATTATTATTCGAGGTCGGAACCATTACCCTCAGGACATAGAGGCTACGGCTGAATCTCATGAAGAACTTCGGCCAGGTTGCAGCGCTGCATTCTCCTATGTGGCTGGTGCAAAAGATGATGAGGAAAAGCTGGCAGTGATGGCGGAGCTTCGTGATCCTGCAATGACCAGCAAAGCGAGTCTATGTGTAAGAATCCGTAGCGCGATTGCACGTGAGCACGGCGTCAAGGTGACCTTGGTTATATTGCTAGCTCCTCGTACAATTCCAAAGACGACAAGTGGTAAGATCTCGCGATCGCGGTGCAGGAAGGCTTTTGAAGAAAAGAAGTTGGAGGAGCTGTATCGTAATGAGGATATGATTGCCGATGTTTCAGCGGAGGATGACAGAGAGGATGAAGCTGTGGCTGGCGAGTGCATGGACCGAAACGCCGTCGGTCCTCGCGTTGCTGTCGTTGATTGTGGTGCAGCGAAGTCAAATTTGCCATCGGTGATTACTGGTGTGTCGCCCGAGCAAGTGCACACATTTTTGGTGAATGAGCTCGCTCGTTCCCTAGGTGTGGAGGCCGCACAAATTAGCGATAATACGCCACTGCAAGAGTTAGGTCTGGACTCCATGGCATTGACGCAGCTGCAAGGCATGATTGCGCAAAAGTATCAGGTGCATGTCAACGACGAATTGCTATACAGTGAATCTACGACGCTAGCAAGCTTGCACTCAGGTCTGTGTGGTGGTGGTAGCACATCTGGTAACAGGACTAGACCAAGTTCACCCGATGTTTCGAAGCAAAAGCTATTTTGTGGATGTATTGCATGCTAAGGAAGGACTATTATTCGGAAGCATTGATAATATAACGACACAACAAGTCATGCCGCTTTGTCATTAGACTTTTATATCGCATGTACGTTAGCAAACGAAGCATGCGAGAATTCCTACTCAAGACAAATGTTTAATTACAAGACAATTCAGATATGGCACTTGCAACTGGGATAAAATGATGCAAAATGCAGATCTGAGCAACAAAGTCAACGACACAGCACCGACTAGGGGAGAGATGAAGTTTGTAACGTGTACACTCAATCAATGTACTCGATAGAAGCCGAAGACGCCGGCAGAGCGAGTGTGCCCTTGACATCCACACTTTCTGGTGGCTGCATCTGGCTAATGTAACGCTGTTGTTGCGCGGGATGGATCTGTCCACCGTAAGTACTTTGCTGCTGCTCCATCATCTTCTTGCCTTCAATAAACATCGAGCGCAACAATGCCTGCTGAGCCGCGATTTGCTCCTCCATTTTAGTAAATGACGTCGGCAGCGGCTTAATGTTCTGTACCTCCCCACTAGGTTCCTCCAATAACATAATAGCGTCACCCGTAATTGGATCACGGTCAGGCCTGCGGTTCTTCATGGTTGATGCGAGGCTGCTGCCACGATCACCATGTGAACTAATGCTTGTAGAACCACCAGACGCATCCGAGCCGCGCCTTCGCCGATCGCCCGATGTTTGGCGCACGATGCGAGGCATGCCGGCACTAAAATCACCATTCTTGCCGCTGCGACTACCAGGTGTACGTGAGACAAGAGGTTGCTCTTTTTTACCGCTTGTTGGCTTCTCTCGGTTGATAGCAGAAAGAACCTTGGTTGACCAACCTGCGTACGAGATGCCCGTCTTGTCACCACTTGTTCCGTTCGCTCCTAGTGAGCTTGTTGACGAAGACGAAGACGCCAACGAGTAGTTTTGCTGAAAACTCGGCTCTCTGTCGGCCAAGTGGTCTGAAACCGATCCTCGAGTGGGCAATAACTGGCTATCAAACACTTCACTAGCACGAGAAGCATATGACAAAGGCATATTGCTATCGTAAGCTTCGTCTGAGCAGAGCGCAATCCCTGCACTCGTTGCTGCAAGCGCACTACGGCGCTCCTGTCTGGCCTTATTTATACACTTGAGGCAAAACTTTTCTACGCTGACGATAAAACTGTTGCCAGTCTCTGGAAGCATGCCAGGTGGAAGTTTGCTAGCCAGAATGCCAAGCTCGATAGTGCAAGCCGTGCACATGATTTCAGCGCATACGCGACAGTGATGACGTGATCGCAACAGGTTGAAACTCTTGAAGCAAACCGAACACGCAGGACGTTCGTTATTAGGCACCCATGCTTTGTCGGTAATCAAACGACTTCGCACCAAAAACTTGGCATCCGCAGCCGTCGCATGGCGAGTTACCACCGGGTAAAGTGTCGACACCACTCGGTTCGCAAACCAACTCGGAGTGTTGCGGTTACTATCGAAGCGGTCTTCCGAAATTACCGACACATCCACTTTGCCAGTAGATGTACCCATACTGCGAAACAACCACACCCATGTTCCAGTTGTGCGCGAAAATCCAAAGTTGCGTTCGGTGCCATCGCAATCTGTCAAGCCGATGCTCTGCTGCACCTTCACAAGCACCTTTTGTCCCTTAGCGTCTTCCATTGTCTTTGAGAACTCTACAACCAGCATATCACGGCAACTGAATACTGAATCTACTGAGCTCTGAAAAGCAAGCCACTTGACGCCCAAGAAACAAAACAAGTCTTCATTCACTGGCTTTTCGTGCACCTGTAGCACGGCCGAATCCAGAAAGCCCTCCTGATAGCAGTGAGACATATAGGCACGCTGGTCCTCGGTTGTCGCATTGCTGACAGCATACACAATCTCCTCGAGCGACGTGTCCAGCTTCGCACGCAGCATGGCCTTCCTCTGCAAATTACTCGCATCTGCCGCTTCCTTCTGACGGTAAATGATGCAGTTCTTTTTATCCAAGTGCGGTTTCCAACTCTGATTGCGATACTGGGGACTCAAGCTAGGATTGTCCAGCCACGTGGCAGGTGAATTTACGTGCGTCTCAGCAATGTTCTGTAGCTTTATCTTGAGTGCTTCAAAATGCTCAGTTGTTACATTAGTAATAGGCAAATGCTCGTCGTCTAATGGGAACCTAAAACTGTCCCCCGAGTCCTTGACACGAATGGTTCGACCTGTTCTCATCCAATTAACACCTCCCCGTATCTGTTGCTCGTCGTCTGCTTTAGTCCTGTTAAGATTCGCTCCTACGTCCGTCGTGACAGAGTTACTACCAGTAAAACTGCGATTGCTAATGCTGCCAGAGGTCCCAGCGTACGGTGAGCTCAAAGACAACGTAATGCCTAAACTCTGCGAAGAGACAGACTGGACATTTCCTGGAGGTTGAAACGCTGCAAATGTTGTCGCACTATTGCGTTCACCACGTTGCTGCGTACAAAGCAGTGAACCAGAGCCATTACTTCCTATAGACGCACTACTAGCGTGTGGAGAAGACATGTACGGTTCTCCAATGTGATACGAACTACTAACAGTTGAAAGTACAGGACCACCACCTAATCGTGCAGTACTTGTGCTTTTAATTGTCTTGGCACCTGGTACTTGAAACACGGTAAAGCCCATTCCATTATTCATATTCTTGTCTTGTTGTGTATGGATAAAAGAAGAAGAAGAAGAAGAAGGGAGAGGAGAAGATGATGATGATGATAGGAACTCCTAGTTTAGGATGTAGATATTAGAAACAAGTAGAAAGAGCGTTGAGATGGCCAACTTCTCTCTCTCTTTCTCTCTCTCTTCTGCACTGACTAACAACAATATGAGCACGTGGCAAGCTTATAAAATGGTAGAGAAAAACAGTCGGAAGACTCAAGGTTGAGTTTAATATGTGTGTGCTACACCACGCTTCCTTCCTCCAATGTCCCCCTTTCCCAGACTATCCACACTTTACCATCGTACAACAAACCTGTGGGATTTCATATGTTACAGAGATAGGTGGACTTTAGTGGTACAAATTGTCAGATAAACTCTCATGAAACTACATATACTGTCAAATCTGCTAATAGGTATGACATCAGCTTCCATATGTCAACGCGCGACACCAATTTGCGCCCGTCTACGTTCTTTGTCATTAGTGCAGAAATAGACGCAGCACCGATATGCTAAGTTTCTTGCTCGCAAATAGCAAGCCGACGAGATAAGATTGCTGCATGCATGCATGCACTCCACAATCCGATACGTTAGCACTGTAAAGACGTACTCACGATCTTACACTTAACTTTACATGTAGAAGAGTGTAAAAGAGATTCTTCAATGCGTTGTTCCTAGGGTAAAGCTGCCGCCTCGTCCGAATACCTGATTTCGTCACGTTGTTTTCTTCCAAAGCGACTTGTGAGACAAGAACCACTCTGTCTTGTGATCACATTTTGCATTCCACGTCACTTCTACTTGTGCAAGTTGCTTATGAAAGGCGACTTGATGGCTCTTTTGCGATCGCGGTTACGATGAAGATTGTGCTGTTCCGCTGCGTAGAGGCTGGACACAGGCAGGCGAACAAGTTGTTTATACTGCAGAAAGCACACGCGCAGCAGACAACGAAATAGCTTATCAGGCTGCTGTTCAAGTGTTGTACTTTGTCAACAACACATAGTAGAACTTACCGCGAGCGTACCATAGACCATCATGACAAAGCCCAGTAGCTCCAGCCTGTCACGAAATAGTAATATGCACAGCTTTTGGTTTGAGCGCGGAGACACGTTGAGACCACAAAGCAGCAGTAACGAACCAGCTGTAGGTTGTCCACTGCTCACCGGGTGACGTCATGTCTTGCCACTGCATCACATAGTAGACAATAAGACTGACTATCCAGACACCGAGTGTGCGCAGCGTCTTCAGATAGTAAACAATGGCAAGCCGTTAGCGATACTGTTGTTTATCCGAAAATCGTCTTACATTGATGAACAAACACAGCCAAGATCGCGTACAAACCTCTGTAATGCTGCGCATGACGGCTGAGAGATGCTTGGTGACGTAGTTTCCTGTTACATTAAGCGTGCCTACCGCTACAATGTAGGCCAGAATGAGCACCATGAGCGTGGGTGAGTTTTTCACCTGCACGAACGAGTCGACAAAGTCTTCGTGCCACGTTCGGGCGAATGCCGACCCTATGTCAGCAGGAGTGAACGTGAGGACTGGGACCAACACGACATAGAACACTAACCCCCACAAGCCCTCGAAGCCGACAAGCAACATTGGGCTTACGTTTAGTGCCAGCATCATGTGTTCTTCCACGACGATCTGCAGTGCGCACAAAATTTGCGCCGTGATAATGAAAAACAGTCCTAATACTGCATTGAACGATTTAGCATCGTCTGCAGGCGAGTCCTTCATGTGGTGTCCTACGCCAGCATATCCTACGATTGCGACCGCCAGCATGACGATCCAGATAGTTGCAAAGTGATATCCGTGCAGCTTCATGTCCATGAGTCTCACCGAGAAGAACGCGCTAAAGATAATGACCGAGCCTCTGGCCATCTGGTATACTGACGAAGATATCCATAGCAATCCGACATTGGACAGCACCGTCTGTAGCAAGTCCAACAAAGACGGTATCGCAATCGCTATCATGGTGCGTGGTGAGACTCGTCCTTGTTGACTTTCTTCTCCGTGGAGTCGCGGTGCTAATAGGGGCGACTTTTCATTGATTTGTCCACTCGAATGCGTTTGATACTTTTGCTTCAGAGCCTCTACCTTACTTTCGGCTTCGGCGTGGTTCGCGTACTTTCGCTTGATCATCTCTAGCTCCTCGTCAGACGGTGTAGAGACGACATACCGTCGCTTATCCTTTTGCATCTTTAGTACTGGCGTCTCTAGATATTTACGACGTTGTATGAGTTTGCGCATGTAGAGAAAAGCAAGACAAAGCGTCATGGCTACTTTCATCTGCAACACGCCAAACCAGGGCTTGGCGAAGGGACACAGCGTTGTCTGCTCACCCGTGTCTGGATCTAGACATGTAGAAATACCGTGAGAATGCACAGCGTACTCGGTCTTCATCAAGACGGTGCTAAAGGTACCGGACACGAGCATAATCACGGCCGACAAGACGCCTTTGCGCTGAAGATGATTGCGCATCTTGTAGTACGAAAATGCGCACGGCAAAAGAGATGAAGTAGGCTGACAAAGCGGTGATTGGTGGAAAATGTACTCGTTTACGTCACTCCTGTTTCGGTGCGCGCAGCCGTAAACATATGATGATATCGTAATCAATGTGTATGAGTGAGTGAGTGACAGATACATTGATCCGAGAGAATGTCAGTGATCACGCATTGGCGAAGAAATGATGGCTAAACTAATTACTACAGCGTGGCAATCACTAACATGTTTTGCTGTATTGATTGATTGTACATTGCGATTGTCGTGCTTGAACCTGTACGCATCACATAATGGATCGACATTCTGTTATTGATGAGAACTTCAGCGTGCTACTGATGGATTTGGTTCTTGTTGTCAGTTTTATATATTATTGACATAACATCTTGCTCCAATGGTACGATGCCAGCAGTGCTTTCTTCAATACTGTGGTGCCATGGACAACATTATTCCGCTGAATCTTTCCACGTCGGATCGTTCAACTGGAGCTACTCAGATCATCCTGAACAACAATGACATCCCCATTGATTGGTTTGTGCCATTGCATGTAGACGGTACTCAGCTAAACTTACTTCTTTCGTGCAGGCCGCTTTGACGAGTACTTTGCGTACGTTTTGGATGAAACCTAAACGCTACCCGGCTTTGGTTTAAAAGCCTCGCCACCATGTTTTCATCAACTATAAGATCACTCCAAACAAACCTTTCCCAGGCTAATTTCTTCCTCCGCAAAGAAGTGTGTATCATCATTCACGAAGGCCAAAACAGCCTACAATCTCATCCAAAGCACGACTCTGTATCGTACTCATCGTCGCTGCTGCGCCGATGAATCCATCACGGCTTTGAGAAACGCTAAACTCTTGTCATTCTCGATCCTCGCTAATTCCAACCTCTCCTTGCGATCCGCTTCCAGCTGTTCTCGTCTGTCTCTCCTCTCCTCTTCTCGCGCTTGACGGCGGTCTTCCAGCTTCGCGCTCAGCGCCTCTTTCTGAAACTCTAGCTCTTCCTTTCTTAATTGCAGCTCCTGGCGTTTGACTTCCAGTGATTGTTCCATCACATCTTTGATGGACGTGAGTACGCGCTCCAAAGTGTCTGGAATACCAGTTGATAATGCAGCAATTCGCGTGCGCTTGCCCAACACAGAGTGACGCTCCGTTGGCACTGCTGTTGCTGTCTCTAATGGAACATCCTTCTCACCTTGTCCTTCATCTTGTATATGATTATGTATTTGTCCTGATTTTGCATTTTGTAGCTCTAGAGGCGACACCATTGCTTTTGGTGGACGATCGCTCCTCCCTACACGAAGGCGGATATGATCCGGCATCTCGGAGCAACGAGACGCATGACTCAGGAGGTTTACAGGACGTGCATTACATACCAAAGCACGACAGTGAAGACAAGCGACATCTGGACTGCGCTTATCTGCATCTGCAGGCACCGTCGTTACAAACTCATTCCAGATCGGGAGCAATGGACGACCCATGCCAAAATATAACAATACAACTTACGCGTAATTGTTTCAGTCTGAAAAAACTGGTATTGTAATATTTGGGACATTCTACTCGAAATATTCGTTGGGTGTTGATATTTAATCATAAAAATATTGATATATTACTCGCAAGAGGATTCCCTCTATGAAAGAATATGTCATAACAAACGTTAGCCAGTGGTGATTATTACTATGCAAAGGCTCTTGCAGCGCTCCTTGCGTGTCTCGACTGGACTACGACGGTCTTCTCATTGTTTATCCTCACTGACGCATGAAGTAACGACTCGCGCGTTCTTCGTAGATCATCCTCGTCTACGTATTGCACTCGTGGGTCGCACAAACGTGGGAAAGAGCACGCTCTTTAATCGTCTGACCAAGACACGCTCAGCCATTGTACATGATGTTCCAGGGACGACACGTGATCGACGTTATGCTCGCTCAAGTATTGCTGGATTAGAATTGGATGTGATTGATACTGGAGGATTGGAAGATGCACCTGCTGGGACGTTAGAGGAAGGAATGCTGGAACAAACGAGACTTGCTGTACATGAAGCTGATCTTGTCTTTTTCTTAGTAGATGGACGACAAGGAATTACACCCGTGGATATGCATTTTTCTCGTTGGTTACGTCGAGAGAATGCGAAAGCATCAATTCATGTAGTAGCAAATAAATTGGAGGGAGATCCAGAGCGTTGGGAGAATGAATTGAATGATTGTTACGAGTTGGGAATGGGAGGAGCTATTCCATTGTCTGCAGAGCATGGAGAAGGCATTCCATTGCTATTAGATGAGATTATTCCATTGTACGAGAAATTTGAAAAGAACAAACAGGAAGAGCAAGCACAAGTACAGAAGAAGGAAGAAGAAGAACAGGAGAAGGATGATGTACGTGGCAATTTTTGTGTGTTGGGAAGATAAGAGATCGTGATAAGACTGTATTGATACGATGCATGGTTCATTGTGTTAATGTGCAGCCTCGAACGATCAAGCTTGCTATTGTTGGTCGCCCCAATGTGGGCAAGTCTACACTGCTCAACAAGATTGTGCGCAACGATCGTGTTCTCACAGGTCCCGAGTACGTGATCATGTAATTGATTCAGGTCAGGTTTGGTGGAAAGCCTATGCTTATAAGCATATGTGTGTTGTATGCGTGTACTAGACCTGGAGTGACGCGTGATTCGGTGGAAGTGCCATGGACATTCCACGGACGACCCATCAAGCTCGTGGATACGGCAGGTATTCGACGATATAGCAAGCGCGATCACAACGATCAGATTGAGAATCTGTCAGTGCGCGATGCGTTTCGTGCTATCGACTCGGCTCAGGTTGTAGTCGTGGTCGTGGATATGAGCGAGCCCAAACTCATTCATATGGACCTGACCATCGCTCAACGCGTGATCGAAGAAGGCCGTGCGCTGGTGCTTGCAGCCAATAAGAGCGATCTTGCAGGTGCTCGCACTGAGTTTGAGATGCAGCGTATTCAGAACGAGTTGCAGGATTCGCTTGCACAGGTGCGAGGCGTGCCTGTGGTTCCTATCTCGGCGCTCACGGGCAATGGCATCAAAAATCTAGTGCCGGCAGTACTGAAGGCGTATGAAAAGTGGGATCTTCGTATTACCACTGGCCGCTTGAACCGATGGCTTAAGGCGATGTCACGGCATCACCCGCCTCCAACGATCAAAGGCAAGACGTTGAACGTCAAGTACGCGACACAAGTCAAGTCTCGCCCGCCCACATTTGCAGTATTCGTGAGCAATCCATCTGACATGCCCGAGGCATACCAGCGGTTTCTACTGAGCCAACTGCGCGAGGAGTTTGACATGGTGGGTGTGCCTGCTCGTCTACTACTGCGTGGAAACAAGGAGAACCCGTTTGAGAAGCGCAAGAAATTTCAGCAGCGCACCAGCAGTGTATTGTATGGCAAACAGCGTCAAGCGCACAAGTCTGTGGATGAGTCGACATTGGCTACTGCTTCGCCCGTGCTAAAAGATGGTAAGAAGTCTTTGTCTCTGACTAGAAAGCAGAAGACTGGACACTTTATTCCACGTCGTTTCAAGGGGAAGAAGTAACAGATTGAGGAATCAGCACAACGATACCACTAGGTAATAGAGCCCGCATACATAACAAGACAAATCACATTGCAAAATACATGTTCGTATAGGGGTGTGCTTCACACTACTTGTCTCTCTATCATCTTCTTCTTCAGCTTCGTAGATACTGGTATTTGTCTATTTAATGCTTCAGTTTATGGAAAGCACTGCTCAAAAGTAAAGCCCTTAGCCGAGTGTTTGCTCTCAAAGTGGTCGTTTAACTGCTTTTGCTGTAATGTATCAAGTGTCAAAACAAGGAGACAATTAGCTAGTTAGTTGGTGGGGATTGCTTATGCTTCTTGCTGTATAAAACGCACATACATTGGCTGTTATGAGAAACGTGGTCATGCAGATTTTGCACTTGAGTCCAGTACGATCTGCTTCCATCTTGGCCTTTGACTCGGCGTGGTTTTTATTCTTAGCCTCCTTCATCTTCTTAGCATTGTTACGATCACGCTTGGCTGCAGATTTCTGTCCATTGCCGCCTCCCATAGTACTCACAACTCAAACAAGTGAGAAAATAAACGCAGTCTTACTTACTTGAGGCTTACGTGGAGAAATCAGAACTGACCAAAGAGCGTGCATGCCTCATTGGTCAAGGCGTGGCCAGAACCAGTGGACGACTGCCACGCACGTGTAGAAATAGCGGCATAGATCTGCAAACACACACACACACAAACGGGACAAAGATGACAGAAAACCAAGACGACAAGGATGTTTTGAAAGAAAGTAAAGCATGAGAATGACGAGTTTTGTGCTTGTGTTGTATAATAAATGGTAATGCATACGAGCTCCTATCAATTCTTTCATCTACTACTGATTCTGTTTCTTGCAATGCATTACAATGGTGATGATCCTTGCTTGTGACTTTCAATGTGATTTCATGAAAACAAGATAAAGTGACCATCTCCTTCTTCTCTCTGTCTTTGTCTCTCTCTCATTTTGTCTCAAACTTTACCAGGAAAACATTGCTCAATTGTCAAGCCCTTGGACAAGTGTTTGCTTTCAAAATGATCATTTAACTGCGTCTTCTACTTACATTGAAAACAAGGGATAAAGTAGTTGTAAGTAGCTAAACCAGTCAATGGATGCATGAATGAATGAATGGCTACGGTTAAAAGACCTACATTGGCCGTAATGAGAAATGTCGTCATGCAAATCTTACACTTAATACCCGTCTTATCAGCCTCCATCTTGGCCTTTGACTCTGCGTGATTCTTTTGCTTCGCTTCCTTCATCTTCTTGGCATTGTTTCGTTCACGTTTGGTCGCTGACTTTTGTCCATTACCACCGCCCATGATGCTGCCGACCTTTTTGGTCTTTTTCAATGGCTCGTGATGGCAATAGGATGACCACGTAGCTATCATTACTGATCGTTAAGCTTGATTTCGCTATGGATAGTTTACATGGACCAAAAGCTGGAAAGCCTCTCGCGCCACTAGGCGACTGCTGACCTTCTGGCCTCGCCGTATCTGGATGATGAGACTTTTTCTTAACCAAGCCAATGCCCTCACGCTTCGACAGCTTACGCCGTCTACGCAAGATTTCTGTGGCTGGTTACCGCAACGGGAGACTGAAGAAAGACCGGCAGGATCTAGGTCGCCTACGGCTGCTTCCTGACGCAGGACAGCACGAGGATTCAGGACGGGGGATACACCTTTGTTGAAGGTAGAAATGGACCAACTTTATGCCGTTTACAGCCACAATCTGAGGTTCACTGGACGCGTCATTGAAGCGCATTCAAGTAGTCACGGGTTCTCTTCGACCGCGCCTCGGACAATTCCGAACGGCAGCCTGGTGGTCGAAGTCTTACTATTTGGCATACGCCCATTGCGAATGGGACTTTGAAAAACGGCATTTGGATGCTACTACTCACCATCATGCAACTAAGTGGTAGCGAATAGTTGGCAGCATGACCTCGTGGACCAGGGCCCCAGACCCTGTGAGCTCATCTGCACGGCGTCACGGATTATCAAGTTCGGACTACGTACCGGATCGCTACCACCAACTGAACTTCTTCTACACGAGTCGGCTTACCGGGAATCTATAGCCTACCGGGACTTGAAGCGTCGGCGATGGGAAAACGTACGAACACCTTTGGAGCTATCCGTTTGCTCAAGCGGGACGGTGTTAGGGTGCAGCCTCGCCGCTTGCAACGTTGGTAACGCGCATGTGCGGCTCGAACCAAGCCGTTCACTCCGACGGATAGTAGCCTAATGGTAATGTGACGAACCAGATGGCTTTGCTGCCGATTGGACTTGATATCGGACGCTCCTGTGTATGGTCGCAACCACGAGTCTCTGGATCGAGCATGTCTTTTGCCGCAAACAGATGACGGCACAGGAAGGGGTATTGGTCTACTGTGTTAAGGCAATTCTGCACAAAAACGCGAAGCCGTTGCCAGACGCAACCACTGCAAGGCCAACGCTGTCACCGCGGCGCCACATTACACACGTGCATCGAGTGCCACGCCCTCGTCGCCGGCATTCTTTACTCGGCTACAGATATACTAGAAATCTTGTATGAAACAGTAAATAGACATTCTGCACCTCTCTCACGTTTCAACATCTCATCGCAAGTGCATTCAGCACAAATCAAATATACATGTTAGCTGCAAAATATCAAGCTCTTCTTCATTCACTAAATAGTCAACGCAATTGCACTAGACACAACAACTCTTTGACGCGTAGACTTGCATTCTATTCATCATGTCTGCTCCCGGTAATGCTCTTTTGCCTTAGCGTAAAGTTGGCCAGGCTTTCGATAATGTCACTGGTTTTTGAATTCGGCGTGGATCCATTGTACATCACAGGCGCAACAGTAATTGATGCGGTACGGGTCGCTCGCCCTGACACAGCGTCAGTTGATGACAAAAATGAAGTTGCAGCACTTTCTCGTCGTCCCCGAGTGGGTATAACACGGTCTGTGGCCTGTTGAAGACCATCAAACAGATCTCTTTGCCTGAAAAAGAGTCTTAAACTACGTATCCGGCTAGCATCGAGCATCATTTCGGCAAAGCCGCGAATCTCAACCTTTGATCCATCGCCCTTTACACCTCGATATTTGCCTGTAAACAGACCCCATTGACGCCATGAAAAGTAGCATCGGGGCGGCTCGGTAAAAACATCCAAAACTTCCATGGGAAAGCCGTCAGGGAAGGCCTCTGCTAGCTCCGCACGGGGATCTTGGCTTTCGTTTCGGTCTTCATAATCAGCACTTACACTCGCTTTAATAACATTTCCAAGATACAATAAGCCAAGCATATCATTCTCGAAAATTGATCCACCAGGAACCCTTGCTTCATCATTTACCTGCAAATAAAAGGTCTCCTGGCACACGCTTTGCCATTGATCGTAGCGAGCCTTATGTGTCGCCTCCATAATAAACGTCTGGCAGCGCTCTTCCACGTATGAGGCAAGAGGTGTGGTGCCCGACTCGCGCATGCGACCTTTCACATATGCCAAATCTGTAAGCACATATTCCGGAGCCCCGTAGCGCCACGCTATAGGTTCACCATTCACAAGCTCTTTCATAACTCGTGATGGTAGTTTGGCACCATTTGCTATGAGCGCATCCAGTTCTTTCTGTGCTTTTTCCATCCTAGATGCTGATGCCGTAAGGGAAGACCCTGCCACTGGTACAAAAAGGAGCACTTTGCCGTTCGTGCTACCTTGTGATTGACCTGAAGCTGTAGATGAGCATGATGACACCGAGTCGATTCGATGAAATCGTGAAATTGGAGATTGAGCTGATGCAGGAGATGTTGTGGCGGTTTTTGCACAAACAGGATGGCTTCCATGCTCTGACATTGCTGAAGTCGGCGAGCGACCAGAGTGCGAGGTGGGTGTCGGTACAGCCGTACCATCGTCATCGTCGACAGAAAGGGTCTTGCACTGCAGTTTGCTACCTGGGTAAGCGCACAGCAGCTTCGCATCTGATGTCGGAGCAGGCCTCATTACAACAGGCTCGCGGTCATCACTATCAATCGCTTCTCCAGACATGCTTTCTATATCATTTTCACTTTGCTCTATCGCCGATTTGTCTGAAGCCTGTACCGAGTCGGCTCCACATAGCGCATTGTGCTCGTCGAGAGGAAGCAAAAGTCGTGTGTCTGCACCATAACCCGATTTGCTCGAGTGTTCGGTTCCATTGCGTTTCGTGATCTGCACCTCTTGAAGAGCTTTAAGCCACTGCGTCGCCTTTCTACTACTTTCAGCTGTAAACCGTAGCGTAAAGCACTTGGACGACGATCCGATCATCACGTGTAACGTCTTCTCCAGGTGACAGCCACCATTACTACCTCCATCTTCGGATGGTGCGTCCGCACGCAACACGGTGCCCATAAGCACAGGAATCAGTCCACTAGCTCTAGCGACGGCGTCTCCCCCTCCAAGCGGGTGTCCCGATGCCAACCACAAATTGAACGACGTCTCATCTTTACACGAGTATAGCTCCGGGTTACTACATGCTACGAAATAATAGCGCTTACACGCCACCTTAAGTAGTCCGCGTTTGATCATAAGAATGCCACTGTATCGCACATCCACCGCCACTTCAGGTTTCTGGCTGCTGGCTGAAGAAAAGACCGAACTAGAGCACATGGAACTTTCATCTCGTGATCGTCCGACATTGCGTCCAACAGTGCGTCCAACAGAGCTGCTGGAAGACAAGTCGGTCCTGCCAATCCGTTGGTCATCCGTCGGTCCATTGTTCGACCGCAACGTTACAGCTGCCTTAGAATCTGAGTTCACTTTCGAAGAAGAGTGAGCTCTGGCCATCATCCTTTGCTGCTGTGGACTCTGGGTTCGCGCCATAATGGGAGCACTAGCCGTTCTTCTCTTTGACTTGAATTTATGCTGCTCTGACAGTGGTAACGAGTTAAAAGAGTTGATAATCGACGGCGGTTCATCATCAGCGCAAGACTGAGTGGCCAGTGTCCCAAGTGTCTTGCAGCAGCTACCCGTCTTCTTATTAATATCTCGATTCTTTCTCCAATTGTCGTCGGTCCCTGCTTTTCCTCCACTTCTTTCGACACGACTTCGTTTGCTGCTGTTTTCATTCTTGACCGTCTCTTCAAAGCGAAAACTCCGCTCAACGTCGTCCTCATCGTCTCTTCGACTAGTACGACAACCACGTAGTCGATATGCTAACGACTTCATGCTCTAGTAAGTAATTGAGTGAGTGAGTGAGTGAGTAGAGAGAGAGGTAAAGAACCTGTTCAAGTCTTTTGGGTGTGAAGAATCTGTAGTGGGAGTCACGATTTGACTGTTGCATCATTGTAAACTGACAAGGAATAAGTACCAGCTGGGGAAGGTCCCACCTTCTGTAATGTGGCAATTTTCTTATGCAGACAGATGGAGAAAAGACCGGTAAATTGAAATGAAAGGATTCGTTAGGGCTTCCCTTGTGTCCACACGTTGAGACTATCGTACCTTGTTCATCTGTGGACTTGATGATAACTATGCATCCATCCATACCTTCTTCACCTCTGTACTGGACCCTGACATCACAAGCTCAAGTTCTTGAGTTTACAAATTCTACGACAGGCGCTATCGTAATGGTGGTATCCATGTGAACTCAACGCTTCTGAGCCGCTGGTTACACGATAATCGAAGAATCTGCTCCAGATGGATGCACCGGTGGCTGAATATATTCACCATGACTGTAATTGCTTGGAGCGTTTCGAAGGATTGCGTCAGGAGGGTAAAAAGAGGACCGGATGGCATTAGTTGGAGTGAATCCGGAGCTGTACGCGACGAGAGTTTTACGGGTAAGGATAGATACCCCACTAACCATTACTTACTAGGCAAATCGTAACAGATGGTGATCATTGCGCAAGCTGCAGGTATTCGACGTATGATCACATGTTTGTCTTGATGATTGGTTAATGGAGCTTGTGCCCGCTCTCATATGATACCTGGAAGCCATTTTACTTGTGCACTACAATGACAAGGTGGCGAATAAGTCAAGATTGACGCATGCTAGGAAGGCATTTCATATTATCGCACAGTAACAAGCGCTAGTACAGTCGCATACTATCACATTAAACGGCTAGTAAGCTTATACAGCATATGTTCTCTGTCTTCTTATCTCTAAGGCAAATATGAGCAGCGTAAAATGCATGGATGTACTTCCTTTCCACGTCATCATCATCTTCTTGGCAATGGCACATTTCACCAGCTGTTGCATTACTAGCAAGAAAAGCGCCAGCAGCTTCTCGCACGTCAACAGAGAGATGAATGCGGTCAGCACAGTTCTACCGTATTCTTGATTCATAGCCCTGAAATAACCTGACACGCCTCTGTCGGCGAGATAGCCTGCGAATCCGTTGGGTTGCGTTGTTAACCTCTCAATTCTCGTCTTCATTTTCGTCTGATACAGCCGCATACGTGACTGGTTGCGCAACTTGGAGCGAAATATCACGATGTTTGTAAACTACGGTGTCAGCGTACCGAGCATGAAGATACTTAGCATGGAGACAGTGTTCTTGTAGGATTGGCGTTGCCGATGTCATGTGCTTGTCAGCTGACGTAATGGATTGTCAAGTTGATACGAGAGCTGGCGACGCAAGCGAGCCATTCAACTTGGCAATCCATTACGTTGCAGTGACCTCCTTTGCGGAGACCATTTGACTAGAAAAAGGATATCAATGTCCTGTGAGCTTAAGCAGAAACAAAGCTCTGGAGTCATTAGCGGACAAAGAGCGCTATGTGCGGTTTGAATCCGTCTATCCTTCTTATGCTCTGTTCTCGCTTCATCCAGCTCTTTCCAAGGTGCAAAACATCTACATTACAAGTTTTTAGTTCTCGGTAATTGCAGCTTTGCACTAAGCGCCTTGGTTTTGGTCTGAGTCAGTGAGCACAAAGGCGCCGTGGCCAGGATACACTACCACCTTCAACAGCAGCATAACATGGCATTACCACCATTACGACCATGCGAGAATATGCACAGTAGTGCCAGCAATACCGTAATGTCAGCATCGGATTGTGCTGTGGTACTTCAACTTATTCATGTGAACAACATAGATGTTGGCAGTAGCTACTTCCAACACGCTTTCTACCATACTTTTCATTTACAAATCGAACACAAGGTGTTACAATCAAGAAGAGTCATAAAATGAGTTGCAGTAGCGACGTGTTACGGCCAGACACTGCGTTGCTGTTGTCTATAATGTAGTGGAGACCAGACAGACATCAGGCCACACTTATGAGCACGTTTACAAACATGGCTAGTTCTCAACGTCACTACAAATAATAATAATGTACATATCATATCTACATTCGCAGCATGCCTGGAAGCACTCACTTTGTATCCTGTCCACTCCATGCTTTCATGCTGTCTCTTAAGAAACAACTAAAATTTAGAACTGTCTATACTTACGACAAAACAACTTTGACAACTGTATTTTTTATGAATGACAAGATAAAAAGCATACACTTCTGGCTTGTCTGTCTTGCTCAAATGGACGACGGTCCATTCTATGTCCGTTGAGGTGCTTAACATATTCTTATAATTATGTCATTAAATCCAGGTCTTTTCAGTCATTCTCTGGATCCAAATGCTTCTTGTGTCCATCATCCAAAAGTATGTTTGAATATCACTTAACGCAATGTTCCGTCTCATCCAGTATATATAACAGCTCTATCTGCTCGTCCTTCAAGCTTACAAGTCCACTTCTTCTATACGTCAGTGCAGCTTTAATACGTTCAAGAATACCCGGCATCTCTTGATTCCATGTTAAATCGCATACTAAAGGAAGTCAAGGTACCATTCCCGGATGACTTTTTCCCCGAGATCACCGTGTCAACAGAACTTTCCAATGACTTGCATCGTACTGCGTCACAACTCTTGAACCAGACACTGAAGCAAGAATCATCGAGGACCCGGTGCCATCCGAATGAAGAACCAGATCAGTGGAAACTTATTGGAGATTACAATGGACTGCAATTATACCGAGAACGAACATTTACCAAGGGTGATGCTATCAAAGTGAATGTGCTGGGTCAAATAACTGGCACGTTAGAAAACGTGTTACTTGCACTTTATGCATCGACTAATGGAGCCCTCAAGACCCAACGTGCTATTATGCACAATGCCTATCTAGACGCAGCCGTACTCCAGGTGCTGGAGAAGGACCCATATAGTGAACATGACACGAGCTTTTCTTATCAATTTGAGGGGATCAAATGGCTTGCAAGCGCTCCCATGGGCAAGTTAATGCATAAGCGAGACTTGTGCTGGCACGAACAACTTGGACGAACACAAGACGCCCATGGGAATGAAGTGGGCTACCTTGTTATGCAATCCGTGCAAGTAGACGGTTGTCCGCCTTTTGAAAAGCAAGGACTGATACGATCAACGGCCGCAGTGTGCTACATATTCCGCCCGCTCCCAAACAAGTGCGTGAGAGTTTATATGATGGGAAAACATGCAGTCGGAGGAAAGTCGAGAATTGGTTGGAGTACAGATCTGATCATGGTAGAGCTGTGGCTCGGAGTGGCGAATGCATTGGAATGTGTAAACGCGAAACGACTGTCAAAACTCGTGAGTGGCAAAGACATGCTCATCATCAGCGGACAGTACGTTGTTCTTAGCTTTGTTGTCTTTTTTTCATTGATGTTTTGGATGTAGTGCTAATGATTGATGTGTTCTGGAACAGGAGTAAGACGTGCGATACTTGCGACTCCAAGCTTAAGATGCTCAAAACGAATCAGAACTGCAAGATCTGCGGCAAGAGCGTGTGCAAGTACTGTCGAATGACCAAGATGATCTACCCGTCACGCAACACAGGCAACTTTCCGTGCAGTTACTTTTTCTGTAAGCCGTGCTTGAGTGACGCGAAGGAAAAGCTCTACGGACGGTCTGCTGCTTCGGTCAGCTTCCACTCTCAAGATTCGTTAGTCCGGTCCGGATCAAACCGATCTGGATTGCTGAAACGCACGGACGTTCAAATGACAGGACAGCTAGGGCTCTCTATCATGCCGTTGTCTTCTGATCCAACTCCAGCAAGACGTCAGGGAGTGCAGTCACCTGACCGAATTGGATCAGCCACGATTCCTCCTGTCACAGGAATTGTGGCTTACCCGTCAAGCCCGTGCAGAAGTACTAGCAGCTACTCCAGTGCTCAAACTGCTGTATCGTCAGCCCCTTCAATGCCTCACTATAGCATGCCATCGATGAATCCTGGTGTTATCTCTGATGGACCTCGAAGCATGAAAGCATACCAGCTACCTACAGGTCGATTTTCGGTTCGACCAGTTGATAGTCGGGCAGTTGAAGGCTCATCTAGAGTGCAGCACACGACAAGCAATTGTATGCGCCGCAATGCACCACCGAGAGTATACGATGATAGCCATCTTTTAGGTTACCATGATGTGGTGCTTTTGGGCAACAAGTCGCCAAGTGGTAGCGAAGACATGGACAAGCAGTACTCTGTCGGAGAGAACGAGGTACATCGCCACAGACATATTAGCGATGATAGTGATATGATCGAAGAGTCCTCGGATGAAGAGGACGCGCACGTTACAATCTTCCGCAACGGGCGGAAAAATCATACCAGTATTGATGGCGTTGCTGAAGGCGAGGAGATTGAGATCATTCGTCTATCAAATTTCGGAAGGGATTCATTAAGTAAACCTGAACCTGTGCAACTGTTCGAGAAAGACAGGCGCAACCATTTCCACTTCAATGATACAGCAGTTAGCTCTACTGGTGATGTCACAACTTCTCTAGATGGTTTAACTGAGCAGGAAAAACTCATGGAGAGACTCATGCAGATCAACATGACGGCAGAAGCGACGTACTTGATGGCCAAGTACAACTCAAATATCCATGGCAATTTCGCACGATAGAGCAAGCACATTCATTATCACGTAGAGCGCAGTTTTGCTCCAGTTTATTATCGTGAAACAGCGCTGCCTCACGTATCGGCATGTTCTTGGCTTTGCTAAGATATTGACAGTAACAAAACACTGTCGATCTAGCCGGTTCGTTTCTTGCCTTGACGCCTCAAATGAACCATTTGCCGGCGATACTCCATGATCGGAACTGCAGGACTTCCACCTACGACCATTGCAACAGTTAGACAAATAGCTCACTTGAATACAATAGATTGAATGTTGTGTTTACCATAGATCGAATTCGAGTCCAAATTGTTCATGACACCACTTTTCGCGGCAATTCTAACGTTATTTCCTATCGTTAGGTGCTGTGCCACTCCCACCTGTCCGCCAATGCACACATTGTTGCCCAGCGTTGTGCTACCGGCAATCCCTGTCTGTGCGGCAATGACACAGTTCATTCCAAGCTGTACATTGTGGCCAATTTGAATCTGATCACAAAACCATTCGACATTCCATGTAAAACCATCACACGATCAAGTACAAGACAGCAACAATTATTTCCACACCATATTGTCGAGTTTGGAGCCTTTACCAATCACCGTATCACGCCAACTTCCACGATCAATGGTACAATTGGCACTACCATTTACACACATTATCACACAAGGTTTTCAATGAGCTACTAAGTAGTACAAATGATGAAATATCGATACAAAGATGTATACCCAATCTCAACATGATCGTGGATCTCTACACTCCGATCCTGAGGCTTCTTCGTGTGTTTACCACTATCATTGAGCATAAATCCAAATCCATCTTGACCTATCCGAGTTCCTGGATGAATCATCACATTGTTACCAATGGAACAATTCTGCAACGTCACGTTGGTGCCAATCGACGTCTCGTCACCAATGACAACATCTTTTCCTACGGTACTAAATGCACCAATGTGACACCTTTGACCAATCTACAAAAGTATTGAGAAAAAAAGGAATGATATGGTAACAATTGTCATGAAGAAAAGCATTGCAACAAGTGTTATTGTTAGTATTCTATAGAGAACCTTGACAGATGGGTGGATGACTGTATTGGGAAAGAATTCGTTCATCTTTCGAACTGACTGAGAAAAGGTATGGGCTAATTTCGGTACTTTTGTTAAGCCAGTATTTCTGTGATTTAGCGTAGATAAAGGGAGCGAGATGTTGCGCGTACAACGCTCAGCGAACTGGGTGTGTACAGTCCACATTGTTTGTAAACACGCGAAATAATTAGAGTGAACCGATGGATGACTAAATAGAAATAGAACCATATCGTTTCTAAAGAGAAATGACCCTTTTCTACAACAGAGTACATACATGTTTTGACTAGCTTCAGAAAATGACTGGCTTCTACTGACTGAATGGTCATGGTGAATCTCTGTTGTAGTTGATGCCAATCCTCATCATGCATTTGTTAATACAACCAATCACTTGTTGCGTGCTCATCACAATGCACTCAGTATTCTAGCCCTTAGGAACCACCGCACTTGAATCTCGTGTAGCACGCTGGATTTCCGTTTCTTTTGAGTTTTGTTGAGACAGTACCAGAGACAAAGCGTCCAAGACAATTGTTGCAAGACACGATGCCAGGGCAAGATTGGGTTCTGATATTCATTGCCATTGAAATATAACGTCCATAAAATTACCGGTACAGTCGCGTTTTTACGTATGAGCTGCGAGCATTTGCATTCAGCCAAAATGCGTTGCAATAACTGCCAACGGCATGCATCGACTCCATAACACAGCACTCACACGTACTTTACAATGCAACAAGCCGCAAGCGTGTATTCTTACGTCTTCTTTTTTCGCAAAGTTTCGTCAACTTCAGCTTTGGGTTTCAATGCCTCATTCAGAATTTGAAGTTCTTCCATCGTTTCCTAAGGCAAAACAATAGCATCGAGAAAATTGTTGTGAAGTGAGTCATTGAGGTAGAACTCACTCTAGGCACAGCCAATATCAGGTGGCAAACTTTGACCTTACCATATTCTTTTCCAACATGTAAACGAGCGCGCGCCGACGATGATATTCAATATTAATGAAGAACACCTTGTTAATCGAAACGGCCGCAAAAACAACAATCGGAAAAAACCGGTGGCCCCACAACAGAAACTCGCGCGGTGTTGTAAACGGCGACAATTCCTTAATCACTGGATCGTAGCGGGTTAGCCGGACTGCAATCTCAACAAACATAAGCTAAAAACATAGCACCGCGTAGACACAAAGTTTGATCATACACAATGTTAGATCAAAACATGATGAGGTCACAGTATACAAACCCACATACAGCCATGAGTCCAACAAACGAAATCTTGCTTGCAGCTTGTGTTGTCTTGAATGTTGTGACAGCATAGCTGCTCACGCAAACCAAAAGCAGTAGCAGAATCACGCCCAAAAGAGCAGTCAGTGTGACAAGAGCACTGGATATCGATTGTCTACACATCCTTCTTCTTCTTTCGTTCTATACGTACATGATGCCAAACCAAAGTAGGTAAAAAAGTCCGACATTCGCTTGCGTTTCGTAAATTGACATTTCCGCACCGGGTCCCCAAAAATCATACAAATAGTGCGCTTGTTCGTTGCAAATGTTCTGGTTCGATACAAAAAGGTCACATAAACGTCGATGCAAATGTTTATACCACAACTTCGTTCCTACGATAATTTCACAGTCTTTTTTCCGCGTACATCATAAGCCGAGTCGATTGTATTCCAGGCTTCTAAGGACATGGTTCCACTTTGAAAATGTTTCCGGAAAAAAGCATACTTCTGAGCCCACTGATACTGCGTCTCTAGACGAGTCATCTAGCAAGGATATATACAGTCACATTAATTTAATTAGCAATTCATTGGACTTGTTTTATTACTAGTCACAAATTGAAAGGTATCTGGGAATTTTGTTGTAATATATCTGGAAATTTATTTTTGACTGACGTACCGACAATACTTGGTACACGTTTTTCTCTTCAGGCCAATACCACTGTCACAAACAATTATAAATTTCATGTAAAATATATTTATAACTGTCAAAATGAATAAATGAGACAATTCATACAGGACAAGAAGCAATTAGTGTACCATAGGCAGCCACACTGCGAGTGCTGGTACCGTCAATGATACAAGATAAACCTCCAAAGGAGTGGTCTTTTTTCCTCGATATAGTAGAAGATTTGAAGCCAGTAATGTCAATGGTGTCACGACTAGAAGACAATAAGCAGCAGCATAAGAATCATCAATAGCGTCTGGATAGAGACGGAAGAGTTCTTGTAGAGGTGACGTAGGGGCCATGATTGTCGAAAACTCTTAACGCTTTTGCATAGACGTATTCATAGTGTGGTACACGCAAATAATTTGTTGTGTACCACGTCATATCAATGGGCATTTTATTCACGACTATGTGGTGCACACCATATCCACCATCGGTCAGAACGTCAAATCAAGGCGTAAGTTGTGAGTGAGTAAGTGACAAGAGGACGAGAGAGAGAGAGAGAGGAGAGACGCGACATTATCATGACCAAGCAGCAAGATAAGCAACGGACCGTGCTGGGCGTGTTCTTCTATGTTCCAAATCTCATTGGTTACATGCGCGTCTTGCTGTCGCTCTATAGTCTAGCAGTAGCACGTACGGACTATAAGACCAGCGTGCTGTGTTACGTGCTGAGCTTCACATGCGACTACTTTGACGGCTTCTTTGCGCGTCTCTGCAACCAATGTACACCTAATACTTATGTACATGATTGAACCTGGTTCTCTTCTGTTTATTGACTCCAATAATGAGTGTTAGGCTCTTCATTTGGTGCCGTGCTGGACATGGTGACAGACCGGTGCTCGACGGCAGGACTGCTGGTTGTGCTGTCGCATTTGTACCCAAAGTATATGGTATTCTTTATGTATCTACTGATCATTGATTTCTCTAGCCATTGGTACCATATGTACTCGTCACGTGGCCACCACAAGATCGTTCCGGCTGAGCGCAACTTCCTACTCCGTTTCTATTACGGCTGTTACCCTTTCTTCGGATTTTGTTGCGTAGGAGCAGAGTTGTTCTACATCCTGCTTTACGTGCTTTATTTTGAACCCACACTGATGATTCCGATCCTTAACGTCCCTGTCACGCAGGTGTGGCACTCTGCTCTTACTTGTTTGCTGGTTGGAGATACTGACTTTGATCCTGGTCGTTGTTGTTGTTGTTGTTGTGTCGTGTCAAACTGCACTATAGCTGTGCTACTACGTATGTTTACCCGCCTGCGCGTGCAAGAACCTTACCAACGCGGCACAGCTTTGCAGTGCTGCGCACTCTATTGCGTCAGATGACGTGGTGTTAGCCAACAAGACTCAGTAGGGGAAACGATAAAAGTGGCCGTCATTTTGGCAGCAGGAGAAACGCGAGTATCCAAGACGCATGTCAAATGCATGCGTGGATACATATTTGCACAGCATTTGAAACAAGGACAACATGAGCAAGAAATACAAAAAGCTATGTATGGTAATGTGAAAAACTGTCTACAGTGTGTCACCTAGTGTGCAGCATCCTCCTTGTCTTGTTCAGAATCTCTCGGATACAAGATATCGTAATGCCCCGGTCGATACAAAAGCGTGATGATCTCAACATCGTGTTCATTTGCCACATCAATTGTTGGCGAGCACACGTAGCTTTGAAGTTTCTCCCCAGGTCCCGCACTTCCATCCAGATACTCAATCTGCACACCAACCTGTAGAGCTTCTGTCAAGGCTGCAATCTGTGGTTGATCACATTCCTTACCCATTGGCTCCACCTTGAAGTCATGATGCAAAAGCAGAAGCAAGAACACACATAGTATCAGATTTCTTCTTGAAAATCTCCAGTATCTCATGTCTCTTTCATTGCACTCACCTCTGCAGCACAGAACTGTGCTACCGTCTGTCCTGGATATAATCCGTCAATAAAGGGTTGAAATCGCTCGGCTCTTTTTTTCATATAGCCTGCTGTCAGTAATCTCATATACCAAACAAGATACTCGGATTCTCCACCTTCTGTCTGAAAATCTCGTACTAACTCAGCATAAGACCGTGTCTCCATAGCAGCTAAATAATCCACAAATGTTTCCCAAAAGGCATCAATGGCAACGTCACTATATCCGATCGCAATGAGTTCATTCTTGCTCTGCTGAATCTTGAATTGAATACGATGACGTAATGTTGCATTACAATCCTCATTCTTTCCTGCTACTGATGGCAAAAGACGTTCACATAGAGCAAAGATAAAACCACGAAAGAAACAATTGCCGTCCCCTCGTACGCGTCGCATTGCCTCATAACGTGCATTGAGAGATTCAATACCGTGCATAAAATTGATATTATCATTACCAATATACTCCGCTTTAAGACACAAGACAGCCATTCGATCACTTAGTAATGGACCCATGGGCCAATCTGGTTGCTTCGTGTTGTTGGCCATATTGTATCCAAAAAAAATGATAATGTTTTGGAAGATTGGGTCGTAAAGATTCGAAAAAGGGACCCAAAATGGAAGAAACTAATAAAACGATTGAGGTCGACAAAACCCACGTATCTGGGTTTTTCCAATGGTATGTTTCAAATCGAAAGACCCAACACTTCAACATAAACGGGTCTAATACGTGCTAAGCCAATCTACATCATGTGGCGATTGATCATCTTGCTCGAGAATGGCTTGATCAATGACAATTGACTCGAAATTCTCACGCTTCACTTGACCATGATAGATCACTTGCTTGGGCAACTTTGGTGTCACTACTCGCTCTTGCCATTCCTGAAAACTAAAGCCATTCCAGAGCAGTGGATCGTTCAAAAGGTCCGGTCGTGCATATTCAACATATTCGTGAATACTACTGACCAATGGCCAACCAAGTGCTTTCAATAAGCGACTCATACGAGTTAGTGTGACTTGTGTCTGCTCGACATTTGTGGAAGTCTGAGTCGAGAGCAGTTTTCGTCTGAATTCGGTAAAGTAGCTGTCCAACAAACTGTGGACGTTCATGAGACATAAGCCCATGAGGCCGCAGTCGACATCAGATTTCAGCTCACTGGGATTGTATGAGCTTGTGACTGCTGGAGACTGAGCTATTTCTTCTAACATTGCTTCGTATTTCGCTCGACATGTTGCCATGTTTTGGGTCTCGGACGAGAATGTATGAAGTAGAGTATCAGTACTAGTACTTCGACATTGCATGTCGTCCGTAGTGTTTGAGTCAATCCAATGGGTAGTAAAACTTACGATCTGATAAGCCATGGCTCGAAACGTCTTTTGCGTTTCAAGTGATGGAGTAAACCCAGACACGCTATCTCGTGGAAAAAGTAAGGCTGGTCCAAGAAAATGGTTGAAGAAAACAAGATGCACCGCACTCAATTCCATCTTACGACCTTGACCACCTTCATCTTGATGCAATAGTGTGATACACCCGCGACACAGGATAACTATCTCGGCAGGAAGTGTTGCAACTTGCTTGGCAAGTCTATCGAGTAGGTTCTCAAGCTCCAAGACGGTGTCTCTCAGATACAATGAAGTTGTATCGTTACCTGGTGCCAAGAGCGTTGAAAGCCACTTAGCTCCCATGATGCGACAGAAACACGCGAGGGCTTTACTAGCAATGCTGTGTTTCAGCAAAAATCTTTGATGTGCGAACAGTGCCGCATCTCCTGTGGAGACGATTCCTTCCGAGTATTCGGTCGCAATGAGCTGGAAGACAAATCGAGTTCCCTGGCGCTCCGTTTCCAACAATGGAAAAAGACTTCGCAAGACAAAGGCTTGTGTAAGTAGCTCTTTGGATGCCTGACTGCCTTTGGAAGTCACACAACACTTTAGTACGCACGTGGTCACCAACATGTTTGGCTCCAACAGTAAGTTTGCCAGATCCATAAGCAGCACCGAATATTCATGATCATTTTGCGCGACTTGTGATCGAAAGAGCCGCTGCTGTTGCTCAAACTTCTGTCGTCGTTTCTTATGCGTTCTGCCGCAACAACAACAACAAAATCCGATCGACACGCATGAAGCATTGGACAACACGATCCACCCTGCCATCAGAACGAGTAAAGTTGTGAGATATCGCTTTAGCTCTGAATTCAACCCCGTAGCCACATCATGTCCGGCGATGGAGTCGCTTTGATCATTGTTTAGGAACTTGATCGTGAACGTGGTTTGGGCTTGAGGCGTATCAGCATCACTACCGTTGACAAGGCCAATACGCTTCACATAAAGTGTAGCTTCTGCTGTATGGGAGCTGGAGATACCGGACATGTCACGAAATGTAAGTGCTGAGAGAGCTCTACTAAGTGCAGCCTTCGTTCCTGTCACCTGGATATGTGAAGAATCATAGAGCTGCGTAGTAATGTGAAACTGCAGCTCATGATTTCTGTTTGAGCTTGCGTTTAAGGAAGGTCCGTCTGCGTGTCGAATGAGCGTGCACGGGCGTTCAAATGGACACTCAGCCATTACATTGTCATCAGTGACAGCAAATCCAAGCTCAAACTCAGATACGCCGTCGCCTGCCTCGAGGTTCACTTGGTACAACTTGTCAGAATTTGTGCAGTCAGGGTCTTCGAACATGACAGGAGTCGAAACGGGATTGCCACTCGACACGTTTGGTGTGAATACAAAAGGAGGAAGAACAACCAGATCGTCCGGGACGTTCACAACCGCCAACTCAATTCTGCGCGCTTTCGATTCATTCACAAACTTTGCACCAGCCGATTGCTCAGCCACTATGAACGAGGCATTGGTTGGTATTGTGGTGTTCAAGACTTCGTACTCGAAGTAGTCGAAGTCAATTGGTCTAATGAGTGAAGACTTCGACTCCTGATTGAAATAATCGACGTGGGGTACGTAAACTACCCTGCCTTCAACGTCTGAAATGATAGGGTCGAGAGTTGAGATGCGTGCCCCAACATACTGCAGGGACATGTTGTCTGCATCCATACTATCACGGTTGTCATACTGAAAAAGAGCCCCATGCTGTGGTAACGCTGTCACTTTGAGTCGTGTTTTGACGTTGAAAAACGCTGCCAAAGGATCCAACGAAATGATATTCAATAGTTTGAGAGACTCTTCTTCAAGTTGAACGACTGCAAGCGCATTGTGGTCCACTGGATTATCCATGCCGTTCACGAGAATAAATTTGATCACAGCAATAGCTGAGAAAACACCAGGATCTCCATCAGACAGTTTATACCAGAGCTCATCAACTACAGATGACGTACTTTCACGCCCATTTTGGTCCCATCCGTGATAAATGTACATCAAGTTGGTGGAATGGGTCGCGTTCATAATGTACTCATTGTTTTGATGTATTCGAGTGGATTCCAAAGATTGCAGATTCTGGATTCGTGAAAACGCTAGTGCGCTACAACTTGAATTGCAATCGAACAACTTGCCAAACCGCGGTACTCGTTCAATCTTGGTCCACTGCAGATTGGAACTGGTGATTGTTGCGTTCCTGAAAGTAAAGCTCGACAAAAACTCGCTAGAGTTGGTGATGTCAGTGTTTGGTGGTGATACAGTGTTGTCTTTTGGAGCTCCGTCATTATCATCGCCACTCAGGTCCAGAGTAACAGGAACGCCAATCTCAACCCAAACTTCTGACACCATTCTTCGTGGACGTGGTGCATCGTTCATAGCATCCACGAATATGTCAATGTTTGCTTCCATGCTCGTGTTTACAGCCCGACCTATGATACTATCGGCTATGCCATACTTGACGGAAGCATATGGCTTCAATCTGCGCGAGAATGCCACGGGGTTTGGCAGAGGAAGGTTGTCGTTGTTCTGGTCTGGTTCTGGGCGAAAGAATATCTTACGCTGATATTCCAGTGGTAGCCGTCGAAACGCGTCCTTGTTGCTCCGAGTGACCAAAGTCTTGTTAGGAAATAGTAGAAGCTGCCCAAATTCTGGTATACCTCGTAGCTCGAGACGCACGTCATCGTAAATACCATGAAGCATCGTCAGATTCAACAACACGAGCGAGTCTTCAGGTATTCGCACAGTTTGCTGCAGAGATGGGAATTGGCGAGACGGCATCATTTGCTGCTTTGAAATAGCGTTTACTTGGTCTTCTGATACCACACAACGGTAGATAGCAAAATGGAAAAGGTCAAAGCTCGCGCTTTCTGCACCTTGAAACAGCACGAATCTGGAAAAGTCATCACTTTTGATACTGCTTTGGCCGCTCATGTCTTGAGATTGCTGCACAACAACCGAACCTTTTGCCTTGTGCTGCACCAATTTGACCAAATAGTCGACAATCTGGTCCCCGTACTTCTCCTTGAAATCTGCAAACTTACTTCGAAGGTAAGCTAATGGCGTGTCCTCGCTCAACGGTGGAAACGTAGTCCCCAAAATGTGCAATGAGAGCGAGTCGTCACCGAAAATTCGCATAGCTTTGGGCAAACGCGGACCACGGATGCTCATCAACTTCTGTTTTAGCACTACACGTAGCCTCTCCGTAGCATTCAGCCTACTCATATTACTCAAGTGTAGAAATTCTCGAGCAGGGGCCAAACGTTTGCGTTGTCTTGGCGAAGTAACGTTACGAGGGCTGTTACCTACGTACAATTGGTATCGGCCTTCTATCAGTTTGTTGAGCAGCTGGGTGTCAGGCAATGACTGTTCATCGTGCACCATACAGTCAACTCGTTGGTTCGTCTCAACATCTGTGTAGCTCATGTAGAAATCGGTTTTCCAGAGACCTCTCTTGCTTGACGGATCCAACGTGACAGTGATCTGAACGGGTGGCGTTCGTTCAGCCGGTTCCAAAAGAGGTGGAAGCTGGCATGCTGCTGAGTTATCCACTGAAAAAAGCCGCTGCTCGTAGCAGGTCTCGACTCCGGCTTCTCCACCTTCCTCTAGCACTGGTAAAAAGTAGATAAATGCTAGCACTTGGTGCTCGTTCAAGTCGAGCCGAAAGCCGGGATCCACGCAGTTGTCGAATTCGTTGGCAATGGAGAACAACGTCATACTGTGGCTAGCTATCGCACGGCGTCGGATCACCATCTCGAACGTCACGCCCGAGTTGTTCTGACTGTTATTATGTACAGCTGCCGTCGTGAAGAAGTCTCGCGCCGCAACTGTGCCGATCGATGAAAGCTGCACATGTTTGGTGTCGTTGTTGGGATGATTAGTGAGACGGACTCCAAGCTGCCAAAACGAGGAGTTTGTGTTCAAGCTCGTTACTAAACCTCCTTCAGGCTTGAGGGACTCGAAAGGACAAGCATCATAAGGAACTCTGTTCATCACGGTGGCACCTTCGCTGATAGCAGGATTGTCAAAAGTGTAGAGACACATTGGATGCCATGTGGATCGTTCGTTAAGGAAGTACGCGATGTCAGAGTCTCGGTTGTGCCTTTGCGACTCGATCATACAGCCAACGATACCAAGCAGTGAAAATAACAACATCAGTCTTTGCATCATTAACGCGTGTTTGATTCCTTCTTAGCTGCCTATTTCTTATTGGAACCTTGTCAAACAATATGTTGCAGCGTTAATCTTGCCTCAATACCTCTGCCCATGTCAACCTGTAGTGGCAATAGCAACGTCAAGCTGCCACGATCCATGTTCAGCTTCGTTTTGAGCTCAAAGTGTAACTGGTCGGGCTAGCAGCTTTCATCATTCATTCTCCATCTCTACTTGTGTTACATGTGGTGAACTTGCGCGCCATGATTGCATTTTGCGCTGGTGCTTCACAACTCTGATGTTGAAGCTGCATTTCGACAGCAGTACGTCAACCATACCATATTTCGCTTGCTCGACAGGTTTGCGAACCAACTAGGTAACAAGCCTGCGGTTTCGCAACGAAAGTTGCAACAGCCCCGATGCTCACAATAGCTGCAACTGTACGATGGTTAACGAGCGATCAAGCATTGAATCGATGAACGGGTAAGTCTAAAAATGATTGGAAATGTCGCCTAAAAGGAGTATCTTGTCCGTTCAACTCCGACAGTTCGACACCAATAAGATACTCCTTATCGACGACATGTCGATCTTTGTAAACCTCGCCATATAACGTGTTTCATGCTTGTTCGCTAATTTGCCGTGTCAAGGATGCTTCGAGTTAGGTGACTTTGCTTTCACGCTCAACCTTAATTGACCGCTTAGAGAGAGCTAGCGTCGCCAGCCAAAATTTGTGCAGCAGCACCGTTCCGCCAAAGTACCGTCATCAAGCAGCGTTACTTGAGCTGCTGATTTCTGTCAACGGCCAAGGCTTTTCCCTTTTGCCTCACTCTTCCACTTGAGACACATTTCGAGACCGGAGTCCTTCACTTTCCGTTTTCTTGACCACAGCAAAGATGGCTCCAAAGCTTCTACCATCACTTGGTTTCCATGAAGGTGAGAAGAACCCGTCGATTCTTGTTACAAGCCAAGATGATTTTGATCTCCGTGACGACTGGAGTGAACATGACAAGGTTTCCACTTCCCGGTGGCGAAAGTCGTGTCCTGACAAATGGTCGACAACACCCACTTCTCATTGGAGTTCACGTCTCACATCATTGTCGTCTAGTGTCGTGGGTGCTGGCACTACTTTGACTACGCGTGCAAAGCAACTCGGTGTGGGAATATCCACTCACCGGGCCTTCAATCAACTTCGTAAGTCCATTGGGGAAGTAACGTTCCGAACGGAGCTCTTGCTGAAGGAGTCTACGCCAGTTCAAGACCAATCCAGCGAGGTCGACGGAATGGAGGATCACCGTGGAAATGAGAGCATGTATTGTGACGATGACACCGAGGAGAAGTTCAAGAGACTTCATTCACCCTGGTCGTGGTTCAAGCTTGTGCATAGAGAATAGAAACTTGTATGATCGAGCTAACGTGTCAAATAGAATATACAAAGTGCAGTTGTGCCCGTCCTTTCAATAATTTGATAGAAAGTTCACTGTCTCTTGACAAAGGGAACAAGACACAAGCAGGTAGCTCACTTGTCATACGGCAAGAGAGAAAGAACACGACGACGAGTAAGTCATTGATGGCGCCACTCGCATTGCGCTGTATTTTATGCTCGTTCCAGCGTATTACTAGAAAAAACAAATCGCGAACAAAGACAGCAGACGCAACTTTTCAAGAGATGACTGAAGCTGATGGAGATGGAAGTGAGCAGTTCATGGCACCGAGAGGTCGTGACGGCTTTGCAACGAATGTACACGATTTGTGCAGCAACAAGAAGAAAAAGGATTGGCAAACTTTCGTGTTGAATCTTCGCCTGCAGGAGTTCGACGCTCGACGTCAGATGCAACTGGAAGATATCGACATTAAGGAACCGACACTTGCTGCAATATCGACCGTTTCAAAGAAGTCCAAGCTGACCGAATGGCTGGAGAAGTTTGATGCGCAGCATCGGGTTATGGCAGAGCAAAAGGAGACAAGAGTTCCCGAATCTCGGGAGCCTCATGTGTCACAGTTGGCTGCATGGTTGGCATGTTTTGAGGCCAAGCAGCAGCATAATTCATTGACAGTGCCATCACACACCACTTACTTGTTCTACAAGCATGAGTCAGTGATGATCCACTACGTTTAGCCATCTATTATGACATCCTGCAAGTAGCAGCATGATAAGTTATCATCATCAGGCCAACAGTCTAAACGTTGCGTTAGTGCATGAACATACATTACCATTGTACATTTACCACCATCAGTCTTGGATATGGTCAAAATCGAACGACCTACACTGCAGTTTATCAATGTAACATCGCTCATCTAGCAAACTATGCGGCGTGAACAAAGCAATACTACAGCTTCGTCTTGTCGCGAAAGATCTTAATGAAGTAGTGAATGGAAATGCGAAAGGTGCTGGAAATAAACAAGCAAGTGCGAGATGGACATCACCTTGACGGATAGAGGAGAATCCGCAAGTCTAAAGGTTGTCTATTGATTCAATAGGTTATTTTAGTATGTATACCCACTTGTAGTAGCAAGTATATGAACGACAAGTTCTTGGGGAAAGTACCTAGAGAAAACGCTTCAGTATTGTGGCGCTCGATCTGTCGTTTGTTTTTTTGACTACCACTTTTAATCGAATCAGAAAACGACGTGATGGCGTTATAATAGTGAATCATTGGCGCTACTTTTTCGTCGCATTTTAAAGACATTATTGTCACAAAGACATTGAGTGGCATTTATTCACTAGTGATGGTAGATAAAGTACTTAAGTATGCACGCTTTGGAGAAGCAGAGAAGCTTCGAATGGTTCTACAGTCAGTGGAAGGAACAAAGCGTGATGCGCTGTTGAATTATATACAACCGGAAACGCTCAACACGCCGCTACATATGGGTATGGGTGTCACAAAAATTGTGGGTTTTTTGGGTTTTTTGAATGTTCATGTGTGATTATTGATGCCTGTAGCCTGCGGCAATGGCCACGTCGAGTGTGTTTGTGAATTGCTGAAGTATGAAGCGAGACATTTACCTAATGCCAATGGGAATCTACCACTACGTATGGAGAAAGAGAGAGAGAGAGAAGGAGAAGAACAATTGGGTGAATGCTGATCAAAATGTGGGTTTTTTATTGCAGATTGGGCCATACAAAATAAACATCGAGAGATTGTGAAGCTATTGGTGGACAGTATAAAAGACTTGGACGTGCTAGCACGCAATAGTTTTGGACGTGGTTGTGTCACTGAAGCTTTTCAGTGTGAAGACACGGAGATTTGTACGTGATCGTGACCTTTTTGTGGAGGTATTTTTTGTTTGGTTTTGTGAGACTTAGTTGTGTCTTTGATGACGGCAGTGGCAATGTTACTGGAACATAGTTCAGCAACGGAGGAGCGATTGGCTGAAGGCACTGGTATGGGTCAGGATGCTATTAAGGAGGAGATTGAGAAGGAAGGAGACGAAGTAGACTGCAGCTCGCCAAACATCTTGCAGGAGAAGGTTCTGGAATTTGACTTTGTACCGGGACTGCCGACGCTGCGTGCAAGGGAGCTGGCACTCGAGTGGAGCAAGGACGCTTTTGGGTCGACTGCTGAGGAAGATATAACAGGCGTGTCGATCTGGTCGGCGGCGCTTATCTTGAGTCGTTGGATCATTGACCACCGCGATGTATTTGACGGTAAACAGGTCTGTGAATTGGGCTCGGGTTGTGGCGTGAGTGGTCTTGCAGTGCACAAGTATACGGACGCTTCACGGGTTGTGCTGTCCGATCTGTTTGCGCACACCATTCAGAATCTGGAGTACAACGTTGAGCTGAACAAGACGTACAAGAATGCTGGAGCTGATGAAAAGGAGGAAGAGCAGCAAGCCCCAGTCCTTGACTGCTGTGGGCGATGTGGTGCAGTCCAGCGTTTTACCCCCGACAACCCGGAAGGCAAGCTTATGACTTGTGGTGGCTGCAGGTCTGTTGCTTACTGCTCTCGTGAGTGCCAAAAGAAGGCGTGGAAGAAGCACAAATCCGATTGCAAGGCTATCCGCGCGCAGCGCGAGCAGACAGAAACTCAAAGGAAGAACGACGCTAGTGAGGAGAGAGTGTTGCAGGTGGAAGCTATTGATTGGGCTCAGCATGAAACTTGGCCGATTGGCTGTGATGGCGACAAATTCGATGTGCTCTTCGGCTCTGATCTTGTATACCATCAGGAAATTGTGCCGGTGCTGGTGAGTGTAGTGGACGGTATGCTCGGTGCCGACGGTCGATTTTTGCATGTCGCTTCTCAGGCACGGCACTCACTGGCAGAGTTTAAGGAGGCGATGGAGGCGCGTGGTTTCAGCTGCGACGTGGAAGAAGTTCCAGACAATTACAAGACGAACCCGCTGGTAGGCGACGACGCCGTAGCCGAACTCTTTGCTCTGCACTTCAACGAGATGAGCGACGTGTACTGCATCTACATTTTCACACGCACTGTCCAACCTTAGAATAATTAACGGATCCACAACGTTGCCTTTGATCACTACCCTCCTTAGAGGTTTAAACCATGGTGTCTGGAGATGATCCTGTTGCATCAGGTAGATTGGATTTGGCCTTGCAAACGGCAGTTCCTCTTTTCTTGTTGAGGGTCCGCGGATTTGGTGGAACACGCGTGCTTGGCATGAGCGACAGAATTTTGTAGTTGCACCGACCAAAAACAAGTTCCCAGTTGCCGTGAATGCTGCCAGTTGAGTACGGGCTGACTGATTTTATGCCGTGGAGACCTCGATTGCGCGGGTATCGATTGACATGCACTTCCACTGACGTCTAGCATGATAACAAGCAATACGCAAGACGTCAAGATTTGCCAAGCAATTACAGAATACCTGGCTATTTTTGTACCTGTGCAGTGGCAATGAGGAAGGCATGCCAGATTGCCAGAATTGTTACGGCTAAGCCTATGGCGGCAGACGTCGTAAAGGCGAATTGGAGCATTTTTGGTGCGGATATTTGAAGCGAAGACACCTGAGTGAGCATGAGCATCTGCAAGCAAACCCATAGCGTGAAATTCCAAGTACGTTACAACGCACAAAAAAGACTGTCAACTTACTCTAGCATATTGTTCACGACCCAATTCAGTGTAGGCCGCCTCGTAGCTTATGCATGCGGCATAACAGCAACCTACTGCAAGCCACAAAAGAAAAGAAAAGAAGTACTGACATGACGATCACCACACAATCATGCCCAGTGCAACCCCACATTAAGAATCACCGCAGCTACAAAAAAACTCAATATGACGGCAAATCTCCGTACCCGATAGTTGTCTCGTCCAATGCAGTTATTTACCCACGGGCAGTGATGATCCAAGTGTGCGATGCATCGATTACAAACCGAGCAATGATGTGCTCGAGGTGGTCGAAAATGACGACACCTTCGGCAGTACGAAACGCCTTTATCACTAGTATTTGGACGGCATCCACGTCGTCTAGCCACGTGCATATGCTGTGTATCTCCTGGTAATTGTATTTGAGCATCATTGTCCACTTCATCAGGAGCCTTGGCATTGGGTTGAATTCTCAAAAGAAGCTCCATATCACCATGATTCAGCTCCTTCTTGTCGTCTTTTTGATCTAAAATCTCAATGTCCTTGTCAATTCTCTCATCATTGGCATTGTCCACTTGACTGTTTGAAACATCTGTCTCCATTATCCACTTGGCCGTAATAATTCCCTGGATAAGAATAAAATCACAAACATATCGATGCACATGAAGTAAAAGAGTTTATATTTGAACGATTAAACTGGTTTTACTTACCGGATCTGTCGCGCAACATAGTGCGTAATTAAAGTAAATATTGAAAAACAATACCATGGCTATGACGACATGACCTACCAACTGGAATAAAAACAGTTAAAAGCGCCCTTTTTCTGAGGGTTTTATATAGCAGGTTTTAGTTACCTTTATTGTCGTATCGGCCATTATAGGGATAATAGCGTACATGATAAAACCTCCCATGAGGAATAAATACGCTACAGCAATAGATATACAGAGAGGTTAGCATGAACTAATGTGACTTGCAACAATTGAAACACCATACGCACCCATGCCAATGGTAACACAGACGACACCTGCATACCGCATGAAATAACTCATGCTATGTATGAATGATACCATACAGAGGAGACCCCATTGCATGGGATCACGCCATTGTGGTGGCAGCATCGTTGTGCTAGAATTTGAAGAATGACAAAATGTGCCCCTATTTTCTTATCTTGTTTATTATATTGGGTTCAAACACACAAATGTAGGCTGAGTTGAAATGCGTGATAAAAAAGGGAGCTCTACTTGTAAAACATTTTGTATCCGTCACAAGTATACAGAAAGTAGCGACTATACAACCAACTATACATATCTTGTTGGTGAGCATTGTACAAAGGTACTAACTCGTTTCAGGATAGCAAAGGTACAATGAAGAAACGTCGAGCTTTCACCAATTGTTCAAATGACCATTGGGGTCTACTCTCTCACACCTATTTGACGCTCCTATCAGGTTTCAGTGACAGCTGCATGCGTATGATCAAACAACAGAGTCACGGGCCAACAAGTTGGTTGGCAACTGTTGCAAATACGACTGGCTACACCACAGTGAGAAATACATTGCAACGTCTTTAAGATCAAGCACGACGACATTAGCTACGTCCCTCTTTTTTCACCTCCGCATCAGCATAATTACACACACCTGTGTCGCTTCGACACATCAATCATCGGACGCAATACAAAACCCAAACCAACAGCTTTGTTAGCATATCGTTTGTCTCTGGCATTTCAGTTAAGGCAGTAAAGTCTCCCAACCTGCGAAGGCAACTCACTCAAGCACGTATTGCTTGGAGTTGCAGACGCATGCGATCCTAGTCATTTCCAGTAAAAATCGCAAAACCTGCAATTATCGCTCCATATGCGACATCAATCGTTGCTTACAACTTTGGCAGTGGATTTAGACTGTCGTATTCTCGTCCTGTTCCAGCTTGGCAAAACATGCAAGCGCAGGAGCATGCAGCACTAGCGACGACGGTAGTCTCTGCGGATTGGACACTGGGTCAAAGTGGTCCGTGTCATACATGCTCAGCCACTTTTTTAGCGCATCACGTAGCGTTTCAATTTTTCCGTACTGCGTCACAATTCCTCGTTCATGACACGCAAACTCGAGCTCACTGAGCGATAAGCTGTCAACGCCTTCTTTCAGCAGCTCCTGGTCGTCCAAACTGAGCTCCAACGCCCTTCTTTCTAATTTCTTCTGCACCTGTGACTTCCTGAGCAGCTTGTTCAACAGGGCAAAAGTTGGAAAGAGGACAGAGCCTTCGGCCAGCACGTAGACGTGTTGGTCCGAGAGCTCCGCAAGAGCCGCAGGTCCGTCAAAAAATGGCATCAGTTCCACCAAGTGATCCGGACGTAACCCTTCATTGCCCTTTGTCTTGGCCCTCGCAAGCATTTCCCGTAGGGTGTCGTCTTTGTATTGTATCTGTAGCAGTAGCTGCACTAATTGTGGATACGTCATGGCTCTGGCTTCTACATCCTCCTGCAAAAACTGCGTCTTTTGATTCGGCCGCCAGAACTGGGAGGGCAGTAATTGCTTTAGAAATTGATAACCAAGCAACGGTGCTGCATAACCCAATAGGGGTACACAGAAGAAGGCCAAAAGAGGCAGCGACTTGAACAAATCTCGATGTGCTTGACGGAGAAGAAGCAGCTCACGACGTGTGAGATGAATCTTTCCCTGCGACTCATAAATACGATAGCGCAACGCCAATGCCTGTTTGTTTTCATGATAGAGACTTTTTGAGCCAGTGACAAATGGTTGGAGCCATTTCTTTACCTTCTGATAGAACGACAGATCCTTTGACATCGAACTAAAGCATTGTATCGGGTAGATAGTCATGTGTAGAGAAGGATTACGTAAACTCTTGTCTGTAGCTATGCGTTGACTACGCACATGTAGAATGGCAAACAGCATGACGTCTTTGTGCTAAAGTGACCGACTACAAAGAGCTCGTCGATGTATTTTATTTTTCATGTCTGATGTTTTCTAACACTATCGTTACAAACTAAAGTATGTTGTACATAGTTTACACATATAAATTACCCGAACCTTAGTCGGTTCATTTTTGAAATACCGGTATTTCGAATCTTTACCATCTCAAAGGGGAGACACCAATCTAAAGCCACTGCCATGACGACAATGCCAGACGTGGAGATGACGGAAATCGAGCAAGTGCATCCACTACAGACACAATTTGAGGATGCTGAAGATATTTTATCAATGCTTTCACCCAATGCGTCACCTGATGTGCCTATTCAAGCCTTTCAAACCATTATTTCCTATGGTCAAAGAAAATACCTTGATAGATACCTAAAAAAACTGTCCATTACCAGTTTTACTGACACATTTTTGCTTCTTTATTGTATTAGACGGAGAAGATGCAGCATTGGAACAAGTTCAACGTGTAAAAGAGTACGCAATTTACAAATTGGCTCAATTGTACATTCAATTTGGACGTGAGAAGGAACTAGCGACGCTGTTGCAGTCCTTGCGACCCTTTTTTACGACATTGGCTCGTGCTAAGACTGGCAAGATCGGTACGGCCACTCCGAGTTATTCGTTTACTGTAACGTTGGAGAGAAGATTGACAGTGTATGGTTGACTGTTTTTGTTGTTGTAGTACGCACGGTAATTGATATGGTTGCCAAGGTGAAGGTGCTGGATGCCGAAAAAGCACTGCAGCTACAGGCAGATCTTTGTCTTGACTCAATTGAGTGGTGCAAGCAGGAGAAACACGCGTTTCTGCGTCAGCGTGTGGAAGCGCGTCTAGCATCCATTTACTTTCAACAGGAAAGGTTTCAGCCAGCACTGGATCTTATTACAGAGTTGTTGCGTGAGATTAAAAAGATGGACGACAAGCAGCTGCTGGTGGAGATTCACCTCGTAGAAAGTAAGTTGCACCACGCTTTGCGCAATGTACCAAAGGCCAAGGCGGCTCTCACAGCGGCACGTAGTATCTCCAACACAATTTACGTGGTACCGCGCACGCAGGCACAGATCGACCAGATGTCGGGCATTCTTCACGCCGAGGAAGGTGATTATAAGACGGCATACTCGTACTTTTTCGAGGCGTTTGAAGCCCTCGCGACGCTGGATGAGGTGGAGGGGTTGAAATGCCTCAAGTATATGCTGCTCGCGAAGATTGCTAGCGGTGGTGCGAGTGACGTGGCTCTCATTATCAACAGCAAACAAGCGATGAAGTATATTGGCATTGACCTCGAGGCGATGCAAGCAGTTGCCAAGGCGCACGAACAACGTTCTCTCGAGCAGTTTGAAGCTGCCACGACAAAATACGCACCTCGTACGTTGATTTAGATTGTGAAATGTATGTTTGATACATTAGGTGAGTCTGACTTGTGCCGTTGCCATTTCCAGAGCTCGTGGAGGACGCGCTGATCAAAAAGCACCTGGGTAAGCTTTACGAACAGCTTCTTGAAAGCAATTTGATAAAGATTATCCAACCGTTCTCGTGCGTTGAGATCGCACACGTTGCCAAACTGATTAAGCTGCCACTAGCGCAGATTGAGCTGAAGTAAGAAGTGGTTGGGTATATTTTGCTTCAGTCGCATATTGACTTGCTTTTTCGTACGGTGTGCTTGTACAGGTTGTCGCAAATGATCCTGGATCACAAGTTTCACGGCATCTTAGACCAGGGCAAAGGACAGCTGATCGTTTATGACAGTCCCGCTGAGGATGTACGTTCCAGTACTTTTGTTTTTGTAAGCTTTCTCTGTATGAGGTGTGCTTACTCGTAAACTTCGTTGTCCTGCTGTTTGTTATATTATGTAGAAAACGTATGCCTCTGGTCTCGGTGTCATTGAAAATGTCGGGAATATTGTAGACAGCCTGTTCCGGCGTGCTGAAAAGCTACACGCTTAAGTACATGACGAGCAATATACCTGCAGAAGAATGGTCTTCCATTGACACAATTACTGACAGTGACCAGATGCATTGTTGATGCTAGAGAAGCAGACTGACAGGTGTAGAGAAATCGTGAACAATCTCAACAAGTGCAAACCAACTTGTATTTCGTTACCGAACCTGCTACCATACAAAATGCGAATAATGAGTAAGTAAGATTCAGCACAGGTTGGCTTATCACTGGTGGCATCTTCATTCGCACCTCCAACATGCTGCCTATGAAGCAACATTTGTTCCAAAGTTTGCAACATAGAACCAAGCCACAAAACCACAACAATTAAGTGCGCAGTTGTAACATTGGAAGGCAACGTTCTAGTAGCTATGTGGTCTCAGACAGCTGTTTCATACCACGATGGAGTTACTTTGCAAGTCGCACATCCCTCCTTGTCATCGTCACATACAACTGGAGTCGTGTCGTGCAGATGAAGCTGATGATCCGACCATGACCATGCAAAGTTTTGGGCTTGTCATTGAACGTGTCAGTAGTGACAAGCTCTTGAATGTCTCTGTCGTCATTGCATGTTCACCTCACCATTACAGCTGAAAAACATATAGTAACCTTTGTCATTTAGTGAGCCATTTGTACTACTAGCCTGCCATATTGTTGTGTGTCTATTACAAAGCTGAGTCAGCAATGTGCGTAGAACTTGAAGCAAAAGAAGAAAGTAATTTTGTATCACATGTATTCTCTTCTACTTACTGCTTCATGAAGCTTGTTTAGAATAAATTTCAAGCAGTTTCATTTCAAAGGACTGATACAAAGCATGCGCATTTGGACTATGGATGTGTATCACATTTATCTTTAACAAAAGAGACACAAGTGAGAGACTTTCCCTACGCTGTTGATGCAACGTATTGGAAACAGCAAAGGGTTACACATAGTGTAGAAATGTTAACCACACCGAAGACATGATTGCATATTTGAGTGATTTTGCTACTGACCACCGAGAAAACAGGTACAAGTGTACGCCACGTTTGATGGTCCCTCCACATACTCACTGCCACCATCCTAGACGGTGGACATGCGATCCCAAAGCAACCAGCGATAGTGAAAGTTTTGTCAAACCAGATTTTGCTGATGGTGTCAGTTTGTAGCAAAACGCTGTAGATGGAGTCGAGGAGACATGTGGTTTGAATATGAGCAGCCTTTTTTGCGTAAATGTTTGCTTTGCTATCCATCAGATCCACACGCCATGATGAAACGGCCGAAACGACTTTTTCGTTAGAAGCACTTGTCGCTGAAGATGCCACGGGTCGTATCGCTCAGCAATGCGGCAAGAATGTTCCATACACCTTTTGCATCATGGAAAATACCAACCCACAAACACGCGTTCAATGGGATCTCTTTTTTTGGAGACCACTGAGCTCTCAACTGCAATCACGTCAGCTAGTTGAGGGTGAAAAGCCATGTTGTAGTACTAGATTGAGCGCTGCCGAGCATAAAGTCGCCAAAGACAACATGTTGTGGCCGGCCGGTTGCGGTGATGGCATTAGCCACATTGCTGTCACTTCTGCTGTGACAGAAGTGCGGAACAATTGCGGGCAGATCGTGCTGTCACACGCCGTTTCAAACCGACACTGTGGCCAGTTCCTCTTTCGGCCTAAAAACCAGCGGACCAATACGCAACCATTTTGACATGTCCTGCAGGTCGAGTGCACCAATCGCAGCGCAGGACGTCGCGCGTCGCAAAAAACTGCAGCCATTTCTGTTCGGAAGAGTGGCCAAAAAAGAGGGAACTCGAGTCAAGCGATCTTTATTTTTCTTATTCTCAACTTCAAAGGGGTCAAGTCCCTCGTGGTAGCAGGCATGGGCCACATAAAGCGGTCCAAGGCTCACGAACGCCTCATCTACAGACTAAGATGGTCACGCGACAGGCGATGACGAGAGAAAAGTATCCGATGGCCAGTTGACGCCAGTGCTGCTCGTGTCAGCGCTAATCAGTGCAGGGCGTCCAAAGCAGCAGCGAGAGTTCCAAGCCGCGCTCTGGCCCCATACTATGCCTGGAATCTCGCCTAAGTGGTTGAAAAAGAGTCATTCGCAAATTTACCGCCCGTGTCCCACCCGCCCGCCAGCTACACAGCCAATGATGAGCAGCATGTCTCTCCCTGCGAGCGCGACGGCGCCTAGCACTTTTAGTGTGATGCACCCACTGCATTGTGGTCCAGTGGCCTTTCGTCAGCAACACCAATTTTCGGCCGTCAATACGTTCGTGAGGACGCCCACAACAATGTCTCTTTCGCAATTAGCCTCGCCCACCATGACCCCGAGAAAGAGTCGAACGCAGCCCATGGCCAGTCCCAACAAGAAGGCGCGCAAGAGCCGCGTCGTCTTCGACTTCACCACGGAGGAAATGGCCCAATACTTTCATATGTCACAACGTGAGGCCGCGCAACAACTTGGAGTTGCCACAGTTACCATCAAGCGCAATTGCCGGCGCCTCGGCATTGTGTGGCCCTACCGTCTCATGAAGTCCAAAAAACACGCCATCAACTGGTCGGCCATTTCACGCGAGGATGCACTGCGGATTCGCCAAGAGCGTGCTCTGGAACAAGCCAAGGCTGGTCGATCTCCGTCGAGTCGTAGCAACAGCTGCAATCGTAGTCCATCAGCATTTCGTTTGAATACTGCTTCTGATGACAAGGCTGCTGCCAAGGTCATGACCATGCTAAGTCACTGCAGCAACGTTGAGCTGACAGAGGCTGGTCTTGCATTTGCACGGTTGCCGCTGGATTGCATGGACACTTTGGAATAGACTACTAGAGCTCTTGTATTTTTTTCTGATGTTTACTCGTGATGTCGCCTTCTTGTGAGTGACATTAGTGTATTATTATTATCCATACGAAATTCGCTGCATATTAGATTAATTAATTAAAACTTAAATGCAACAACTACACAGTCAAGTGTCGTTCCACAATAACATAGGTCTCTCTCCATTGGTAGCTGCTACATACTGTCAAGAACTAACGTCTGGATCAAGTAAGTCCCCCCCATTCAAACGGACTCAACTGACCAGAGACACTGACGTAAGATACAATGAGGCTGCAAATGAGGTGGCGTTGCGTTGGCCACATAGTGCGTACTACCCACTGCAAACTGGTAAAAAGTGAGTTACATAAGCTCTTTTGTAAGCCATAAGATTCCATCGTCACGATAGACGCCGTCGAGTCTACTGTCCCTCCAACAAAACTTGTTAGCAAAAACAGAGCTCAATGGGTTCTCCACCCTAGGCCTTACCCAAAACGGATTGATTCCGACATTGGTTCTAGCTGACTTTTTGACATCGAATCAGCTTCGTGGGGGTCTTCATAGCAAATTGGTGCAACATCTGAGAGACCGCAGCGCAATTTTTGGCGGTGATGATTTATATGAGCGACGCACGGGCTCATTGAGAAAGGCAGCGTTGGTATTTTGTGGCGTCAAGGTGGACGAGACAAGATCGCTGAAGCAAGTTCTGTTATGGCGCTGTATTACATTCCTGTATCTTCTGCCTGAGTTACACCCTGCTGCAATACCGAAGAATAGCCCATTCGTCCTGCTCTGCTCGACATTCATAAAACGCTCTTGCCTTTTTCCAACAACATCATATTAGAACGGTGGCCAGTATTTGCCGACACATCGTGTCATGTAAGAGTATCCTATACTGATCGAACAAATGTTCGGATGGAACACAATACGATGTATACTGCGAGCGCGTGACCTATCCTGTCTGCCTGAGCAGCTTTGCAATCAGCTGGGGATTCCTTTGTCGTTTATTGTGCCCGTGCTTTCATTGGCAGGCATAATAAGTCCAGCCATAGCAAAGGGTGAAAGCTACTTACGCGTTACGAGATCTATACGTAACATTCATAATATCATCGTGACATCTAGCCAAAAATCGTAACGCAGCGCTACGAAAATAAGCACTTTTGTTCCTTGTATTGTTTCGAAACACTACTACTTTGCCTGTCAATACAAGTACTTGCGATTGTGTCTGTCAGATTTCCACACATAAAGCAGATGTCTTGGAGAGACGTAGATAGACAAAGTCAAGAACTTGAACTATGCTTCCACTGACATGAGCCATGGGCCTACTAACAGTAGCTAGTACAAGAACACCAGCTTGATTGAGCGCAAAAGACAAAATGTGAAGGAAAGCTGCTAGTTAGGCTCATCACTGAACGCTGTTTAACAATGTTACAAGCTGCAACTAGCGCATGTTACTACAATATGCTTGTGCTGTGGCAGTTATGTAGGGTAACGCGTTCACAGTATGCATCGACCATTGCGTCATCGAAAGAAATCTACACCCTATTCAGTTCCATCCGAACATTTGTTCGATCAGTATAGGATACTCTTACATGACACGATGTGTCGGCAAATACTGGCCACCGTTCTAATATGGAGAGGTTTCGTTTCTGTTTGTTTGAATGTTGTTGGAAAAAGGCAAGAGCGTTTTATGAATGTCGAGCAGAGCAGGACGAATGGGCGGTATTGCAGCAGGGTGTAACTCAGGCAGAAGATACAGGAATGTAATACAGCGCCATAACAGAACTTGCTTCAGCGATCTTGTCTCGTCCACCTTGACGCCACAAAATACCAACGCTGCCTTTCTCAATGAGCCCGTGCGTCGCTCATATAAATCATCACCGCCAAAAATTGCGCTGCGGTCTCTCAGATGTTGCACCAATTTGCTATGAAGACCCCCACGAAGCTGGGGGGGGGGGGGGGGGGGGGGGGGGGGGCGCGGGTTATGGCTTACAAAAGAGCTTATGTAATTCACTTTTTACCAGTTTGCAGTGGGTAGTACGCACTATGTGGCCAACGCAACGCCACCTCATTTGCAGCCTCATTGTATCTTACGTCAGTGTCTCTGGTCAGTTGAGTCCGTTTGAATGGGGGGGACTTACTTGATCCAGACGTTAGTTCTTGACAGTATGTAGCAGCTACCAATGGAGAGAGACCTATGTTATTGTGGAACGATACTTGACTGTAGTTGTTGCATTTAAGTTTTAATTAATTAATCAATCTAATATGCAGCGAATTTCGTATGGATAATAATAATACACTAATGTCACTCACAAGAAGGCGACATCACGAGTAAACATCAGAAAAAAATACAAGAGCTCTAGTAGTCTATTCCAAAGTGTCCATGCAATCCAGCGGCAACCGTGCAAATGCAAGACCAGCCTCTGTCAGCTCAACGTTGCTGCAGTGACTTAGCATGGTCATGACCTTGGCAGCAGCCTTGTCATCAGAAGCAGTATTCAAACGAAATGCTGATGGACTACGATTGCAGCTGTTGCTACGACTCGACGGAGATCGACCAGCCTTGGCTTGTTCCAGAGCACGCTCTTGGCGAATCCGCAGTGCATCCTCGCGTGAAATGGCCGACCAGTTGATGGCGTGTTTTTTGGACTTCATGAGACGGTAGGGCCACACAATGCCGAGGCGCCGGCAATTGCGCTTGATGGTAACTGTGGCAACTCCAAGTTGTTGCGCGGCCTCACGTTGTGACATATGAAAGTATTGGGCCATTTCCTCCGTGGTGAAGTCGAAGACGACGCGGCTCTTGCGCGCCTTCTTGTTGGGACTGGCCATGGGCTGCGTTCGACTCTTTCTCGGGGTCATGGTGGGCGAGGCTAATTGCGAAAGAGACATTGTTGTGGGCGTCCTCACGAACGTATTGACGGCCGAAAATTGGTGTTGCTGACGAAAGGCCACTGGACCACAATGCAGTGGGTGCATCACACTAAAAGTGCTAGGCGCCGTCGCGCTCGCAGGGAGAGACATGCTGCTCATCATTGGCTGTGTAGCTGGCGGGCGGGTGGGACACGGGCGGTAAATTTGCGAATGACTCTTTTTCAACCACTTAGGCGAGATTCCAGGCATAGTATGGGGCCAGAGCGCGGCTTGGAACTCTCGCTGCTGCTTTGGACGCCCTGCACTGATTAGCGCTGACACGAGCAGCACTGGCGTCAACTGGCCATCGGATACTTTTCTCTCGTCATCGCCTGTCGCGTGACCATCTTAGTCTGTAGATGAGGCGTTCGTGAGCCTTGGACCGCTTTATGTGGCCCATGCCTGCTACCACGAGGGACTTGACCCCTTTGAAGTTGAGAATAAGAAAAATAAAGATCGCTTGACTCGAGTTCCCTCTTTTTTGGCCACTCTTCCGAACAGAAATGGCTGCAGTTTTTTGCGACGCGCGACGTCCTGCGCTGCGATTGGTGCACTCGACCTGCAGGACATGTCAAAATGGTTGCGTATTGGTCCGCTGGTTTTTAGGCCGAAAGAGGAACTGGCCACAGTGTCGGTTTGAAACGGCGTGTGACAGCACGACCTGCCCGCAATTGTTCCGCACTTCTGTCACAGCAGAAGTGACAGCAATGTGGCTAATGCCATCACCGCAACCGGCCGGCCACAACATGTTGTCTTTGGCGACTTTATGCTCGGCAGCGCTCAATCTAGTACTACAACATGGCTTTTCACCCTCAACTAGCTGACGTGATTGCAGTTGAGAGCTCAGTGGTCTCCAAAAAAAAGAGATCCCATTGAACGCGTGTTTGTGGGTTGGTATTTTCCATGATGCAAAAGGTGTATGGAACATTCTTGCCGCATTGCTGAGCGATACGACCCGTGGCATCTTCAGCGACAAGTGCTTCTAACGAAAAAGTCGTTTCGGCCGTTTCATCATGGCGTGTGGATCTGATGGATAGCAAAGCAAACATTTACGCAAAAAAGGCTGCTCATATTCAAACCACATGTCTCCTCGACTCCATCTACAGCGTTTTGCTACAAACTGACACCATCAGCAAAATCTGGTTTGACAAAACTTTCACTATCGCTGGTTGCTTTGGGATCGCATGTCCACCGTCTAGGATGGTGGCAGTGAGTATGTGGAGGGACCATCAAACGTGGCGTACACTTGTACCTGTTTTCTCGGTGGTCAGTAGCAAAATCACTCAAATTTGCAATCATATCTTCGGTGTGGTTAACATTTCTACACTATGTGTAACCCTTTGCTGTTTCCAATACGTTGCATCAACAGCGTGGTGGAAGTCTCTCACTTGTGTGTTGGACCTGGAATACAAATCAGATGTATGTGGCTGAACTGTTCAGTAGTTCCTAGCTCGACCGCTGCCGGGATCCTCGGCCATGAATGCGCAATGAACACATTCATTCGCGCTGAGAATGTTTTCTAGAATATTTATCTGTTCAGTATAATGAGCTGTGCAGAAATTGTTATTCCTACATGTATCTTATGTGTATGGCATGATCGGTAAGAATAGACCAATTGTTTCGTCGAGCGTATGACATGGAAGATTACAATGGCTAAATAAATCGTAGGAAGTGCGAGCTGGCGTCGGTAATTTGGGATGTCTCCGTCCTTGCCTTCTTGCATTTATCAATTTTACGCCCAAATTAAGAAATAAACCGTACGCAAAACGAGTAAAGAATGATAACAATTTGGACATTATTGTAGATAAAGAAATGTCTATATTAGACACTTCTAGTGTATGATACGTAAGTGATACATAGCTAAGAAAGAGTCCGTCACTGTCAACCTATTCTTTTTGACATGGCAATTTAATCAATATCAACAGTAAAAAATATTGACAGTATCAAGTAAGTTTACAGCAACGTCAGAAATCCATCCAACACAACACCCACGTAAAATATCAAACCCCAATTTCTATATCCATGTTCGCTTCTCGAATTTCAACTATGCTGCGTCATGCCGTTTCGACGGGTAGTCGACCACTACATTCTTACTACAATAACAGCTTGTCACCTCTTCAATTCAATCATCGTGCATTCTCCCAAGTCGTGACGTTTACATTTGTAAATAGTGATGATGATAAGACAACCGTGACGGCAAAGGAAGGCCAATCATTGCTAGATGTCGCGCATGAGAATGACGTCGAGTTAGAAGGCGCATGTGGTGGAGAATTGGCGTGTTCCACGTGTCATTTAATATTTGAGAAACGTATTTTTGATCAATTACCAGAAATGAAGGAAGAAGAAGAAGATATGCTTGATCTTGCTTGGGGTCTTACAGATACATCACGATTGGGTTGTCAAATTCCAGTCACAAAGATCATGGAAGGAATGACAGTACGGATTCCAGACGAGACGGATAATCTCATGTAGCCTGGAAGATGGAGTTTCAGATAGAAGATTAGAAGACCACTCAAAATTGCTTGACGTTGTATTGACTCAAGTAACATTTGTCCATTTGCAAAACTGGAATTGACAATGTCATGCTTGATGATATTCTGGCGCTGCATTACAGAGATTTCGTCGAGTGCTTCAAACATAGTCAGTCAGTGACCACACCTTCATTTTTTCCTCTTTCTAGCAGTCGTTTAGCGACTCGGTGAACAAGTGACATTGTGGTATCAAAATATACTTCCATACGCCCCTATCCTACCTCCGTTCAGTACTGCTTCCCTATCGTAAGAGTCTTGCTCTCGCACTACTTTCATTGATATGAGTCGTCCTGTATAGTACTTATTCAATCGGCTTACGTTCCAGCGCCTCACCCTTGAGAATCTTATCAATCTCAGCACCCGACAACGTCTCATACTCTAGCAGTGCCTCAGCTAACTTTTCCAAATCGGAATGCTTGTTGACAAGGATCTCCTTCGCGCGTTTGTAGGATGCGTCGCACAACTTCTTCACTTCGTCATCAATTATCTTGCGCGTAGTAGCACTTGTATCGTTCCCACGCAAGTCGTGAAACACCAAACCCACGTTCTCACTCATACCATACTTCGTCACCATGGTGCGAGCAACGTTCGTGGCTTGCTGGATGTCGGACGACGCACCGCCCGTAATCTCGTTAGTGCCGAATGTCAACTCCTCTGCCACACGACCACCCATGCAAACATCCAACCGTGCCAACAGCTGCTTTCGCGAAATGGACGTCTGATCGCCTTCAGGCAATTGTGAAACCATACCCAACGCTTGTCCACGCGGCATTATAGTCGCCTTGTAGACAGGATGTGCGCCCGGCGTGTTAATCGCAACCAGTGCGTGACCACCTTCGTGGTAAGCAGTAAGTTTCGCCGACTCCGGCGTAATCACGGCAGATTTTCGCTCGGCGCCCATAAGAATCTTGTCTTTCGCATACTCAAACGCGTCCATATCCACTACATCTGCACTTTTAATTGACGCTCGTAGTGCAGCCTCGTTCACCAGGTTTGATAGCTCTGCACCGGACATACCAGGCGTAGCACGCGCCAGCACATCCAGGTCAACATCCTCACCCAAAGGAACCTTGCCTCCGTAAAATTCGAGAATTTCCTTGCGGCCGGCCACGTCCGGCAGATCCACCGTCACGTGCCGGTCAAAACGACCCGGCCGGATCAACGCATTGTCCAGCACATCGGGGAAGTTTGTAGCACCAATGACGATAATACCCTTGTTCTGATCAAAACCGTCCATCTCCACCAGCAGTTGGTTAAGCGTCATCTTCATAGCCTGCTGTTCCTTCAGCTTACGCGTCCCACCAATAGCGTCGATCTCGTCAATGAAGATGATGCAAGGTGCTTTCCGCTTGGCTGACTCAAACAAGTCCCTCACACGACGCGCGCCGACACCCACATACATCTCTTCAAACTCGGATCCAGACGAGTAGAAGAACGGTACACCGGCCTCACCCGCAATAGCACGAGCCAGCAGCGTCTTGCCCGTACCTGGTGGGCCAGTGAGCAGTACACCCTTTGGCAAGTTGCCACCAAGGCGAGTAAAGCGAGCCGGATCTCTTAAAAACTGCACAATTTCCTCCAGCTCTTGTTTGGCTTCAGTAGCTCCCTTAACATCACTAAAACGTTTGTCACTACCCGTAGGACCCATCACTTTTGATGCGGTACCAATTTTACCAATTTTCTCGTCCAGCATAGCTCCCAATGCCGAAACAACTAAAAACGCCATACCCAATGTCCGCAATGTCTTCCACATATTGCTTTTAAAACTACCTTCCACCATAGACACGTAGACTGGATCACGAGATGACAAGCCCTGACTTCCACGACTCACAGCTGAACAAGCGGCAAACTGACGGGTCGCATTTGATCCCGTCGTCCCAATTTGCTGAATCAATTGCGGCAAGTCCACTGTATCAAGTCGACCTGTTTTAACCAATGCTTTGACGTACTCTTTCTGTACAGCTTCGTCTACCGCAAAACGGTTTTCCTCTACACGTCGGACTACAAGCGCCGGATAATTGTTACGGTTAAGCTCCTGCAAAAAGCGAAGCTGTGTATACGGATCCTCTGGATTAGCATTTGCCGTCTGTTCCAAGCTCTTAAGCTGCTTGCGTTTGCCACGCTGCGTTATATTAAACAGCGAGCGCTTGGTGCCAGAAGCGTCTGGCATATGACACATTAGAATTAGAGACTGTGCATGTAGACGCACGTTAGAGTATAGTTAGTATACATGACGAAAAAACGTATACCTCTTCCATTGGTCACAACCAGGAAGGCGTCAAGAACGTACATTTCTGACCACTGCATTCGAGGATTGGACCGTAGAAGAAGAGAGACGCTGGAGAAGTTGAAGGCGTGGCCGCAAGATGAGCATTGTGGCTTACAGTCAAGCGTCGATGGCTAGAGCGGGCTTTATTCAGTGCCTTGGGATGAGAACTGGACAATCAATTGGGTGATGTGTTGTAACGTATTCCTATTGGCTAAAATCGAGGACATGCAGTAACAACAGGACCTGACTATTCTTTTGGTTATTTTAGGCAAAACATGAATATTGGTTGATTTTTTATTTTAAGTAAGATTATTTAATTATGGTTGAGTCATGTTGCAGGAATGTAGAAAGCTTTGAATTTGATGAATTGCTTCCTATAATAATTTTGCAATTTTGAACAACAACGTTACGCGCAAGCATTAAGGTAGTATCATTTTTTTGTCTTCTAAGCATTTCATTGTTACAAGTTGCAGTAACAAGAGAGAAAAACCATCTGAAAGTGTTAATCAATGCTTTTTCGAGCATTTTTTGACTCACAATAAACGTCTTTCACTACGCATTGATTCGATTGGCTATGTCCCTCCATCATGTCATCCATCCCCTTGTCGATAAGCGTAATATAAAAAAACTATGCTGTGCTACCTTTTGCACGTTTTTTTGTGGGCACATTTATAAACCATGTCGTGGACTGAGCTAGGTGTCCTCCCATGCTGGCAGTGAGTCTATATCATTTGTGCCTCCTCACGTAGTTGACGAGCTCCTATCCGGTAAGATGCAGACATCAGTGTCATCACATCTACTGCTGTAGTCGCTTATGTCCGCTTTGTTAAAAATACGTTCGTACAGTCGCTTATGTCACTTTTTGCTAGAAATACTTTCGTTTAGTCGCTGTTACAGGGATACACGTTACGTTTTGATGTGTAAACGCACACAAGTAAGAAGTACACAACGTACACACCATATAGGAGGGGTGACGTTGCGGCCTCCCGTTGCACATTTGACTTAGCTTCATTACGGTATAACTTAGCTTGCATGTTGGTCAGTTAGCGATGGCCGTAAGCAATAATAAACCTTAATCATATTTTAAAGTGTAACAAGCCTTGCTTAGGCATAAATCTCTTGGGTCTGTGACCGTCCTTGATCCTAGTATAGAATCGACAAATCTAAGGAACTAAGAGGGTCTCCAAGTCTATGTCTTCCTCTGGCGCTAGTCACTTGCAGCCTCGATGTAGTCGCTGTTTACAGAGTATTTGATCGTCTCTTCTGTATCATGGCAATGCTGCTTGATCTAGGCGTAAGTAATGCAGGCACTGGCGATTATCTGTTTCGCGATGGAAGATTCGCAGCTGCCCCTGGTACTTTCGGCAACTGGAGCGCATGATGCATGGCGCGGCTGGAGGGATACTTCGAGAAGAAGAGCTCAGCAAACAAGCTTGTTTCTCGTCGACGCTTTTTACGGCCAAGAGGGAGAAATTGATGATGTACTGCAACAGATCAACCAGTAAGGACATTGGTGGAGAAGCTCGACGCAGTGGGTGCTCCGGTCAGCGAGGATGACTTGGTGATCACGCTTCTCAGCAGTCTCAGTGAATCGTACGCGTTCCTGATCACGGCACTGATGTCAAAAGCAGACTCTATAACGGGGTAAGAGTCCCTTAAGTTCACTTACACTAAACGTCTTACGAGGAAACGATAAAAACCACGAGTTAATAGAACGCGAGCTCAATATTTAATGCAACTCTTTTTTTTATTTTATAGTTTTTATCCTAAATACGAGTGGTCTTGGATGCCACTCAATATGAAGGTTGCATCCTATTGGCTGATAATGGGTCTGGCTTCCACTTATCAACAACTAGGAACACGACACGCCGTATCCACAGCGTATGCCTCCTTATGTAATATGTACTTAGCTATGTCTACTTATGAAAGGGCCTGCTAAAGTGCACCTAGGGGATGTGTACGGTGCATTCCGTTACAGACTCGCTATACTCATAACGTCTTGGCTGTTTTATAAAGACATGAAGCGCAAGGAACAAATTGGCTGTGTCGATAGATCTGCACAGGTCCAGGTCAAGCGTTCATTTAAGTGACCAGGGAAAGCGGAAGAGAGGACGACTGGCGCCTATGAAGATTAGTACTACATGCAGCTACCCTGGATACTACGGACATTTCATCGCCAAGTGCCCAGTGCAAGCTCACAAGAACGCAGAGGGCATGGGTAGTAACGAGCGAATATCGCGAAAGCTGAAGGCAAATTTGGCGATTACCTCTTCTCTGCTGATGGCGATGCACGTGCTACTAAGTCGAGTTGCGTGCGGTTGGTACTCGGTACACGACGTACTCGAAAGAGTACATGAAGAAAAAATACAAGTTTATCTCTTTGGTGGACGTGCATCTCGCTGACGATGATGTGGTTCAATCGGTGAGGAGCGGGCGACATAAAAATATCGATACAGACTCCAAGGGAATCATAAGGGTATGCTAACCGGTGTGTGGCTTATTCCTAAGCCTTTGCGAAATTTGTTTTCGTTTGGCCGCTTGACTAAGGATATTGGACCAGTCACTTTTGAGCGATTGCTGTTTTGCGGAAACAAAAGATGTAAGATGGAAGATTGAGTGGCTGCAAGACAATAAAACACCCAACGATCTTTTCACTGAATTGTTTGGGTCGACGTTTGAGAACACGAAAAAAAATCTGGGCAGTCGAGAATTTGCAACTTGGATCAATAACAAGAAAAGCTTTGACAAAGTGTACTCCGACGATCAAGCCAAGCTCTTTAAGATCATAAATTATAGTCTCTGCAGAAAGGATAATCGGAAATGATTATCATAGTTGGAAAGACAGATTCTGAAACCAGGTTATTAGCCAAAGCACTGGAATGGATGAGTCGCCGAAATAGTTTTCGAAAACTTTGGGCTTGTACTCCTAGGACAAATCCTCTGATGTCAACGTCTTGGAGTATAAACGGACTTTGTAGATTTATACAATAAAGAAAAACCTGACAGTCAGACCACGCTCTGAGATTTTTGAGGATTGCTTGGAAAGACTAATATACCCATGTTTGAAGGCACGCAAATACTGGTGGGATCAGAAAAAAATGCTCCGAAGATGTTGTCAGAATGCTAGGACTTAACAAATCAGGAACTAAATTTTCCGAACAGCGGCAGAAATATACGTGACTTGTGTACGTAGACACATTCAGCCAATTTTTTTCGTTAGGGCGACACCCTGCGCTTTCTTTTGCCATCTGAAGACTCAGCTTCGATAGAAGAGTTGTTCAATGTAAAATGTGGCAAAGCCACGTACAAATATATCATCCCGAGAAGCTTATTCACGCGGCTGAGGTCCTTGATAAACAGGCTTGCAAGGCTATCAAAAACGATTGACTGCAGCTGCGCCGGTGCCATAGGCAAATACTTCGTCGGCTTAGACGACTACCACAACGTTAACCTTTCCGTCATGCTTCCAGAGAATCATACCACTAAATCACGAGGCCGCTCAACCAACATGAAACCACACACACTTTACCAAACGCTGTCCTGCGCACACGACGAAACACACGCAAGCTATGTTACCATCCATCAAAGTGCTTCTTTTCTTACTACGGATTCATGTAACGGACGCAATATGTAAGACATATTGACACCGCTGCTGACTTGCCAACATGACCTGCTTATCCACTGCTACGGACTTGTCAACACAAGTAATGACATATATCTGCCACGAGCTGTGTAAAGCCTGCGCTGCGCAGCTTTGCATACAAGTACCTACCGGCTTGCCTGGGGCTGAGAAACGCTTGCAAAGGTCGAGGATCTTCACGAGATCGGTAATACTTGGTGACAGACTAGTAAGTAGTCGCCACAATCTATCCTTGAATCGCCCTTGTCTCGATGTATAGATCTCCTGACCACTTGAGCCGTCTGTGGGTCTTGCCTTAATATTGTAGGTGCGTCCAATCGCAGGGTTTTGTGTGTTGAGAGTTCGTGACCCTGTCCAAACTATCCAGGGTCGATCAAAGTAGAACGCGCGTGGGGTCTTAGACGTCGGGCGCCAATTACCCCACCCGGAAGAGAAGACGATGTGTTACTTGTTTGTAATTAAGCTCTGTATTATATTAACCAATGAAAAGTCAAAACCTATAATAATGCCTTTCTATCTGAAAAGTTATGCTATATATCCAACCAGGCGTATCCAAAAGATTGTACCTTTGTAGAGTGGTCTACACCGATGCCACGTGTCGTTCCGATCCTTGATCATCTCTTAGTTCTGCGGTCTTCATTCGCTGTATCTATATAGCGATCCAGGATCCAGGCCGCGATCAGGACCTACACAGCGATAGCGATCCACAAATGATAGTATTTCAAAATATTGTAGTTCTAGGATAGCGATCCGCATAGGATAACGATCTACATCGGATAATAATCTACTCGCAATCCACATCTGTACCGCGGTTGATGTGTGGTCCACCAAAAATATGGTACCACACCAGCGATATCATCTTTTCTACTTTGACACATGTGCATCGGTTTTGTCGTGACAACCCGGTACGATGTTGCTCGGTGATCGCTTAAAATAGCGCCACACTCCGCTGTCTTCGAGTGCTTCGGACTGTTTGCGCATCGCTTCCCCCATTTTCTGCTGCGCATCGTTTCCCTCATTTTTGAAGTCACGCTCGTATTCGTATATTATTGCACGTTCTCCATGTGCTGATCCCTTCTGAATTCCAACAGCCTGCGCGCGCTTTGTTGAGTTGTACGTCATGTGTGCTGCAGCGTCCATAAACTCTACTTCTTCTTTTCCGCTCCGGATCGTCAGGACCAGACTACGTCTGCTGGCTTCAGGATGCCATCGCTGTGACAGCTGCTTGACCCTTATACCAAAGTGTGCACTGCAGCTAGCAATTCTGCGCATCGCTGAGCGCTTCAATGTTCTTTACCTACTACGTGGTCGTGACCTTGTTATCCCTCTAGAAGGTACAATATGTATCCCTTGGCTTTATCGTTGCATCCGATGATGATGCCATCGCAATCACTTTGCCAGCTAGTTCATGCGTGGGTTGCGGTAGACAGAGAAAAAAGAGCTAAATCTACAACGTTTTGGAAGTTAGGCGCTTGTTTCGTCAGAACTTACAATGGTGACGTGCATTGTCACGCTTTGGCTGAGAATTATGCTGCATACATAACCTCATCACCCCAAAAGAAAACCTGCGATCGATTCGCGAAGATCATCGAGCGCGCCATGTTCAGCACCGTCCGGTGCATGCGCTCGGGTTTGCTGTTTTACGCTTGGTTGCGCGCTCGCACCTATTGTGCCATGCTAAACGACTAGCAAAAATAGACCGATGCTTGCATACTCGCCTCCACCGCCCGTATCGCGTAGAACCTAACGTTGGAAAATCGCCAAAGACTTTTCAGTTCTTCGAAGCTTCGTACGCCGTCGAAGCAAAAAACATGAGTCAGTAATTGAACTTGGTCCACAATGTTGACGCAATATCGGTATCCGAGCTGAACTTTTGGGGTCATTGGACCTGTGAATCAAAAAAGATGACGCCGCCAATGCGGTCGATTGGAAAGCTGGTGGTCGCGTCCTTGCGCCAGCTCATCGATCGACCGCATTGGCGGCGTTAATTTGCGTTCTTCGTCTGCTTGTCTAGAGCGCACAAAACACACGTTGGCTTTGCACGATACGTAAGCTTAATGCCGTACTCTGAGTACCTTGTCTTGCGCTCGAACGTGTCGCAGACAAGGTAAGCCAGACGCAGGTGAAAGGGTGGGGTGAGCTGCCCTGCGCGTTCGTGGCCGACTTAGCCGTCGACTCTCGAGATAGAATCTGCATCAGTACGTTGCTTGGCGTCCATGGATCGCGTTCTGAAGCCAGGTCTTGGTGCCTTCGCATGTCCGAGCAGTCGAGCGCGTCACGGTGCGGCTTACCCGTAAAGTCTGCGGCGAGCATCGAGCTGAACATATCGCTGTCGACAGCGCCACGTATGCTCGCCGTCGCCGATCCTTGTCTGTGACAGCTCCATCTTCTTCATGCGCTCGTCCATTTCTCAAAGCATCTCAAATAGCCTTTTACAACGCATCGGTCTCCGTGCTCCTTGTGTAAGCGTGTGGAGGGGCGACCACAGTAGGATCCGACGCAGCCCTTTCGTGACTGGTTGCTGGTGGTGCCTGTGTCGTGTTGGTGTCGTCGGTCGTCTTTGTCGATAAGCTCATAACCTGATCGATGGTGATGTTGCTAGCTGCAGAATGGAAGTTGGTAGCGCTGTAAGATTAAGAACTCTGTTGTTGTCTGTGATGCTTTTCTTGCTACTACTTGTTTTGCTCTTCATTGCTTCTGTCCACTCAATCAGACATCCATCGCTCCTGTCCGATCCATCGCCAAAACTAATCGCCTTACAACTATAAGTCGTCAGCCATTACTTCAACCATTTCGCAGCAGTGCCTATTTCTAGCAGACTTGCTGTTGTACGTGGCTCACACTAATCACGATGCTCCGTCCTTTACGAAGCCAAAATAAACAATACAGTCTAAGAGGCTGTCAATAATTACAATAACTGAAGAATATATCCGAATCTCATATATGACGAAGCGAATTTTACGTCGGATACATTACGAAAAGTCATCTTAAGTGATCGTACTTAAGTGCATTTATGACCGAATCTTGGCAAGTTCTATCATATTAGGACTAAAAGTAAAATGTACGCACACTGATTGGTCAAGAACTAAGGATAGATGGCATTGTGAGCTCTAGATCAAATGTGAAACAGTGGATAATATCCTCGTTTTTTTTTTCATTCAACTATTATAAATAACTTACCAATCATTGTGTAAATTTCTCAACTCCAGTAAAAAAGCCAATACTTTTCATGCCAAGGATGGTAGACGTTAACGTGCAGACAGATCCATTACTGCCTGTACGTAGTCGTATTTACCTTGTTATTGTACTTGTCTTTATATCTACAATAATCTCATTTGTATATTACTGATACGATAGGCAACAGTAATTGGTGTCGAGCAGGATATTTTAATTGGTGAGCGTGTGCGGAAAAGTTTCGGATCACGGACGTTCTGGGGTTCCGTGGTCAGTTGTTATTGGATTTCAGGAGGTTTGTTCTATAAATTAAGCTTTGATGATGGTGATGTGGATATTTTATCATCCGATGAAGTCTTGCAAGATATTGCAGCAGCTCGAAAACATCTGAAGGAGAATCAAAATGTGGTGGCAAAAGGGGTCTCAATTGATGAAACAACCAGTGTGGATGATTATTTTATGACCATGAGACGTCATAATTTGAAAAGAAGAAGAGATGATGCGGTAGGTTCGACCGCTATTTGTACTCGGCGTGTTCATTTATGGGGTCAGAGACTCTATGCATCCATTTATACCAATATGCAGAATGAAACATTTATTCGAGAAATGCTGAAAACAGATGATGGAGAAATGGGAGAGATGGAAGCTACGGGACAGGTTGAAGTGGGAGATATTATCTTGGCAGTTAATAAGACGAGAGTATTGGGTATGGCAAGTGCGAGACTAGCAGAACTTATGAGGAAACAGAAACGCCCTATCACGTTAACGTTCTATCGGCCACAGCATTCCGAGACTTCCAAGAAACTGCAGGAACAACACGTGAAACGGTCTTTAGCTTCGTCGAAAGTGCATGATGCGAACGCACAGACGCCACCGATGCAGCAAAATTCATTACAAGTACAAGCAGTGCCGTTGACTCACCATGCTACCACAATACCTCGACAAAAAGCTAATGCGTCGATGTCTGGTGTGATGCCGTCGTCATCTAGCGCTTCTCTGCTCACATTTACGCAACCTTCATCTATGGTTGGAAGCATAGCTGACCCGTTGATTCAACAAAGTAGCATGTCGCAGACACATGGACTATTGGCTAAGGAGAAATTAAGGCAAAGACTAAATCAGAACAGCATTATGGCTGCTGGGCAAACTAGCTACATGCCTGGATATCCGACCACGGGCATATTTGGTCATCGAAACGTGGTTTCTGCCTGTGGTGTTTCTCCTGTTCACGTTGGTGCGCGTCAACCTCATCAGGTTCAAATGATGCAAAACGTTAACAACGCTGCTCCAGTAAGACTTGCATCAGGATCCGCTGTTCCTACCGCACAACTTGCAAGGCCTATTCGGCCCGCTCCGGTAGACCGCAACCACGGACCTACTCAGCGACAACATACCGTTCCAGTGGCTTCTAATCAAGCGTGTCAGGTGAACGCAGTGCATGGTCCGAGTGGTCATATCAGTGGGCAACGACAACCCAGCGCTTCAACAACAAAGCCGAGTAAAGAACCAAATAAGTCTTCTGTTGTCTCGGTTGTCGGACTGGGGCGACAATCTACCTCGTTGCAGCCAGAGAAAGGCCAGCCGGAAGCATCGACTACTTCGCAGAACACTTTCAGTCATAAGCTTACAAGCGATCAAAATTTTGTCGTGGGCACCTCATGCGAAAATGTTACTACTACAAGTACTTTGGTGTCGCCGACACCCACTATTGGCACAAGCATGGTAAAGACACGCGACGCCGAAACAATTGCAAGACTAGCTGAGACAGATTCTAAGGCTGCTGAGCGCGCCATGAGCCGTGCTATTCTCACAGCTTCATTGGTATCACCAAACAAAGCTGCACAGAAAGTGATAGGAGGCACAACTTCGCCCTTGTCGGCAAGTTCACCGGGTGATGAAGACCAAGCGGCGACAAAGTGCAAAACGTCAGGCAGTTCCGACTCAATGTCGTTTCTGTCGCCAAACGGTTCTAGCATCGAGGCTAGCATGCTGCCGCATCGGAATGTGCCAGCAGGGGTCCCAGCAAACAATCTTGCTGAAGTTAAGTCAAATGTTAGCCTCATGACCGTGACTGTATCTCGTCGCCGGTTGTACCTTACTTTAGGTTTCCAAGGTATCTTCATCGCTGTCACGTCTTTCATTCTAGACGAGTTTGGCCAACCTGGTGAAGTTCAAGCAAGCGGCAAGGTGTTTATCGGCGATATATTAGTACGTATCAACCAAATCTCTATATCTGCTGGGTTGACGCCTGGTCATGTGGCTAATATTGTAAACGGATCGCCCCGGCCTATGACACTCTGGTTCAAGCGTGCATCATGGGATATTCTAAATGGCAAGGTGTAGTAAATCAATCAGTCAACAAACCAGTACAATGCGAAGACTGGTATTTAGAACGTAAGTGACAAGATATGCAGATTAGCTGTAAACGCAGCGCGTGTTTTCTTACGCTTTCAAATCACTACAACGTCGTGCACGTTATGCTCGCAAAAAATCAGGTCATTTATTTCGTCAATGCTTAGAAGACGTTGTCGTACTTCTCCATGGCACCTGACACAGCATCGACGACTCTTACTTCGTTCATAACGTAGACCGAGCGGAACGCGCCCGATTCGTCAAAACGCTGGATAGTGCGCAGACGTCGTGAGTTGTCAATGCCTGTGATTGTCTCCACCATGAGCGGACATCCTGCATAGCGCAAAAGTTCAACAAGCATCAGAAGTTTAGCCTACTTCTCACATCATAGAAACCAAACCACCATTCAAATCAACAACTCCCTAACCTGAACGCTTCGAGGTAGCCGTGATGATAAGAACATTGGTTCCTAGCTCCTGCATGGTAATATCAGAGCCACGTAGTGTCGGATCATCCGTTTCGACCTTGAGAATACCATCCGATACGGGTTTGATCCACATGTGCTGCATGGACGTAAGTCCACTCATGGTCGTTCTCGATTGACGCTGACTCCATACACCTTCATCATCGCGAAAGATGAGGTCATTTGAGCACACTTGACTACCCTCATCCTGTGGTGGAATTGTTGCAAGTTCTCCATTCCATCGGCCTTCCATGCTTGGCAATACATGATAATTGCATCCATTTACACGTACAGATAGCTGGTTAAAAAATGCTCGACCTGAGCCCAAGTTTTTCTTGCCAAAATGTGGTGGTAGACTGTCCTTCAACGAGCGTGAGATAATACTTTTTTCCATCCCAAGACGATGGACCGTACCATCCGAGCCTGCAGCCCAGATATTATCTATTGGATAATATCACACCCCCCCAAAAAAAACAGTTAGATAATATATAGGTTAAACCTTTCAAAATTAATATTTCAACCACCATCTGTTACCTTCTTTCAACATTTGCATATTGGCATCTTCGTGTTTCCTGCGAGTTTTAATATTTTCCGCCAAGAGTTTGTAATTCAAAGGATGAAAAGGCTGATGAGCTGCTTCAATATGCACAAGTACATCTCCATCTGTAATTCCAAGCTCTGCTAATGTCTTTTCATCCGGTAATTCTTTGCCTTTATGTAGAAGTAAAATAAAATTCGGATGATTTGCATTCCCACCATTTTCTTGATAGGCTGCTTTCACTCCTGCTACAGATTCAAAAGGATATGTATCCAATGTAAATGCACTGGTTTCATTCTTTATTGTGACTTTAATCTTTTCCGTCTTAGGTACGATAGTAGACGTAGAAGATGAAGAAGGCATTGACAACGTTCGTAATTTGTATCAATCAAAAAAAGTGCTTTTCTTGAACTGTGGCTTGGAAATGAAGTTGCTAATTGTATTGTGAGCAAGACTTTTTCTTATTTAGAGACATAGTCAGATCAAACGATTCGAGAAAAATCGAGAAAATAATAAAGGAAGTTATGAAGATCCTGTAAAAATTAATATTTACGAACAAAAAAAAAAAGGGTAGTTTTTTTTCTTCACAATACCTTTCAGCGACCGTTGTATCAGAATCAGAAAAAGTGATCATTTGTGACTGATTTATTGTAGACGAATTTGTGACAACGTCGCAAAAGCTTCAGACAATTCTGACGTTCGAGCTCGTCACCAACACAATGATCTTCTCAGTATATAATCACTACATCCACGCTCTAATACTGCTTCCATAGGATGCAATTATCTCTGGTTGTACGCTTCAGATCCGTCAGAAAGATTGTCTATAGGACTGCTGACAACAGGAATAGCGTGGCCTTCATACGTGCTTTACTGCTATTTTAGGTTGCTCGTTGACGTGCGTTTAGTTTGAGTGCTTTGATTGACGTCATACCGATCAAAAGCGATAACTTGCGGTTTTGAGATGCTAGCAGTGGTCCCTTTGTCATGCCCTAATGTGTCCATCAAATGGAGCTGTAGCATTATCGCCATCAATAATGGTTGCTGGACACGCTGCAGTCGTTTGCGTCAATTTACATCCGACTTGGCATTAGATGGATGGACTCATCTCATTGCGAAAGACTCTTGGAAAATGCACCAAAGTGCTGGACTGCTGTTATGGCAGCTTGTTTCAACTTCCGGCCTTCAAGATTGAGATTCGTATCACTAGAGTCGTTGAACTTGGATAAAACTATCACTTCCTCTGTCGTCAAGCTGTGCAGCGATAGATATGCTAGAGTCAGTATATGGTAATCACAATGCTGTCATCATCCATGGTCGTAACACAATCCATACCTCCACGAATGCCGCAGGATATCTTCGACGAGTGTATACCGGTCCATGTTCTTGAGAACTCGCTTAAAACTATCGTTATGCAGCCACATCGAATAGCATCGCTCACAAGCATCTGGCACACCCAGCATATCACGATGCACAACTTGATTTTCACAATCATGTGAAAACAACATGACTCTATTCACACAGCAAAACATCACACACACACACCTCACATGATTAGGTCGAGACAGCTCATCTCCATTCAATACCCTCTACCCCAGCAAAAACTCACTTATCCGATCGCATATCTCGCACGATATTAGCGCGATATGTTCCCACATAATACTTTGCAAAAGCATGCACGAGCTCGACATGGTCACGGTAGAAATCATCCGGCACAATGCCTGGACATCGCCACCCACCTGTTGGCAAGTGAACGAAAGTCGTCCGCAATTTTGACATGTTCCTTCCTCTCTCCACTCCCTTCTCTCCATCAACTATCTCCTTCTCGTCTTTTTCTTTACTACACAAGACTCGCAGTCTCTTTCGCAGTATCCGTCGTGGTTCTATCTCTACTTTACTTTCTCGTCGTCTTTGCTCCTGCTCAATTGTCTTTATAGTCGCTCGATGAGCCACAACACGATTTTTATGCATCACCCACGCTGCCTCTTGGTATTTTCCATTCATTTTGACCTTGAAACCTCTTGCATCATTAGGTTTACGTCCTTTATGCGTCCTAAAGCAGTAAAAATACCAGTGTCAAAGGAGGTAAGAAAAACAAGCCTTGTATAGTGAATACAAGACGACTTACCGCTCAAAATAAGCAGCACAGGTACGACATAGAATCCACTCTCCATTCTCTTCATCTATTTCCTGTGCTTCGGGATCATAGCGTACGCTATCGGGCCACTCGGAACGTCGACGTCGAGCCTCATACATTACGTGCTCTGTTCACGTTGTGCAGTGTCAGTAAGATCCCTCGTCACAGTGACATTACATGGCACATGTACTTGAACTTGTCGTTTTTGTGTCTCTATTTCATTCGTTTACTCGTATGACGAGTCAATGGAGCTCGTCACGAATCAAATAACAATAGCGTCATTCATATACCGATTGTGGTCTTTCATGTGCTGGATAAAGGCTTTCCACGCATGACTTTGATTCAGCAATGTTGAGTTCCCGACAATCCATAGACTGCTCTTGGCTCGAGTGATGGCGACATTCATACGCCGCTCATCGGCCCAAAAGGCATCAAGGATGTCAGTATTGTCCTTGTTCTTGTCTCGGTTCCACCTCGTCTTTGTTCTGCAACCACTATAGCTTGTACGAACACATGAGTAAATGATGATCTCCTTTTCGCGACCCTGAAAACCGTCCACGGTATTCACCTCAATGCCCAAGTGGCGATTAAACGCCGTCTCAAGCTTTCCAATTGCACCACGCAATTCACAAATCTGTTGTTTGTATGGTGCAATGACACCAATACGCTTTTTCCACTCCATTTGTGGATAAGTTGTGAGCAGACGACGCACGAGCTGAACCACAACCTCGACCTCATTCATATTACGCAGTGACGAAGACCTGTTGACTTGGCTCTGAACTCCTTGCACATCATAAAATAGCAACGGCTCGGAAGCTGGATCATGGTGGTAGTTCTGAGCAGTCCAGTCACGCATGTTGCCGTCTTGCACCAGCCGTCCACCATAGAAATAGAAGGACGGAAATTCAGCGATTTCAGGATGCATTCGATACTGCTGCGTTAACAGCAAAACTGGGGAGCCGTTTTCCACAAGGCGCTGCTGCAAACTCCGATCATAACCCATAGATACAAGCTTCTTTGAAATTACTGTAGCCGGTAGCTGTCGGTGGTCACCCACTAATACAACTCGCTGCGGACGGAACTTGAACGGGATTAGCGTACTAGCCTCCACAGCTTGGGCAGCTTCATCGATAATCAAGGCATCAAAGTCTTGCGCAAACTCACACATTGATACAGAGCCTGCTCCGCTAAGTGTGCAAAACACAATCTGCGCGTTCTTGATGATCGCTTCACGTGCCTGCTTCACAGTCGAAAACGTGCTTCGATGCTTTGACACTAAGCTCTCCAGAAGCACCTCTTCCACCTCGCAAGCATACTTTCGCATCTTCTTGCGATTCTTCTTACTTTCACTGGCATCACGGACCGCAGCAAAACTTAATGGTTGCTGGTTACTTTCCGGACGACCCACGCGCACAATTCGTGGACGATAGGACTCCCCCCTTCTCGCCATCAAATAAGCCTTCGCTAAGTACTCGGACCACCAATTCGTCGACTGCAGCATTACTTGGTGCGGCCACGAGAACTCGGATCGAAGTTTCAGCTACAGTCTTCGATACGGCCGAGGTCCGCGCGCTTTGGATCGATGCCCCCACACGAATACGCGTCGTCCCTCTTGCTTTTGAGAGTGTAGAAAGCCCAGCACCATCCAGCAATGCAGAAAGAAGACCCAAGATTGTTTTGGTTTTACCAGTTCCTGGCTGCAGATTTGCACACACAAAACAACTTCATATTATTATCGATGCATCCTTTGCGTCCAGAACAAAAGAGGCATAAATAACGCACCGGTCCTTGAATAATAACCCTGCTGTCTTCTCCCAAACATCCGAGGATCGCCTGCACCTGTGAGTCATTGTAATGCTTACGCAGATACTCCAAAAAGCGTGGCGAAAGTACTGAAGACGATGCCGCAGAATGATTTAGCGTCTGCTGTGCATTCGACGCCGCCAAGTGTCCACGTAGTAGCGTTTGCTGAAGATCGCTGGATAAAAACGATATCGCCTTGATTGCCTGAAACTCGCGTGCGCTTGTAGTAGTGCTGTGTACTTGTTGGAGGGACCATTGCCAACTCGGCGCACGCTGATTTGACAGACACAACTCTGTCAACGCGCTAAAACTTTCTGCACCATCATCTTGATCGCGCTTGTGAGCACGGACAAGGACGCAGATCTGGTCATCATGTCCCGACCAACCGCCTCCACCCTTATCTCTTGAGCCGCTCTTTCCTCCTACTGCTACCAGTGATCCGCACAGCACCACACCAAAGACGTACATTCGGTAATTCTGCCAGCGAGGAGAACGCACCGATACCAAATCGCCACTTAAGAACTCTGATGAACTCTTCTTGCCTAGCGCAGAGGGATCAAAGGTGAGAATGTAATCGTTGCTGCTGGACATGCTTCCAGTAAAACCACTTTCGGAGAAAATGGCGCCGAAACTCAGTCGCTTTGATGATTTAAAACCTCTCTGTACGCCGCAAGGTGATACGGACGCGAGTGGCAGGTGACGAGTTGGCCCCGAGCCTCCACCGTCCCTCCGGTCCGTGGCGTTGCTCACTGAAGCAACTAGCTCTTCCATAACAGCCTCAAGCTGTACGCCACAGTATTCTTCTATGGACAAATACTGAGCCGGCAGCTTTCCAGCAGCGTATTGTCGTAGGAAATCTCCCTTCCGGCCTGATCCACGGGCATTTATTGGCGACATATCCAGCAAAAAATCGTAAAAATCATCTAGCGCAGGCCATAGTAAGGAGCTTCTTTTACTGACTGACAATTTGGCGCTAGCAGACAAGTGACCCAGGCTACTTCGCTTCTTTGAAACGCTATTTGCTGACACTGAAAGCGATGATGATCCCGAGGAAGGCACAATTGGGCCATTTGTTGATTCATCTTGCTTGTCACTTGCAGCGCCGTTGACCACAATATATGACTTTGCTTGGTTTTTGCAGCCTAGATTGCCTCCTGCTGCATGAAGAGCAGCTTCGAGTGCATTCAAGCTCGAAATGTCACTCGTTTCATCTTCCTCACTGTCCGATTCGGATTCCGACGATAAAGATGAAAGTGCAACAGCCTCGCGCCGTTTTCTACGGGTTACGCTAATCGACTCATTTTCACCGTCATCATCCTCATCGCCTGAGTTGCTAGGTGCCGTAGTTTGATCAAAATTGTCACTACCCGTCGGTGTACCCGATTTCGGCGTAGCATTAGGCTCGCTATCAAACATCGCCTTGGATGATTGTAAGCCGGTTTGAGCCGATAACGCTTGTACGACGTCAAGCGACTTTGTTAAAGCAGTAACCTTAGTATTACAAGTCTTATCCATATACTCGTCATCGGCGTTATTGTGATTGTTATCGTATCGAACCTTGCACTCTGGATAGTTTCCGTTGTCAACTGTTGACCCTCGCCCAATCGATTTATCGTCAACAACAACTTCTCCCTTCTTCTTGTCGTTCTCGGTGACTTCCTCGTCGATTCCTACCATGCTGACATTCAATACACCGGCATGGCCGAGTTTGTTTGCAACATGAACACAGTCGTTCACAACGACTTGTGTCGATGATGAGAGCTCAGGTTGCTGTAGCGGCGCAGTCGCATGTTCTTGAATTGACTCATGCTCGCTCACTATTGGCTCTGTGGATAAGCGCGTATCGTCCGCGCATGGCGCAGAGTGGCCAGATAATGGTATTGTTGCCACAACATTTTGTGGCAAGACTTCATGTGGCACTTTTGATGTACGCTTTGTTTCTATGTCAAGGTCAGTGGCATGTTCTTTGTCCTTTTCGCGCTGCTCCTCACACAGACTTGCCTCTTCATTAGAAGCAAGCACGTCGCGCTTGCTTTGTGTTTCTGACAACGCACTTCGGCTTTCTGCAAAACAGATGTCTGTAATGTGTCCCCGATGCTGGCAACCATCCTCCAGTGAAGCCTCTGTCTTCATCGTCTCGTCGCAGTCACATCTTGCTAGATGCACAAAGTGAGCCCTGAAAGTTCCAGTAGGAGTTTTCCATGAACGATCCTGTGGTGACATCGCAGTACCGTCCTGGACGTTGAAATGGCCAGGCAAACCGCAGATATTTGCTTGCGATGGTGAAGTAAAGGCAGCTTGAAGAAGCTCGTTGGACCGTCTGAGAAGCTTGTTCTCGCGTCTCAGGCGTTCCATCTCTTCTAAAACCTCAGGTGTCACGTCTGTTTGCTTGGTCTGCAGCAATGTCGTTGCCGCTTCTTCCTGAGTGGCCGTAGAGACTTGTTCGCAATGTGATTCCACAGTTGCCAGTTTTGCTGGAGCTGGAAAAGCACTCGGCACGCGAAGACTAAATGACGCGAAGGAGTTGGTGTCAGTGGTGATCTCACCTTCATTTGAATGCGGTGATTTCTGAATCACTGCTAGTCTGTTTTCCGCGTCTTCAAGTGCCATTGAGAACATTAAATCTTCGTCCACGTCATCAGCAATGAACTCATTGATTGCTGGTGTTGAAGGCCGCAATTCATTCGATGCTGCAGGAGCTGCACGATCTCGCATCTCAGTCTTTAACGATGCATTAGAAGCAACTGCTTGGCTCTGTTTTGCCATCGACATGACCGGCTCCATTACGTTTTCTTCCTGTTTCACAAGCACCTTTCCACCAATCGTCTCCAATCCATTCGTAACAACCATAGACTCTGTAGGACGTACATCTGCATTGACAATTGCCGCAGCAATTGGTTTTTCTTCACAATAAAGTGTCTTGATGCGTTGTTCCACTCTTTCTTTCTGCTCTTGTTGTACTTCAAGTTTTACTCGATCTAATGTCGTCATGAAAGCCGCCGTTGACTCGTGACTTGCTCGCATTGTTCTCTTCTTCTTCTTCTCCTCCTCTTCCTTCTTCTTCTTCTTCTCTATCATAACATTTGTATCACTTATACATGTCTTTTTCACAGCTTTATTTCGTACAATCACACTTGTCTTTGCCTTCATTAGTGGCTTAACTGCTTTCCTCCCTTGTATCAAATCTTCCACTTGAGTATGTTTTGTCGGCGAAAAAGTATATTCTACGCCTGTTGCAGCAAGACGTTTCTTAAATTCACGCATTCCTACTTCTACACTTACAAATTCACTCTTTTCATGCCTTGAACGGCGTTTAATCTTGCGTTCTGTGGCAGGAGTGATGGTCTTGCGCTTCCTCGCGTCCATTAGACGTCCCAAATGCGGGTCAACCTCGATGATTGTCGTACTTCTATTTCAACCAATGAGATACAAGTGTAGCCATTACAGCTTTTACCCAATGATATACCGCAAATGACATTAGATGCTGGTTGTAATTTAAGCGCTTTATGCGCTTAATTCCGTCGAATATGTTACAAATGTTCAATATAACCTTTTATTTAAACGCACGCTTAGAATCTCCGACGGTGGGCTGCCAGTCTTTTGGAGCAAAAAAAACCCTCAGTCAGTTATATAGGACGGCAAACGCACGTTTTAGACGCCTACGATGTCGACGATTGAAAAGAAAGTAGACGGCGACGGAACGTCTAAAGTTGAGACGGAGAGACAGAAGTTGCTCCAGAGTCTGAAGAACCACAGGCGTATTTTGAACCAGTGGTTAAGCTCGACGAGATTGAAGTCACGACGGGTGAAGAAGAAGAAGAGGTTCTTTTTAAACAGTATGTATTATCAACGTGTGTGTTTTTTTGGCGTTTTTAATAACGTTTGGGGCGTTTTTTTTCATGGGTTGTAGACGTGCCAAGGTCTTTTGTTACCGTGAGACTTTGTTGGATAAAGGTACAGGCAAGAAATCATGGTGTGAACGTGGTGTGGGGGATGTACGTTTCTTAAAACACAAGGAACATCAAAAGATTCGTATGCTCATGCGTCAAGAGAAGACGCACAAGATTTTAATCAATCATTTGGTTGAATCGCGTACGGAACTGACGCCCAATATGGGCAGTGATCGTGCTTGGGTCTTTAGTTGCTATGATTTTGCTGAAGGTGTTGTGGAAACGCAAGTATTTGCATTGCGTTTTGGCAATTCCGACAATGCTCAAAAGTTCAAGGAGATGCATGATACAGCAAAGGCAAACAACAAGAAGCTTGAAGAAGCGGGTGCGGGTGCTGATGCTGCTGATACATCGGCGGGTGATGATGCTGCAAAAGCTCTCGAGACTTTGGATGTCAAGAAGGAGGAATAGACACTGGATGGAAAGCATTGCGGACAAAGTGAATGGTGTCGAACAGTTGGTGATATAGGAGAGTGAAGGGGGTGAAAGAAAAAATGAAAGTGATACATACAGCCCATAGGACGTGAAACAGGGATCAAGTATTGGCTGACTGGTGAAGAAAAGATGGCAATCAAAAGAAACAGTGGTGATTGATGCATGTGCAATTGCTGGTGAGTATCTTTTGAGAGGTGCAGTGCAGGACCCAGTAATGCACTGTGTCTGCCTACATCTCTACCTCTCCGCCTATTGTGGTCATCAGATTGTTTCGTTTAATACTACTTTTTCAGACCATATATATCTGTCTCATCGTCTTCGTGTTCAGCTATTGTTTTCTGCTGCTACTGTATCACGATGCGTACATCGTCTATAGTTCAGACAGCAGATGTTCAATGGAGCCATCTCGGGCGTCAGTGCAATTTGTCATGGTGATCGGAGGCGTTGAGCGGTTGTAGATGAAGACGCCAGTGATAACGAAACAAAAGCCGACAAAGTAGAGACTGCCGAGCGTCTCGTTGAAAACGTATTTGGCTGCCACGACTGCAAAGAAGTCGGACGTGAGCAGCGACAAGCTGAAGACAGCAGCGTCGCCCGTTGTAAGGAAGATCTGGGCACGACCTCTAATGTTAAATGTCGTCCGTCAAACGTAAAGTAGAGATGGTTAAGCATCCATACCGATGTCATCGTGTACATGGCGAACGGTGTGAGAATGTAGCCGAGCAGACACAGCACGCTGAGCCACGTCCTGGTGCAAAATAACTTGGCTTGACAAACAAGAGATATACAAGTTCCGTACCAGTCTACAGCGCGAACGATATCTCGTTCAAAGAAAGTATGCCGCTTGCATCGAGCTAATGAGGAGACCAAAAAAGAAATCAACCAAGCTGAGAATCTCCATCAACAGCGTCAATGATCAAGCAGTAAGTACAAAGTAGAAAGCAAGAGCCTCATCAACACATTTGCAGTTACTTGCACAATGATTTTCCTTCTTGACGAGATACTCTTGCCCCAGATTCGAGCACGCGTATACTGCACTACCCAACAAACAGAGCAAGTCTCCATAGAATCCAGACATATTCCAGGACGCTTTCAACATTCTTTTCTCGTCTTGAAGTACATCCGAGATCACGAGTACACTAATGCCTACTAGACAAAAGAGGACTGACACAAAATGCCAGCGCGTGTACTTTGCTCTCAGAAATACCATTGAGACTACCATCACCACAGGAATCGTAAAGCAATTCAATAGCATAATACTTGAGATGGACGTATACTTGTACACGCATACGACTAGAAAGTTCCTTTCGACATCAGCAAAAGCCAGGAGAAAATATTGCCACCATGGAATCTCAAGCTGATAGCCTCGTTGGTATCGAAACCGCAGGATGGGATCCAACAAGTACACACATAACAAGAGATAATTGCCAGCACTCGGCGTTACTGGCATCTGAATCTGGACAAATACACAAGAAACACGACGTTTGTGTAAGTAGACACTGCAGAGGCATGTCATGTCGGACTTGACATGACTGAATAGAGTCATAGTACCTGGAATGAGCTATTCAATAGCTGAGAGAGCACACCAGTACATGCAGTAAGCATTGACATGAATTGATCTAGTATCAATACTCGATTCTTGTCATAGGTGATGGAACATAAAGACCTCTGGTCGTCACTGATTGTCATTGCTTCGTGTCCACTGATTGATATTAGCAACTACTGGATTAAATGAACAACATGAGCTTGTGCACTAGTGAATCTACGACCAAACTTTCACTCAACGTGCTGTTTGACGAATCATTCTCTAGTAGCTTGTTTCTCAGCCAAGAGTCGAGTCAGCATGGGCTTCCACTTGCGACCGCGAGTATTGATAAACCAATTGCTCACTTGTTCCAATGTAATACCTCCTTTTTCAGCAAGCCAAAGCTTTTCTTGTTCGGTTGGATACGGATTGTGCAAATTGTGGTTAAACCAGTCTTGCATCAACTTCTTCGCCAACTTTGAAAGACTTGAGCGCCTCTTGGACAAATAACTGCAAGCTCCAAGCTCTTTGGCGTATGGTGAGATCCGAGCAAGTGACATTGACGTTTGATGGGTCTTGTAGACTTTAGAAATCGTTTCATCCACTGCGATCAATGAGTTACCAATGTCAAGATTGTCTTTCTTGGTCGCTACTGACGGCAAAGTGGTTTCCATGTGCGTAGGTGAAAGTCCGGTCAACATCAATTGGAATTCGTGCTGCATGCCTATAGTTTCACTGTCATTTTTTTTCCACTCCGTCGACATTGCTGCGGCTTCTTGAACCGTCAATACCGTAGAACTATGTGCACGCTCCTTCGTAGACTTGACGATGCACTTGATATCTCGATTTGGAAACGTCATAGGAATAGTAGACTGCGATTGTCGAAATGGTAAACTGCATGATGTATTGGTTTGGCTACTTGGAAAGTGACAACGTCAATCAGTCATTTCAGATATTTCTGCAAGAGAACATTGGTATCGTATGTGACACCATCACGTAACAGGAAGAAGCGGTGGCTGTGTGTTTCATTTCCTGCATCTGTGCACTATCCCTCGCCTCTAATTGTTTCGTCGAAAACTATCTTCGTTGCCCGTCCCGAAACCGCTCGAAAAATCTCAGCATCCGATCGTCGATCTGTGGTGTCACCACTGATAGTGCGCGGACAAAGTGACGCTTTGCTACATTCATAGCTGCACGATCTTCTTCGATCGCATGTAGAGCAGCTTCACGACAGAGAGCTTGAAGCTCTGCACCTGAAAACCGAGCAGTTGCAATGGCTAGTTCACTCATACTCACATCCGATGCCAGCGGCGTTTTCCGCGTGTGAATACGCAGGATCTGCTCGCGAGCAGGGACGTCTGGTGGAGACACGTAGAGTGCACGATCAATGCGGCCCGGCCTCATTAGAGCCGGGTCCAAAAGGTCCGGGCGATTCGTCGCAGCTACCACCAACACGCGCTTTAGTGGCTCTAATCCATCCAGCTCGGTCAGCAGCTGACTCAGTACGCGGTCGGAGGCGCCGCTACTGCCTCCTGATCCACGAGTACTTGCAAGTGCATCGATTTCGTCAAAAAAAACTACAGTCGGCGAAGAAGCGCGTGCTTTTCGAAAGACCTCACGTACTTGTTGCTCTGATTCCCCAACCCATTTACTAAACAGTTCCGGTCCTTTGATAGCAATGAAATTCATACCACTCTCAGTGGCCAAAGCCTTTGCTGCTAGTGTCTTGCTACAACCTGGTGGGCCGTACAAGAGCACACCCTTCGGAGGGCGAATACCCATTCGAGTAAAAGCTTCCGGGTGTTGCAGTGGCCATTCCACTGCCTCTCGAAGAGCTTGCTTAAGCGCATCCTGACCACCAATATCGCTCCATAGTACACGGGGCACATCCACTGAAATCTCACGCAAGGCACTTGGCCGTATCCCTCGCATAGCTACCTTTAGATCACTTAAAGTCACTTGATAGGACGGAAGCAAAGCGTTGTCAGCTAGAACAGCCCCATTTGACTGAGCGCTGTTCGCAAATGCGCGGTGAAGTGCAAGCAACGCGGCTTCCTTGCAAAGAGCGCTAAGATCAGCTCCAACATACCCATGAGCGCTTGAGCTCAGGTCCTGGAGTTCAGAATTGGTAAGCTTATGAGGAATCCGTCTTAGAGCCACGCGCAGTATTGCCAGTCGGTCAGTTGCTGTCGGAACTCCAATCTCGACTTCGCGGTCAAAACGGCCTGGTCTTCTTATGGCAGGGTCAAGGGCGTTGGGTCTATTAGTAGCAGCCAGCACGACGACTTGGCGAGAAGAGCTTAGCCCATCCATCAGTGTAAGTAAAGTAGCCACCAGACGCCGCTCCATATCTCCGACACGTAAGTCGCGCTTTGGGCAAATAGCATCTAATTCGTCAATGAATACAAGTGATGGAGCTTTTCTGGCAGCTTTTGCAAATACAGCTCGCAAATTCGCCTCACTCTCACCAACAAACTTACTTACGATTTCTGGTCCATTGATTGTGAACACACGCGCATTTAGTTCCTGCGCCAAGGCCCTTGCAATCAATGTCTTACCCGTACCAGGAGGACCAAATAATAAAACACCTTTTGGAGCCGGCAAACCAAAGCGTTCAAATGCCTCTGGGTTTATGAGTGGCTGTTCTACTACCTCTCGAACAGCATTCAGCTCCTCATGCAGACCACCAATAGCAGCAAACCCGTCTTGCTTTTCTTTCACCTTCACCTCACTAGGCCTGCTACCCTTCGTTTCTAGCATACCATATTCCTGCTTTTCCTCCCACACGATCGTAAGCACTGTCTTTGCCGCGAGAACTTTTACAATCCTCTCCTCTTTCTCCTTCTCTCCATCAACCCTTTGTACCCGGAACACCGTGCTCACTCCATGCAAAGGCAATGAAATTAATGCATTCTCATGCAACAAGGATCCATCAATCATAGCAGCAATACATTGCGTCAACAGCGAGCGCTCCTTTTCCGAGAGCTTCCATTTGCGCGTTGACGCTCTGGACACCAGCTGCAGCGCCACATTCTTAGCTATCGAGATAGAACTCTGTAGCATTTGTATCGTCACCATATCAACCTCTTTCTCTTTCACTATCGCTTCCCACATGCAGCTTATACCGATGCCACGTCGTTTAATCTTGTCCATTGGCCACGCTAGTCCACAGAGCAACAATTTGTTTGTGTTCTTCTCCTTGTCAAATGTATAGAGCTCCACATAACCACCTGATTCAATTCGAAAATATGACATATCATTGGGATTGAAATACACTTTTGACACGGTACGCGCTGAGCGAGCACCTGCTCGGACAAATTGTACACGCGCTTCCAGTAGCTCCATGTTTTTCGGGCTTTTAATTGGTAATCCCCGATAGAGTGACAGTCTGAAGCCATGTCACGTTGGACGTTATTTATATCCCCTGTTAAATATGATAGAGCTACATGATAACAATGTTGCTATTGCGATTACAGCAACATGTACCAAAAGCTTGTCTGGACATCCAATTGATGGATAAATGCTGTCGATTCGAAGAAAAAGTTGCGTGACGGACAGAAAGAGTGGTCCATTGGATTAGACTGGACATGTTGTTGCTGTCGATCACAGCTGCAGTTTCCAATGACTGCACTGCGAGGCGAGGTAAGAATAAGGTCGTTCATACTTGATCTAGCCTTTGGGATATGGAGTAGCATGGAAAACTCACGAGGAGTTTTCCAATCGTAAAAATAATCGTGGCTATTAGATGCTTTGCCATCTTCATCATCATCATCTTTTTCTTCTTCTTTCGACACTCTGTGTCCGATGTGGAGTCTTGAGGTGTCATTGTTGCTACTGTTGGCAGTTGGCGTGAGAATCGAGGACTCAAGGTCTTGCTGCGATCGTTCAGCTGTACAAGTTGAAAGCGGTCTCTTACCGGACTCTAATGCACCTCTTATACTGCTCATCCATTGTCTATAATTGCTAACATCAGGGGCCCGCAGACGAAATCGCTTCGTGTGCCATCCATACTCTAACGCAAATTCAAGTCTGGATGACATCTTCGTTGTCGTAGCTAATAGACGCACTGGGTGTACACACGGATCAAGAGGAATGCGAGATTCTCCACCGAGAACACCCGGTCGACGGATTACTAGTACGGGCAGCGCATGACGATAGTCCTGTCGACAATAGGTCAACTGCACCGGCATCTTAGTCCTGCGAGCAACAAGACGTTAGCAAGCGCAATATTTTAGATAGTAGTAACAAGCGCTTTACGCACCAGAGAGCGTGACAGACTTGGACTTTTAGCGTCCCCGAGAACATGAGAGGTGGAGTGTCCATGTTGCTTGATCAACAATGTTATTCTATCACGGACGTTGCATGAACGAATGACTACCGTACATGGTAAATCAAGTGGTTCTGTGTTTTGAAAACAGACAAGATCGATCGACGTTGATGAGAGTGTCATGATGATGTAGAATACAAGCCAAATTGTTTCCTGATATTGGAATTGCAATGGCATTACTCTCTTGCTTGAACAATGTTCATTACTAGATCGTTACCACCTTGTACTCTATCATTTCCAAGGTCGAAGACATGACTCGAGAACTTCCAGGCAATGTTCAGTTCACACATAAAGCGAAGGTTTGCTAGGTTTACTACATGATCCTTACACGCAATACGAACTGGTCAACGACTTTTGACGTCTATGGGTCGACCTAATGCTGCCTTTCCAAAGACATTGGTCATACAGCTTTAACCCGTTGTAAGTCACGTATCATGCATGTAACTACAGACTTGAGACCTTCTATTACTTCTTACAACGTAGTAAAGTACAGACATCCAATTAGACCGACTCTATCTGGCTGCAAGTCAAGTTACTTGGCTTAACATGACGCAACTGAATTGGGTATATCGTCCTTCGAAAACAGCTTCCACATGCATTCGATACCCTTTCTAGAAACAACAATCCTATGAAGAATCAAGCTACTATCTAGTACCTCCCTCAATAGCCCCTAGGACATCTCTTAATCGCTATATACTAGCACAATTTGTCTCTTAGTAAACAATGACACTCGATAACCCTTGAGGCACTTACTTGTTCATTGTAAAGCTTTCATCTAGAAACGTGATGACTAGAAAAGCCGTTAACTTGCACACAATTAACTTGCCACAACAAAGGTCTCGTCTGACTTGTACTATGTGGTGATTGTGCGGTTCAGACTCTCGATAACGCCATCACGTCCTTCTTGGCATTACTCAGTTGTACGAACCTCAGATGCACCCACGCATCCATCCATCCATCAAACATTTGTCTTTGTTATTATTCAATCTACCATCAAGATGACGCAGCAGACACCACGATTCAGTCATCCCCGAGCTATTCAGCGTCCAGTACATCGACTCCCAGTGCCATCGCTCTCCATGTCACTCCGTAGTCGTAGAGCAGAACACCCGACAATAACTCTAGCTCTACCTCAACTCGATCGCTACCATGATCGTGCTGAAAAAGTATTGACTGAGACTATTGCAGCTTATGGAATGGCAAACCATATTGTTGATCCTGGACGATGGAAATGTCTTCGCTCACGACACGGGATTCAACTTTATCGAGGACGTCAATCTACTGGTACTGAGAATATTCCGTTGCTCTGTGTTGGTTCTCTTCAAGGCAGCTTTGACGATATCATGGAAGGAGTGAACTGTCAGAATACAGAAGAAATGCTGCTTATGAACGCTATCAACTGTCCTCGTTTAGCTGAGAGTGCAGTGCTTTACAAATTACAGCGACAGACACAGTGCGAGCCGTACGCATTTACAGGGATCAAGTGGACCACCATCAAGGTTGCGGTCGCAAGCAATCGAGACTTGTGTTACTTCGACAAGATGGGACTGGTGCGTCAGACATCAGGGAAACGGATGGCCTACCACATCATACAATCGGTAGATCTACCCGAGTATCCACACAAGGCCATGCACAAGCGCATACAAGCTTCACTGTGCTACGTGTTTGAGGAGCTCGAGGATAATTTAGTAGGAGTCTACATGCAGGGCCACATGGACAACATAGCCCTGTCGTACTTTTCCACACCTGCAGTGTCGGATTTATTACTGGCAGTCACGAACGCGTTGGAATGTACACGAGCCAAAAAACTTGCAGAGATGATGGCCATTGCACCTTCTGGACGTTACCGACGACAATCGTCTCGTAGATGCTGCGATGTGTGTCGAGGCAGTACATCGTTCTTTGATAGTTTACAGGAATGTGCTGGTTGCAACTTTAAATATGTTTGCAAGAAGTGTCGTCTAAAAGAGAACGTTCTGACGCGTGACAACGCATCGAGTTCTCATCTAGTGCGTGCTGAGTTCTGTCGCGTGTGTATTTCCAAACTGGACTCAATTTCGATCGATCAGCTACGTGCCGAAGCGAATGAATTTAGCGTCGCTGCATCGCCGATAGCAGACATGAACAGCACATTGTGCAAAGCCAAAGAAGAGCCTGAAGACGTCGATATTCCAGGCAGTGACCGGTCATTGACGGCATTTACTCTCAAGATATCGGCAAAGGTGCAAGATCTCAGCAGTCACAATGATATTCGCCTCTCAAACTTGTCATCAATGGAGAAGGTTTCAATCTCAGAGGATGACGATGAAGATGCGCTACTGGGAGAAGGTCAAGACGTGCTCAACTCATTTGGAAAGAAGAGCAAGAAGCTTGTGCCGTTTGAAAAGGATTTTGCCGACTATATACGCCGCAGTTCACGCTCAACGACCTCGACGGTATCGTCTTCATACTACCACGATGACGACGATACGGAACAGTATCGAACGTCGCTATTTGCACGATTGGTTCAAGTATCAAATCAAGCAGAGGCGACATTACATCTCACGAGAGAGCAATCACTCATTGCTCACTCTGTTTACCAACGCAATCGTCGGTGTACGCAATGGTAGCCAGTCAATTGGTTATTGACAATGTAGCCATGATACAGCAGTACTTCAACATGACACGACATGATTCTAAAAGTTGATATTCGCTAACTCAATCATAACTCATATTATAAATTGCATTCAGTCACTACGTTATGTACATAGTAAAGTGGTCGATTTTCAAGGTAAAAATCAATACTTGACACCTCATGAACTTTATCAACGCTATATGGCAATGCACCTTCGGACGTGACAAGAATGTAGTTGCTGGTCAGAAAGTACTAGAGTATATTCACTATCTACTGGTTAAGACCATTGACAAGTATGAAGGCAATCCTCACGCTCTTACAATGGAAGAGATTATACCCATTAAAGCCATTTGTGACCACCTTGTCCTAGCTAATTGTACATTCGATCGCTTCTATATAACTTGATGGACTAGTAGACAACTTATTCATTTTTATCTTGGTGTAAATAGTTCCAGGATTAGTAGACAATAGAGTTTCCAAGCGTTCAAAGCATGTGCATTACAAGCACATTTATGAAGATAAGACAGTCTCAATTGGGTACATTTCGTGGGGGGTTTTTCAGTCTCGGCTTGAGACGTGGTCACTGATCCTTCCTTGTCCTTGTTGTGTATTGTTTATTTAGCATCTTTATCCTGCCTCCAGGTGTGTCCATCCCACTGCATGATCATCCACGGATGAGTGTCATTTCCCGTGTCTTATACGGATCGATACATGTCAAGACGTATGATTTTGTCAAGGGTGACACTGTATCAAACGACAAGAAACGTTTGGCACGTCTTCGAATGGATAAGATTGCCACGGCACCGTACACGCTGGAGCTGCTGCCGGATTGCGGTAATTTGCATGAACTTGTCGGTGGAGATGACATTGGCTGTGCATTCTTAGACATTATAACACCACCCTACGACGCCCAGGACGGACGCGACTGCTCCTACTTTCGAGTCATCAGCTCAATTGATGATGAACAGAATGCTGACGAAACGATGTTCGAGCTTGAGTCCTATGAGCTACAAGACTTTGACGTCATCTTGGAGGCATATGATGGTCCTCACTTACAACGCTACATGTGCTGAGAGATATCTTGCGGTAGTATCATTGACTTTTCGTTGAGCCAAGCCTTCTCTCGTGTGTTTAAACAGTCACTAGCATCAACTTACGCAAAATAAAACATAGCAACAATATGGAGCCTCAACAGAATGTCATTCAATACAACAGCTTCTATCACCATAGAAGTTTAACTTGAAAGCCCCTCATTCTTCTATGACATTGTCCGCAAAATGTCCGAGTCACCAGCATCAAGGACGCACATGCACGAAACACGAAAGTACTTGCCGCATGCCGTACCAAGATCATTGTTCGTGCCCGAGAAGTGGTGCACGCCAGTCTTGGCCAGCATCGAGTAATATTCTACCTCCGACTTGCGAAGCGGGGGAGTGTTCGAAGCCAAGATTACCAGCTTTGCCTTGCCACTGCGCAAGTTCTTAAGAGTCTGCTTGTAGCCCAAAGCGACCTTACCGGATCGCATCACCAGCTGCAGGCGCGAGTTAATGCTTTCCGAGGATTTCTTCTGCTCGTATAGAGAAGATAACACGATATTAATATTAGATTTGTCGTTTCTCCATCGAACTCTTCCCATCCGACTTCGCTGAAACGTCTACACATGGTTAGCGACCCAAAATCAACTAGGGCAAGCGACCACGACGTAACCTCATCCATCGGATAGGTATTGCATTGTGTTAGATTCACCAAACAAGTATATATCCTACCGACTTCTTAGAGGCAACCATTCTTGATTCGTTTCTCAGCTGCTGACGCTCCACAGAATCAGTAAATGACTCACGCAAGGCTCAACATGCAAACAGTTTCCAGGCTCTCGCAACCAACCAGGATTATGACGGTGTTGATTGGATAGAAAAAACACACGATCATTTCTGATTCGCTGAATTACGTATGATTATTACTAACCAATACGTGAACGGCAAAAGACGCAACGAGCCATGTAGCCATGTCAAAAATGACGAACATGTGTAATGTACACAAAGTAATGTGATCCACATGTAAGCGGCTCTCTTTACCAGCCATTCTTCAGCTATCATCAGATATACCAGTTAAAGAGCTATTCATAACACTTGATATAGCTTACAATGCCGCGTAAAGGAGGCAAACGTGTACGTAACTCTATCATCATCACTCACCTCTTGATACATGTCTACTATGTCTAGTTCATACACAATTCATATCGTTTTATGACTTTTTACAAGCTGTAAAAAACGCCATTTTCAATTGAAATTCTAACACGTTTGTGACTGTCCTATTGTATTATGATACAGAGAAAAACACGCACACATGTGGTTGAAGGTCCTACAGTGGAAAAGAGTGATCTGCCCATGAGTTTTGTCTTTAAAATGGGCAAAGTACCAGCTGTTGTGAGCAGTTTAGTGCAAGATATGCGACGTGTGATGGCCCCGTATACAGCTGACAAGCTACGCGAGAAACGCAAGAATACACTCAAGGATTTTATCCACGTCGGTGCTCCATTGGGCGTCACGCACTTTGTTTTCTTTACAAATACAGAGGCTGGTACCAATCTCAAGATTGCACGTATTCCACGTGGTCCGACGTTGTCATTTAAGGTGATCAAGTACTCGCTCATGAGTCAAATGCACTTGGTAGTGCGACGTCCAGTGGATGCCTCGTTGGCACTCAAGTCAAAGCCATTGGTAGTGCTTAACAACTTTACAACCCCTGATGATCACATTAAGTTGATGAACGTGACGTTTCAGAACATGTTTCCCGCTATTGACGTGCAGACGGTCGCATTAGCGGAATGCAGACGTGTGGTTTTGTTTAACTATGAGAAAGAGACGGACACGGTTGAGTTTCGTCAGTATGTGATTCGTGCGGCACCGCTTGGACTGTCAAAAAGTGCCAAGACAATTGTGAAGGCGAAGGTGCCCAATTTAAATCATTATGAGGATATCAGTGAATACGTGCTGGGTAACGGTGCTGGTATTGGCTTAACTTCGGATAGTGAGGTGGACGATGAGGCATCGCATGTGACGCTCCCGGACTCGTTTCGTGGTCGTGGCAACCTCAAAGCAGGGAAGAGTGCTGTGCGATTAACGGAGATTGGACCGCGACTGACACTTAAACTGACCAAGGTTGAGCGTGGCATTTGCGAGGGTGACGTGCTGTATCACGCGTACAAGACCAAAACTCCAGAAGAGTCTGCCAAGGCAAAAGCAAAGCATGAAGCAGCTATGGCGCTCAAGCGGCAGCGGCGTGAAGAGCAGGAGGAGAATGTGGCAAAGAAACAAGAGGTCAAAAATGCAAAGAAACAGCTCAAGGCTGAACGCAAGCGCAAGCGCGAGGAGGGCGACGATGACGAGCACGATGAAACTACTGCCAACAGTGGTGGAAATGACGACAATTCTGAACTGGACGATGCAGACTACTACCGCCGAGAGGTTGGCGAGGAGCCTGATACGTACATGTTTTCTGAGAAGAAGAAGGAAACAAAAGGCAAGAAACAAATGTCCACCAAGACCAAGTCTGCAGCTGTACAAAAGCCGTCAGAGGTGGCAGCTTCTGACAAAAAACATCGCTTCATGCGGCCCGGTGCCAAAGCTCCCAAGGGTCAAGTCATCCGCCAGCGCCAACGGAAGAAGTAGGAGTGTTAGTACGACCAAAAGCTATTATCGTATCATTCAAATATAGAGAAAAGCGATTGTTGTTTGAAATCACTTTGTCCACGCATACATCAATTGGGATGAATGCAAATGAGAAGACGAGTTTACAGTTTTTCATGTCTCTCTTTTATCAGGTTCGGTGCTTGATACTCTCCAACACATACACGCTAACTAAAATAGCCTACTTGCTGAACCTACAAGCTTCAACAACTTCACTAGGTGGTGAACCCAACGGGCTCCAATACGCAAAAATGAAGAAGACGCGTGGCAGGGGCCAGTACACTACGCTCTCTTCACCGCCTACCAGGGGGCGGCTGGAGCGACGGGTGCTGGTGTTGTTTTGGATCACTCATCGGAATTGGAAAACGATCGCGACGACCACCCTGTGGAACACCACCAGGACCACCCAAATTCTTCGGGTTTAATCCAGCTAAACGCTGCGGTGGTGCCTGCAACTTACGGTCGCCGCCATCCATTGCGTAACGCATTCCTCCAACTTTGCTCTCCTCCTTTATAGGCCGGCCCGGCATTCCACGACGACCGTCCTGCTGCATGTGCACAGCCTGTACATGTTGCTGCTGCTGTGCCTGCATCTGGGCTTGCATTTGAGCGTGGTGATGAGCCTGCGCTTGAGCCGCCTGGGCTTGAGCTTGGGCATGAGCATGTGCCTGGGCTTGGGCGTGCGCCTGGGCTTGAGGGTGCTGCGATTGCATCTGCTGAGCCTGTGGCGTGTGCTGCATGCCAGGCACCATTCCGCCCAGAACGCCGCGTGGCATCATACCACTGCCATTTATCGGGGCACTACGCCCCATTCCACGCATCATGTTCATACCTCCACTTCCTACAGGCACTCCACGAACCAAGCTGCTGCTGGTCTCCGAACCGCTAACACTCATTGAATTTGAGGTCGGTGCATTACCCATGCTCATACCCATGGTGGCCTCACTTCCGCGCAACATATGAGCCATCGGCGCACCTTGGCTTACAGACGGGGCACCGTTAGGCTGTGCTCCTTGCGCAGGGCCTCCATCCTGCTGTGCCTGGTACTGCGACTCCGCCGTGGGTCGCGATGAAAACGTCGGCATAGGGGATGTGGTGGGCGGCTCCGAGGGACCTGGTGCTGAGTTAGCGCCAGCCATGCCAATTGTAGACTGGCCAGTTTCACGGACACGCAGAAGATCCAGCCGCTCGCGAATAAACTGCCCGTCCGCTCCAAGCTCAGCGGCCTTTTGGTAAGCATCACGAGCGTCGCTGGTTTGGTTGCAAGTATCGTACAGTGTCCCAACGTTATACCAAACCTCACAAATGTTCGGGTTAATATTGATAGCACGTGAGTATGCATCCAGCGCATCCAGATGCTGATTCAGCTGGTAAAATAGGACGCCGAGTGAGCACCAAACATTCGGGTTCTGCGAATCAGTAGTCACGGCGTGCTTATACGAATCATAGGCCTCCTCAAACTCTTGGACGGCCATGTAGCATCGTCCCAAAAGATACCACCCCTTCCCGTCTTGAGGATCAATGGCAACAGCCTTCTTCAGGTAATCAATAGCGGGCGAATGCTCACTGTGCTTCAGGCATAACCAGCCAAGCTGTTGCAGCGGCTTGGCATTATTGGGATTCACTTCCGCCACCTTGAGGTAGCTGGACTTGGCGAGCTGGATTTCGTCTTTAAGCTCGTACACATGTCCAATCTGTGTCCAAATATCGCTGGCCATCTCAGTAGTCTGTACATTGGCCTGTACGTCGTGCAGCACCGACTTGAGTCTCTCCAGTGCACCGTCGTAGTCTCCACGTTGTTTAGCAATTATTCCAAGACGAAACTTCACTTCCAAAGCCATATTAAAGTTAGGCTCAAAGCGGAGGACAGCCTCAAAGGATTCCTGCGCGTGCTCAAGCGAACCAAGACGTTCATATAACTGACCAATACCGTACCACATATTAGGGTCCTTCTGACTCATGGGATTGTTATACATGGCGTACTGATAGGCCGTATGTGCGCTTGTAAGGTCGTTCATCATCAAACAGCAATAGCCTAAGTGACCCCAAGCATCCGAGTTCTGTTCATTAAGTGACACGAGACCACGAAAACAGTCGGCAGCTTTCGTATAGTCTTCCAGTTTCTCATAACAACATCCAATAGCAAATAACGCCGTAGCATTCAACCGGTTATGTGATAGCACCTTCTCATAAGCAAGCATTGTATTCTCATCGTCGCCCATCATTTCAGCAATACGACCTAAGGACAACCAAGCCTCTTCATTAGCAGCAGAAAGCTGACGACCAAGCTGTTGCAATACAATAGAAATATATACTAATATAAGAAATGTAGCCATTTTAGTATCAAAATGATGGTAAGCTACATTCACTCTGGTATAGTCTATATATACACTTGCAGAAAGGACAAAGGCGTACCGTATTATTCTCCTCCATTTTAGGGGTGGTCATATGAATGAATGTAGAAGATAGATGTGACAAAAGACGTTTAATCTGATGTGCAAATGTTTATTCAAACGCGTGTACTACACGTCACTAAATCTTCTGCTTCTTCTCTTCTTCTTGACTTGCGTTCAAGCCGTCTATTTGTCTACTGCACTGATTTGATGGTGGGCGGGGACGATCTGGGGAGAGAGGGGGGGAGTGATGTGTTTGGAGCGACAGGGGATATGAAAGAAACCCTAGCCTCGACGATCCTGGACTTTTTTGACAGTAGATGTAACTAACTATTCATGACAAAGTGGAATGCAGTGAATTAAAGTATACGATGCAAATTTTTTGAAGTATGCAATTATGTAGCAACGTAGAGGACGAGAGGATTGTGAGTCACAAAAGTCATCGACAAAGCATCATGATGACTAGCGCTGCAGTCGATCATAAAGCAGCACATAATCAGACAATTGTGGACGGATAAATCATGCTTGCAGTTTATATACTTTACTGCACTTTAAATCTGCAGCAAATGTAAACACGGTGTTTTGCATTGTCTTCCATACTTTAACCAATATTGTCGCTTCGATTTGATCACCTGCAACGCCTATCCCCCATTCACATCCGATACAGCAGTACCAACTTATGGCAAAATAAACACGTACAGCGACAGTCTGTTCCATGCTGTAACTAAGCGTGACGAGCGTGACGGACGAACTTGTCAATTAGCCAATCACGCACGTGGCGCTGCTCTCGTCTCTATTTAAACTGTCGCAATAGGTCACCCGCCGGCTGGTTGCAAAACCCTGAAAACGCAGTGCGACGGTGTTCCGTTCATTGACAACTCTTCGTCTTCGCCCGAACGATTGTTCTTCACTCTTTTTCTACGTAAATAAAGTTGTTTATGATGTGCATGGAAAGATACGTATCATACATTACGCTGGACTTTCGCATATCTGAAGCATCAGGAAAAACTGGCAGTCCCGTGACGGGAAACGGCAGACAAGTTGTAGCAAAATAGTCACACGTGGTAGTTCTGTGACGTACTAGGGCTGTAATCGTTGTTGTGCCTGCTCTTCACATGTGCTGCTTGGTGTAGAGTACACACATATTGTCATAAACCCTCCAAAGCCGCATATTGTGTGATTCGAGTAGCGGCTTGTTGGTTTACTCACGCCACATACTGCAAGACACATGTCGTCTTGTCACCTTCTGCACCTCTCTACGTGTTCTTTGCTTAGCATACTATCGTACTTCAGGACATTCAACATGATCAGACTGATCTATAGTAAAAAAGTGTTCTTACTCGACTATCACTTTGCATTTTAACGAGATAAAAAGCATCATTTTGTTCGATAGAATGTCCTTCTTACAAGGCGTATTATCATCAGGAGTTTGGGACCTGTCCAATATAGTATCCACTAAACTATCGAGTTAAAAGGGTATACTAGTCTAATGCCATGATGACCTTTTGTGTCTGTCACATACACTTACTTTTCAGCATGTCGCGCATACGTCGCACTACCGCCTTTACATTATTCAACTCTCGTATTCACCGTCGTTTTGTTGATGGATCCTACACGACTACAAACCCACAAGAATCATGGCAACGACAAAAGCTTCAACATGTTAAGCAACAGATGAATTTCAGCTCTAAATCATTAGGTCGTAAACAAGTTCCAGATCAAACTCCAATGCTTCCAGTACTACGCTATAGCCAAGGAGATGAGGCAATGAAGATTACACGTATTGGAATGTATGTGAATATGGCAATGGCAACAACCAAGGTGTGATAAGGAACGATCAATAGCTGGTCGTGCTTGCTTTCGTTCGTTGTCTAGGCTGCTGATATCCATTTCCTGGTACTTTTTTCTGGTCTTTATCATGGCAATTGTATCATAGGGTGCTGTGGGTATGGCAATACACTCAAGTGCATTGATAGCCGATGCTGCTCATTCATTGTCAGATTTACTCTCTGATGTGGTGACACTTTGGAGTGTTAAGGTCGCACGACTACCTCCTGATCGGAAGCATCCTTACGGTACTTGATGCATCTCTCTCTAGCTTTCTTTGATATGATCCATTACTATATGCTGCAACGCATCCTGCTTTATGGTGTTATCGCATGACAGGATATGGCAAGTATGAAGCTGTGGGCTCGCTCTCTGTTGGCGCTATTTTAGTACTTTGTGGCTTTGGAATCGGCGCGGACGGACTTCAGGCGATACAAGAGATCTGGACTGGTGATACTGCTCGAAATGTGTCGGAGTTTTACTTGCCGTATCTTTCTCGTATGTCAGTAGTTGTCCTAAATATTGCTCGTAATGATATTGTGATAACGCAACTAACCTCATTGATTGCAACAGAAATGGATCGCAGTTGGCAATGGGTTCTCGCGGCGGGTGCTGCGGGAGTGTCCATTGCAGCAAAGGAGGCGTTGTTTCGCGCAACTGTAAAGGTTGGACAGCAGGCAAATAGCAAGGTATTGATTGCAAATGCATGGCATCACCGCACGGATGCAATTTCTTCAGTCGTGGCTCTAGGTGGTATTGTCGGCTCGATAGCGGGGGTACCTTTGCTCGATCCAGGTGCGCGGTGTGTTGTCCATGCGAAGCGTTTTTCACCGCGTTATACGCTAATCCACTTCAACGCTGCTTGAACAGTTGCCGGTATGGCAGTTGCAGCGATGATCGTGAAAACTGGTGGTGAAATCTGCTTCGACAGGCACGCGTCTTCTGTTGATCTATTCTGCTACAAGGGTCATGTCGATGCTAACAAGGAATGCTTTTTCTGGTGCAGTGTCCAAGAGCTTACTGACAACACGGTCGAGGCGGAGGTGCTGGAAACGCTGAAAGAAGTGGTGCGCTAAGTCAAAACATGTGAACGCGGGGTGCCAATGTTTGACTACTAACGTGTTGAACAATAACCATGTGTTTTTAAGTCAGGTAGTGTCGATGACGTCTTGCATGTATCGCAAGTTCGAGCTCGTCGAATGGGACCGTATACGCTAGTGGACTTGCGAGTTCACGTACGTTGATGTACCGTAAATGGTGTTGTGGTGAAGGTCTAAGTTTAATTTTGATTGTTTCAGCTTGATGCGCGAACGAGTATTTCAGTGGCTCAGCAGGTAAAGATTCCAAACCACACGCGATGAGTTTATGCAAACTAATTGTGCAATATATCATAGATTTCAGCGCGAGTGCGATCTCACATTTTGCAAGAAGTTCCTGACGTATCTGAGGTCCTGGTTCACATTGACGTTCGTTTCGGTACAAACTCTATCGATTACAAGGTTGTTTTTTAGCGTCTGATCTGCATTTGTATGCACTATAGGTCGGTTTAATAGCTCCACGACTGACACGGGTGATTTGAGTAATAACGAGCTGCGCCCGTACAGGAAGATCAAGAGGGACATAAGCTACGCCTTAGCTACTATTCCAGAGATTACCGGGACGACACACATCAACACGCACTGGGTACCACACCAGGGCACGGTCGTCGATGTTGCCATTCTTGTTCAACCTGACCTAAAAGTTGGAGCAGCACACGGCGTTGCAAAGAAGGCGAGGAAGTACGGTTATGCACTTTGCAAGTATCTGATGCTTTCATCTCCTTCTCATACATTCTGTGGCGCTGTAACAGATCCATTGAAGCCATTCCATACATTGTTGAGGCCGACATTCACCTCGAGCTCCAGGACGATGACACGGATTTATAACGATGATTCTTAGATTGCGTGACAATCCGGCGGTCTCCAACTTCTGTTGTCCAAGTCACTTGCAATTGCTGCCGAACTCGTCCGTCCGTCACCTTTCTCGCCAGCCAACATTGAAAAGCTACATTGCCTTGAACTCAGTACCTTTTTCTACACTACACGGCCATTTCTCTTATCACGACTAAGATAGCTGTTCTTTCTCTTCTTTTGCAACCCACGAAATTATTGTCTTTCATACCGGTAATACCAAAACAATCAAGTTTATCCCTCAGTATATTGTATCGGTACATTTGCATAAACATATTTATTAGAGACAGTACCAAGAGCGAGAATAAGCGCCATGGGAGATCGGAGTATTCTAATGGATTTCTTACTCGCTAGTATTGCTACTAGTGGTGCATGTATTGTGTCTAATCCTATGGAAGTTGTCAAGACACGTATGCAATTACAGGGTGAATTAGCTCCGCAACTATCTCCCCGCATTTCTCAATCGACCGTCTTGTATCGTAATTTTATCCACGCTTTCTATACCATTGGACGTACTGAAGGATTACGTGGAATTCAACGAGGTCTTGGACCTGGTATTGCCTATCAAATCTTTATGAATGGACCACGATTAGGATTATATCAACCATTGCAGCAATTTTATGGTGCAACGGATCCAACGGCCTTTTCGTTCCCAATCCGTAATCTTGCTGCAGCAGCAACGTCTGGTATGATTGGAGCAGCCATTGGAAGTCCCTTTTACCTTGTCAAAGCACGTATTCAAGCTGCTAGCTCAGTGGAAAAAGTCAATGCTCAGTATGCATATTATGGCATGGTATGGAAGAGATGAATGGATGGATGGCATGAGGACTCGAAGGTTGATGGATATTTTGTTGGTCTTTTTCTTGTATAGATGGATGGATTTCGACAAATTATCAAGGCTGATGGATTCAAAGGACTGTATCGTGGTACAACGGCATCAATTCCACGTGTTGCGGTTGGTTTATCGTGCGATTGATACTGGTAACATTGAAGTGGTTGCTGATGATACTTGGGTCGTTCGTGTGCTACTGGTGGTGTAGATTGGTTCGGGTACACAATTAGCGACATATACACAGGTAAAAACACTGGTGATTGCAGCAGGAGTTGAAGATGGGATACAGGTTCACTTGGGCTGTAAGTTTTGTCGTGTTGTTTGATTCCAGCAGAAGTAAATGATGATTGATTGTCGTTTCACGCGACTTCTTGATATCGTTATGGTGCTATTTAGCAAGTATCTTGACGGGGTTGGTTGTAACGACGGCTATGAATCCAATGGATGTGGTCTCAACGCGAATCTACAGCCAGAAAGTGGTGAACGGTAAGGGGAAGTTGTACTCGGGTGTGATTGATTGTGCTATGAAGACCTTGAAGAGCGAGGGTATTCAAGGCTTTTATAAGGGCTGGGCGGCACACTACCTGCGTCTAGGTCCACATACTGTCTTTACATTCCTCTTCTGGGAGGAGGTCAAGAAAGTTGCTGCAGAGCTTGGATTCTAAGATCAAAAGCAGAAACAAGTTTAGATAAGACATATTTGGCTGATACCAGGAAAATGATAATATTCGAAGGGATAGAGATGCTTCATTTGAACAGGAATCTCGTAAAGCTCACGAATCTTGTATCACTTGTGCTGTGGCAACTGATTAAACAACACAAACGTACTTACTCTTCACTTTCATTGATGAAACAGCTTGCGTCACAATTCACCAGTGCTGCATTCTCTGCAGCAAAAGTCTGCAGAAGCTTCTGGTGTCCGTCTTCACGTCTAGTAGCGGTAAAGCTTGGCTGATCGGGTCTGCTCAAGGTCGATCTTGTGACCAAAGAGATCGCGAATGTTATTGAGTCGGTACTTAATCATCGTGGGACGCTCCAACGATAGACCCCAAGCGATCACACGCACGTTTTCGGGTAAACCCATTGGACGCAGCATCTCTGGACGGAACACGCCCGAATTACCAATCTCAGTCCACTTCTTCAGGTCCGAGTGAAAGGCAAAGATCTCCATGCTAGGTTCCGTGTAGGGATTGTATGCTGGCTTGAAGCGCATCTGCGTAATGCCAATCTTCAGAAAAAAGGCCTTGATGACACCAATGAGGTCACCCAACGAAAGGTCATAGTCTGCTACGACACCCTCAACCTGGTGAAACTCGGCCAAATGAGTCGCGTCCATATTTTCGTTCCGGAACACACGGTCGATGGAAAAATACTTTTGTGGCGTGAAACCACCCGGCTGGTTCGCCAGCTTGTACAGCATCTGCGCCGAAATGGCCGTCGTGTGTGTCCGCAGGATGTTCGTCATTGACGTCTCACGCGTAAAGGCGCCACGACCATGGCTGCAGCGTAAGCGGAATTGCAAAGTTAATGGCTTCAATGCATTCCATAAAACGCATAGTACCAGAGCTTGCGTACCCAATAGAGCCAAATCCGCCGTTCTCGTGCATATCCTGGACACGTTGGTAGTAGTCCTCCGGTACCGTCAAACAGTGTTTAGGCTCTGTAAATAGCACACAACGCCGCTTTGTTATCTTCACACTCAATTTTTACATGGAATAAGACAATTCTACACGCACGCGTGAGGAAAAACGTGTCATGCGCATCACGAGCCGGATGTGATTGCGGCTGGAACAATGAGTCAAAGTTCCAAAAGCTGCTCTCGACGTAGCGATTCGTCGGCATCTCCTGAAAGCTATAAGAACACAAGAAAACAAACTCACATACTCACTAACGCCTTGTGACAGTTTTTTTTCTCAATCCAACAAAACCCACCCCATGTCCATCAGCACTCGACGAAACTCTGCTCGCACCTTCATAAGCGGATGCAAATGTCCGCCACCAACATTCAAACCCATCGTCTTGAAGTTATAGGGCTTAAACGTCTCCTTTTTCCACGCCTCACTGGACCAATACAACCAACCAGCACCAAACAAACCACATCAATCAATATACAATACCATCATCTCTTCACGACTCTCTCTCTCTCTCACCCATCCAGCATCTCCTTTGTCAAACCAGCCGCCTGCTTCTTCCTTTGTAGAGCAAAATTAGCTCCTTTCGTCAGCCTATATGACTTTCGCGTACGCACGTCAACAAGTTTACGACGCTTCAGTATCGTCGCTTCATCCTTGGTTACTGCCGACATTGCACCATTGGCTATCTCTAGACGCTGTAAGATCTTGACAATATCATCTTCCACTTGATCTACATTGCGATACAATTTGCCATCTTTCTTTTCAAGACGAATCCATTTGTTCTTCATACAAACACCTTGACCAACTTTACGGATTGTAGCACTAACGATTGCTTCCAATGTGTTGCAATCAATTCCATGCACCGGAATGGCATTAAATACTTGTATCTCAGGTGATCCATTGGTTAAAAAGAGCTTTGCTTCATCCTTCAGTACGTAAAACGAGGTCGAATGTTCCATCTCGATGACAAATGCATCCACCAGTAGCGACTTCATCACACCAACAATAAGTTCATGTGATACATCATTCAATCGAGAAAATTCATACGTATCCGATACGGATCCTTGACCATCAATAGTCTGTAACAATAGCGACTCGATGCGTGTTTTCTCTCCTTCACTGCTCATTCTACTTCTCAATTGATCTGGGTGGTCACTATGGCGCGAATTCACTTTAATAACGTTCAGTCAATGGCCTTTTATCTCCCTCGGTTGAATGACATTTACTGTACCTTAACTCTTCACTTATCTCCGACACATGACCCTAGTTATCTCCTCGTTTTACTGTCCTGTCACTCTTTTCAATACTCTCCATGCCAACCACACTCACTCACTCTCTCTCTTGCTTGATTAATCACTTGATACAATGGCATCTCGTCGTTCCTCGATTCGACGTCGCTCTGATCCGATGAATCGACCTACTAGTCAACGTTCTCAGCGTTCAAATAGTTGTCATTCCATGCCAATTTGGTGTAAAAATGAAGACTACAGTGACTATGACAGTGTTTGTATTGCAGAAGAAGTTGTTGGGATTTCAGGCTTCCTGACATCAATTCAAGCAGGTTTCCAAGGTCTCATGAAGCACAGATTTGAAGATTTTATCGTCCATGAGCTTTCACTGCACGCCAAGGTCCCGATAACGCTACAAAGTGTGGCTAAAAAGAACAAGAAGGTGTCATTACTCTTCCAGGAGCATGTCTTGGACTTGTTATGGGGTGTCATGCCGTCTCAAGACAAGACAAGAAGACACTATCAACAGGAAAAGGATGAGATCATTAGTCTTGTACGTCAATTGGCTCGTAAATTGCAGCACATGTCGTTGGAGCTACAAAAACGTGGTCAAGTTGCCCAAGAAGCGTATCATTTGCAACAATTGGTAGGATTGGTGACAAGAGAGATTGGTGTGAAGAAAGGCAAAGAGTTTCGACAGTTTTTAGACAAAGTTGAGCAAGCAAGAGTTGAGTTTGAGTCGAAGAAGAAAAAGCACAATCAAGATGAAGCTGCAGTGGCAGCAGTAGAAGGATTGTCATTTTATCTTGGAGGACTAAATGATAAAGCAGATCGAGTGTTTATCCATGAAACAATGAGGAGATACGGTAAGACGAGGATTGTAGCTGATACGCTCAATATTGGCGAAGATACGGCGGTTATTCGTGTCAGACCTCATTTTGCAGTTAAGTTGTTACCAAGCGCAAGAGATAACAGAAGGGATTGGCCTGTTGGACAACGTAAGCAGCTTGCACGCGTAGTGTTTCTTATTGAAGTTGTATGACTGACGACGACATTGTCGTTTGCGTGATTGTTTTGTAGCGGATTACTTACAGTTCACGCTGTACAAACGCAATAAGGATACGACAGCGGTGATTAATCAACTGGCGTCTATGTTGAAAATCTCGCCAACGCTGTTTTCTTGTGCTGACATTAAGGATAAGCGTGGAATAACGACGCAGCTCTGCACAGTGTATCGTGTACAGAAGGAACGTGCTCAAGTTGTATTTCGACCTGGCGGCAATAAGAAGCTGGAAGATCAACAGTTTCTCGTGGGGGACTTTCGGTACGTGTCACGAAAACTGGAGCTGGGTGATTGTGCTGGTAATCGCATTGCCATGGTGGTTCGATCTTTGCCTGAAGACGAAAACGAGTTGTCGGAGAAGGATGTGCATGACGCAGTACACAGCTGGGAAGCGCGCGGGTTTATTAATTTTTTTGGTCTACAACACTTTGGCAACGCCAGTACTTCTTATCATCTGATCGGACGTTCGATGCTGCGTAAAGACTACAAGTTGGCTGTGTTGTTACTACTTCGTCCACAAGAGGGCGAAGCTAGCAAAATCCGTGCTGCGCGAGAACACTTTCGCCAGCACAAGGATGTGGCAGCAGCTCTCCGAATGTTTCCGCCCTTTTTGGTACCAGAGCGAGCGGTTCTCGAGGGTCTGCAGCAGCACGGCATCGATGCGCACGAGCTCGCGTTCAACTGTATTCCGAAACCACTCCGTGTATCTTATGTGGAGGCGTACCAGTATTTTGTTTGGAACGAGATGGCGAGTATGCGAATATCAAAATACTCGTCAACATCAGCTATTGTTGGTGACTTTGTTTCAAAAGCAAAGGTTGACGTAAAGACTGTGCGAGCATTAGATGGAGCAAGTGAACCAGCAAGGAAGCGCCAGCGGACTGGAAAAAGCACAAGGAGGCAGTTGGTCCAGGAGGTTGTAGAAGTTACGGAGGCTAATGTAGACCAGTACTCAATCGACGACGTAGTACTGCCACTTCCAGGGCACGCTGTCAAGTACCCTACAAACGAAATTGGTGCTGTGTACCGAAAATTGCTCACGACGGATGGAATCGATTTGAACGCGCATTTTGGACCTGACGGAAGCCAAACCTATTTGCTGGATGGATCGTACCGCAACTTGGTGAGCAAGCCCACCCGTGTGTCGTTTCGATTACAGCGCTACACGGACCCGACCAAACCTTTGATTTCCAATGACGTTGACGCGTTGCTTGCAAACTCTCCTGCTGCTTTGTTGGGCAGCTCCATTGCAAAGGACGCAGCAAATAATTTGTCGAAAGAAGTGACAGAAAATGCATCACAGCGTGCACTAGTGCTGGAATTCGATTTGGAGTACGGCTCAGACGCGACGATTGCCATCCGTGAGTTGATGAAGCAGAGTAGCAGCGTTCGAGTAAATTGGCAGACGTCTAGTTGTGAAGCAGCAAGTGGCGAAGCTGCAAAAGTCATCAATGGCTCATGTGCTGCAGACTCAGTATTCAGCAATAATAAGAGTTGCGGTTCGTATGTGACGCGAGGAGACCCACGCAAGGTCATTAAAGCTCAAAAAAAGACTCAAGTGGCTATCGGCCGCCCAGGCTTCAGCCTCGGCAGGTCGTAAAAACCTCACTGCTTGCTTGGTCGTTGAAACTGATGTCGCAAAGTCTAGGAGAAAAAAAGCTATTGCTGCATAGAAAAGAGATTGAAAGAAGTCATGTTTCCAAACGTGTTGTTTCCTCGCTGGAACGAGGAAAACGTATCAGCAGAAAGTGCTCGTCGCATTCAAAACCTACCGACCATTGTATTGGCAAATCGATCATGTGTATGTACACTGGATTCTGAAGACGTGCTGAGTGGCAGCAAGAGCCTGAGCGGCAGAATTCATATTATGGCATTGACATGTACGGGTCGCTGAATGTAGAGTTCATTGTGTGTCCTCCATCTTTGGAAGAATACGATTGCTTTGGAAATAACGACGGTCGATATACAGGATGGCAGAGGTAGATCAAGATTAAGCTGTACACAATGAATTGTAGGGTTTAGTAATGCTCAAGGCAGGTTGCAGACACCGACCAGACCGTCTGTGCAGTGTTTATGCAGTCATTTGGAGTGATCAAGATCACCTGCTGACTGATGTTAGTAGCAGTTATTCCAAGATTTGAGCGGTGATATGGTAAAGAGCTTGAGGGAATCATGGAGCGTAAATAAGTCGTTGCGTCGAATATATATAGCAGATGGTGATCTCTGCAGCTTGCGATCATTCACGAACTACACAGGCCTCACAACGAATCCAACGATAGGATTTTGCTTCCAGCCGACATCTTCTGATCATGATGGGCCTTTTGCCTTCTCATAAAAAACGCCTCGGTAAGCCGTTCACGTTCAACACGCATTTTTTCTTCCACGACTTCCTGAATCTCGGCGCGAATCCACACACGCATATCCTCGTGTTGCTGCATGGTTATGTTGGCCGCATCCTTTTCAGCTCGAAACTTGTCGTCTTTTCCAGCACAACTCTCGATTCCGCTTCACGAATTCTTGACTCTTCCTCGGAGCGGACCTTGGCATCTTGTTCAGCGCGAATTCGTGCTTCCGTTACCTTACGAGCCTGACTGCTAGTAAAAGCACACCGCAGAGCTTCACTAGATTCGCTATGATCGTGACGAGAGAAAAACAGAACCCCGGTCAACACTCGCAGTAAGACGAGAAGCAGTGAAACTACTCGCTCCGAAACAGCGTGGAGTGTTTGAGCTATAGCAGCTTCTTTTTCAGCGATGATTCTGCAGCGCTCCATATTGTATGCAAGTTGACATCCATCATGCTGCAGCAACAGGTTAACAATCTTGTTGTGGCCGTTCTTCTTGGCCCGCAAAACGGCTTCAGCTTCACATTTTTCCGATCGGTTCTCATGGAGATACTCGACAACAGATTCATGACCGTGCTCCGCAGCGGCAATGATTGAAGCGTTTGTGGCAGCTTGATTGAGGTTCGTGTGCAAATACTTTACCACATCCAAGAAACCTTTTGCTGCCGCACTCGTCATCGCAGCAGATGTGCATTTCATGTGAATACTATGCAGCCAATGAATGGCAGCGAGATATCCTTGTCCTGCTGCGGTATCGATTGCAGCTGTCGAGCAGCCCTCAGCCCGATTTTCATGTAACCATCGGGCTACATTCACATGGCCATTACGTACCGCACCATCCATTGCAGCGGTTGAGCAGCCTTCGGAACGTTTATCGTGCAACCACTTTACCATATGAAGTTTGCCATTAGCTGCAGCACGATCCATGGCAGTAACGGTGCATCCTTCAGTACGATTTTCATGCAGCCACATTACAACACTAAGAAAACCATTCGTTGCGGCACCATCCATTGCTGCTACCGTACACCCCTCACTGCGGTTAAGATGAAGCCATTGGACAACGCCGAGATGTCCATTTGTTGCAGCACGATCCATTGCTGCAGAAGTACACCCTTCAAAGCGAGTATTGTGGAGATGCTTGACATTGCATAATTTTCCATGACTTGCAGCATTATCCATAGCCTCAGTGGATAATGGTGCATCGCAGTTGGCAAGCATCCACGTGAAATGTCGTTCACTAGGTAAGCCTGCTTGATACGCCTTTATCAAGGTACACAAGCCTTTGGAATCATGTGTCTTATGATGCCACGTAGATGGATCGGAGAATCCATATTCACGTATTTCTTCAGGTGTTAATGTAGTCATCGAGTGGTGACTGACGGACTGCTTTCCAAAAGAAAAATGGTTATCATTATGCCACGAGAACATCTCACCAACCGTCACGAAAGTGGCACTTTCGTGACGGTTGGTGAGATGTTTGAGATGTTCTCGTTACAACAGTTGGATTGAGAGATAGGTTTCAAGTTTTATCAACTATACGACAGGAATTGACGTGAAGGTTTGTTGAGACGGGGGTGACTAGACATGATGCAAAGTGATTTCTTCGATTAGGCTTGAGTTGCATTGGTCTGCCGCTATTGCTATCGAAGTTGCCATTTACCAAGATGTCAAACGATGAAATACAGATCCCCGTTGTTTCGATAGTCCCTGGTATCGGTGATGCCGTTCGCAACAAACTTTCGTCAATGACGGCTTCATTCCCTGCAGCTAAACTATACCAGTGTTCGAAGCTCAAGATCGTCGACATACCTACGCCTTTTGTTTGTCCTTTGAATGCTAACAAGGATAAGAGTATTGCTATGACAACCCCCGAATGGAAGCTCGACCTCAAGCAGCAGCAAATCTTAGAACACGCCGAGATACTCTTGATGGACGCTCACTTGGCTGCACCAATGTTACTTGCACCCAAGACAAACCTTCCAGCTGACTTGCAGCACCTATTGAAGAAGGTAAAGTGGGTGCAGGGAACCTACACTGGAGTGGACTCGTATCTTCAGTACCCCAACACCCCGGTAGACCCCAGCTTTACGGTCTCACGTGCAGGTGGAACCATGTCAAAAGCTTTGGCTCAATTCGTTTTCGGACACGTGATTGCGATTGAGCGTAAGCTCAGTGAGGCGAAACAGTATCAGGAGAAGCGCGTGTTTGCTCGATGGGACCTCACGTACCGTTCGTATCGACAAGTGACGATCGGTATCCTCGGTCTCGGTGAAGTTGGTCAGGAGATTGGACGCATGTTCAAGACGTCCGGGTTCCAGGTGGTAGGTCTTAAGCGTCGTGTAAGCAAAGGAGATAGGAAAGCGCTGCTTTTGAGTGCTGACTGCGTGTCAACTAACTTGAACGAGGTGCTCGAACAAAGCGACTACGTGGTGAATGTGTTACCCAGCACAAGGACGACTCGCTACTTGTTGACCGAGAAAACGCTTGAGCTTTGCCGTAAGAAACAACCGGTATTCATCAACGTCGGTCGTGGCGACATTATTGCAGAGAGAACGATCATTGCCGCTATCGACAAGGGTCTGCTATCGAAAGCTGTGCTGGATGTCTTTGAACAGGAACCCTTGCCAAAGGAGAGTCTGTTGTGGTCACATCCGAAGGTGATTGTAACACCGCATATTGCTGGCGCTGTTTTCCCGGATGACGTTGCGGATGTGTTTGTGAGAAACCTCGACCGCTACATTGAAGGAGAACCGGTCTTGTATCGAATGGACTGGTCGAAAGGCTACTAGACTAGTGTGGTAATGTGGAAAGGGACTGGAACACAAGGAAACTTCGATAGACGGAGAGAAAACAAACCAATGCGCCATTTCAAATGCACTGATGCAACGCACGCTCCACTCTTAATCAATCCTTGTCGTTCGGTATTGTGTAAATAGCTTATGAATCAACGCCCTGCCTTTGGTCGCTAGTGTTGAAATGCTGTAAGAACAGCTTGTGCCGGAAATCGCTGAAGCACACGCCGAGTCATGTGGAATGGCAGACACTATCCAAAACGCTGCATCTGGCCTTGCTCAAGGTTAAATACATCAAAGGTTAGATGCAGCTCTGCAAGCAGTGATTGTTCGTAAGGGATTGACCAAAGATGTCGAGTTGAAAGCATCCAGCCTTTGATCGAACCTGTCAACCGTGAAACGTTTTGACTTGAGTCGAAGGCTATTACGCTTGTGACGACATCACTAACATCGAGTACTTCTACACCTCACTCACTAGTGATGTCTAGCTTATACCGCATGGACACCAAGCGCATGATGTCTTTGCTACACGTCAGTAAGAAGAGTAAACTATAGTACTTCTTCCTTCACTTAAAAGTCCGACACTGCATGCAAATGTCTTCCACACATGCAGCATCCAATGCGTTAGCTGTTGCACTAACCAATGCCACCTGATAAGCACATGAGACATTATCACTCCAAGACAAAGTAGACGATTGATTTAAATGCGTTACTTTGTAGATAAGCTCCAAGCTGTTGAGCAAGACAGCTTGAATACCTATGCTTAGTAATCTTCCTCTCCACCAAACATGTCCATACCGCCACCCATGTCAATCTCCTCTTCTTCCTCCACAACCTTCTCCACTACTTTAGCAGCTGAAGCACCACCACCAGCAGCAGCTCCAGCACCAGCAGCAGCAGCAGCAGGAGCAGCACCAGCAGCACCGAATGAAGCTAATTTCTTGCTTCCAGCAGCAATAACCTCTTCAATATTCTTCCCCTCCATCGCCTTTAATAATGCAGTGATACTATCTTTATCAGTTTCAACACCTGATGCTTGTAGGATCTTCACCACATCATTGTCACTGGGAGTTGGGTTACCACCCAATACAGCAAGCAAGTAAGCAGCAATGTAACGCATCTATGTTGTATCAAGTCACACATTTTAGATCAATTCCATGTCAATATATCATTTCTACATATAGACATCCTGTATACTTGATGTCATATCTTGTTATCGTACCTTGAATCACTTTAAGGTTTCTTCGAGTCGACCAGATACAAGATGATGCTAAACTCGACTGCACCACTCGCTATGATTTCTCTATAAGAACAGCATAATTTCTCTATTAGAACAAGTGAGCTGGATTTCGATCCAATCCAGATGTAGACGAGATTAGGGTAATCATCGCCAACAATTCTCCTCCAGTCATTTTATAAGACACAATTCTAGCCAATCATTTATTACCATCATCATCATCTTCCTCGTGTCAGCCATTCTCCGACCGACTTTGTCACTCACTTGCTCCTTCATTTGATTCGAACGTCATGGCTCCTGCTGTAAGTTCCTTCCTTCCCCCTCCTCTTCCTTGTATAGAAATGTATCTATGTATTGTCGTACTTGGGGGCAAGTGTATGAGTTGCTAAGCTGCAGAGTCCTCCTTCTCTGCTCGGGCAAACAGAGTTTCCATCTCTCTGTGGACAATCATACTAGTTAGCTAGTTAATTGGTTGGTTGGTTGGTTGTCACGCATTATTATTGGAACAACAAGCTGTTAAAAGTAGTAGATGCCATTGAAAGAGAAAGAGAGTGACTTGAATGCTATTGGTAGACTTGAAAGCACTTGCCACGATCAATTGATTCATTCCTTTGTATCGATAGTGTAACTAATCCGATGATATACGTGTGATATTGTTCTTGTTCTTGTAGCACAAGGGTAAAAAGATTAGCAAGAAACAATTGCTCAAGTTTACAATTGATTGTACCATTCCAGTGGATGATCATGTCTTGGATCCTGCTTCGTTTGAGAAATTCCTACATGATCGTATCAAGGTTGGTGGCAAAACGGGTGTACTCGGTGATGCCGTCAAGATTACTCGTGATAAGACCAAGCTACAAATTGTAGCTGTCCCTCCTTTTAGCAAACGATACCTCAAGTATCTGACCAAAAAGTATCTCAAGAAACAACAATTACGTGACTATTTGCACGTGATTGCGTCGGACAAGAGCACGTACGAATTACGATACTTTAACATTCATGATGCTGGAAATGATGCTGAGGACGACGATGAGTAGAAAACGTGGGATCTTGGATGACTGTAGTTGTTGAAAGCTCAAGAATGTTACGAGGTCTTAGGAGGATTTTGATCGATGAATACAGGATCGTTTTCGGTATTAAAAAATCTTCTTGACGTGTTGCGTCACGTGTGATAGGATTCTCAATTGTTGTAACTACGGGACAATGGACTTGTAAGTAGAGAAAGTATGCAATCAAAATAACGTACGAACCCGAATGAAAATTTACATTTGAGATCCTCTTAGGTACACCCTTTGATGCTGATGAACACTGTACTGCACAAACAGCGTCGACTCAATATGTACGGCAGTCCGTTTTTTCTCTCGCAACGATTGAAAGGATCGCTTGGTTCGTTACATACCATGCACAAGCGCTGCATTAATGGCCTCAATCCACTTCTTTGATCCATTGACAAGATCATTCAAATGATACACTCGGTTTGGCTGGAAACAATACATTCATAAACAATAAACGAAAAACACTGTCAGTCACTACACTCCACTCATCATACTTAGCATCTCTTACCGTCACGACGTCAAACGCAGTCGCACTCTTTGAATTCACGTAGAGATTGCCCGACCATGGAATCTCGCCCTTTTGCTTCATTCTAATCGGGTCAATGTAGATCAAACGGGGCTTTGAAGTCAGAATTAATTGGCGCTTCTTCGAAAAAAGACCCTTGCGTTTGCTAATGAGCCCGCCCATTTTGATCAGCTCATCATCCAGCAAAAATCGGTTCCACAACGAGCTCGTACGCCGCATGGCAGGTGGTATTGCTGCCTTCTGACGGGCCACTTCCACTACATTAACATGCTCGGCCCTGCCATCGACAAAACAAATTCACACAAGTAAGAGATCAATCGCTCCGAAACCTCCACGCAGCAATACACGTACGGAGAAGGCAATGGGTCCAGTGCGAGTCCCGACGAAACTTGCAACTCGGTCGCAACACCGGCAAACAGCCAATCTTCAGTTGCACCATCCTAAATACAGCATCGTAAGGTATAAGTGTGTTTATTCCACTCGCAAATTTCTCGTCAACCGCATCATTCTTACATAATCAGTAGGTGGTAGCCGACCAATCTCTGGCACATAAGGCGGCTGCGTGTATCCAGCCGAATTCCAATCGATGCCTTCAAAAAATGGATGCAATTTCAAAGCTCGGTATCCATTACCTTCTTCATCCGAGCCAGCACCAAGACGACCGTTTGGCTCCTGAACGAGAATGCGATCGATCAAATCCTTTGCAACCGGCGGGAATCCTGGCGGGTACGCAAAATCCTCGGCAGGATGATTTAAGATCTGCTGAAAAGTAAGGTACTCGTTTTCTGCACGGAAAATGGGTCGACCGACAAGCAACTGAAAAACCATGCAAGCCATAGCCCACAAATCACACCCGCGGGACGCTTCCTGGTCACGCAAAACCTCAGGAGACACATATTCAGCCGTACCACAGAATGTATTGTGGCGGCTCTCCTCTGATTCGTCCTTAGCTGTACCAAAGTCGGTCACCTTGAGGTGACCATCATCGCTAAGAAGAATATTCTCAGGCTTCAGATCACGATGAATTACACCATTCTGATGCAAGTATTCAAGTGCAACGACAACTTCAGCAATGTAAAAGCGTGTCAGCTCAAGCGAACACGCGCGGTCTGTGTATCCTGCTGCAGCTTGTTCCTTTTGATGTTTACTGTCAAAAAAAACATAATGTCCAAAAGCATGCCACACAGTCAAGAATGAGTATGTTCAAGTAATAATGAATCAAGACATGCAGAAAAAAACAAAACAAATCCATGCAAGACATACGTGATAACGTCAAGCAGCTCACCACCACGACAAAGTTCCATCACCATATACAAATAACTACTATCCTATACACACACAATCGCAATAGCATCAACATCACGTCAAGTCAATTTAACACATTGTCATACATACAATCAAAACAAATCAAATTAAATCAACTGGTGTAAAAATAGCAATGATCCATTGCAACAACAACACACACACACACACGAGAATCGTCATGTCATCGTTACCTGGAATGTAAAAAAGAGTTTCACGACACGATCATGTGAGATCTTGGAGAAAACTTTGCGTTCCATCATGACAAATTTCACTTTCTTTTCCTTGCGAATAAAGCGCTTTTCCATAATTTTCACAGCGTATTCAACACCTGAATCCTTCATACGTGAATGCACCACCTTCCATAGACACACAAAAGAGTCAGCCACATCATTCATCGATTCGTAGTAATCTCTCTATCATGACTTGATAAGGATACAACTATAACTCTAGTTTTCTACATACCCGAGCATAAGCACCTTCACCTAGTGTAGTACCAAACATAAAGTCAGCAGGTGATGGCTTTTTACTCTGCGAACGAACGGGTAACGCGTCATCTGTCGAGCCTATTACCATAGACAAGAGATAAGAGAGAGAGAGCAGTTATATTCGATGGATGAATACTAATACAAGAGATGAGATTGATTGACAACGTACAAGGCGATGAAAAGGCTTGCATGATGAGCCAGAACAAACGATCAATCAAGAGAAGATGGAGCTGCCTGCTTGATTCTTTCCCCTTTTTAGGTTATGTGTACTGGCTGTTAATGTAATGTACATTAAATTGTAAACTTTGGGGCAAGGGTTGGTGTCATATCAGGCAGTTTCATGAGACAAGAAGAAGAAAAAGATCTTTCTAGGGATGTACATAGACGTTGCAATACGATTACGTAATCGTAAGATCGTGTTGTAAGATGTCGTCGTGTTGCATCAAACAACAAACCGAGGCAGTAAAGAGAGTCATGTGGAGAAGGTTCTTGTAAATGTAAACAGACGGCGTACTTTAGCGACAAAGATTGATCTTGAATAAGCTACCGATGGGAGAAATTGCAATATCAGTAGCAGCTCTGATTGTCCTGACGGTGCTTTTATCTCGAAATAAATCATACTTGAACGTACGACGTTCAGCATGGGACTTGCATTCAATGTGTGATGACAAAATAACGCTTACAATGTGACAAAGAAAATAAAGTTACCAACTGACTGTATTTTCTAAGCGCATAAGGCTCAACGGTGCGACAGGAAAGCTCACATTATCGTCTGCTGGCGTGTGAGAATTGAAATCGTTATTGGTTCGTGCACCGCAAATTGAGTCAGCAAAACGATCCCAATACACTCCAAAATCTAGAATCCGACGACACAATCTACCAACCCATTTACATGAATAAACTGTAATTTTCCCTATAGTAGCGATATCTTCTATCGCCCGCCCGATCAACGTATTAATTCAATCTTTTTCCATCAATATAGGCACCACCACGACTTAATGTATCGTACACACTAATTGCGGGACTTACAACCATGCCATTTCATAGGTTTTCATAGTCCCAAATTCTCACACGTCACATAAATCCTACCAACCAGTCAAAGCAATGTCAAGTATTGAAAAGCTTTCAATCCGTGGTATTCGTAGTTTTAGTCCGAATCGTGAAGAAATCATTGAATTTTACCATCCACTAACTGTTCTCTTAGGTGACAATGGATGTGGTAAAACAACCGTGATTGAATGTCTCAAATTAGCGTGTACAGGTGGTTTACCTCCAGGTGCTCGCAATGGTCAGAGTCTCCTGCATGATCCGAAAATTGCTGGTACGAATGAAGTTAAAGCTAGTATTCGTTTACGCTTTCGTAATCGGGCACAGAAAGCAATGGTCGTCCAACGTACGTATCAAGTTCGTCAGACGAAGAAGAATCTACAGTTTAAAGCCTTGGATGGTGTCATTCGTGTCGTGAATGACATGGGTGAGAAAGTATCGTTGAACCATAAATGTGGTGAATTGGATCAACATATTCCCGAGATGTTTGGTGTATCAAAGGCGATACTAGAGAATGTCATTTTCTGTCATCAAGAGGATTCCAATTGGCCCTTACGTGAAGGTGCCGAGTTGAAAAAACGGTTTGATCAGATTTTTGAATCCGCACGATATACAAAAGCTTTGGAAGCCATACGGAAATTAAAAAAAGCACGTCTAGAGCATGCAAAGGAGTATAAACGGGATTTAGATGTCTTGACAGTAAATGTCAAGATTGCAAGTGAGATTCGCCAAGGTTTGAATGTGAGACTCGAGAAAATAACACAAGCACGCGAGGAAGAAGATAAAGGAGAAGAACAGATTGTACAAGCAAAAAAAACAGTAAATGAGTTGCAAGTGTTGCAAGTGGAAGTGAAGACATTACATGATCAAGTTGAAAGACGGGAGGAAGAAGTAAAGATCAAGGAACAGACTGTACGACGTGCCTATGACAAGATTGAAAACATGATGAGTGATACGAATGAAGAATTGCAAGGTATTTTGAACGACTATGATGCAATTAGTCAAGAACATCGAAACGCTTTTTCGAAGTTACAACAAGAAGAAACGAGACTGCAGACAGACCAACGTCAAGCGAAAGACGAATACGTGGCGTTGCGAGCGTCCAAAGCACGAGTTGAAACGAACATTGACACATACCAGAAAAGGGTCGCGAACCTTATTGATTCGGCCTCAAAGCTAAGTACCAAGTATCGATTCCACTTGCAACCATTATCATCGCAACAGCATGATGTTTCAGCGTTTTTGACAGAGTTCAAGAACATTGTGGAAAGCAAACAAGATGTGCTCAATAGTTTGGACGCAACGCAGAGACAGGATGATGAAAAGCTGACTACAGAATTGTCAGAATTAACGTCGCAAGTGAAACATTTACGCAATGAATTGAATGCAAAGACACAAAGTCTCAAAGCGTTGGACCGGGACAAAACGGCTCTTGCAAATCGGCTGATCGAGCTTGGTAGTGCTGGTCTCAATTCTCAGCGAGAAGTAGAAGAAATTAACACGCATGTTAAAGAGGCAGAAAGAACGTTGGTGGACTATAAGAAGAAGCACGATACAGTAGCTTTGAAAGTCGAGATTCAAGACTTCAACAGACAGATTAGCAATATCAGTGGAACAATGGAAGATTTGGGGCAGCAGATTACCACACTGCGTACCTATGCTCACCAACAATCCGAGCTCGAAATCAAACGCAATGAATATCGAAAGAGACAGGAAGCGTTTCAGGCGATTTTGCACGAGAAGGTGTCTGACTTTGAAGAGATCTTGGAAGGTGGTGAGCAACCAACGAATAGAACCTCATTGGTGTCAGCTGTTGCTCGAATTGACAACATTATATCCGAGCGCCAACGCAGTTGCGATGCAAAAAAGAAAGATCTAGCGTTAGCTGAGCAACGTCTGATGGAAAACATGACATCTTCGAAATTGGCTGAAAAGGAGTTGAACTCATTGCGTGTGCGGAAAAGCGAACTGGAGAGGCAACGTATGCCTGGTTTGAAAGCGCTTCTCGACACGGTTATTCCCGGTCATGGTCTAAAGAATGCTGAACTTGGGATACAGGAGGCGGAGCGAGCTCATGCTGATGCTAAAGACAAGGTAGTTCGTCGCAAAAATATGGTGATGTTCCTTAAGATCTATAAGAAGAAGGGAATGAAGGATCATTGTTGCCCGTTATGCGAGCGTGATATGAGTCCTGAGGAAGAGCAGGCTTATGAAAGCATTCTGACTGAAAAGACTGATGATGGAAAGGTTGCAGACAAAATCAAAAAGGCCGAAGATCTCGAGAAGTCATCGTTTCAGACGTTGACCGACATCAAGGAAAAGATGCCGCACTGGCGTAAGTGGATGGAGCTAGAAACCACTGTACCACAGAAGGTGAAAGAGCTCGAGGAGATTTATGCTTCCCAGAAAGCGCTTGAATATGACGTGCAAGACAAAAGAGTCGCATTTGAGCAGGCACAGGAACAGCTTGAAGATGCAAAGACGGCAAGGTCCGAAATGAATACATTGCGCAAAGCTGCAGACGACTTGCACTCCTCTGATGTGTCTTTATCGAAAGAAGAAGAGCGTATGAGAGCCTTGACAGCAGGAAGTTATGGAGCAGGTCGATCGTTGTCTGACGTGGAAGCAGAAAAAGATGCAAAGCAAGCTGAAGTGCAGGATCTGAATTGCCAGCTTCAACGGAAACAGAAAGAGCTGGACCGCATGAACGAAATGCTACAGCAGCTGCAGAACGATCTACATAACCGTAAAGAAGAAAAGCTGAGGAAGGAGACCCAGCGCAAGGAATACGACGAGGCTGTGAAAGAACAAAATCGACTACGTGAGCAAGAAAAGGTCTTGAAGGAGGCCTGTTTGAAGTTAAGAAAGTCCGAGCCCGAACTAGAACGTAACATTCGCGTGAAAACATCCGAGCGCGACACACGCCGTGCAGAGGCAAGGGATCACCTGCGAGCCAAAAATTCCGAGGTTCAAGAAAGCCAAGGTGATTTCCGTGTCTTCAGTGATAAAGCCAAGCAGGTTCAGCGCGGAGAACTCGAGAAACTTGAGCGTGAAGCTCAATCGCTGATCGAACGTATCGCTCAAACGAAGCAGAAGGAGGATGTAGCAAATCAGTCGTTGGCGGATCTACTACCCCAAATGAAGAATGCGGAAAAAAGCCTGAGCGAGAATGAAATTGTCAAGCGACATATTCAGGACAACCTGGACTACCGTGTTCTCGAGAAAGAGTTGCAGAAGATGCGCATTGAAATCCAAAACCTCAAGGCTCAAGTAGAAAATCTGCCAACGCTAGATGTTGTCAATGATCGAGTAGCATCAGCAAGCAGGGCGCTTCATACTGCACAAGTTTCTCGTGCCACGCTAACAGGAAAGAAGCAGCAGCTAATGGAAAATATTCGCGAAGATAAGATCAAGCTTCGCGCACCGAGCTTGAAGGACGTTGAAGAGAAATATCGGCACAAGCTGATTCAGTTTGAGACCACACAGATGGCTGTTGCGGACTTGGATCGATATTTTAAGGCACTGGACGAATCCCTATTGCAGTATCACTCAAAAAAGGTAGAGGAGATCAATACGATCATTCGTTTACTGTGGCAGATTACGTACAAGGGTCAAGACATCGACACGATTGAGCTAGTGAGTGGACAACAGGAGGGTGTGGTTTCAAAAGCTGCGCGCTCGTATGACTACCGCGTTGTAATGAAAAAGGCAGGAGCATCGATTGACATGCGAGGTCGCTGCAGCGCTGGGCAAAAAGTTTTGGCCGCTTTGGTCATTCGTTTGGCATTAGCGGAAACCTTCTGTTTAAATTGCGGCATCTTGGCGCTGGATGAACCCACAACAAACCTCGATACCGAGAACAAATTCGGTTTGGCGCAGGCAATCACAGAGTACGTACGACCATGCTCAATTAGTACCAAACAGTGCAGTTCGAATCACTGACCGCATTTGTTGTTGCAATGCAGCATTCTGAACGCGCGATCCCAGCAACAAAACTTTCAGCTTGTGTGCATCACACACGACGAAGAGTTCGTGCAAATGCTCAGTCGTACTCAAACCATGGACGGCACACGGCCAGAGTTTTACTGGCGCATATCACGAGAGGACATGTATGATCTATGATTTGTTGATTGCTGTCTGTGGTAGTGGTGTTTGCACTAACTTATCCACATGCGTTTGTGCAGTGGCGGCAATCGCTTTGTCAGCAAGATCGAGCGGCATGAGTGGGAAGACGGCATCTAGTCCAGTGATAACTCAAGCTCCATACTTGTTGCTCCCAGTGCATTTTGGCAGGTTGGATGTGACGCATTTGCACTACATTTTGAATTGGCATTCATGAATAGCTTTCATTCAATCATCGATATTCACAAACAAGTCGAGGTTAGCTGATATGCAGGCTATTCTCTGCATTAGCCATGCATTGACTTATTTGCTTGCCTTGGTCTCCAGCTTCTGCCTCAGCTGGAGCTGTACGTCAAGGTTGCTGCTCTGTTTCAGCAGTTCCCGCACTGCCATTGTTGCGTATGAGGACGGGCCAAGCTGGAACTCCAGGCACAGAGCACGATGCTTTCCATCGGGAATGGAGGCGTGAGTAGCGCCGCCGATGAGGTGGTCAACGTCCGTTGCCAAGAGCGGCATCACGGGATCATTGAATCTTTTGATTTCATGCTTTACATCCATAGGCTTCCTGACCACGTGACGGTAAGACCCTGGAAGATGATATTCTGAGTTCGTCGCACGTTCTAGCGTTTGGAAGTCCACGGCGTCAACCTGTAGGATCTCATCGTATTGCTGTCTGAGGGCATTATCGGGATACATAATGCTATAGCCTGGCAGCGGGAGCACCACGTCATAAATGCTGTATTGGCTCAAGTTTTCAGTAGTGACGACAGAAGCACTTGCGTCGTGCCGTGTCGCTCCACTCGACGTCCGAGCCTTCTTGTTCGGCAGGCAATCTTCATCTTCCTTCTCGTCCACACCACCGCTGCTTTCGCTATCAACAACGTATTCTTCCATCATTTTATCGTGAGGAATCACGAGATCGCCCACTACAGGCGCGTCTCTAGAGAATCGCGTTAAGCGCTCGCTTGCAACAGAATTCCAAACGTAGCTCTGATACGAATGAGTATACATCATACGAAGGTGACGAGGGATGCCCTGAATTGCAGCAGCGTACGATGTCGTTCCATACGTACGTAGTCCCTGCAGCACTGCACGCTCAGCGATCAGATATGGAGGCAGTGCCTTCAGCGCAGCTTCAATGTCCTGTGCGTCCTGGAAGGCCTGACGCGCCTCACGAATTTTAGTCGCATCACCCTCGTGCGGTGAGAGCAACAAGTCAACCACACGTTTATAGTCGCGCTGCAATATCGCCCGTCCGATCTCGTGCGTGGCGATTGCTTTGGTGCCAAATCGCTGCAAACCAAAGTAATTGATGAAGCCATGCTCACTCCAACTACGAACCACTTCATGGATCTGTTCGTTTGATATCGTATCGTCATCAGGAAGATCACGGATAACCATTGAGAAGCGATTGCCACGCAGGTCGCCAAGGTTCAATCGTTGCGTGACGTATGTTGCGTTGCCCACGAGAAAGTTGAACGAGTCTAATTCGCGGTCAGCATTGTTCAGCCTTTCCAGTCGTTCCTTCGATCCATGGTAGACCGTGCACAGTTGCGTTGTAATGCCACGCTTGTCTTTAGTGCCAGCATACGTAAAGTTCGATACGCTCGTGTTCATGGCTTTTGCCAACTGCATCATGACGCTATTAGTCTCCAGATTGCGCTTGTACAGCACAAACTGCAAGTAATCGGGACGATTCTTCGGCCATGATCCACGTCCGCTGTTTTCGTTACGCTGGTCCATATCCTTACGCTTCTTACCTCCAATCATTACTCGTCGCACTCGAATGACTGACATCCCATTAGCATTAGTCGTCGTGTCGGACACTACAATACCACTGCCAAACTTGCGCAGCACTTGGTGCACTATCGCTCGAGTCTCCTTTGCTTCAATTGGTGGGAAAAAGAACGTAGTGTCTGCGTCCTCAATCTGAGCACATGACGCGTCCTTCTCCATTGTCTTCGCTTCACTCTTGCTCCGAGTCTCCTTATGTGCTTGTCTTTTCATTTCTTCATCCTTCATCTGCGTGTCTACTGCCTTGAGCACAAACTCTTTCAACCTCTCTGCCGTCTCATTCCCACACACTTCTGCAACAGCCTCTTTCAGCTTCTCAACGTCTCTCCTCTCCTGATTTAGCACTCGCGCTCTCTTATTGCGATTGAACAGACCCAGCAGTTGGCCTGCCAATTTACCCACCAACGTGTGCACTGGCGTCGGAATGTCCATCTTCTTATTAACTGCATCATTCAGCATTGCAAAGACTCGATGCTTGAATACTTCACTCACTTTTTGAATCTTAGAAGCAGGAACAAAGCGTTGAACTTCCGTGAGCTTTACCACTTGACCATTCAGTGCCACCTCATGCACCACAAAGTCCGAATAGCGCTGCTTCGTGGCGCCATGAAACCCACGCACTTCTGGCATCAAAAAGCGCTTGATACCAACCATAGACTCGTCTACGCTGCATGAAAAGCCATCATTGTAACCAGCAGCGCGAAAGTCCAGGCCGTCGTGCCGTCCGCCCCCCACGTCCACCGCTACGTCCACCGCCGCGTCCACCACGAGATAAATTGCGAGTAGATCCTCGACCCATAACTAAAGATCGCAAAACGCTTCGAACGGAGCGAGAGATCGTCGTCGTTGTCGTCGTTGATACCAAGAACTTGATGGTGGACGGGATCCACTACTGAAGTGGACGTGGTGGACGTCTTTTTTGACTGGCTGAACGTCATGATGACGAAATACTGACACGTCACTGTTACTCAGCTCGACACACGTCACACATTCTCCTCACACGTCGCAGTTTTTCTTCGTCCACATGTGGTCATGGCTCTTACTTGGTAGTATCTTTGCTCTCTTTGGGACGTGTTTATTGCATCTTTTAGCATTATATTATAAGACCAATGGACTTGGAAATGTATCTCTAGTCTTGATACTTTTTTTCAGCTTAAAAGTACGTCTCCATTCATTAATCTTGTGGTTTTCTGGTGTCTCTCAAGGTCTTCCATTCATTCCTGACATGACTCAATTGTCTGGTCAAGTCTTACGAGTATTAGGCAAGAACCCGAGTCGAATGACATTAGAAGGAACAAATGTTTACATTATTGGCAATGGATCAAGTCGATTATTAATTGATTCAAGTGATGGGAATGCAACATTTATGAGGAACCTATTGCAAGTCTGTAGCAATCATGGTATTCAAGAAATTTCACATCTATTGATCACTCATGGTCACTTGGACCATGTAGGTGGAATATTGATACTAAAACAAAAGTTTCCAACCATGAAGGTGTGGAAATATTTACCTCTGCAAGGTCGAAAAGGTGATGGAGAAGGAGATCGACGACTTGGACTTGGAAATGAAGAAAGTCGACGGTTAGGAATTCAAGCTCTAGTAGATGGACAGGAGTTTCAAGTTTCAAATACGAAAGTATTGAAGACAGTATATACTCCAGGACACTGCAATGATCATGTTTGTTTTGTGTTACATCATGTGAAAGGTATAGAAGCTACGGTGCTATTCTCTGGAGATTGTGTCTTGGGCTATGGTAGCTGCATGTTCGACTCGCTCACTGACCTCATGGCATCGCTGAAAAAATTGAGCACTTGCGGTGCTGATACCATCTACCCAGGCCATGGTCCGGCGGTAAGTAATGGACGGATGAAGATTCTTGAATATATTGCACACCGCCAGCAGCGTGAAGACGAGATACTGGATGTGTTGAAGAAGTACGGCGATTGTATAAAAGGACTGTCATCATCAGATATCGTGGATAGAATTTATGAACCACTTCCATACCTGCTGCGGCTATCTGCAACAAAAGCAGTTGAAAAGCATCTGCAAAAACTGTTTGCAGAAGTCCGAGTTCGGCAAGTTCGTCGAGCTGGATGGTTCCAGACTGCCACGTACAGCTTGAGCAACGACGTCCGTGACAATCTTGCATCGTAAAACTGTTTTTGTACTGGTAGTGGGATTTTAGTAACAACTACTCTGCAGTTGAGCAAGCATAGATGACAAACGTGATCTCGTCTTTTATAAATGTGTTCACCATGTAGCAGACCACAACATGACAAACACATGCTTCCTATGTACAAAATTTTGTGGAACCCCGTTGTCCTGATCGGCTACTGGCAGCTGAAGATGGCTGCTGCGGAGATGACATGTCATCTTCAGCTTCTTCTTGATCGGCTGCTGGAAAGTACGTGGCATGAGCTTCATTAATCGGCACAAAGCAGGCCTTCAAGCTGCCTTGTAGACATCCGTTTTGTTTACCTACTATCAGATTGGAATGATCCCAAAGGCGTCTCTGAATCACGTTCAGCGTAGGGCTGATCATAGGTGCTGTCGCACGGCAAATGGCTATGGCGGCGGCGACCCTTTTCGGCACGACTAGTATTCTGTAACATCTGTGACTCGTCGGAATATGCCACGGGCATCGATGATGGGGCAGACTTGACGCGGATGTTGCGCGTCGGATGATTCGGGTACTCCGGAACAGGACATGATCCTTGAGCGTATACGAAATAAGAAGCTTCGTCCTCGTAATTTTTCATACGAATGACAGGCTGTCGAAGCGAATAGAATGACCCGTTGCTGCTGCTACTACTGGTTATGGACGCTTCATATTGAGCACGCTCTTCTTCTACTTCTTCGCTATCGTCCGTGTAACAACTTTCTGCTCTCGAGTTCGGAAAACTCATCTTCAAACCATCACGACCCGCCAATGACGCCGCAGCGTACTCGACAGGGTTCTTTACATTCTCTGGGGCACGCAGGTCCATTTGATGAATCAAACGGACACACTTTTTGCAAAAAAGCTCATATTGCGGTACACGGAAATCGTGGTAACTCAGTACACGCGTCTTGGTCACACAACTCGAACATGTAAAACAGTGACAAACAGCACACTGTTTCGCAGAGCTCAAGAAGCTCGAGGTCCGAGCATGACATACCTCACACGTCGTGCCAGTCGTGACAAACAAACGCTCCATGTTTTTTCCTGCTTCAAGTAAAGCTGTTGCAATAACAGCATGAGCTACTGGCATTGCTCGTTCAATACGTAACCAAAGTTCTGCTGACTTGATATCAGCCACCCAGTCAATGACTTTTCCTCCTGCATCATTCTTACCACGCATATAAACGTTCACACCTCCACTTTTATTGCGTTTATACAAGTAACAAATCGATAATTTTGCTCGTACACACTCCGTAAAGAGTGGACAAGTAGGCAAATCAACCGATTCGGTCAATGTATATCCAATCTCTTTGCCATTGCGATCACGGGTTATTCCAATTTGTTCATACCAACAAACATCTCGATTCTTCACAAGTCCTTTACCAGGTGATTCAACTGTCATCCATTTAAAACACGATAGAAAAAATGGATCGTCTGGACTTCGTGCTTGAATGACACCAAGCACGGCACAATCAACAATATCTTCTCGGTAAATTCCAGAAATCCGTCGAAATTCAGGTGTCGTATCGGCATATCGTCCCATAACGACTTCATCCAATGTACCATCAATACGACCAGTACATAAATACTTGTACTCATTTGTTGTATCTTTAATCTTTCGACGTCGATAGACTGTCAAATGTTGTTTCTTTTTAATTGGTTTCCACTTGCGTTCACGTGTTTCGTTTGTATCAAATTGTTCACGATGATAAGCATCAATTGTCTGTTGTAAGAGTGCATTACCCCATTGTAAAAATGCATTGGATTCTTGTTGAGTTAAATGTAGGGGAGCAAAGAAATCTAATGGTAAAGGAAAGACCATGACAGAGATAAGAGATAGAGACGCAGAGAGGTAGAGAGAGAGATAAACGACAAAATGAAGGCAGATTGTTGTTGTTATATCGGAGCTATTGGGACAATGCGGTTCTGAGACAAAACGACTTAATCTTTCGAGCAATACAAGAGCATGTTGAATACAAGAGCAATTATAATATTACCGTATGAAAAAAAAGACTGACATACAGATATATAGCATTTTTGAACAGGGTCTGTCTTTTCCAATGAATAAGAATGGCAGCTGGATTTGGATCTTTTATGCAATCATACTAAACACGTGGTGTCATTTATTTTGGGACAGTAGGAATTTGAATACATTTGTCCATAGCTTGACTCCAGTCAAGACCATATGTTGTAACCTGATCTCTATTTTATTCTGGTATTTTATCGGCTGCAAATCACACTAGTTCGTAATGCATACTGTTTTGACAATCTTTGCTTATGTTAATATGGTCTGCTTTCGTAATCCCATTGTTACCACATTCACGGTTGCATTTACCGACTCTTGGAGTGTCGTACCGGTAGAATTGCAGTATTTTCATCAAAAAAATTCATTACGTAACCACATCAAACGCCAGTTTGATCTCATCCACTATCACAGAAATGGCGTGGAACACCTAAATCTAGGTTTAAAAACTATGTAAAAAAACATCAAGTCCACGTAACAGGTTATCTGTCAGCTTTACATTTAGACCTGTGTTTATTGTGGTAAAGGTCTTTTTATTATTACGGTCAGTTAGCAAAAAAGGCGTCTATTTTTATTAATTTCCTACAAATTACAACAAAACGTACGTGTCCATCAAACAATAAGCCAAAATGATGTCTAGTCTGGACAATCCGACTCCTAATACTCATCCTCATTATTCTCCTAATCCGAACGAATCGTCATCGTCCGATGATCTCAAGTTTATCACCGAGCGAAGTGATGAGGATTCGAATGCAGATGCATTTCCACAACATGAAGAATGTATTGCTGTTCTTACTATGAAATGTGGTGAACCTCTTATGGCCGTACGTAAGAAATTACACGATGAGATTGCCATTCCATTTATTCCAGATGAAGGTTTTGGTGTTTTTCAAAGTAAAGTGGAACGTCATTACAGTAAATTAGGACCACATTATCTCCAAGAACGACGAGCCATTTATTTAAAACCAAGTAGTAATGCAACGCAATCCAAGTATGTGCAATTAACAAAAGAGAATTTTGATCCATTACTACGTGTACGTTGGAAAGTTGCACGTAGTATGAAAGTGGAACTCAAGTATGAAGTGTTTTGTTACTTTGTGGATATTACAACCAAGAAAGAGAAGAAGAGATTATCCATGAAGATGTTTCAACAACAACAGCAGCAGCAACAGCAACAACAGCATCAGCAGCAGACACCAGAGCATAGTGTCGAGACAACCATTGTGACAAATGGAACCACTGTATCGCCTAATCCGTCCTTCATGTCGCCACTTGGTCAGTCTGGAGGTAATACAGGATTTCCACTGATTTCAAGCTATGCAGACATGTCAATGGATGGATCACTCACGCCAGGTGATAGTGTGGTCAAAGCTAATGTCATGAGGACGTCATTGAACCAAAAGAACGGAGTGCGTGATGAATCGATTCAGGCTAGTGATCGCCCTAGGAAGGTTGCACGTGGGAAACAACCATCTGTCATTGCAGATCAGCTACCACTGGATGAGAGTGTTGAGGAACCTGTATTTCATACGATTCCATTCCGAATCAATGGATTTATGGTACCACTGGAGGTAGACATCAATGCACTAAAACGAAGTTTAGGTTTGCTACATACGACCCCCGATGCGCCTGCTGGTGACTTGGACGCGACCTCACATTTGTAATTGGGTACGAGTTACCCTTGCTAGTCGTCAGAGCAAAGCAATGAAGAATGAGGAAGGTGGCGAACAAAAGCGATAGTACGCGACCGAAAAGAGAGATGGCAAACAAGTAGGTAGGCAGACAATACTGGTTAGTACGCAGCAGCAGTCGGCAGTCCGAGTCAACATTAATTATGCTGATAACGTGCATTTGTTTATTGAAAGTAACATGAATGCCGAAGAAAACATTATCAGGGTTGCTTTCAAAAGCATCCAATGCTTGCAGCGTATCATTAGTCAGATATGACAAGTGATCACGCAAATTCACGTCGAACGATTCAAAACAGGGTCTAGTGCTTAGCAATTGTGAGAAGCTGCAATCTTCTCACGAATGCAGCTAGAACTAAGTGTGCTGCTCTCCGTGCGGCGGCATGCAAATATGTGAACCTTAGGCAATCCACGATCAACGCGTATACTGTTGATCTTGATCGCACCCAAAAGCGTTTCAGTCGATACAACCATAGCCGCTGCCTCTGGTACTACAATTGCTGGACCAAATGGATCTTCAATCGTAACAATGTCTGCACTAATGTTTGGGTTAAGGAATGCAATGTACGCGCGTACAGCACTCTTTCGTTTTCCCAAAGGCTCCAGTAACTCTGCATACGACTTTTGTTTCAACATCCTATCTGCCGTCACACCCACAATCATACGGTTGGCACAAATACCAACAGCTAGTGACAGCAGTTTCTTATGTCCATTATGCAAATGATCAAATGTTCCTCCAAGGATCACAAGATCATGTGGTGTCAAGTCTGCATGTTCATCCTCAAAGTACTTGACATTGACACCCAACCTTCTTTCAACATGCATTGCCAGTGGATGATACGTGACTGCAAATAAACCTTCATGCTTAAATCGTTGTGCATTCAAATGTTCCACATTGACAAACGCATCTTCTGCAAAGACAGCATTCAAGTCTGGTAGTAGCATCAAATCGTCCCATGACGTTGAGTCTTGGACTATTTCCTGACCTATAATTCTACATCAATAACAATCATTTCGTTACACTTTATTTCAATTGACTATTCAAAAGAAAATACACACACACTACCGAATGTCTAGCAATGGTTTCGCCAGTGCACAGGCAATATCCCACGTCATGCCATAGAGTTCACTGATATATTTCATTATCTCATGTTTATTACGTCCAGATACATATATTAAGAGCATTTTTGATACATTTTCGGTGGCTTTCTCGACTAAAACGTCGTTTTTGACCAAATCTTGGAAATTTTGGGGCACTTGTATGCGAAGAAGACCAACGTGGATCGTCGGGACTCTCTTTTTGTACATATTAACACGATTACAGACGTGTTGATGAAGTTTTGATGCTCCTACAAGCGTAAGAATACCGGCAAGTACGGCAATAACGGTACCAACACTAGAGACAACGCGTGGATTCATGACTTTGATGGTAGAGCTGGAAGCTGCAGTTTTTTAACCATTTATGGATAAAATACGAATACCTTGCACTGTCAGATACATATAAAATACGATCGCCATTGAGTTATTTATTTATATTACCATCCGTTTTTAGAATCCCTAGAAGTATCCGATTATATGTAGCTATAACCATAAATAAGGTCTTTTCCTTATACTTGATAGTTCTATGTAAAAAGTGCTTAATTGAATGAGACGATCAATGGATAAAGTTTGGACGCTAGAGACTAGCGGCTTTCCACGCTCTTTACAGACTTTATCTACCTCTGATACTCTACGAGAGCACGAGAATGAAGTATTACGTGACCAAATCCATGATCTCACGGAATTATTAGCGGCCTTTGATCTCTGTGAGCTGCAAGATTCACACTTGATTACTGTACGAGATCGAGCATTTCAACGTGATATTACACCAGATATAGAGGTATATCGGCCTTACGACATGGATTACCACCGTCCATTGGAGCAACAAGATATTCAACAGGCGTTGAATGAGGATTCAAGTGAGCAAACGAGGTCGAGGTCTTGCTACAAAGAGCCCAGCGAAAGCTCCGAGTGTTTTGAAAACAGTTCGAGCATTGTGCTTGATATGGACAGTCTGCAGCAGCGAATGGAGCTGTTGGAACGAGAAGTGATTATCTTGCGCTTACGCCAGGAACTCTCTGAAGAAACAACGTCGAAGTTGCAATGGTCTGCAGTCAATATTGAAGCTAGTCATGCGTCCCATGATCCAAATGTCGACCCTGATCAAGCGCAGCGAGATCGCATTGTGTGTGAGCAGGAGAAACAGCGCGAAGGAATCAAGACAGCGATGCAAGAGCAACAGGAACGTATTGCTGAACTGGAAGACACATTGGCGACGGAAGTGAGGAAAAACGCGGCACTGCAACAACAGATCCTCCGCTACAGCCAAGTAGAAAATATTCTACTAGAGTTTAGCCGATGTCACTCCTCCACGTCGTAGCTCGTCGTCCCATCCAACGCATGCATACATTCTACAGCTTCATCCTCCATGGTTTCCATCCTGTTGAGCTAGCAATCCGATCAACATTGTTGCAAACGCCACCATCACGCACAACTCATTTGATCTGCAAAATGGATGATAATGAAACCTTCGTATGGTGCCTGGTTGTGGGCATTTTCTTCTCGTGTGACGCTATCGCGTGCTCTACGATGCTTATCAAGTAGCCTTCTGTGCCCAATGTCGCGCATCCTTGTCACGCCCCTCATCGCTGCTGATCATACTGGCAAGAGCTTGTTGTTCCGTCTGTCGCGCGTATCAACATTGCATTAAATCCACGGTATCTCATGTTGGCCTACAACAAGTTTCTTCGAACGTAGAAACTGAAAGTACGTCGGATCGTTCAACTGCATGCACATTGCCTCGCAGCATTCTGTTGCGGCAAACACTAAATAAAAGTAAATACTTACGCAGACCACAAATATACAGCGGCCATATCAATCTTGATCGACCTGACTTGTCGAGGCCTGCACCATCATCTGAGCTTGTGCAGCATCCGCAGCTGCAAGAAGCTCAGCGTAAAGATCCATGTTTGTTTCGTGGGAGGGCCTTAGCAACTCAAGTACACGCTCCACGAGCTTTTGTGTAACAACAGGGGGTACGTCTGGTGATGCAGCAACATGCAGGTGGAGGATGCTCACTAGGGTGACGCAATTGGCAACGAGTTGCATCGTCTCTGGCAGCACATTTCCAAGACGAATATCATTACCCAAGGTGTTCAAACTTGATCGTCCTTTGTCATCTTTGACGATCTGGGATGCCGACTCTGCGACCACAATAGCCGACTTCCGCTGACTTGCAGCAAGAAAGTCAATGGCCCAACGAATTTGACCCTCAGTCAATGTCTCTGTCGGCATCATGTTGCCCCACTCAGGAGAAGCTGAACGATAAGCCAGATTCGTGCCAGAACTTTCTGCTCCAGAAGAATTGGTTGCCGAAAAAGACTGAAGCGTCAGCAATGCAGTTTTCAGGTGCTTGTTTGTAGCATTCAGATTTGCAGCGAGCCAAGAATGCTGCTTCTGTAATTGGCGCCTCTCACACGAAGTGATCCACGCAAGATCCTTTACAGCTGCTGACGAAGTCGTCGTAGGTGTAGCCCACAAGCTGAAATCCACAGCGTCCTTCTCGTGAAATTGCATTTTCTCTTCAGCAGCGTGCTCGTTCAAATGTGCCATTGATGAAACGATTTTCTCCTTGCGATGTAGTAAGCTTTTCACCGCCAGTATAGCTCGGATTTTTTCGTCGTGGTGTCGATCACCAATCGAGTATGTTTCGTCTTTTGGCGCTGAAAGTATCGGAGTCGCTCCACGGAGTCCATTCTCGCGTCGTAGTAGCGTGGTAGCCGATAGCTTTGGCTCTGCTGCGCTGACTTCGCTCTTCCCTGACCACGGCGGGCAGGTTAAAACCATTACATTGTTCAAACTGCACTCCATCGTATCCAGCAACGAGACATTGTCACAGAAAGACACCTCGCACGTGCCTTCGGTTGCACTAAAAGCAGCAACAGTAGCAAGTCGAAAGTGACGTTGTGACTCCACCCAGACTATCATTACAATGAAAAACACAGTTGTAAAGCTCTGTAACGCAGCACAACAAAAGTAAAACGAGAACAAAGCACGTACCAATAACTGACATACCAGGCTGCAATGGGGGACTGCATCCATAGGGCCACGTTTGATCAGTCGACTAAACCATCAACACAAAAAATTTAAACGTCAATCCCTCCACCCAAAGAATAAATCCAATCTTTTGTCCTCACTCTTACCAATTGTGTATGATCAAATCGACGCTTGATCACTCGATATGTTTCCAATTTATCCTTTTCTTGGATAAAAAATAAACGACTGAGACGCCGTGGACGACCCATAGATGCCCTTACCGACGACCAAATAGGACGCGCAGCGACTGTAATTTTTTCCAGTCCCACGTTTTTCAAACACTCCATAAACTCATTATGATTAAAAAAGTCCATATCGAGATACGAATCAAACCAGTGAGTCCATGGTAGATTCAATCGAAGTCCGTAGACTTGGACGACTTCTTCCATCTCGTCATCTCGTAACCAGGTTCTTGAGTTCATTGGCATGATACGTTTTCGCTTCACTCTCTTGAATGATGCCTTTAATGGCCATTTACTATCGTAATCCTGTGCCCTCTCAATGCTTAAATCTGGTCTAATTGACTCCTTGATGGTCATAAATCGCTCAAATCGTCGTTTCTTCCTGTTTCGAGCGCCATCTTCTTCTTGTTTCATCACGTGAGTATTTGCTTCAATCCTATTGGGTGATATTTTCATATTTTCCTTGTCTTCCATTGCATACTGGTCCATCATGATCGCACAAAATCCTTCAACGGATGCCTCGGACAGTGATAAATAACCACGATGCATTGCAAATAGAGCACGAACCATGGCACTGGAACGATGTGGAAGATGTTCATCAATTTTATCCCATTGCTGACCATGTGCTTTGAGTAGAATATAGAACGCACGTAACTCCTTAAGTGACCAGCGAGGACCCAACACTTGCGTTGATTGTAGCATAAAGATATAATTATAACAATAGGCGGATGAAAATTGTATTGTAACATTTGACGTATTCAGAAACGTTTCAAACTTGAAAACTTTGTGGTAGTAGTGTAACATTTGTGATAGTCGAAAGTAAGATTCTTATACTAGTATTATTTCGAAACAAACTGTGTTCAACATGCTTAAGTAAGAGTAAAGTACCATTACACTGCTCGTCATTCTTGCTTGTAGCAATAGAAGCATATACATGTGACGATGTACTGGATCGTTGAAGCTACGGTAGCTGAAAGTAATCTGCATTTGCCTAGTAAGCAAAAACCTCATATAGAAGAATCTAGAAAGACTGTTGCATAGTTATGTGAACAACGCTAAAGACCATATACATACGTTGTCTTGTGTAAACATATGCTACGCTGGGTAAGTGAAAGGGCAAGTATACTAAATATTCAGTCCTCAACGTTACTACTGTTTCGTCGTCGAGCGACGGGTTCCGTTAGTTTAACAGCTGCGGTCACACGTCCTTACAAAAGAAAAAAACGTGCACGTCACGTCATTAAACGTGGTGTCTTTGGCATTGAAATCATCTTTTGACCTTATATAGCTTGAACATTATTTATTCCACCAGGACGAATCGATAGCCATATAACCTGCCTCCACTTCAAGACGCATCTGATCTCTTCAACTTCAATGTCATCATCATCATCTCTATCCATCTGTATAAACCAGCCAATGGGTCAGTCAGTCAATTAGTCAGTCAATCTTCGCTTCTTCTTATCAGATCATATCAGATCCATGAGATTTCCAAAAGTGATAAAGAACCTAGACAGGCGCAAGATCAAATCAATCTGAAGTAACATGACAGCAACCCTTTGCTGTATGTATTAATTTTCACAGGATTCAAATACGGCTATTTTTAACCGTACTATATGTCAAGTCAGCAGGCTTATGAGATGCTTAAAACGGCTCTTCGAAAGGCCGCCAACGGTATTTTCGCACGCCATACGCAAGAAGACAAAGAGAGAAAGAAGGCCGGTGGGAACAAACATATAAGCCAACAACAACAATATCATCAGTATCATTACATCGTAGGGACAGCCTTTTGTCATTTTTAGCTCGAAAGTCGAAAGGTTTTTTCTTTATTTTGGCATCAAAGATTCGCAGATCTTCATTTGCGTGAGAGTTGAATTGTGGGTTGATCCATACATTGTACGCACTCATACTAGATACTGTCATTATCCTCATCCTCATCATCCTCCTCCTCATCATCATCATATACCTGTAGTAAAAGTATGGCTAAACAGGGCAAGAATGGCATGGAAATTCGTGTACAGAATGGTTCGACATATGAACGTCGAGCTTGGACACGTAAAGAAGACGAAGCGATTATTCGATTGGTACAAGAGTATGGTACCAAACGCTGGAGTGTTATATCGGACCATCTTAATAGTGAAAATCACGGTACGGAACGTACGGGTAAACAATGTCGTACGCGATGGCTTAATCACTTGGATCCGACTATTAAGAAAGATCCATGGACGGCAGAAGAGGAGCAGATTATTGAGGATGCACAGACACGACTTGGTAACAAATGGGCTGAAATCTCAAAGCTATTGCCTGGAAGGTAGTAAACATATAAAGATAGGCGTCTTATTGTACTAATGGACGTGGTGGTGATAGATAGTTTCTACGATTGGATAGTATACTAACGATCATGTGTCGTCTGTGTGTATCTTTGTTGTTTTTTTTTGATATCTAGAACGGATAATGCTATTAAAAATCACTGGTACTCGTCAATGAGACGAACAATGCGTCGCATGGCGAAACAACAGAACAAAACTTTGAATCAAAGTGTACGAGGTGGTGGAGGAAGCAACAAGGTGACAAAATATAATATTAACTCAACATTAGGCAATAGCGGGCCAATGATGGAGTTGACACGAGATGCGATGAATGCTGGAAATGAATTTCGTCAACAGACTCAAGGAATGACATTGACACAGGCGTCCTTGTACAAGGACTGTTACAATGGTATGATTAAACAAGCAGAAAATGGGGAAGATGGTTCACCAAAAAGTGCGAACAAGAAACTCAATTCGAAGCGGAAACGCAAAGATTTACGTATCTGTACGAGCAATGTCTCTGTTGTTGAAAGCAATGATATGTTTTTACCAGACACACCTCGTCGTGTATTGCACACGCAGCTACTGTTGAAGCTGTTGAACACGGGAGATGAGGATTTTGGAGGTGCCGTCATCACTGTTGCAAGTGCGACAAATAAGAACAAGAAACGTCATGTGCAGGGAAAGATGACTAGTGTGCCTAGTGCTGGTTCTGGTGATTCTAGAGACGAGCATGCATTTACTGAAATGGATGGCTCCTTTCACACATTTGAGCACCCTGACATTGACTTTAATGAGGTAACTAGCTGTTGTTGGTGATGTCACATTACGTCAATGCTAATTGTAACTTGTTTGTGACGTGAACAGCAAGTGGCCGAGCTCTTCAACATGCCGACACCTCAAGGGCTACAGCCACCACATAGTTTGCGTCGCTCTCCGCGCTTTGCATCACCGTGTTTCATGAAGACAGACGGCACGAAGTTCTCGTTCGACGACCTGGACTTTCCGCCTGAGCTGGACTCGAATACGCTTGAATTTGTAAGTAGAGTTGATCATGCAAGTACAACAGGTATTTGCTTGCTTGCTAACGTTGACGTTGTGTATAGGAAATTTTGAATGAAAACATTGGAGTCCTTCGTCGTTCTCCTCGACTGCGTACAGACGTGTCTGTAGCATTCCCTCACGCAAACACGTCGACCTTTGGTTTTGGTCGACAGCCATCTCCACACAAGCGTTTAGCACCACCAACAATTGATGTTTCGTTGCCGCAGGAAATGTTTGACTTTGATCACTCGATTACGCCTACACTCAAGAGTCCTCAGCTACGACAATGGCTCGACGGTTCGCCGAAGAATTTCATTGCATCCGTCTAGAATGATCGAGGCAGCATGTTCTACTCAATCCGTTTCTCCAATTCTCCGCCAAGACAGCAGCGACACGGAACAATGGTGTTTTCTTTATATTGTCTGAGCAACGTGATTCATGGATGTGATAGGAGAAACGAGTACGACAAGTATCAGCAGCTCAATGGTTCAAAGTGCTCGCCGCAATGTGACCAAACAAAATAAGGTATTGCGATGATTCCATTGTCAATCACTTCGCTTGCTACCAGGAAGCAGCACTTTTACAGTGAAAATGATACTAATGAGATAGGTGACAAGAAACAACAGTATATAAATTTGAATCGACTTTGTCTACTAGAGCACGTTTTGGTACCTACGGATTTTAATCTTACTTCACAAAAGTAGTTGAAGTAATTTGATCAAGTTATGCTACACAACCGGTATTTCTACCGTGCGATATCAAAACGGTTTATCTCCTTTCTACCAGAATTACCGTTTTCAAAGCGGTTTATCTGATTCGATTCCATATAATGACGCGGCGAATTCTCATCGCGATAGCAGCTCTAAGCTCGACTACGGCTTCAATGACCTCTGGAACTCCATTGGTCTCATCTCTAGACGCTTCATACGTTGTTCAACTTCATGGAACTCGTGACATTTTCTCTCATCCAAAAGACGTTGCTCTTATGCGGTCTCAGTTCATGACAACCACGTCTGGTCAAACGTTCGAGTGTTTTCTACCACCTCTTCCTCATTTTACTCATGAAACAGAAGAGATTGAGACATTTAATCCAGTATTTACAAAAGAGAATGAAGAGAAACATTATGCAGATGATTTCTTGGCAAAAGGACGAGCTGCAGCAGAGAGAATGCGGTCGGAATGTATTTACTACACAGACAGTACGAACACGCGGCTCTATGAGATCTGTGTGGGCGTTATGATTCGTCGCTTGAGTGTTTATGAAGAGAAAGAGCAAGTTGAAGCGACCGGAACAATGTCGAAAACAAATACAGCAGAAATAGCTCGACATGAAGTGGAAGAACTGGGCGTTTTTGTGACAGACACGAGTCGCTCTGCTCTCACGTACGACGAGTTTATCATTTCAGAGATGCAGGACCGAGTCAAGAATCATCTCAATCCGTTGTTTACGCAGAATTATGGCAATGAGAATCAAGATATTCAGGTGCAGTTTATCTGTATAGCTACTGCACAAAATGACGAAGTGTCGGCTATAAAATGGCGAGAACATTCGACAATGGACAGTTGGCGTGATATCGCCGCGTTTTTAGTTGGTTCGCAAAAATTTTGCGACTTACAAGACTCGGAAGCAGATAGTAACGATTTGGTTGCTGTGCGCTCGTTGCTACAGCCACTGGAGGACGCACACACGTGCATAACTCGGAATGAAGGCTGGTGGACATATGAGTTTTGCTTTGGACGCTCGTTGAGACAGTATCATCGTGACAGCGATGGTCGTATTACGGCCGAGTTTTCTCTGGGTACGTTTGATGAAGAAGGTAATCGCGAGTTGGAACGTTTGGGCTCGGCATTGGTCTCGGAGCACATTGATGCAACTCATGACGTGTCACGTCCTGCGTACTTGGAGTTATACGATCACGGGACCTTTTGCAAAGAATTTGCGCATCACGCACCGCGAAAGGCAAAGGTGTTTTATTATTGCAGTCAAGGTGGTACGAGTCACCATATTCTGATGGTCAAAGAGACGCAGACGTGTATGTATACGGTCAAAGTGTCTTCCCCAGTGTTATGCGACCACCCGCACTTCCTCAACGATGAGCAGACAAGCAATCCAGCCGCCGAGATATTGCACTGCATCCCGGTGACAGAGACTGCTGTTACCGTGACGGAGTAGATGATATGCTACAGTTGTGTCGATGCTGACATGATGATAGTGAGGATTGCAACGTTGCATAAACAAACAAGGCATTTTCTTGAAGTCTTGTGAAAAGCGTTGTACTAAAGTGGAAAGGCCAGTTGAGTCGTCATTCACGCAATTCTTCTTTTTGCAAGCAGTGTATCCATGTCAATAAGCTTATACCATAGCAGACGATACGGTGTAATCCGAAGTCACTGTCGTAAACAAATGCGTTAGCCCAGTGACGCATTTGTTTACCATGATAATCAACGTAACGGCTCTAGTGTATACAAGTATACAAGTATACAACAAGACAAGATATCATGAGGAGAAGTTCTAAGCTGATCATGGTATTACCTAATCAAGCCAGGTTGTAATACTAAAGGATGCTTCTGGAATGTGTGGTGCACAGAAAGATGGGAAACAAACAGGACAGCGGATCCGCCTCTGTCGGGCGCCATTCGTTTCATGTCCCTCCTCATTTTCAAACGTGCCTTCTTCTATTGAGCACTCTAGTGTCAGGAATCTTGTCTTGATACTTACTTGTTTGTTATATCGCCCCCTTGAGGACTCACTCACGTAAGGATTAAGAAAGAAAGAAAGAAAGAAAGGAAAGCACGTTGATTGTATTTCTTCTTCTTCTTTTCTTCTTTTCTCCTCTCTTTCCTAGCTATCAAGCCTATACAGCCACATTGTTCATGCTGTTGGTTATCCCGCTTTTTACCAGCAGTGACGATATTGTTGACCCTACGACCATTTTCACGGGCTTCTTCTACATTGGCGCGTGTGACGAACCTGCCTAATACAGGCTCTACTTACCAACTACTAAGCTCGCTTCTCGTCTCTTTTTCTTTCTGCTTCCCTACTCCAGTAATTCAAGAATGACACACACTCCCCACACGTTCCCAGAGTCTATCAAGCTCCATGATGATGAGACGAGCTCTACCCAGTCGGAGGCCTCTGACACCGTTCCTAACACGTTCGAGGGTCCGGAGAAGAACCTCGAGATTGACTTTAAACTCGGTGTCGGCCACACACGCGGCTTGCGCGAGGTGTCCCGCCAACACTTGGACGAGATGCTGGAAGCTGCACAATGCCAAATCTTGTCTCGCACTAGCAACGAGCATATTGATGCCTACGTGCTGTCTGAGAGCTCCATGTTCATTTACTCGCACAAGATTGTGCTCAAGACGTGTGGTACTACCACGTTGCTCAACTGCTTGGAGTTTATCAAGACGTTTGCGGAACGACTGGGCCTTGAGATCGAATGGGTCAACTACTCCCGCAAGAACTATACCTTTCCAGAAGAGCAAAAGTATCCACACACGAGTTTTCAGACTGAGGTAGCGTTCCTGAGCTCCTACTTCCCGAATGGGTCCGCTCATGTGCTGGGACCATTGAACCGCGATCACTGGTATATCTATGCGTGGGATGCCGATATTCATGAGCAGCCGCATGCTGGTACCTTGATACGTCATGACCCTATGCAAAAGTTTAGTGCAAACGAGAGCACACTTCACGTGCTGATGCAGGACATGCACCCGAGTGTGGCCAAGCAGTTCTTTAAGAACAACGACAGCACTATGACGTCACGTCGAATGACGATTGAAAGTGGAATCCGCGATTTAGTACCCGGTGCCGTGATCGATGATTTTGCCTTCGATCCATGTGGCTACTCGATGAACGGTATCTTGTTTGATGCGTACTACACGATCCATATCACTCCGGAAAGCGACTGCAGCTACGTAAGCTTTGAGACCAATGCTCGCCTCCGTTCGTACGCATCTTTGTTGAAAAATGTGCTACGTTGCTTCCGTCCAGCCAAGTACTCGGTGAGTGTGTATACAGACCGCAACGCACTGGAGTCGGCCAAGGGCAACAATATGTTTGCCGAGGACCTAGTCAAGATTGATGAGGACTTGCTGTACAGGCGTAAGGGTGGCCATACGCAGGCGACGTTTGAGGGCGACTACATGTGTCGGATGGCCAATTACTCTCAATCGGACAAGCTCGTTCTTAGTCGCGCCGCACAAAAGATTCGCTCTCCTTCCTTTGCTTAGGTTGACGGTTGTACCAGCGTGCTTCTTGTCGAGGTCGCGCAGTGTGAAGTTGTCTATATCGTTTACATATTCCGTTTAGTCCATTTAAAACTCATGGTGCTGCATCAATAACGCCAGTGTTTTGTGTCTTACGTTTGGTTGGCTATGCTTGATGTCGTTGCGCTGCTTCACAAAAGTTGGACCTCAATCTTATGAAACGAGTCGTGCACTTCAACTTGAGATCAGAATAGTCTTACGCAGATTAGGCTGGAACAAAAGCGAACAGTAGTTCATGCATCCATCGATGCAAAAACGAAGACGTGACTGGTAACCTACAAAAGCAACAATACCACACAACACCTTACTCAGACGCAGCAAAAGCACCTGTAGGCAACATTTTGGCGGAAAAGGTTGAGAAATGTCACTGTATCACATGCAGCTCAACACTCCGTCAATTACTTCACGAAACGATAGCGTTTCTTAGCCCTCTTTTACTGCTCAAGTCCGACAATTTCGTAATTCAGTGCTATATATCACCGTTGTATCTTCTCAACATACGGCTGGGCAACAAACCGCTACGTTTTCGACTTACTTGGCACGTTTAAAACATGTTAAACCCTGCGCGGTCGTTCCTGCCACGTGGCAGCTCAATCTTCTCTTTGTTCTTTGTAATGACATCCTCCGTCACTGCGTATTGGTCACGCACGCCTTCTAACGCACGTACCAAATTAAAATACCACTTGATGTCAAGCTCCACGACGGCAGCAATGGCGTCTTCAACTGCCTGGTTGCCAGTGTTGCTCTGTTTTTCTACCTTGGCCGTAACACTCTTGTCTTCGTCGCCATCCTTGCCACCCTTTGTAGAGGTGATAGTAGTGGTAGTGCTAGTCTCAGAGCTCACCTTAGCATTCACTTTCTCAACGGCCGTAGCTCTGGCTGAACTATACTCAGCCAACGAGTCCCACGTCTTTTGCCACTTTTCAAGAGCCTCTTTCAGGTGCATATAGGCGTATTTCTGCACCTCGACACCAAAATTATTGCCATCTTCGACCTTTGGTACCTGCAAATGAATCCACACTTGCAGTAACTGAATAGCACTCATCAGTTGTGCAACTTCGTCTCCTACAACAGCCACGAGTGCATGCACGTCGCCATTAGAACCCACGGCCGAGGGGGCGGCTAGAAGTGACTGCGCAAACTTGGTGCGTAACTGGGAGGGACAGCGTTCACTGGTGTGCTGCTTTACAAGCGCATGGACGTTAGTCACACGCTGCGATAGCTCCGAGAGCAATGCAGTGGCTGAGGTTATAACGGTCTTGGAGTATTCGCTCATAGTAATATATGAGATTGTAGTAATATATGAGATTGACTATGGTCCTGGAGATCTTTTTAGATTATGATGAAAAGGTGGCGAAAGCGGAGGACAAACAGGCTCGGATTGGCTAAAATATAAACTTTACTTATTGCATTCATTCCTTACGGCAACTTCAAGTGACATTCATTCATAATCATAAATCGCTCGCTAATACGAAGTACCTTGACCACCTGCTCTGTAGTGGCGACGCGACTATTGGAACTCGACAGGCGGGACGGAGCTCACCATTGCAGCTATTGAGATACTGTCGGTAGGTTCCTTTAGTCCAAGAGCCTGACGTGCCTCGGCCATGAGGAATAGACTGCCGCATACCACGACTACCTCATCATCTACAGACGCACGTGAAGCGGCCAAGGCAGCGTCAACTCCCTCCTTGATGTTCGAAATGGTGGCATACTTGCGTTTCTTCCCGCTCTCAGCACTTGCGCTCGCCAGCGCCAGGTTGATCTCTTCCAGCGAGGCGCCACGGGGGTGGTTGGCCTTTACCAAGTGGATGCGATCCTGGAGCTGTTCATCACTCTCATCTGAGTGACTGCCACGGACCATGGCTGTTATCTTCTCCAGAACTTGGGCAATCGCCTTGTCAGATGAAAAGCCGCACACAAATCGAAACTTTTTATCGAAAAACTTCTTGTGCAGTAAGCCAGCTAATCTGTCAATAGCCTGCGGGTTGTGTGCCACATCGAGCACCACTGTGACTTTGCGCTCCTTTGAGTTTGGGCGAATAACATGCAGGACTTGGAAGCGACACGGAGGTCGAGACTCGAGCGCTACATTCACGCGCTCATCCGTCAAATCGACGCAAAGGTTCGAATGCCCACCACGAGACTGCAAATCATGTAATGCATTTAGCTGTACACAGGCTTCGCGCGCAATAGCCGTGTTCTCGACATTGTAATCTTCTTCAAAGTCCACCCCAAGCGGTACTCTCACCAGCCGAGAGTTATTCCGCGCAGCGTACTCCATCATGACATTTACAGGTGTGTTGGGTCCTACCACCACCGGCACGTTCGGTTTTATGATACCAGCCTTCTCGCGTGCAATGGCCTCAAGCGTGTTACCCAATATTCGCACATGGTCCATGCCGATGGACGTAATCACTGATAACACCGGTGTGACAATGTTGGTCGAGTCCAATCGCCCACCAAGACCTGTTTCCAATACCACACAGTCCACATCTTGCTTGAAAAAGTGCTGGAAAGCCAGCATCGTCGTTATCTCAAAAAACGTAGCTGGAATCCGCATTTGTGTGCTAATGTTAAAAATCTCCGACAATATTACACACATCTCACTCTCCGAGATGAGCGTACCGTTGATCTGTATACGTTCTCTAAAGCACGCAATGTGTGGGGATACAAATAGTCCCGTCTTGTATCCTGACCGCTCGAGTGCTTTAGCTACCTTGAACGCCACTGATCCTTTGCCATTTGTTCCAGCCACGTGAATAACTTTGAACATTGATACTGGATCTCCAAACGCCGTGTTAAGCTGATGCATATTCTCAAGTCCGAGCTTGACGGCCGTAAAACGATTCACTTGATACAATCGCTGCAGTAACATCTCGTACGTGGCAGTAGTTGCTGCTGCCGCCGTCTTCGCCGTGTTCCCCTCACCAGTTTCTCTGTTTCTAGTGCAAGAAACCGTTTGTTGTGACATAAAACGCGTGGCATCCAGCAGCAATGAGTTGCCACCTGCTGGAGTCGTGAGCACACCAGAACCTGAGATCGACAGCGGTTCGGAGCGCGCAAATGCCGCGGGAGCTGGCGCCTGAAGAAGCTGTGCACGTGATAGTGCTGTATACGAGCGAAGTAATTGCCATTGCACGGTGCCAGAGCCTCGCGCAGACGCTCTGCGCAGCGCCATGGCAGTCTTTTTCTGCAGTGTTAGATGGGCTCAAGCCACAACCGGTACAAACGTCAATAATACTGCGCGGTCCCATACAAACTTCAAATGAAACATAGGTCGAAAAAATACCGACGTGAAAAGAGGTAAGGGTTGAATTTGCATTGATAGCCAAAAACCGGTATATTGTACCGCATACGCCGGTTAAAACAGGTGAAGAATGTCATTCTCGATCATCAGAAGAGTGACATAGCATGCGAGTCGCGATTGGCGCTGTCGAGGTAGAGCTGGTACTCATGCCGCTCTTCTTGCAACGTACGTGCGTGCGTACGTATTGATTGATCAGTGAAACAACCTGGATAGTTATATTGTGTGCTTGATAGACCTGTGCGACATGGGAGGCGCAGCTATTGCGGATTTACTGGTACGAGCAACTCATCTAAAGGACGCAGAAAAGGTGGAGACGCTGGTCAAAGCCGCCTATGAACGCTGCTGGGAAAAGCTACATTGTGGTAGCTGGAAGGAAGTATCTCCCGTGTGGCGCCAAGCTTTTGGACTTGCCAGTGTCCTGCAAGCAAGTTGTCTATTCCGACACCAGGAGTCATTGAAATGCCTTAAGATGCTCGATATGGTGCTCTTTCAATGATTCATCAATACGATCCAAGGATAATGGTAACAGGCAGTTTATATTACTCTGTTGTTGCAGTGTCTGATGATGGCTGGACCTCTTGCTCCACCTGGAACGCACAAGCTCATTGATGGGATCGAGCGACAGCTAGCTAGTGCAGGACAAACATCGGTACGTGCTACAGCCATTTGAGATTTACGCTTGCTTTGGATGAGCTTCCAATAGCAGTGCCACTATTTTTCTTTGTCGATTGCATGCTTGGTGATCGTTTTCTGAACGACTTTGCGTTTCGTGGATGGTGACGATGTTTAAGCAGAACGAGAGGCGTCACTTCAAGGTTGGTGGGAAACACGTTGCTGCTTGAGCATCGTCTGTCATGCCCCAACCAGGCTCATGCTGGCCTTGTGCATGTAGAAACGTCGGCTGGATGAAGAGGCGCTGTTCATCAGCGACGATATCGAAGCCCAGAGACCACAGCTAAGGTTTCCTATTCAAAGAATGAAGATGCCGACGCTTGAGGAGTTCTGTTACCATATGATGCTGCGAAAGTGCGTAGTGTTGATTGTATTGGTGGTTTTGCAATGTTGTTTGTTATGATATGTCTTTTCGTTACAGTGAACCGGTGATTCTTACGGGCGCGATGGAGTTTTGGCCTGCACTTGGACGAGCTGCAGGACCCAATCGCGCCTGGAAGAGCATAAAGTACCTTCGCCGAGTCGCAGGACTACGAACCGTACCTGTTGAGGTGCGGTAGACCAATATTATTTATACAGTTGTAGATCTCCTAACCGTTGTGTTTTTAATGATTGTTGTTTGCAATGGATTGCTGTACGTGACATTAATTAGATGGGGTCAAGCTACTTGGGAGAAGATTGGGGACAAGAGCTCATGACTTTGAATGAATTTCTAGATCGGCACATTATCCCATCACTAGCCAAACATAAGGACAATAGTGATGATGATGTTACTAGAACTAAACCTTCCTTGCCCAAAAAGCTAGGGTACTTGGCGCAACATCGCCTTTTTGACCAGGTACGTCAATTTGATGACAATAAAGCTGGATGTGAGGCTGTAGACGATAGTACTTGATGTATGCTTTGATTGCAAGCAGATTCCAGCGCTGAGGCGTGACATCATTATTCCTGACTATTGCAATGTGCAACGTATTGAAGATGATGATGCTGAAGATGTAAATGAAGACGAAGACATTGCGATCAATTGTTGGTTTGGTCCTGGGGGAACTGTGTCACCTCTGCATTTCGACCCCAAAGACAATTTATTGTGCCAAGTCGTAGGTGCCAAGTACGTGCGATTGTATGCACAAAACGAGAGCGAGAAACTCTACCCAATAGAGGGTTTGCTTTCGAATACAAGTCAAGTTCAAGTGAAAGATCCAGATGTCGAAAGATTTCCTCAATTTTGTCACGCAAAATACCTCGAGTGCATTTTACGTGAAGGTGAAATGCTTTATATCCCTCCAAAGTACTGGCACTATGTGCAGTCTCTCTCCATCAGCTATTCCGTAAGCTTTTGGTGGTCATAGTCCGACTGTGAGTGGGACCATCACGTTAAGTGATTGATCATGCCGAGGCGATGTATGCCTGGATCAGATCTGGATCTAGGGTGACGCGAGCCGTACACGGTCACGCCAGCAGGAAGCGGGAGTCACTACTTGTTGCACCGCTACCTGTAAGCAAGAAGAAGAGAACGGTTTGTTCGTCTGAGCTGTTTGGCTTAATCTGACCCATATCTCCTGCTTTTTATGACAACACAGTTGGTTCCGCTCTACAGCAAACTTCGCTCTTAGGGACAAACCAAATATTGGGTATTCAGCTTTCAGATAGTCAAATGCGTTGCAGAATGTGTACACGTCGGTGACTTGAGGATCGACGGCTAGTATTAATTGCATTATGTGCACAGGATTGTCAAGGATCGACACGAATTACATTGCAATCAGAATTATTCATGTAGCAATGACTTACGATAAAGGCACCAATTTTTGCTGCTGTTGAATGACATGACTCAACCTGGATGCAGTGACGACAGCCGTCGGCTTCAGCTGCTTCCTCTGCTTATTGTTGGGCAAACTTCAACTGCAAAGTGACCATCACTCCTGAATGGCACCTTTTTTTAGGATAAGTAGCCTAAAATCAAAGTTAAGACTTGGTATGCGTAAGATTAATTTATAATAAAATATACAAGGTTATTGTATCTGCCTGACTAAAATGCAAGAAAATTCAGAGTGTATGATTGCTTTTTTACGATACATTTGCTAAAACGTATTCTATCAGGTGTTGCAGGTTCGCCGACAACGCAGTAATTTGTTTTTTTTTTATTTCACTCACCTGACCCTAGCTGACTTTCAAAAGACACTCAACTGTACCGGTAGCACCGATGCAATTGGCGTATGCAGCCCGGTTGATATGGGTTTGTCGGGTCGAAACTCTCTCATTCTTTAACATTACACGGTTCTCGGAAGAACTTTCGACCCCCTATCTCTTTTCTTTTCTTTTGCGTCGATCACGTCTAACAACATGGAGACTCGGTCCTCTCCGTCCATGTGGGAGCTCCACGCCATCGCTCACGAGCGCGGTCTCAAGTACTATATGCATTTGTCTAAACCCGATCTCTTTTCGCTGTTACAGCGCAAAGAAGGTGGCGGAGGCTTATTGAAACCGGTAAAAGATGCCAATAAGGACACCATGCGGCTTACGGAGAGCTCGGAGGCAACGATAACGCGGTCCAGCGAGCGCTTGTCGCTTCTCAAGAAGAAGCGCAAGACCCGCGAGAATGACAAAGCAGAGGACATGAGAGACAAGAAGAAGGCCAAGATGGTTATTAATACGCTTGATCCTATTATGCTTGCAGAACTTGGTCCGCATACGGTGCGTGTAGACAGCAGACGAGAAAAGAGGTCTCCTGTGTAAGACGATGGCTGGGATGTACTGACTTGTTTCATTCTGGGTGGGTATGCATTCTGTGTGTAGTTTGAGTTTACGCGGACAAATGGATCAGTAGTAGTGTACAATGTGGAATCACTTGTACAGTACATCTTGGCTACGGGGGACTTTTCTGAGCCTGAGACGCGAATCCCGTTTTCGGATAAGGACTTGTGTCGAATTGATATTGAGGTATCTCCACGTATGCTGTGCTCGTCTCTTGTCAGATGATAAGAGGTTAAATATCATCTTGATCTCTTGCCAGGCAAGCAAGGCAAAGTTAAACGAGAAAAGTGTTGTGGAAGCCATGAAGAACAAACACACGTTTGAAGAAGAGAAGGTTAAGCGAGATGGTATTTTGGGTGAGTGGTGGCGAGTATTTTGTCTAAGAAACATATTGAGCCGTAAGATTCACATGCGTTGTAATTGGTCTGGTTTTCAATAGGATTGGAGAGATGTGCGTCCGAGTATGTGAACAAGATGCTGGAGATCGTGGAGAGCGATGATCCCGAGGAGGGAGAAATGCTGTTAATCATGAACGTGTTTCCGTCATTTTCGGATAATTTTGAGCAAATTCGGAGGAATGACTCGGAATACGCCCGTCACAGCATGAGCCACTTTATTCAGTACATGAAGGGTCCGAAGAATCGTCCGACCGTTGATCAGAGTGGTCTATTGCCAGTCATACTAGGCTTTCTTGAGGATGTTGCCAAAGGCAAACAAGGTGCTAGTGCGTTTGGGTTTTAAAATTGCACCATAGTGTTTATCTCCATCACCACGTGAGTAAATTTGGGTTTATTGCATCTTTTTCGTTTGTAGGAAAGTTCGATTGTAGTATCAATCAATCATACAATAAGTGACATAGTAGAAGGTAAACAACAGCAATGGTGTTTGTCGTGCGACGTTACGTTTGTTCTATTAGAGAGAATACCGGTGTTCTACTAAAGGAAGATTGATTAAAAACCGAATATCCCGGTGTGTCTCCGTCTGTATATCCAGAAGATGTCGTAACGTTGCATGGCATACGCAATGAAGATGCATTCAACATCGTTTCTATACCTCGAGGGGATGGTAGTCGACCGGCAAGGAAAATGAAGTCGTGCATTGTAGAATTTCACTCAAAGAAGCGTGGATAATTGGCGAAAATTACGCCGACGACTTCAGCATGGATGATGATTGCTTGTATATGTCCTTGGGCTTGAATCTCAGATGTAATGCAGTGTTTAGTAATCGTTATCGTTCGGCGTCAGGCAGCCTTATTTCCATCAAGCTCGGACGGTGGTATTTCGATCGCATGGCAAGCAGAAACATAGTGTCGGCTTCTTTGTTAACAGCAGCATGGTGATCTGGATACTATTCAGTTGCATCATAGTTGCGTAGAACAAACAATGATCGTGCTACAGCACTAAACCGAAGAGAATCAAAGCTGTGATAACACGCTTGCAAGATCTGCGACTAAAAGTCAAGAACGTCAGCAGCGGACAGTCTGTTGCAGTCGCAGATACCTTCTCGAAAGCCAGACAAGGTGGCGCCTTGAGTATCAGCTTCAAGTTCATTCATTGTAAACGACAAAAGAAAGCAAATTTGCGTCCGAGGCGACGCAAATGTTAACAGCATAGCAAAATCTAACTGTAAAGAGCATGAAAGCCAAAGTACACGCGCAGAACTGTGCGTCACCTCATCTACACTGCTTGTTGATTTGATGCCGTTGTCTGCAGCCTACTCCGGCACACTAGGTCTTGTCACGAACGAGTGCAGCGCAAATAGCACAAAAACGACACCGCCTACAAGTGTCACAGTCCGCTCTGAAATGCGTGTGGCGAGAAACTTGCCGCCCACGACAGCAATTCCCGTGCACATCGAGTGACCGAGGATCGCGCCCAACGTGACGCCAAACGCGTCCTTAGTAGCTGAAAGCGTCACAGTCGCAATCTGTGAACGGTCGCCCCACTCTGCCAGGAACGTCATGACAAACGCCTGTGAAAACACCTGCATCATACCGTCCGTCGTGTTCTTGGTCTTGAGCACACCTTCCTCCACTTGTCTGCAATCATATAGCAATAGCACCCTCTACGTAAGCTAACATTATTCCACCAAATAAAACATCTGAACCACTCCGTACTCGGCCTGAATGGTGTCATCGTCTTTCTTGCCCATAAGTTCTTCCTCCACTTCTGTTAGCTCGTCGGACGGGCCCCTATCGTAGTCAACATACATATACAGTGTCACAACAGTACTCTCCTACCTCTTTCCACACTTGTTCATTTGCTTACACCGCGTTCATCTCCCTCGCGTCATACAGCATCTTAATCCCAAACGCTATAAACTACCAGCACAAAACAAACATTGTCACTTCACTTTCTGTCTCTTCAGCAAACATTGTTGCTTCTCACGCACCAACACTCCACCCAAGTAGTGCGTTACACTCGGGGGCAAGAACTTGGTGGCCACGACGCCCATGACAACCGATAGCACCGTCATCACAATCAATGCACCAATAGCCCCAGCAAACACCACAACCCTATCTTTCTTCATGCTCAAAATAGCAGCAATAAAGAATGTCTTGTCCCCAATCTCTGTCGCCCAAATGGTCAAAATACCGCTCACAAAACCAGACCAAAACTTGTGAGGATCACCCGTGCGCAGCTTAACGCGTGTGCCACCGATTCCCGTCGTCCATGGTCCCACCGTGGTATCAATTGGAACATGTCCCAAGAACGGATCCATTGCATGCTTAAGAGACGTTATAAAGGCTGCAAACTCCTTCTGGTCTACGATACCGTTGTGGTCGACGTCTGCACGCTCAAAGACCGCAGTGTTGACGTCCACCTTAGCTACAGAGACAGGTAACGTGTCCTCCTTAACATTCTCACTGGTATCCTCATATTCATTAGCACCGTCGTTAATTGCCTGGGAAAACACGTGAGTCAATAGTAGCGAGAGCGTCACCAGTAGATGGAAGCATCGTAGCATTATTATTAAACTGAGGTATTTGATATTTGACGATCGCAAAATATAGTAGAGCTTGTCTAAACTGATATCATTAAGATCAGCAATTTATTTATTAGATAAAAAAGACTATTAGTTAAAACAAGCTTCGCAGCGATTCCACTTTACTAATTGTCAAATTGCTGCAGATCTTGTGTAATCCAATAACCTATGTTAACTAATAAAAGTAGCTTTCTGTTGATTAGTTTACACAAGATCTTCTGACGTGCATATTAAGTAGCCCTGCTGCCAAATATCTTGGTTTTTGTATAACAATATAACACCAATCATTGTCCGATCGTTTCTTCTATTTCTACCAATCCTACAGTCCTCATCCATTTCCTCCCTTCTCGTTGGTCATTCGTTTCGTCCTATAAATGACCTCTTTCTCTTTATCTTGCACTTTGTATTCAAGCCTTGCTTCACGCCGAAGGAAAAGCGCCACATCTGACCGGACCATCTTGTGCTTCACCTCGATTCTTTCGACGCAAAGCGCTTAAACACGACCACGGGCAATTGAAATCATATCAAGACACGAGACTGTTGATCTTCTGCTACTAAGTTTGCATCTGTTTTGAGAACGGGAGTCACTCTTACCACGAAGGTGCGGAGAGTTTAACGTTAGACTGACCATGGTCAGTAGAAGTTCTATTGCTAACGCCGTCCCCGTGGCTCAGACGACAGCTGAGAATAGGAAAATAAGTAGCAGACGAAACAGTTCGAAGTTTATTCCTCCACCTCCAGCCAAGAAGAGGAAGCGGCGCGACGACATGCCGCGCATTTGGCTCCGTTTGGAGCTCTTTGAGCTTGGCCTTTTGCCGTTACCGTCCAAGTATACAGCCACATTAACAATAAATAATGTCAAGAAAGTGCTAGACGCTTTGCACAACAAGTTTTGGACTGCCACGGGACAAGATGCAAAAACAACAGCTGAAGTTGATACTGCCATGCTTGATACGGAAGGATCTTTCACAGAGAGCGACAACTTGAATTCCATTACATATTTGGTTTGGAAAGATGCAGTGGACATTATTTACAAATGGAGAGAGGAGGATTATAAAGTCTTTTGGTTGCTGCTGGTACAATTTCATCGAATGATTCCAGTGAAGAAGGAAGAGATGGACCCAACGGTACCGTTAGATGTCGAGCAGTGTCTAGAACGAGAGGAGGTACCTGTATATAAGATGGCTATTTTTCTCTTCATTCAGACGGTAAAACCGCATTCATGGAGGACAAAATACTCGCTTGATATGTACAATGCCGTCTGGTACCGGGAACATGCAGAAAGTTTGGCTACGGCAGCTGCTCTGGAAACTACAGGTGCAGTAGCTGCAGCAATAGCTCCAAAGTCACCGCTATTGGGTGCTCTAGGGTCCCCGCTAATGAGAGGCAGTGCTAGTCCACCGCCGCCACAGTCTCCGCACACAGTGGGCATGGCGGACCGCTCGACAGCAGATGCATATTACCTGGCATTTGTGCGCGAGAAACTAGAAGACTTGTTTGGACTGCTTTACCCGTCGGTGGAGCTGAAGGATGAATCATTGACAGTTATCAGCGCAGATCAACTCGACCTATTGGGTTTTTTGTTGTGTCTAGGTGATGTGAGTCTTGTGGACAAGAATGTCAAGTTGAGCTCGTGCTATCCAACTTGGGAACAGCCCGATAGTAGCAGTACTATGACTGAAGGCGACACTGCTCAGGAATATGTGCCACTTGTGGACAATGGAGCCAAGGTTTGTCGGTTCTACAAGACACATTTATCGCTGAATGAGAAAATGTACCCACCAGTAGGTTTTTCCGTGGCCCCTCCCACGACAACCCAGAACAGCCTCTCAGCGTCCTTACCCGCTTTCTCGCTTAACGGTCACCTGCTTCGTGCTTTTTACATTTGCGTTTTGTTCATTCAGTGCTGATGCGTATGTGGCTTCATCCGTCTCTATTTCTTGTGTTCAGATGAATTTTCGTTGGATAGTAGCTCAGACGTGCCCGTTTCAGAGGAGACAACATGTCGTCCGACCATTTTATCCCAAGTTATCAAGACGACCGTGATTAAGCGCGCAGACGAGTTCGTGGTGTCCGAGGACAACGATCAACGTCCGGATCTTGTCATTTTTTCATGTCAAGACTCGTACATCTACATCCTGGGGCCTGTTCGATATCCTTTCATTCGATTGTTGCATGTTTTGCTTTTCTATGCATATGCTGTTAGCATTCGTTGCTTGAACACCACTGAGTTCCATGAAGTTATCCTTAACCTTTCTTGTTCTGTTTTAGTACGAATGTGACGATTTCAGCTTGCAAGAATTGTCGTATCGTCACGGCGCCAAACACGGGGATTTTGTCAATGGAGCGATGTGAAAATGTACAGCTCACTTCTCTCTCTGGCCTCATCCGCGTCAGGTATGTATGGTCGAACATAAAAATCTCGAGTGACACTGCAAACTCCTTCGTTCGCGATTGAGTAATCATTACCATGTGTGAACATTTCATGTTGTAGCAACTGTCTCGACACACGACTCAATGTGTACACACTGTCTCCTGTGATTGTCAGTGGTGAAAATGTCGGCGTAATCGTGGGACCGTATAACACCAAGTATTCCGGTCTGAAACAACAGTTGCTCAAGGTACCATTCCTGTATAATGCTGAGTCAATGGGGTGCTGGAACAGTTTTTTAGACTTGGACGGCGAGAAAGGTATGAATATTACGTACTTTGATTCCATATTTGTTGCCGACATACTCACTACAATTTCTAATTCACAGATAGCATCATGACTGACACTGACAAGCCTCCAGTTTCAATTCAAGTACCCGAGACATTTCGCGACGTGTGTGTTCCGGTGAACCCGGTAGCAGGCGTAGGTCCTGCTGAACGGCCATTCCCGATTCCTCCCGAATACGTTGCTGTTGTAAAGAAACAGTATGAAACGGTAGAGTCGCTGCGGAAGTTAGTCACTAGTGACGAATTTGACTTGACAAAGAAGCGCACGATGGAAGTGGTGATTCAGGTTAAATTTAAGGAATGGCTGTCGTCTACCAGTAATGTGCGGCAAATTCTCGACCTGGTTCACCTCGACCGCATGAATGAGCCCGCGAATAAAGAGTGGTAGCGTTACCCACGCAACGCACAGAGAGAGAGAACGAGAGAGCTAGAAATAACGTGAGCCACGTATATGACGATTATTGGGCTTGAAATGCAGCCAAAGGCTACAATTGTTGTCGATTCTGAAGCCATTTGTCAACAGATTTTACTAGGTGAAGTAGCACTTATTTGATTGGTTCAAACAAATAGCGTGAACGAATCAAAAGCTGCCAAGGCATGTGCGGCACGTTCGTCTCAAAAGCAAATCGAGCCACTGAGTTACAGGGGGTAGGCTGGGCGTGTATGGCTGCTCTATACGAAGTGTCCGAGGTCATCCCGCCTCACTTACACCTCCTCGCGTAGCCATCCAATTTTACGTGTCATCTTCATTGCGTTCACTTGACCACGTCATCACTTGTTTCATTCTTGCATTTGCCACTTGATCATTTCATTGCAATCAACTCCATTCTATCAATCTACTACTTAAGATGACGGCTATTGACAGTGCAACCTTAGGTTTTCCACGTATGGGCCCCAATCGTGAGCTCAAATTTGCCCTTGAAAAGTTCTGGCGTCAAAAGATTAGTGAGGAAGAGCTCTATCAAGTAGCACATGCTGTCGAGGAGGCCAATTGGCGTAAGCAGCTTGATACTGGTGTAACTCGTGTTGGTGTCGGTCTCTTCTCGCTCTATGATCATGTACTTGATTGGACTTATTACCTTGGTCTTGCTCCTGAACGGTTTGCCAAAGTACCTACTGGTCTAGCGCAATATTTTGCAATGGCTCGTGGTGTTGATGGTATTCCTGCTCTTGATATGACGAAATGGTTTGATTCAAACTATCACTATGAAGTACCGGAGCTTAACACTAAATCTACACCCAAAGCAAACTTTAGTTCATATGTGGCTACCATTAAACGGGCACTATCGATTGTTGGAACCGATAAGACGGTTCCTATTATTCTAGGCCCTCTTACTTACTTAACACTTAGTAAGTATGATGGTACAACCCTTGATGACCTTCTAGTGAAAGTACTACCTCTTTACACTTCATTATTAAATGAGCTGGCTACTCTTGGAGTGACGGAAGTTCAAGTACATGAACCTTCACTTGTAGGTGCTAATGCTGACAAACTTGCTAAACACTTGACAACAGTGTACGGCTCAAAGAACCAGAAAGGTGCCATTCAACACGACAAAATTGCTCTTAATCTGGCCACGTACTTTGAAGAAATTAACCACGATGTGTACCAGTGGTTTGCCACTTCACCCGTGTCCGCCATTTCGCTTGACTTTACACGTGGTGATAACCTGTCAGTCTTGCAAAAGTTCGGTTTCCCGGCCGGAAAGCGTCTTGGTGCCGGCCTTATTGATGGCCGCAGTGTGTGGAAATTTAATCCCGATACCACTCTGTTACAAGTCAATGAGATTAAGAAGGTGCTTGCTGCATCGGACGGCACCTCGCTTACGATCCAAACCAGTTCTTCGCTCCAGCACGTACCATATACGACGGATTGTGAGAAAGCGCTGAATGCTGGAGAGACAGATGGATTACTGGGTGTTCTCAGCTTTGCGTACGAAAAACTCGCCGAGTTGGAGGTTGTCAAGAGCATTGCGGAGAAGGGTGAGGAGGCTGCTAAAAATGAGGTCGACGCTGCTAAGAAGGCTTGGTCGGTGTACTACGAGAAGAACCCTGCCAAGGCCGCTGTGCAGTCCCGTCTCGCTGCTGTGACGGATGCTGACTTTAAGCGTCCTTCTCCGTTCGCTGAGCGCCGCCCTTCGCAGCTCAAGGGTCTGCCTGTGCTGCCAACGACCACTATCGGTTCGTTCCCTCAGACTCCTCAGATCCGTGCTCTGCGCCGAAAGCTTAAGGCCGGTGACATTACGCTCGAGCACTACCGTCAGAAGATTGACGAGCAGATTGCTTACAACATTGGTGTCCAAGAAGCTCTTGGCCTGGACATTTTGGTCCATGGTGAGCCGGAACGAACTGACATGGTCGAGTACTTTGCTGAGAAGCTGAATGGTTTTGCTTTTACACAGAATGGCTGGGTGCAGAGCTATGGTTCCCGTTGTGTTCGTCCTCCGATTATTTTTGCCGACCTGGAGCGTCCAGTCGACATGACTGTGCGTGAGTTCGTCGTTGCGCAGTCATTCACCACCAAGCCAGTAAAGGGTATGCTTACGGGTCCTGTAACAATTCTAAACTGGTCGTTCCCCCGCAAAGATATCAGCCGCAAGGAGCAGGCTTTTCAGCTTGCCCTGTGCCTGCGCGACGAAGTTGCTGACCTTGAAAACGCCAAGTGTACTGTTATCCAGGTGGACGAGCCTGCTCTTCGTGAGGGCATGCCGCTTAAAGCAGCTAAGAAGGATGAGTACCTGAACTGGGCTGTTGACGCATTCCGTCTGTCGACTGCTGTTGCCAAAAACGAGACCTCGATTCACACGCACATGTGCTACTGCGAGTTTGCGGACTGCATGCACGCCATTGACGCTATCGATGCTGATGTGAACTCGATCGAAAACGCTCGTTCGGATGACGAGACCATCCGTGAGTTCAAGTCTATTGGTTACAAGCGTGACCTCGGTCCGGGCACGTACGATATCCACTCGCCTGTGGTGCCTCCCAAGGAAGAGATTGTTAAGAAGCTTAAGAGTTTTCTAAACCTGTTGCCTGCCGAGCAGGTTGTGGTGAACCCGGACTGCGGTCTTAAGACGCGCAAGTGGCCTGAGACCATTGCTGCTCTTCGCAATATGGTGGATGCCACCCTCGAGGTCCGTGCAACTTTGTAAAAGTCTATGGTGGTCCCCATTCTTCCCGAAGGATGACTAAAAGAAGCTCACTCCAATTTTATCGACGAGTTGTGCGCCAAGTCGCTGAGGTGAAATTCAATGGCTTCGCTCACTTGACATGTTTAAAGCATTTAGTGCTGGCATGTCCAAGTTGCCGAGACTCTAGTTAGCAGAATGTTTCGCCACTTGGATGATCTGAAATATAAAGAGTGTAGTTTCTATCGTTACAAGTGACCATTTGCATAAGGTTTATCTAAGTGCTAAAGAGAAGGTGAAGAAATGGCATGGAAGTAAAGAGCTAAGGACTAGATTGTGTGATCTAACTAGTGCAACAACACACTCGTACACGCAGATATCAACGCTACCAGCCACGACAAGTTTCTTTTCTCACTAGCCACAGAGATGTCAGTACTATGTCCTGGTATCCGTACATCTTGTATTGTGGAGATGGCGGAAGCGGAAATATTTGGCGGCGCGTAGTAAGTGCCGATAACATACAATTCTGTGCTCAGTAGTAATTGGCCCGTGGTGTTGGCCGGATCGATCGTATCAATCGTGTTGCCTTCAATATTCCAGCTCAAAGCTGACGCCCCACTCATGGCCGAGTAGGAGGCCGCGTCGTCTCCATCTCGAAGGGCCGAGTTGTAGGTCTTGCGCACTGCCATCGCTTCATTGACCTCGGCTTCTGTTGGTGCATTTTCTGAAGTAACAGCAAGCTGAAGGACCGTCTCCGCTGTTGTTCGGATGTAGACATTAGCGTTGACACATTCTTTGAGCTGTACTAGTAGCACTGCTCGGAAGTAGTATTCACACTCGATAATCATGCTCATGGCCACCATCTGATCGTAGCTGAGCCCTCCGCTGAATGGGAAAACATACGAGTCCAGTCCGGCCCTAGTGTTACATTGTGACTGAAGATGCAGGTTGTTCTCGTTGAGCTTCGTGAGATGAGCTACTTCCTCGTCGCTGCAACTATTTGCTGAATCCACGGATGACCCAGTTGCGGTAGCCGCAACGGTCTCACTTGGAGTCTCAGACACGTCTGCGTCCGCGGAATTCGAAGTTGAATAATCGAGGCTGGTTAATAGCGTCGCTCTGACCGTCCCTGTAATTTCTGTCATTGGGGATGAAGCTGTCATCATGCTGTTCAAAGTGCGAGCGTAGACAAACTCGAATAAGTGTGCATCAAGGACACACCATAGCACGAGTACAAACACTAGTTGTCGGTTACCCATCTATATTGACTCTATAGCGTAGGTAAGCTGCTAGCTAGCTCTACCTGCAATAAAAAAGCGAAAATGGTTCAAGTGCCAGACTAGTTAGTAGCACTTGTTGACTCGCAACAAATAAAAAAGCAGTAGGGCCGGTAGAAGTTGGGTTTGTAGCTGACCATGAGAACAGCAGGACATTCTTGATAAAGTGCACTCGTATGCAAGCTAGCAATCTGTTGGCAATTTGTCTGCCTAACCGTCATTTGAGTCAGCGACTCTTACGTTTTGCTATCAATAGTTTCTGAGAGTAAAAAAACTATAGTTCGCAAAATCGGTGCAGTACTTGCTTGTTCCATGAGTTTCAAATCAAAACGTTGGACAAAACGACTCGGATTATGGTACTTTACCTTTTAATTCTACAAAATCGTGACACCAAGACACATGGAATGAAACAGACAGGAATTTCCATATGACCGCCGTAATCTGTCTGACCTTAAGCCAAAAGTAGCTTTTTTTACACACCAAATTGACTACCACGTCTTACTTAATACTATTCGACCATTACTTTTCACCTTTTTTGTAATAAGTGTGAATGGAATATTATTATTGGAGGGTTATATTCAAAGTGCTCTGCTTACTACTCATTGGTTAATTTGGGCCATTTATTAACCAAAAAAATACCAATCGCTAGTGGACGCGCAAGATTAGTCATACATATTCGTAAGTATAATCGAAGTAGATTTGAAAATACATATATTGATAGGCTTTCATTATACTAATACAATTCTTCTTTATTAAACAAGTGATCTTGTTTGGGAAACCCTATTTGCACACACCCATGCACATCAGATTTCAAGACTCATCAATAGTATTATTGAAAGTATATAAGCGTTGGGCAACCGTTACACACGAAATCGTCTGAGCCACTATTCCTTTTACCATTATTCCCATCTCAGTTCAAAGAAATGTTTTCGTGACGCTTGGTGACTTTTGTTTGAAAATGGTCCACGGGATAATGCAAGGTAGCTCACATTAAGTAAGAGAGCTCTGGTGACGTCACTTGACGACCGTGCTGTGGCTGAAGTAGCATGATGGCTTTGGGTAATCAAGTGGGCAAGAGAGACCTGGGCGTTGCATTTATACAAAATAATAAGTGACACATCAACTTTCTCAAAGTATTTCGGGTCTCTAGACCTTGTTGAAGACCTCCTTAAAAGAGGATGGATTTATTTCAGCTTGGCCACATCATTTGAAACTCGCGTAAATTGTTGTTACCGGGCATCCTGCGCTAATGCCGATTACGATATAAGCTGCTAAACGACTTGCACTCATGCACAAAAGACGAAGGAGACGGCTGACGCCACTGTTGGTCTTGGTAACTGGTTAGTGTAAGCAATGTGTTATTGCTACTGTGGTGAAGCGTTTCAAGAATTGGTAGGCCAGAAGACCGGTGGGTCAAAGAGACGGGGACCCACCAAAGAAGAGGGACCGTTAGGTAAAGGACAGAGAGACGAGGCGTTGAAAAAGGGACAGGGGACGACCGTTAAATGAGGAGAATGTACATTTTAAGCGTGCTCCATTCAGAGGAGTTAACCGCGGTTAGTCTGATGGACCGCGGTTCCCGAGGTGGACCCCGGACCCCAGTCTTTTCGAGGTTGACCCTGGCCCCTCGTTGGTGACCCTGGTCTTTTATGGTGGACCCTGGTCCCTCGTTGTAGACCCTAGTCTTTCAAGGTGGACCCTGGTCCGTCGGTCCCTCGACAAGCAGAACCAAGAATCAGGTCTCGGGAGTAAGCATAGAGTAAAGAAGTTAAAAGATAGGACCATATTAAATACTACTTAATTTGCGATCTACATAGCACACCTCCGTCGTGCTTCCAAGGTACTTACTACGTCTACCGGAAGGGATACATTTTAGCCTCCCGTCGAAGACAGTTGTGTGGTAAGACCCAAGTGCGAATAGAACCCCAGGATACATTTGGCCTGTGGATTTGTCTGAGTAGCATCCCCCAACTCAACCCGCTATCGTAAGCGGTCTTCCTACCCTAGCGGTCCGGGAGCAGGTAAAGGCCAGGCGGTTAACAACCGTGAGATATCAAGGAAGGAAAAGGCCAGGGTTGAGTATCTCCCCTGGAGAATTTGGTTATAAGTCCACCCTCGACCTAGTCGACCGAGTAGCCACCTATCCGCCAACCGAGTGAAGTATACCCACTCGAGGCACCCAAAGGTCGACCTCTCAAGGCCTACATCATATCTCAACCAAGTCCTCCGAAGAGTGCAACCCGCCAGCCGACGGGTACACAAGGTGAGAGAAGGTCTATACGCGGCATCGAGGTACTCCCTCTGACAGTCGGCAGTCCGGCACAGTGATTGGCTTGGGGTCTCATTACGCAGTTTTGAGAACCCACTCCACCACAATGGTGCGCGTGCCCGGATCTTTTGAAGACGCGGGATATCACCGCGAGTCCCAAGAAGATGAAGATGTTCAAGCAAAGATTGAGGAAAAGGCCGAAGAGTCACTGTAAGACCGATCGCCAGTGACTACACAAGAAAAAAAAAAAGGGTCGAAGGACCGACCGGACCTTGGTAGGGGCCCGTTCAATATGGTCAAGGCTGAACTTATTGAAGAGAAACCGAAATACCCTCCCTATGTCCTCGTCAAGGACACCTTGGCTCATAATATCTACCATTCCCCAGAGGACAATCAGTCGAAGGTGCAAACAGATGGACTATCGTCCCCAAAAACTAAGAAAATAAAGAAACTACAAAAATATACGACCGCTATGTCCAAGCCGACCAAGCTCCGGATGAAGGCACCAGGTGACAGCAAGTCGGTAGGCCCCTCGACCTCAGGACCCTTCTCCTGGCCGGACGCGGACGTGACCATGGCCTACCACCGACTCAAGCTTGACGCGTTCCTGGAGAGTGACCCCGTCACCAGAGCCCTCGAGATCCGACTGCTGGGTCAGTCAGTGGACCTGTGTCGACCCTTCCCAAGCTGAGGACGGTGACAGACGCGATTACCGCGCTCGTGACTCTTCTTCGCGAGGTGGGTATGGTTGCACGAAGGCTCGAGCCTGAAGACATGTTTTACCTAGGGTTCAACAATATCAAGGCCACGTTAGAGATTCTACACAAACGTTTGGGGATCCAGGTGGGAACAACCCCAGTACTACTCGACTCACCTCCTGCTACCGCTGCAAAAGCACCGTCTGACGACAGCCAGATGACCATGCAAGACATCGAGGTCCCACTAGAGAGCAACGGCCGACCAAGGACCCATGGTCTATGCGAGGTCCATCACAGACCACCTTGCCTCAGGGTCCTCAGGTCTCTGCAAGGCAATCATCGCGAAGGTCGCCCGTCGCGAGTCACGTGGGCCGAATGCCACTAGGACCGACCGGCATGTTGCTCCTGCACGCAAAGAGCGCGGACGACGAGCAGCGAGCTCACGAAACGGCCACGTGTGTACAGCCAAGGGAAATTCGGGCTTCTGATAGGTATAATTTTTAACCAATCAGAGATGAGCCAGGACCAGTACCGAATTATACCTCGTCACGTGACGAAATTGCTCGAGGAGGAGTGCCTACCGACTAGGTAGGTAATTTACAGGCATACTTCGACGTGGCGATGGCGAAATTCTTGCAAGAACGCCAAGTACCGCAAGCACACATCGACAGAGAAATGCGGCCAAAGGTCGAAAGAGGACGCAGAGGTCAACGGCCCAGCTGGGTCCAAGTGCAGGTATGCAAGGTGCAAGAAACCAAGGGATGACCGACGTGGATATGGAATCGGTCGGGTCGTGTGAATACAACCCAGATGACATGGACCTCGATAGACCTCTGGCGAGAATGGACAGTGCCACCCTGGGACAGGTGCCCAACATGGTATTTGTATAAAGCTACAGCGACCTCGGATCTCAAGGAGTTTCATGGTAAAGAGCAAGATGAGGACCGAGCACGCAGCTGGGTGACCACTGTGAAGACCGCGTTCACAAGGGACGAAGCGCCAGATGAGGAGAAGTGTCTCGTTTTAGGAGGATTATTGGTTGGACCTGCCCAGAACTGGTATCGTCAACTGGATCTTTGTGTTCGTGGAAATTGGAAGGATTTGATACAGGAATTCCAGATGCAATTCTGTGGTTTGGGGGTACCAGTGGCCCGCCAATATTACCACGCGAAGAAAAGGTCGGATGAATCCCCGCTGGACTACCTGTATCACCTAAATGCCATTGGACTTCGAGCGAAAATCAAGATCAAGGATGGACCGCCAAAGAATTAAAAGGAACATGCCAAAAACTATATCGAGACTCTATTCCCTATAATTTTTCATCGCTTCGAACGATTCCTCCTTGTCTTCTTGCGTTCGAAATCCCGAAATAAGGCACCACAATTCAAATCCACTACATCCACCCACGAGGGGTCTTCATACCCTTTCTATCGGACGAAGACCTCTCGTTGCTGTCTTCCGTAACCTGTTTTCTTTCCAGTGCGGGCTTTCAAATTCTCCTCGACCTCGTACTCTCCTTCTTCCAGCTCTCTTGCCCAACTGTCCTCCGGTAACAGGCATTTATCAAAGTCGACCCGATCTATCTCGTCCGTCTCTAACGCGGCACTCGGTCGGTCAGATAGCTCTCTACCCTCTTGAGTTTGGAGAGATGTAACACAGGAAATAGCCTGTACTCCGTACCTCTAGTTTCCAAGCGCGCTACGCGTTCTCCCACCAACTCTAGAACCCAAAATGGTCCATGCAAGAGGTGGGCCAATTTCTTGGCGAACCCCTCTTTCACCCGGTCCAGATAGAGCCACAATTGAGTTCCCGGCTAAATCTTGTGGTCTACCACCCCTTCATTATGGGCTAGGACCCGAGCTCGACTGGCCGCTCGTAGGTTCTTATTCGCCTGGGCTCTTGCCCGCTGATAGTGTTGCTGAATGTGATATCTCCATCTGCGTGGCCCACATCCCCGAAGTCGCATATCTACCACAGGTAAGGCAGTATCGAGGGTGGTCTTAGCATCCCAACCA